CAGCTCTCTGTCGTCGACGATTCTGCCCTCCTTGGTGTCCACAAGCAGCATTCTTCCCGGCTGCAGCCTGCCCTTCTCGACGATCTTGTTCGTCTCGATCGGGATCACGCCGACCTCAGACGCGCAGATCATCCTGTTGTCGTCGGTGACGTAGTACCTGCACGGTCTCAGACCGTTTCTGTCCAGGTTGGCGCCGCAGAATCTGCCGTCGGCGAACGTGAAGAGCGCAGGCCCGTCCCATGGCTCCATCAGGCAGGCGGCCCACTCGTAGAAGGCCTTTTTCTTGTAGTCCATGTGCTCGTTGTTCTGCCAGGCTTCTGGAACCAGCATCATGACGGCCTCCGGAAGAGACAGAATGCCGTTGATGACGAGCAGCTCCAGCACGTTGTCGAGCGCGGCAGAGTCAGAACCGCCCTCCTCGATGATCGGGTACAGTTTCTCGAGCTCGTCGCCAAACAGCTTGGACTGCATCACGCCCTCTCTGGCGCGCATCCAGTTCTTGTTGCCTCTGAGGGTGTTGATCTCACCGTTGTGGGCGGCCCATCTGAGAGGCTGGGCGCGGTCCCAGGACGGGAAAGTGTTTGTGGAGAACCGCGAGTGGACAAGAGCGAAGTGGCACTCGTAGTCGGCGTTCACGAGGTCGTGGTAGTATGAGTACACCTGGGCAGGGACGAGCTGGCCCTTGTAGACGATGTTCTTGTTTGTCAGCGAGCAGATGTAGAACCAGTTGTGCAGGCCGATCGTGTGGGTGGACTGTTTTCTCAGAATGTACAGCTTTTTCTCAAACGTCTTCTCGAACTTGGACTCGAACTCCTCCGCCGAGTACACAGCCTTGGGCTTGCTTCCGGAGCCGTACACCTCCTCGAGAACCACCAGAGGCTGCAGAATCAGCGGCTCTCTCGACGACGCTGCCGGGCCCAGGATCGACGAGTCGACCGGCACGTGCCTCCAGCCGAGCACCCTGAGGCCGAGGCTGGCGGCGATGTTCTCGAACGTGCTCTTGGACTTCCGGAACACGTCCTCGTCCTTCTTGAAGAAGAGGTTCCCCACCGCGTACTGTCCGCTGGGCGGCAGCTCGATCGAGCAGTGGTACTCGAACTCCCGCGCCATGAACTTGTGCGGAATCGACGTCATCACACCGGCACCGTCTCCGTCCCGCGCGTCCGAGCCCACAGCTCCTCGATGGGTCATGTTGCAGAGCAGGTAGCGAGCGTCCGAGATGATCTTGTGCGAGGGCTTGCCCTTGATGTGGCACGCAAAGCCCACTCCGCAGTTGTCCTTCTCGTACGCTGGGTCGTACAGACCCTTGGAGGTAGGGATGGTGGAGGCCCACGTTTTGTTTTCCGGGACCTCGTCGTAGTTGTACACCGAGTAGGCCTCTGGCACGTCGCCGTCGGCCGGCTCGTACTCCAGATGCTGATCGCTTTTCAAAACCATGCTGAGAAAAAAGAATACGGATCCAGCGACAATAAAATAGTCGACCGGGCAAATTTTTTCGTCAGTGACATACCACATGCGACTCCGCAGATCCAGCGGGGACCACCGGGCAAGCCTGCCGGACCGGGTGAACAAAGCTGGCAAGATAATGCACACGCAATCTCTGGCCAATAACGTTGGGGCTAAAGTTAATGCATTGTGCGATTCTGCACCGTGACGAAACCGGCAAGTTTAATCTGGGAGCTGGTGCCAGGCGGGAAGCATAAAAAAAAAAAAAGAGCACTGAAAAATGCATAAGCTACTCACTCTAGACTAATTACTGATCCTCTAGTTACTCCTCCTCCTCCTCCTCCTCCTCCTCGTCGGCGCCTCGTTCCGCCTCCATCACGCTCTCGACGTATTTATCTGTGTATTTGCGCGCAATCCGCGACGCCCGCCCCGCCGCCTTGGCCTCCTGCCGCGCCCGTTGCTGCAGCCGGCCCAGCTGCTCTTTGAACGCTGCGCGCACGCTTTTGTTGCTGAAAGTGTCCCACATCTTGAGCCCCGAGCCCGACCCGCCCACAACAAGGTTTCCCGCAACCTCGATGTCCGGCGCAAAGCTGGCCGTCAGCACCTTGCCGCAGTCAAAGTCGCGGCTCAGCACCATCGACGGGCCGCGCACAGACGTCTGCTCGCTGTCCAGCTTCCACAGCTTCACGACCTGCTCGCCCATTGCGCCCGTCACAAGCATGTTGCTCATGAACTTGTTGGCCTCCAGCGTCGAGATGCCCGAGTCGTGCGCGTGCAGCGTCCACAGCGGCTTCGACTCGGCCCTCGCGTCGAAACAGTAAACGTTGCCGGCGTCCGAGCCGGCGAAGAAAGTCGCCGAGTCCGCGCTCCACCTCACGCACTCCACCTCCTCGCTGTTGCCCAGCTTATAGCGTCTCGACATGCTTTTCTCGTCTGCAACCCGCACGTCGCTGATACAGCACGCAGAGTCGTAGCCACCGGTCAGCAAAATCGACCCGTTGCTGCTGTCCGACTCCTCGTCAAGCCACTGCGACGACGAAACGTGCTTGCCCCCGTGAACGCTGTCCAGAGAGCGTGCGACCGCGCAACTCGTCAAGTCCCACAGTTTCACCGTCCCGTCCGCCGACGTGGACGCCAGAACGTTTCTGTACAGCTTGTTGTGCGCCAGAGACAAAACGGCGTCGGTGTGTCTGTCGGGAAGCTGTCTTTTCTTGGCCTTCTTCTTCTTTTTCTTGGTTTCGGACTCGACGTCGCCCAAGATGGCGTCCGGGAACGCCTTGTCGATGCTGTCCAGGTTCCAGATCTCGATCTGCGGCTCAAAGGTGCCGATGGCAGCAAAGTTGCCAATATTCGACTGCTCGTTGGCGCCGTACGGCTTGTAGCTCAGCCATTCGACACACAGGGGGAACGATGGCAGCATCAGGTCGTGGTGGATGTACAGGTTGTTCTCCCTCACCATGCCGTTCGCAACGTCAGCATCAAACTTGTCCCCTTCCTCTTCCTCTGCCCCGTAGGGAGCTCCTGCTCCGTCGTCATATATATACACATCCAGGTACGAGATGTCGTCCTCAGTCCGCGTGGCCAACACCAAGTTGTCTGTGGGGTACACTTGTAGTTCTGCTTTTTCCTCAGCTTCCTCTTTTTCTGTAGGCAGAGTCAAGTAGTGCTCTTCTTCGCCTTCTCCCATATCGTCGTCCTCATTGACTATTTTAGCATACGATGCGGCGGTGTTCGAAAGACCAGGGAACATGGTGATCGGCTCTCCCGTGATTTCGTCCACGGGGTCATCGTCGTAGTGTTCTAGATCATATTCTTTGAGGTCGTCGTCGATCTCTATCTGCGACTTGAGAGCGTTTCCATCGGGCTCCTTGGTTTCGTCGAGGTCTGCCTGGGCCTCGGAGATCTGCAGGTTGGCCATCTGCTCAATTCTATTCATCTCCTCGTCTGTGAGTTCGTATTTCTCGGGGAACTCGGAGGCATAGCCTCGGGGCACCCAGCATGAGGCAGAAATCATGGTTTTCGAGCTGTATTAAATTTTTTATATTCAGAAAAAAAAAAAAAAATTCATGCATAATTCGACTGTTACCCTGGCACGTCGTTTCCATATTTCGATAATTCCATACTAGACAAAATGGCACCTCCAGACGAAAAAACCATCGAGTATCTGCTGAAAAAGCTCGCAATGGGCGAGGAGCTCACTGAAAAGCAGAGAAAGGACATGAAGGACTACAAGTTCTGGAAAACACAGCCGGTTGCGAAGTTCGACGAGAAAATCGACAAGGAAGGCCCGATCGACTCGCTCAAGACCCCAGCTGACATTCCTGACGAGCCAAGTCCTCTGCTGAACGATTTTGAGTGGGTGACCATCGATCTCAACAAGGAGGACGAAATGAAGCAAGTCGAGTCGCTGTTGTACGAACATTACGTGGAGGATCAGGACGCTACGTTCCGGTTTGCGTACAGTTCGCGGTTCTTCGAGTGGGCTTTGAAACCACCGGGATGGAGACACGAATATCACGTCGGGGTGCGTGTCAGGTCGACCGGCAAGCTCGTGGCGTTCATCAGCGGCATTCCTTCGCTCTTGCGCGTCCGGAATAATAAGGTGCCCAGCGTGGAGATCAACTTCTTGTGCATCCACAAAAAACTGCGGTCCAAGAGACTGGCGCCGGTGCTGATCAAGGAAATTACCCGCAGAGTCAACAAAAACGACATCTGGCAGGCCCTGTACACGTCGGGCGCCGTCCTGCCCACGCCGGTGTCCACCTGCAGATACACACACCGTCCGTTGAACTGGGAGAAACTGTACGAGGTCGGGTTTTCGTCGCTTCCTGCGGGAGTCACCAAATCGCAGATGATTGCCAAGTACGCTCTTCCGTCCAGCACAAAGACTCCAGGGCTCAGAAAAATGGTTCCTGAGGACGCAGCCCAGGTTCTGGAGCTCTACAATAAATTCCAAGCCAAATACGACCTGGTGCAGGAGTTCACAAAAGACGAGCTAGTTCATTGGCTCTGCGGCCCAGATACCCAGCGGGACCTCGAGGACAAGGATAAGGTTATTGTCTCGTATGTGGTTGAGCAGGACGGCAAGATCACCGACTTTTTCTCGTTCTACCTGCTACCATTCACCGTCCTGAACAACTCCAAGTACGACCGGTTGAACGTGGCGTACTTGTTTTACTACGCCACCGATGCCGGTCTCGACGGTAAGGACGACGCCGTGCTGGCAAAGCGTCTGAGCTCTCTGATCGGCGACGCGTTGGTTGTGACCAAGAATTTGAAAATCGACGTTTTTAATGCTCTCACGTCTCAGGACAACACTCTGTTCCTGAAAGATCTCAAGTTTGGAAACGGCGACGCGTTTCTCAACTTCTACCTGTTCAACTACAAGGCGTTCCCGATCAAGGGCGGAATCGACCCGGAGACCAAGGAGCTGGACCCAGTGAGTAGGAGCGGTGTTGGTGTCGTGATGCTGTGACGCGGTGTCGTGGTGCAGAGGTGTGTATTTTTTTAGTTCGAAATTTCACCTCCAGATAAGACAAGAGTACTTAGAATCTATGAGATACGGCAGCGTCCGCGACGAGTCGGAGCCGGACGACCTCCGCGAGATCCCGGACACCGTCGCAGAGACGCTGGCGCTGAATTCGCCGTCCAGCGATCGGCCCCTGTACCTGACGTTCCGCTACTTTCTGCTGAGCATCGTATTTGTCATCCCGGGAGCGTTTGTCGACACGCTAAATTCGTACCGGACCACGAGCGCTCCCTACAGCATTTTATTTGTGCAGTTTCTGTCTGACCCGGCGGGCAGGTGGCTGGCAAAAGTCCTGCCGCGAAAAACCGTGAACCTGCTGGGATTCCGGTTCAGTCTCAATCCTGGCCCCTGGTCCATCAAGGAGTCTGTTCTGGTCACGCTGACGGCGGCCTCGGGCGCCACCGGCAACCAGGGAACGGCCGGCCTGTCACTGTCGGAGATCTACTACGACCGCAAAGTGCATCCTTTCGTGGCCCTGGTCTTCATGTACAGCATTGTCTGGACGGGCTACTCTTTTGGAGCCATAGCGAGGAACTTTGTGCTGTACGAGCCACAGTTTGTGTGGCCCAAGGCGTTGATGCAGACCTCGCTGTTCAAGGCCCAGGAACATGCTGGCAGCCACTCGAGCTCGCAGATGCGCGTGTTCATAGTCGGGCTTGCTTCGCTGTTTGCGTGGCAGTTTTTCCCCGAGTTCATCTTCCCGTTGACGTCGTCGGTCGCGATACTGTGCTTCATGGCTCCTCACAACGCGGTGCTGAATTTCTGGGGCTCAGGCCTCGGCGGACTCGGGTTTCTGAACATCTCGCTCGACTGGAGCAACATCTCGTCTTCGGTGATGCTGAGCCCGTACTGGACGATCGTGATGCAGTTCCTGGGGTTTGCCGCTCTGTGCTGGGCATTTCTGCCCTTCTGCAAATGGTACGACCAGGGAAAATACTCCCTGGGGCTGATGGACAACAGGCTTCTGCTCTCAAACGGGTCACTGTATCCAACAACACAGCTGCTCACTCCGGAGCTCCAGCTCAACGAGACCGCGTACGAGCTGCTCGGGCCGATCCATTTCGGCACCCAGAGACTCGCAAACATCTTCTTTGACTACGCAGCCTACACCAGTGCGATTGTTTGGATAGGCTGTTTTGGCTACCAGGATTTGAAATCTGTCTACCAAAAGCTGCGCCAAAAATTCAAGGACCCGCAGGCCGGCCGCTACGCAGACAGAATCAGCAAATCGTACGCGCGGCACGACGAGGTGCCGAGCGGCTGGTTTCTGACCCTGTTTCTGATCAGCTTCGTGCTACTGTCGACCATTCTTCTGGCCACAGACCAGCTGTTTATTCCCTGGAGAACGTACGTTGTGGCGTTGCTAATTGGCTCAATCATTGTGACCCCGATGGCATACTTGTATGCGATCTCCAACTTCCAGGTCGAGATCGGCACGGTCAACGAGCTGGTGTACGGTCTGCTGATGCAGACGCCGTTTTTCTCCGACACAAGCGGCAAACACCCCTGTGGAGCGGCTTTCTACGGCGCCATTGCAGGGAACTGCTGGTACCGCGCCCAGTACATTCTCCAGGACCAGAAAATTGGCATCTACAACGACATTCCGCCCAAACTGGTCTTCTTTTCGCAGATCTTTGGCGACCTCATAGGCGTACCGTTCAACTACATGTCGCTGCGCTGGGTGGTCAGATCCAAGTACGACTTTCTCAAAGGCCTGAAAAGCGACCCGATGAGGCAGTGGACCGGCCAGGTGCTGACCAACTACAACAGCAACGCGATCCAGTACGTTGTTCTTGGCCCCAAACGGGTGTTCGCACACTATCCGTATCTGCCTCTGGGATTTCTTGCTGGTAGCATAGCACCCCTGGCAGTGTTCTGGGTGGCAAGAAACACGCGGTGGCGGCATGCTAAGAAGTTCAACGTCACGATCCTGTTCGCAACCATGTCCAAGTTCTACGGCAACATCAGCACGGGCTACTTTACGCAGTTCCTCGTTGGCACCTTCACCATGCATTACCTGTACAAATACCGGCACCAGTGGTTCCAGAAATACAACTACGTTCTTGCAGCAGCGTTCGACACGGGCTTCAACCTTGCCAACCTCGTCATTGCGCTGCTGTTCGGGTCCAGAGCGGCCGCACAGTTCCCCGAGTGGTGGGGCAACGACAGGTCGCATCTGGAAAAATGCTATGCGCTGTGAGGCCACTGGCCCGCGCCGTCGATGTACTCTCTGGCCTTGCGCTGGCGCTCTTCCTCGATCCTCTCGAGCTCCTCGGCCGACGGCGGCAGCGCCTCGTTCTGCAGGTCTGCCTCTCGGGCCTCGGAGAACGACTTCAGTCTGTTGTGCAGCTCCTCGCGGCCGTCCATCAGCACGCCACGCGGCAGCTTTCCGCCCGCGTACGTCTTGAGATGCTCGACTTTCTCCGCCTCCTCGCGCAGGATGTTGAACATGCGCGACATGCGGCCGATCGAGAGCAGCTTCTTGCGCAGCGAGGCGCGCGCCTCGAGCGGCGACACGCCGGTCGCCGGCCCGGTGACGGCCGCCAGAGTGGCCTCCGGAGACGTCTCGGGCACGTCCCGCAGCGACTTGACCACGTCGCGCGCCACCACGGTCTCCTCCTCGAGCTCGTCCTCTGTGCAGATGTTGAGGATGGACACGAGGATGTCCAGCACTTTTTCCGACACAAACGGCAGCGACCACTCGAAAACGTCCATGAAGTCTGGCAGATGGTACGGCGAGTCGGTCGCCACGAACTGCTTGATGTTGAACGTGGACCCGTCGTAGATCAGCGCCGCAGCCTTGTTTCGATAGGTACCGCAGTAGTTCGGGGCGGAGAACAGCGTGATCACCGAGGGGAACCCGGTGGCCTCGTTCTTGCGGTACATTCTGTACCCGGCGTCCTGCGCTTGGTGTGCTCTGATGACACTCAATAGATTATTTTTCTCGAGAAAGTGGCAGACGGCGTGGTACGAGTAGTAGTACGAGCAGTGGCGCTCGTAGTTGTCCCGGAAGTAGGAGTCGTAGTCTGTGGGCGAGAGGGCCTCTGTGTCGTAGTCGGGGGCCGGGTCCGACCACATGATGTCGCTGAACAGTCCTCTGGACGGGAAGTCGTATCTGAATCTGTTGATTTTGCTGATATCGCTGAGCTTCTCGAGCTCGGGCGAGAGCCCGCCGTGGCAGCAGAAAAACTGCTCGTTCAGCACCGCGCAGAAGGGCATCATCTTGAAGGTGTTGAGCGCCTCCTTGTACACGGCCAGCGAGTACTTGACGGCGCACTCGCGCTTGAACGTGAAATGCTCGGTCATGCGCTTGGTCTCGTGGTTTCCCCGGAGGATCCAGAACGACTTGGGGAAGTTCATTTTCATGGCCAGCAGCAGAATCAGGCATTCCATCGAGTAGTCGCCGCGGTCGACGTAGTCTCCGAGAAACAGGTACTGTGTCTTGGCCGGGTCGCCGCACATGTTGAGCATCTTGCAGAGGTCGTAGTACTGGCCGTGGATGTCGCCCACCACGGTCGCCGGACAGGGCACCTTGAGCATGTTGGGCTCCTTCTCGAAGATCGCGGCCGACTCCCGGAGAATGTACGTCAGGTGCTGTTCGGACAGTCTGCCTTCCTGCTTGAAATGCTGCATCAGAAACTTGTAGTCTGGCATTTTCCCGTCCGGGAACACCTCAGCGTCGGCAGGGATGCGGAACGACGGGGGACTGATGTCCTTGACGATGCGTTCTGTGGTGATGAACGTCTCGCCGTGCTCGTCGACATAGACGGTGGGGTCGCTGGGCGCGGCTGTCTCGTCGCGCTTTTTCACGTGGCGCAGCGCGTTTTCGATCTTGACCGAGTTCTCGTGCGCCTTGAAGTTCTGGAGCGGGCTCATGGCAACAGGTATTAAATTATGGAAATATTCAGGGGGCGGTCGATCGACCTCTATGTATTTTTTTTCTCTCCAACGGTTGCTCATTTGCGGGGCATGGCCTCGTTGGGCAGGTCCGCGAGCCTCGCCTGGTCGAACGACGTCAGCTTGCGGTCCAGCTCGTCCGGCCCGTTGAGCAGCACGCCCTTCGGCAGCGCCTCTCCGCCCGCCAGCGTGCGCAGCTGCTCCACCTTCTGGGCCTCTTCCCGCAGCATGTTGAACATCCGCGACACCCTGCCGATCGCCAGGATCTTCTTGCGCAGCGCCGCGTGCTCCATCGGCCTGGACTCTGTCTCGGCCTCGGCGGTGCCGCTGCCCAGCTCCTCGGCGGAGCAGATGTTGAGCAGCTGCAGCAGCACGGCCGACGTGCGCTCGGCAACAAACGGAATCGACCACGTGAACGCGTCCAGCCCGTTCGGCAGCCGGTACGGCTCTGGCTGCGACCCGAACTGCCGGATGTTCATCAAGGAACGGTCGTAGCGGAGCACCGCCGCCTTGTTGCCGTACGTGCCGCAGTAGTTGGGCGCCGAGAAGAGCGTGATCATGGACGGGAACTTCTGTGCTGTCGTCTGCCTGTACATGCGGTACCCGGAGTCCTGGGCCTGGTGCGCGCGGATCACGCTCAAAAGCCCGTTGTCCTGGAGAAACGTCTCGACGGCTTGGAAGGAGAACATGTACGAGCAGCCGCGCTCGTAGTTCTCGACGTAGACGCGGTCGTCCTCGCCCGTGTCGTAGTCGTTCGACGGGTCGGCCCACATCAGGTCGCAGTACAGCCCCGACGACGGGAAGTTGACCACGAAGCGGTCGATCGTGTCGAGGTCGCGCAGCAGGCGCATGTGCTGCGAGAGCCCGCCGTGGACGCAGAAAAACTGGCCGTCCATCAGCGCGGCCAGCGGCAGCGCCTTGAACGACTCGAGCGATTTCTCGTACACCGCCAGACTGTGCTTCTTGAGACACTCGTCCTTGAACGTGAAGAACGACGTCATCTGCTCGGACTCGTGGTTGCCGCGGAGCATGAAGAAGGTGTCCGGGTGGTTTATTTTCATCGCGTACAGCAGCAGCAAGCACTCCAGTGAGTACGAGCCGCGGTCCACGTAGTCTCCGAGAAACAGGTACGAGGTCTCGTCTGGATCGTCGCAGATCTCGAACAGCTTGCACAGGTCGTAGAATTGGCCATGCACGTCGCCGCAAACCGTCACCGGCGCCGATACGCGCACCATGTTGGGCTCCTTGCGCAACGCGGCGGCGGCCATTTCCAGGATCAGCAGCACCTGCTCCTCAGAAAGCCGTCCTTGCTGGCGGAAATGGAGGCGCAGGAACTTGTAGTCGGGCAGGCCGTTGTTGGCAAAAACACGGTCGTTGCAAGGCACTTCGCGTGTCGGCGGCTCCACGTCGACAATAATCCTGTCCCTGGTGCAGAACCTATGACCCAGATCGTCCGTGTACACTGACGGATCGCCTGCAGGCTGTGTTTTCCTGTGCTGGACCTGGCTGATGACGTTTTCCAGCTGGGACGAAGAGTCGAACCGGTGGATGCTGATCTGCGGGCTGGTCTGGGACGCCACCATGTTCCGAGTTTAAAAATGAAAAGTGTAGCCAAGTCTGCACCACCATAAATAGATTTTTATCGCCTTGTGGTCACATGATTTTCCAGTGAAAAAAAATATTTTTTTTCATTTAGTTATCTATTTAATGGAACTAGTGCTCGAAGACCCCGGATACCTGTGTGCGGCGGAGCCGCGCAAGACGTTGGAGCTTGCCGACGAGAAGGCACAGGCCAACTTTGAGCTCGGCGTCGCGATGCTCGTGCACGGCTGGCAAATCCTCACCACCGCCGTCGATAACGGCTGGGGAGGACCAGAGTCTGCAGAGAAGAGAGACTGGATCAGCGCCGTGGTGATCGACCTGTTCAAGCAGAACAAGGAGGTGGACATTATCTTGATTCACGAAACTCTATTTAACGCCATGGAGGACGAGTTCGACGTCCTTGTCGAGGACCAGAGCACGGTCCACATAGCCACCGCCGTGGTCCAGGTCTACCAGGAGTGTCTTGCTGGCAAGTACGACCGTGTGCAGACGATGTACCAGAAATACCTGCAGAAGCAGGAGTACCGCAAGACACACGGCATCGAGAAAGTCGAGGTCCAGGAGGACGACAGCGAAAACGACAGCGACGAGGACGAGGACGAGGACATGATGGACGCTGACGTGCCGCAGCTGCAGGAGCGCGCTAGCCAGCCACGCCAGGAGGTGGTTGACGAGGACGGCTTCACGGTCGTCACGAGAAAGGGCAGACGCTAATCATCCGGAGCGACGTTCGACCGTGTTCTGGTAATCGACAAACTATTTCTTGGCGTCACTTTTAGCGGCACCGGAGGCGCGCTCGGCTGCTTGCCGAAACTGTTCAGATTGAACCCGTCGAAGTCGGCCGCTGCTGGAGGCGGCACAGGACTGTAGTTCACCAATGGCGGCGTGGACTGCGTGTTGTCTGTGGAGCCAAGGCCGCGCGAGAGCAACGGTCGGCCAGGACTCTCTGTGCCAGAGCGACATACCTGCTGAGTCTGCGAGCTCAAGGTCTGCAGAGACGCGGCGGTGGACCTGCGGCGATTGAGCGCTATCGACCCGAACCGCTTTATAAACGAGTCCGTCGCCATGTCCACCGAGTTCTTCGGCCCCGCAAGCGCGATATCCCGTGTAGCTCCTTTAATAGTGAATAACTTGACGTCTGTGCCGTCCCAGATTCCAATCGGCGAAAGAGAGTGTACCTCCATCGTGGACGACTTGCTGTTGAACGTGCTCCATGTTCCGAACCCCCAGTCGGCACCGACCTTCTTGAACGCCGAGATTGAATCCTCCAGAACAGATTTCGACTTGCACACCTCCAGCTGGTTGTAGATCAGACACCACAGTACAGAGGTGTACCATCCGAGCGACAGATTGGACCACGTGAACCTGAGCGGCTCAAACTTGGTCTTCGCCGGGTTGTACTCGCTTGGGAGCTTGAGCGTGGTGACGAACTCTGCCATTTTGGCTGCGTGGATCTGCTTGATGATGGACGCGGCGTCTGCGCTGGTGGTCGTCACGTTGGCCTCGAGGTGCCGTATAATGTCGAGCAAGACGGTCGTCGACTTGAGTCCCGTCCACGTGAGCTCCAGCGGTGCGTTCAGTGGCAGCTTGGCCTTGGCCCTGAATGACATACCCACGGGCAATTTGGGCCGGATCAGGCTGTCGTCTGTTGGGCCTCTATAGAACGGGTCGACCTCGCTCGTTTCTGCGTTCAGCGTCGGCGACGGCGAGCTCGTCCCGTTCGCCGGCGTCTTTTCGTCCGGGACGTCGCTAGTGTCCGAAACCTTGCGGATCGAAACAATCACGTTTTCGAAAATAGACTTATTTTTCAGCAGCACATAGAACCAGATCGCGCAGTCGTTCGGGTTTCTGGTCACCACGTGACACAGACTGCGCATCAGCAGCGCAAGCAGGTCGAGATTGACGTCCTGCTGGCTCAGAAACTCGACAGACGAGAATTTGGCGATCAGCTGTGTCACGGCGGAGCAGGTCGAGTACGACATCTGGAGCGTCGGCGGCTGGGCTGCGGCCAGGTCCCGCGACGAGGGACGTCTATTAGTAGTGGGGACAGAATTAGATGCAGCGGGCATCTGCGGGACCATGTTGTATATCCACTCTATCATGGTAGGGACGAGGATCAGCGGACAGTCTGTCTGGAGAATCGCACACGTCTGGGTCACCAGGAAGTCTCTATAGGTGGTGGGCGAGCCAGACAGACGGAAATGTTGCGGGAGCGAGGCGTAGTATTGTTTGTCGAACTGCGTGACCAGCTGCGAGCTGATGATGGTATCGCAGGAGAGGAAGAGCACCAGATACGAGCACGTTCGCACGTAATTCCGGTGTTTTTCAGACGACTTGTAGACGAAGACCTCGTACAGTAACGCCACCAGCAGCTTGACGCCGTACTGCGTTGCGAGCCGTGTGCGGAATGTTTTGTTGCACTGATAAAATTCCCAGACCAGCATCACGATCTCCGTCATCCAGTCTTCAAGACTGGAAGACGCGGCCAGAAACTTCCCCTTGATGAGGTACGAGAGACCAGAAGCGTTGGCTGCAGCACCAGAACTGGCGTCCATCAGCCGGAAAAGCGGCCTGACCAGGCCCTCTTCCAGAAACTCTAGCTCCTGCTCCTTGTGCAGCCGGCCGCAGTAGTACCGCACCAGGTTCGCGGGCGTGTCTATCAGAATGCCCTGTTTGTGCAGAAAGTCCTGGTCCATCTTGGGCAGCGGGTACACAATCATCTGCGTGAACAGCTGCATCGCGCTCGTGACCATCAAAATACGCACCTCTTTCTGCGCCGCGATCTCCAAATCCAGCCCCGTGTTGTACTCGTTCGGATCCTTCGTGGACCGACATACCAGGTTCAGCAGCGACGAGATCAGCGTGAGCATCCGCAGTCTGGGCACCGCCGTCACCAGCACCGTCAGGTACCGGCTTCCGAGCGGTACCACGTTCGAGACCTGTCTGTAGAGACATTGCGAGCAGAGGACCAGCAATAGACGCAGAATCTCGAGTCTGTTGGAGTCTAGAGTCATGTCTGGGTGCTTGAGCTTGCCTGCGAGTCCAATTCCAGGCTCCCAGATCGAGAACTCGATGGAATTCGGCCGGCTTTGTTTGTCCACCGCCGCGACGGTGAAGCCGGTGGTAAATAGCAGATTGACCGCTTGCAGCACCAGCAGGGCGCCCAGCGGAAGCGAGCCGCTCTGCGACTCGTCCACGGCGGGCTTCGTCGAGAGATTGTCGATCATTTTGTCGTGGCTGACCAGCACGTCGACCAATCCGTTGGTGGTCTCTGCGCTGGACAGATCTGTCGAGCACAGCGAGTCGAACCCGATGGTGGCGGCCGTGGACCCGTTGGAGCTGCCAGAGGCCTGTGTGTGCGGGTCAACGGTGTTGTTGAGGGACCAGAAAAGCGTTTTTTCTGCAGATGCGAGCTCTGCCTTCTCGTACAGATACGGCAGCAGCCTGGTGAGCAGCCGTGCGCAGTTAAGCGCCTCTGACTTGTTGAAGGTGCCGGATTCGGCCTGTCTCGCAAGACTGACGAGCCGTGTGGCGGTGAGCCGGATCAGCAAGAAGAAATTGCGGGGGTTGGTGTCTCTCAGAAGCACAATGTTGGCGGGCGAGAAGGCAGCAAAGACGTCGTTGACGCTGCGCGGCAGCGTCCAGAAGGAGGCCCAGATCGCATCAGAAGCGGCTATGTGGCTGAGAGGGTCTGCGAGACGGAACAGACGCTCTGCCAGGGCCGGTTTTGCATCTTTAGGGTCCATGGCCGCAATTGGCGTGCAAATAATTCTGGTAGGAAAATTGCAGAAAATACAGAAAAATGCATTAAATCGTTAGATATTGGTAGACAGGAAAATCAGGCACCAGATCGGGGTGGTGGTGCGGATTTGGTCATTGCGCTCGGTCAGTCAGAACTCCTCGTTGAACACTAGCGGGCCGTACTTCTTCTCGTAGTCCTGCGTCTCCTCAAACGTCCGCTTGGTGCCCCTGTCCAGCTCGCTCTCCCAGTCGGCAAGCGACGAGACAGTCGATCCGCGGTAGTCCAGCGCCGGAGGCCCGTCCGCCAGGTGGTCTGGCAGCGGCACTCTGCGGATCTGGGGCGCGGTAGCCTCATCTCCCTTGGTGCCTGTGCTGGCTGCGCTGGCGTCGCCCTGCATGTACCCGTCGCTGACGCTCTTGCGAATGCGCATGCCCAGGGTCTGCAGCTGGCGCGTGAGCGGGTCGACCGGCTGGATGTCTCTGTTAAAACTCACTCTTTTGCAAGACTCCATACCTAGATGTAATTTCCAAATGGAGAAAAATAGTTATTGATCTTGCGCTCCGACGTAAATGCACGACCCAGAAACTTTTCTTCATCCGTCCTCTCTTCGCGATGCCTGAATGGAGCCCGTTGTCGTGCTTCCAGTACGGAAGAATCGTCGAGTCGTTTCTGCCGCTCAAGGAGCTGGACAAAAGCGACCCCGATTACAAGGCCATTGCCCAGAACTTTGTCAACGTCCAGCCTGGAGATCAGGTGTACCTTTTCGAGCAGGAAGAAGGCGGCGAATGGGTCCGCGGATACGTCGTCTCGCTGCCGACGCCGTCCGATTTCCTTGCGGCGGGCGCCACGCTGGACAGACTGCCGGAAAACCGCGTTTCTGTCGCCGTGCTGCCCAGATCTTGCGTGGAAGTCGTGAAAGAGATCCCATATAGCAAAACCTACGTTCTGAGCCCAGACTCGCTGCCTCCGTTGCCGCCTGAGTCGCAGGGCCTCACAGACTCGTTTTTGGACGAGATTGTCTTCTCGCTGCGCTCGATTGCCGTCTACATCTTCGCCGTTTACTCCATGAACCACTACTCTCTGTTCCAAAAATTAAAAGACATATACACCGAGCTGAACGACATTCGGCTGCAGTTTCTGCACGACCTGCTCACAAGGGAGGAGAAGATGCTCGCTCAGAAACAGGTCGCGGTGCTCGTGAACCGGATCTCCAAGCTGCTGGCCCCGGTAGTTTCGAACGACGTCGGTGGCTACCTGGCTATTTCGTCCAGAGACGAAAAAACGGGCGAGCTTTTCAGGGCCAGCAAAAATCCAGAAAAAATGATCAACCTCGCGAGGGTCGCACAGAACCAGCTGTTCTCGGCCCTGGCGTCGAACTTCCCCGTCAGCAACGCAGACGTCTCCTTTGTGCCCGAAAAATGCCCCAAGTTGCAGCCGGCGCTGCCGTCGCACATTCTCGTGGATTTCAAGTCTGTCTCTGGCTCCTCGAACGTCGTCCCGAAGGGCTACGACGGGATCACCGCATACATGTACCTGCGCAGCACCAAGAAGATCATCACGGAGGCATTCAGCATCACGATCCGGCCCCACGAGAGCTTCGAGCTGGAAAGCATCTCTGCTGCTCTGTTTAAAAATATTTCGGCCAGCGAGGTGGAAAATACCAGAGTGTACCTGGTGGCCGTTTTGACCGAAAACATCAGGCTCGCGGAGGGCACACTACCCTCGATCCGCAAAGGGATTGGCGCAGGCGTCGCCAACATCACGCGAATTTTTAGCGGGAAGCAGGGCCACCTGACTGCGGGCCAAGCACACCAGTTCACCATCAAATTGTTTGGCTCGTACACTTCGCGAAACTCCCAGCAGCCGAGTATCAAGCCGGGAATGAGCCCGCTTACGGCCGTGGCGTCGCTGATGGAAAACAACGGCTGGGGAGAGCTCGTGGACCGAATTATTGCTGGCTCCAGCAAAGGCGTTGCCGTCAACCCAAGAGCAGAGCAGATCACTCTCTCCATCAAGGAGCTCAAGAACAACAAGCTGCTGGACTCCATAGACGAGAGAACCTCTGCCATTGCGCCGATCCGGCCAATGCTGTACAGTCCGCTGGAGCCGGACTACAGCAGATCGTATTTGACGGTCAGCAAATGCGATCTGGTGACGGGTTTGGACAAGGAGAAGAGCTTTGTCACCGTGGAGGTCAAGTCGCCGACACAGGGGCTGCGGTTTAGCAAGGGCACGAACGAGGACCCGCGCAAGGTGTGGCAGTTCCTGACAGTGTCGCCGGACGAGCACATTGGCGAGACCATCCAGATATTTAATATTGACGAGAACGCTTTCATTGAGAACGAGTACCTGCTATTTACCGTCTATCTAAACGGTAACTCGCTTGGCGAGGGACGGTACCATCTGCGGTCCAGGCACCAGATCCACGAGACCAAGAAGGGCGCCCAGGTGGAGATTTACGGCAAGGGTAGCAGCCAGGTGGCCGCGGTGGCTTTTGACCTGCAGTACGTGGGAAAGAAGTACAACGCCGACCCGGCGGTGGCCACCGTCTTGGACTGGAAAAAGTTCTACAACGCCGACCTCGAAGGCAACTACGGCTCGCTGATCCAGGTGCTCGCGAAGGCGGGCAAGGTGGAGCTGGGGACAGCGGTGAAATTCTTCCCAGAGCTGCTGCGCACGTTTCTGGAGATTTTCAACGAGTCACGTGCCAAGAAGCTGCTGTCGCTGGAGATCGCCGCTTTCGAGAGCGTTGTGCGTCTGCTCGACGTGGCCATTGCGCGCCAGGACCACTACAGCTACGTTTTTGCGGACTTTTTGGAGAAAAACAAGAACCTGCCTACTGTCGGCGAGCAGCTGCTGCATTTAATGGCGTCCTACTTTTCGCAGGTCGACACCGACTGGAACTCGACGGGCCGCGCGCTGTGCCGCACGTCGTACCTCGTGCTGAAACTGGCGGCTGCGTGTCACGTCAACACGGCCGCGTTCTCCAGCGTCGGCACGTTCTTTGCCAACTCGGCCGCCAAGCTGCTAGCCGTCAAGCAGGATTCACTTCTGCCCGACCAGCTGCTGATCGCTGAGTCGCTGGAGCTGTGGCTCGACGTGCTGCGCGACTTCTACGACGACGCGCTCGTGCTCAAGATGGCGGCCAAGTGGGTCGACGCGATCGGGCTGCAGGGCCTCGGTGCAGCAGACGACGCGCCGTCCAAGAAAAAAAGCCACGAGCACCGCATGATCGTGAGCAAGCTGCTGTTTATTCGCCGGCTGCTGAACTCCTGGCTCATCCACACCTCCTCCATCGAAACCCGCGATGCGCTGATGGCCAGCGCGCTCAAATGGGCGCTCGAGGTGGTGCTGAGCGAGCAGATCGACATCGACGCCATCCGGCTCGCGCTCGGGATCGTGCTGGCGTGCGACACCGCGTGCTTCGGCGAAGACCGCCTTTTCCACGACGACAGCAAACAGGCGTACGTGACGGCTGCGCGGCTGCTGCCCGTGCTGGGCGAGACGTTCCGCAGATGTCTTGTGCACTGCCAGAAAAACAGCTACCTCAAGCCGCGCAGAACGTTCACGCAGCTGTTTCCCGTGGCGTACCCGTTCCCGGAGCACACAATCGACTCGGCCGTGAACAGCGAGTCCTTCTGCGAGGTGCTGATCGAGCTGGCCGTGCTGATCGCGATCCACGCCAAGATCGGGAGGGCCAACGCCGACGCCATGAGCCGGTACCTGGTGACGAAGACCACGTCGCCCGCGTACGAGGTGCTGAACGGACTGCTGGGCGCGCCCGGCAGCGTGCTGGACTCGCCCACAAAGCCGTTCGAGACGATCCGCTGGGTGGTTTCCGCCATGTCGGCGAACTACTACCCGGCAGGCAAGTGGCTTTCGCTGCGCGCGCTCATCACAGAGGGCATCCTGTCGCTGACCGAGTTTGTGTATCCGATGGCGATCCGGATCCTTCCGCCGCCGGGCGAGGTCGACCGGTTCGACGTGCGCGTCTGGCACAAGTATCTCGTGGCGATCATGAGGTGTGCTACCGCGCAGACGTCGTCGCTAGAGCATCTGCACGATATGCCGCGCAAGTGCTGCTACCAGCTGGAGGGCGACATCCGGCCGCGCGCTGCGGGCCTTGTGCAGTCCGTGTGGAACAGCCTGGGCGCGCGGTGTGCTGAGAAAACGGCGCAGCGGTTTGCACTTGAGAAATGCGGCGGGTTCCAGACACTCTTTATTGCTGACGAAAAATATACCGTCGTAGGCGACGTGCTGCTGCTGTGTTTCCAGCGCAACACGACGTGCGTGGACGTCGGTGTCAAGATCCTGTGGTCGATGGTGGTCGACGAGTGGCTGAACAAGCACAGTCTGGAGGAGTTGCGGCGACTGTGCATCGTTTCGATCTACGAAATTTTCCACGCCGAAATGAGCTACTCTCCGGGCCCGGAGGAAATCGTGGGTTTCATCAGCCATCTTGCCAACTCGGTCAGGCTGGGTTCCGCAGACGAGGCACACAGACCAGTCATGGGCCTCATCGAGGAGCTGTCGGCGTATCTCGAGAATCTGAACGAGCTGCAGAAAATCCCAAAGGACAGCGAGTTCGACGACGACAGAATGTACTACAAGCTGAAGCTGTCGCAGTACCTCGCCAACGTGGACCGTCCCGAGGTGTTCCAGTCGTTTGTGAACGACCTGTACCAGTCGAACCTCGAACGCGGCCACCACGTGCAGGCTGCTCTGTCGCTCGGACTTTTGGCCGACACGTACTCCTGGGACCCGGAAACAGAGCTGGCGGCGTGCGAGCGGCCGCCGTTCCCGGCACAGACCGCGTTCCTGCGCAAGGAGCAGCTCTACAAGATGATCGCGGCCAACTTCGTCCGCGGCAAGCGCCTCGAACAGGCCGTCGACGTGTACCAGGAGCTGCTGCGCGCGTACCTGGCGCACAACTTCGATCTGCGCGGGCTGAGCTACTGCCACGGCGAGCTCGCCAAAATATACAAGGCATTGGAGACCGTCGACCGTGTCGAGTCGAGCTACTTCCGCATCGAGTACGTAGGCGCCGGCTTCCCCGACACGCTGCGCAACAAGCAGTATATCTACGAGGGTCTCGCGTTTGAGCACATCACCTCGATGATCCAACGACTGCTGCGGCTGCATCCAGGAGCGCACCTCATAAACAGCGAGGAGGAGCTGCAAAAGCTCAAGGAAAGCGAACCAACAGGAAAACACGTCCATGTCAAGAGCGTGGTTCCGTACAAGGACATGAGCGGCGACAAGCTGTCGCTGCGCACGAAACAGTACGTGGACAACAAGGACCTGCGCCTGTTCCAGGCAACACGCCGACTCGCCGGCTCGAGCGGTATCCAGGACCTGTGGACTGAGGAGGTGACGTACGAGACGTATGCGCCGTTCCCGGCGCTGATGAACCGGTCCGAAATCAAAACCACGACGGTGACAAAACTGTCACCCGTGGAGAACGCGCTGAGGTCGCTGAGCGCCCGGAACGAGAGCCTGGAAGACCTGGAGCACACGCTGCTGCAGGCGGTCAAAAGGACCGAGGACTACTCGCAGCTGTCGCAGTCTGCCATTTTCGGCGAGCTGTCGCGGGTGCTGGCAGGAACAGTCGACTCGCCTGTGAACGGCGGGGCGGGCCAGTACAGGGTGTTCTTCGACAAGACGGAGAAAGACGGCGCAGAACAGGCTGTGGAGGCCAAGTTCGAGCAGCTCGTGCAAAACCTGTACCGGCTGCTCAAAGTCCATGCGCTGCTCGTGCCAGACTCGCTGATGGAGAGCCACAAGAGCCTAGTGGAGCTGTTTGGCACCAATTTTGCGCCGGAAATCGGTAATTTGCATCTCAGCGTGGCCGAGCTGATGGATGTGGACAAGATCAGAGAGACGCCTGAGAACGTGACGCTTGACGAGTCCGCCGGCTCGCTCCACCTCACCACCACCAACACCAGCAGCAACGCATCCGTGCGCTCTAACTCGTCGGAACCCAGGTTTTCCCAGAGCCTGGTCTCAGCGGGAGGGCGTCTGTACACAAAAGCAATGATTTAGCACGATCTGGATCTTCACCATTCCCACAACAGGCACTGAGGCACATATGCACGAAATCGTCATAGCTGGTTTTCCGCCTTGTTCGAGAACAATATTTTTTTTTCTGGTTCTCGTTTCATTTTTAGAATTTTCTACACTCTACGGAACTGGAATTAGGTAATAGGTCGTGACGATGCTAATTGAACGTAGCATTGTGTCAAACAACTTCCCTATATATGTACACGCTCCCCCTGTTGTGATCCTGGGTCTCAAATGTCAAGATTTCGCGCCAGCACCATGGAATCTGACAACCTGAGACGCTTGGAGCATGCACTGGTCAAGTTCCGCTCGTACAAGCGGAACAACACTTTCAAAACGAACATCCTGCGTCTATCGCTCCTTCCCTTTCTCAGAAGCACCAGTGCGCCCTGGTCGGCCCACCGTCTCGACGCGGTGGACAAAGCGTCCAGAACCGAGTTCCTGGAGCTCGCCGTCGTGCTTCTGAGCTGGTGGAAGGAGCTTCTGACAGCAGTCAAGGAGCTACATCAGATGACGTCTATCGACAGAAACTGCTATTTAGAGGCGATTTCCAGAATCGTCGGGCGCCAGGAGTGGCTGGAGATCTCCAAAGAACCCAACTCTGAAATTTACAAACAGCACAACACACAGCTACTTGAGACGTTCGAGTTCTGCATAGCAAGGCTCGATGTCAAGAATATCAACCTGCCCATCAACGCTTTTGTCGGCAAGATCTTTGCCCACGCCTTTGTGAAGCTGCCTGACCTTTCCCGCGGCATCCTGTTCCTGCTCAACTCCAGGGTTAAAAATTTCAAGGAGTACTACGACCTGGTGATTCGAGAAAAATCGCCTCACCAGTGTGTTCCGGGCCGCGATAAAAATTACTTCAAGGAGGTGATAAATGCCACTCTGGCATATTTCCCGCAACACCTGCATCCGCTTATCAAGTCTGCCGAGCAACCCCGTCAAACCAGGTACAAGCTGGAAAACAAGGTTCTCAACTCGATAACGCCGCCATCCGCAAAAATCACAGGAATCAGCGACCCGCGCGGGCTTTGGTGCACCAGATGGTCGTCCCTCGAGAACGTCGACTTGTTCTGCTCGTTTTTCCGCCACTATCTCACACTTGTCTCATTCTACGTGCAGCAGACTAATTCGCTCTCCGCTCAGCAGGTTTACGCCCTTCCAGGCTTCGCATATCTGATCACTCACATTTTCGAAATTGTCGATTACCAGATCTTCCAAGCCGCACAGCGCACAGGCAATCAGCCCACAGAGTCGCAGGTCGACAAGTTGCTGAAGCTGCTGCGCGACTTCCTCGCCAACGCACGCCACGAGTTCGAGCCTAGTCTCAGGAACGGTGTTCTAGAGTGCTTCGATACCGTATTCAAGCTTGTTTTCTACAAGACGACCATTTTCCAAACAGAGAGAATAGACCTCTGTTTCGACATATGGGTCCGCTTCGTGAGAAGCATAGACGAGACAAACTCGTATGCCGTCCAGGACCTAGATTGGAAGTTCTGGACCGATACAATTTTCAAGATGCTCAACTCGGAGTTCATCAACGGTGAACTCAAGGCGCTCTCTGTTTTGTATCAGATATGGGACTATCTTCCATCTAGCAAGCCACCGCAGGCGGATTGGGTGTCAGATCCTAGCGATACACTGAAATACAACATCATCTTGTGTCTCACAGGTTCGGAGAACTGGTCCAAGTTCTTTGGTCACTACCTGCCCTTGGTGAGATGCTACTACATCACTTTGATGGTGTGGAAAGTTTTGGGTTTGGCGTCCTTACATCTGAGTGCCGAGGGCAGCTTTGCCGATGTAATGACAGGAAAGAAAGTCCAGGCGATCATACAGACGCGTCTGGATCAGAGTTACAGTTGCTCAGAAAAGCTTCCAGTGGTTCCTACTGACCCGCTTCTGAACAAGAAACTGGCTATTGTGAGCGCAGGACTTAGAGACGATCCGTCAAAAAGAGACGTTGTCAGGTCGCATCCTTACGAAATCCTGGATGATGCAGTTTACACGTGTGCCAATCTGTCCATGGACAACTCGACGACGAGCCTTTCTTCTTCTACTTCGTATGCTTCGACAACGTCCATGACGAGCAAAAGGTCGAAGCTAGCAAGTCACTGGGTCTCGAAGTTTTTCAAGAAGAAGGACAGCGACGAGGACTCGAAACAGTCGGAGTCCCCGAAAATTCCTCCGCCAACGGCTGCGTCAGGGCAGTCGGCCTTTTCTTCTCAAAGCTCTCTCCTTCCTCCTTCGACGTCTTCGTTGACGCTATCTTCGAAGTCCTCTTCGCCAAGCATTCTTTCTTCCGCTACCACGTACAGTTCGCCTCAGTCACCACTGTCCTCAGTGGAGTTCATTGACACCAGCAGCGAGCCGGACAACAGGCAGAAGCTTCCCGTTGAGCTGTTAATGAGACCCCCTGAGCTGGGCAAACCAATCTACAAGTTCCAGCTGGTGGTCAACGAAAATAAAATTCACAATTCTCTCAAACAGTTGCAAAACTTTAATGTCACAAAGTTCAACAAAGAGGCGTCGCGGTGTTACAACACAAGACCTAAACTTCCGGGGCTTGGATTGGATGTCGCTGGTGGAAGTATCTGCAGTGATGACGATATGGACATGGATTCTCAGGACTCTAGAAGTTTGGATTTCCAGTTCAGGTCCACCATGCCTGTGGACACGGCAGAGCTCGCTCTGCAACCGCTTCCTTTCAAGGCAACCTACACGAACGCTATTTATGAGTATAACAACATTGCTCACGAGTTTGAGCAGTTTGTCAGGCAAAGACTCAACGCTGCGTCCGGAACAAGTACTCCAACAGATGCTGCACTCTATTTATTCAGCGACAGTCTTGCTGTCTCCATTCCGGTGCTGCTTTCAGAGGCTCCCGAAAAGCCCAACGCGTACTGATATACTTGCATAATATACAACAAAGATTCTGTTCGTTTAATTTCAGTGCTCGACACCTTTTAGGAGCGAGTCTAGGTTCGTCATCGTTTCGTCCTGCTTGATCGGTGGCGCTATTTTCTTGTAGTATGAGAATATAAAAGCACTCACAGCAACACAGACGACAGAGCTCACCGTCCAGCAGATGAAAACTCCAATCATAAATGAAAGCGCAGGATATTGGGCCAGGTACCACCGGAGGCCGTTGTATTTCATCACCACCTGCAATTTTGGGTTGTCTAGATATGCCTGGTTCTGGTTGAACTCCAGCACAAATTTCATGTGTCTGGAGTTTTCCAAGATGGCATTGTAGGTTGATGTTGGCCATACAAACGATTGTGCAGGCGGCTGAAGCGACAGCAGGTGAAGCTTATAAGTTGGTGAGTAATGCAGTATGTTTGCGAGCTCAGGGGGCGCCACATGTTTCTCTATTAGAAAAGGCAAAAACGAGTGGTCTTCCTGGCAATCGAGCGTGAAGTACTGTGTGTTGACAAAATAGATGCCCATACCAGGAACCACTTCGCCTCCTCCTCCGTCTGTCTGTGTATTTTTGTGGCTATTCCAGAATCTCCACGGCCCGGATGGAGAATCGACAATGGGTTTTTGTTCGTTGCAAAGGGAACGGGAGCGTGGCCACTGCCACTCGATGCTGTGCGGTCTGTTGGAACCAGAAGAAAACCGCAGCGATCTTTTGAGGTTGTCCGTTATTGGCCACAGATTGACAAACTTGGACTTCAGACTCACCTGTTCCAGGTTCAATTCCCACGGTCTGAGCTCCTCGTTCAGGATGGAGTCGTCGAGAACCGAAAACCTGGATCCAACAATGGTTTTCGATGGACTCAGACACTTTGTCTCGAAAGACAGATAGAACTCGTATTCCGACACCGGGTCGTTGAATAGGTTGTCGTTTTTCACTGCGGCAAGATGCACAAAGAAATCGGCCGCGTTGAATATCTGGTACGGCCCGCGCTCACGCAGCTCGTAGTTTAGCTGGAATGTCTGCTCGTAAATGGGCGTTGGAATTAAGCGGCTGTAAAAATACCAAAAGGAAACAACCGACCAGGGAAGCAAAACAAGGAAGATAGTCGCGAGCAGCACTGCTGCGTACAGCGACGCTCTAGTGAATAGCAAGGGCCACGAGAGGCGTATTATCATGCGGAATGCAATTCTATATTCAGAAACGTTAGATATATTATTACATCGACGCGTCGATGTTCGTCGGCGATCTAGTATTTGAGCGGAACCTTAAGAGTGTATGCTGCAGTGAACGGAAGGCAAACAATAAGCGCAGCGTAGTGACAAATGTACGACAATGCCAGGCAGTCGACCTGGATGTGGTCCACGTAATCAGGAGGAGTGTAAAATGCAGTCAGGTAAATGTTGGATGTAGCCGGAGGCATGCAAAAAACAACGTTCGACACAAAGTGGAGAATCGGTTCATTATAGAAGAGTCCGTCTTTGTCGACTTTGGAGTCAATCGCACATCCCACAACGGGGAGCAGCACAAGACGCACAGCAGTGACTGCCACTGGAGTTGTCCACCGCGACAGCGGAATATCTTTAATTTCCAGCCTGCCAATGGTAGCACCCAGAACAAGCAGCCCGAAAGGCACCTGTGCTGCGCCGATGTAGGATGAGATGTCCATTATGAAGGAAAGCGGGGGCAACTTGTCGGGCGCAGGACTAATATGAGCTTGATTGGTCGTAACGAAAAGGGCTTTCACCCATGGAATCATGCAGATTATTAGACTAATGACGATCGTCAGCGAGATGGGCTTTCGAAAGCTATCCACAAGCACCAAAATGAAAGATTTCGCTAGCAGCCACACGCTTTTTGATTCAGAGGGCTTCGGTTTTGGAGCAACCTGCAGATCCGCCGGGTCGTTGACCTTCACAGATCCGGTCGCGAGGTCGTCGAAACGAGAGTACTGTCGCACCATGTCGGCCATGTTTTCTGTAGGCATCTCCCTAAGAGAGGTGCCGGAACACGCGCTCACTGTTCGCCCAAGGTCAAGGCTCCTTTGCGCCGTAGACCGTGAACCTTGGCGACCGGTTCGTTTCTCCCTCAAAGAGTGCGGCCGATTCTCGTCTGTGTCGTTCTCGTCGGCTGACGAGCTGATGCTGGTCAGTGAGTTGGAACAATCAGTATGCTGGCTAGAATGCGGAGATTCAGACGTCGACACCGTCTGTTCCTCGTCGCGCGGTTTTTTGTCGCCCGCATTTTTAAGTGCGTCTCTAAAATCCCACTCGATCAACTTGTAGAGGCCACAATTGAATTGGCCTGTCACCTGAATCACCGTGTAGATGCAATTGAACGCCACGCCGCGGTCAACATCGTGAACAATCCCAGACGCCTCCAAACTTTGCAGATAGGCTATCGGCAAGTCAGAGATGTTGGGGAACATCCCCACACTGATGAGGCCTCCATACCACCGTTTGGGGCATCCGGTGACCAGGCCGGCTAAAAAACACAGCAAACCGCCTCCCAGCATGTTGAATATCCCCAAAAACGCTATGGTACCGATCTGGGCGATGTCGGAGTTGTCGATGTTGGTAACGATCTTGTTGAACAGCAGCGCAGGCATTGTCACCATGATGGCTATACTGCTGATATTCTTCGTGGTATCCACTGATAAGATGTTCTTGCGTGCCAGCCAGAACCCTACTCCAATCAAGAAGTAGATCTTGAACATGGGCTTGCAAGACAAATATATGACTTCTCCCAAGGAGATGCTAGTCATGGAGTGATAAAATAAAGAAGCCAAGAAAAATTCAAAAAAAAGGTGAAAAGTGAGATTTCGGATAAAATGTAGCCAATTCTACCTAGTTAGATCTATATGCCTTCAATTTTTCGAGCGTAGCTTCTCTCCATGGCGGCAACTTCTGCGGGATATTGTCAGGATGAAGCTCGGGATAGTTTGCAGATATGACTTTCATCAGCTCATTGTACATCAGCTGGTATGCAGTTCCTGTGAAATGGATTCCGTCACTCAGCAGCTCGGCACTGGAGAGTCCAGAGTTGATGAACACGTCGTACAGGTCCACGGTAGGAACCTCCAGTTTGCCACAGACCTCTCCCAAAGCGTCTCCGTACTGCTTCTGGAGCTCGTTGCTTCTCTTGGCCCTCGACCGTAGCTTTGCTTCGTCAGCCAATGTCTCGTCGTGTGTTCCCGGCTTGACAGCGATAACTTTTATCCCGCGCGATTGAAGCAGTCTGATCAAAGTCTCCATATTTTCTGCGTAGCGGCCGGTCGGCACGTGCTGGATGTGGTCGCCACCGACGCTCGAGTCGTTGGTGCCGAAAAATATCCACGCCAGCTTGATCTGCTCTGGAGCGGGCTTTGTGTCGTGCTCGTATTTCAGAATTTCAGGCAGAATATGCAGGGCCTGTTCGGAATTGTAGCCATCAAAGCCCCTGGTGATGACCTCGAGCTTCCGCTGGTAGTCGTTCGTCAGGGCAGCAGCAATGGAAAACTGGATCTGGCCATTGCCGGGCTCTATGATCTGCTTGGACGAGTACTGCGTGATAGAGTCGCCGAACAAGAGAAACTTGCCATACTGGTACACACTCATCAAAATGAAACTGGTCCAACGTTTATGCGCGAGCGGTATCAGCCTTTCCAGACCGGGAAAACTGAGCGGCTCAGTATGAAATTTTTGGGGCGGGAGACGAGCGAGACCTTAGGCCGGGCTTCATAACCGCTGTTTTCCGTAGCCCGACGATGCACCCAGTTAGGTAATTTGGTTTTTTGGAATGGCAAAAAGGAAGAGCTGTCTCATAAGATAGATATGTTTGGCCAGACTGCGAACGACTCGACTCAACCGATCAACATTAGCTTTTCCAGGACAGGGTCCGTGTACCAGAATTCACGCATCCGCAGGGAAAGTATAGCGCACTCCCAGGGAATGGGGGGAATATCATGGGGCTCGGTGACTATAGGCTCCTGGCTCAAGGACGAGGTTATGTTACATGCGCACCAACAACAGAACTCACATAACAACAACCTATCGCCGTTCTTGGGGGCCAACCACTCGGTGAACACCCACATGATTACTAATAATTTCGACAACCTTAATAGGACGGATAGCCTGAGCATGGCCTTTTCTCCCAGCATAAACAACACCTCCTACTTGGCTGACCTGGAGGCCACCTACTGCAAGGACTACTCCTGCTGCGGCCAGCTGCTTCCGACGTTGCACGATCTGCTCCGGCATTATGAGGAAATGCACATCCAGCCCGAACAGCCCTTGGAGACGCCAAGAGCGAGACCGGTGAACACGGCCATGGATACCGTGAGCACGAACGAAGTGTTCTTAACGCCCCAGGGGTCGCAAGACCCGAACGTGCGTGCGCAGCAGAGCCAAGGCCACGGGGTCCCTGATTCGCTAGCAACGTTTTCGTTCAATCAGCAGCCAAGTAACGACACGCAGTCCAGATTGGAATATAATATACAGTACCAGCAGTCGCAACAGGATTTATTGAACCACTCGCAAGGTTCCTTGAACCAGAACGCCCTCCAACAACAGCACCCCACCTTGTTCCAGAACTACAATAATCAGTTGCCCCAGAGACAGCAGTCGCCGCTTTCCTCCCAGCCTACGCCCCACTCTAATCACGCGAATACCATTCCTCCGCGGGCAAGCTCTCCTCGGCAGTTTGCTATGGACGAAGACGAGGACATGGAGGAGGACAGCGAGGTGTGCATAGACGATCCGGCTAGACATCTGTACGTAATGGAGCAGGGTGAGAGCCGGCCATTTAAGTGTCCTGTGATAGGTTGTGATAAGAACTACAAGAACCAGAACGGTCTCAAATACCACCGGCTGCACGGCCACCAAAACCAAACTCTCCGGGCCAATCCCGACGGTACCTTTTCCGTCATTGACCCCGAGAGCGACGCTCCTTATCCTGATGGCATGGGTATGGAGAAAGACAAGCCGTACCGCTGCGAGGTGTGTGGTAAAAGATACAAGAACCTGAATGGTCTTAAATATCACCGTGGACATTCGACGCATTAGGAAGTTGTAATATTAGAATAGGGGAGTATAATATAGAATAGTAGTTTTCGAGACACGATGAAAAATATTTGGCTTTTAGCAATCTTGGAATATTTTTAGCTCTTTCAGAATGCCTCTTCATTACAACCTTGTCTTTGCACTTTTGATCTCCGAGGTTGCTCTGTTTGCCCTCATCTCCCTGCCTTTGCCTAGCAAGTTTCGCAAGCCGCTGCTCAAGACATTGAGTGGCCCGTTCCACTCGCAGCATTTCCAGATCACAACGAAATGCGTTCTTGGCTTTGTGCTCGTGCTGTTCCTTGACGCCCTCAACAGAATGAAGACCGTCACCAACGAGCTCCAGTCGCAACAGGACAGTCCTGTGGCCGGCGCCATGGGCATCCACGAGTCTCGCTCTGAGATCCAGGCCAAACGCTTCTACGCCCAGAGGAACGTGTATCTTTGCGGCTTCACCCTGTTCCAGACCCTGATCGTCAATCGGACCTTCTCGTTGGTGTTCGAGCTGCTTGCCGTCAAGGAGAAGCTGGCAGAGAGCGAGAACAAAAAGAACATCGACAGTCTGGACACAGTGGACGATAAGAAGGTCGAGGAGCTCAAGTCCAAGATCGCCCAGCAGGACGAGATCATCGAGAACCTCAAGTCGCAGGCCTCGGCGCTATCCGACGAGTACGACGGGCTGTCCAAACGAAAAGCGTGATCATCTCACTGTTTCTCGTACGAATTGCTTTTATGTTTAGGAATGAAACTGAAGCCGTCTCCGGCTTTCCCCAGGAACATTTCTGTAATCTTGATCCAGTCTTTGTAGTCTGACGACCCCAACAAGGTCTCCAGCTCGTTTCTTCCCTTCCAAGGTGGCGGTCTTTCGTTCAGCTTAGGCGGCAGCCGTTCCAGTATGCCGACTGGAATGTACCGATGAGTAAAAGATATGAACTCGCACAAGTACCGTCTAGCACTGTTCACGCCGTACTCGTCGCTGCCCCAGTGCTCCAGTGCGAACTTGGCGTATTTCTCCAAATACGCAAGTCTTTCGGAAGCAGACTTGTCCAGATACTGTTGTGCTTCCACTTCCTCAAAAATCCAAGGCTTAATCAGTGCACCACGAGCCACCATCACAGAGTCAATGCCCTCGTCGCTCACAGCCCTGTGCCAGTCCTCGTGCGTGAAACAATCGCCGTTGCCAACAAAGTACACGGGCGGCCTGTCCACCTTGTCCTTGTCCTCCTCCTGCTGCTCGTTGAAGTCCTTCACTATAGCCCCAACTCGGCTGATATAGTCCCAGTCGGCTGCGCGGGTGTATCTCTGTTGTCTAGAGCGTCCATGCAAGGTGATAGCTGCCACGTCGGTTTCGTTCAGAATACGTCTCACAAGATTTTCGGCCACAGGCTTGTCGTCCTTGACACCCATACGGAGTTTCACCGTCACAGGAATTTCGCCTGACGAGTAGCTCATTCCTTTCAAAATACGCAGCATCCTTGACGGATTGTCCAGAAGAGCAGACCCTTCGCCCTTGCGATAAAGCATGTCTATCGGACAGCCGCAGTTCAGATTCAGCTCGGAAACGTGGCTCGTGAGCGTTTGGATGGCCTCGGCGGCCTTGCATGCCTGCCAGTGCTTGGCGGTCGCGATCTGGACGCCAAAGCCCGGGTACTCGGACTCGTGCGCGCGAGGAAGGGCCCACTCGGAGTTGGAGCCCTGAATAAGTGGCAGAGCAAGCGCCATCTCGGAGTAAGTCACGTCTGCTCCCAACGTGCGCATTAATCTTCTATACGGCAGGTTGCCCACTGTGGTGAGCGGAGACACGATCTTGGCATTCTTGAGGTTCAGTCTTTTTTTCTCGCCCGTTCTGAATCGCGACTCCGCGTACGAGGCTGCGTTGAGCTTTTTCTCGTCCGGCTCGTGGTTCTCGCGCTCTTCCTTCGTCATGCTGTTTTTCTCGTCGTTCACTATCACCACGCTGTCCAAAAACTGGATCACCTCGTCGGAAACAGGCATTGGCAGCTTCTTCTTCTGCAATTGGCTCTTGGTGGCCGCAGAAATCCAGTTGACCTCGCCCTTGTGCTCTCTCTTCTCAACACCTTCTTTCTCCAGCAATAGCCCTGTCTCTGGGTTGAAGTGCGACCCTAGCCATCTGCACTTCACTCCAGAAGGACAGTAGCCAATAGCGGCATAGACCGGACAAACACCTTCGATGTCTGCTGGCTTGGCAGCGAGATACGCTTTTATATCGTGCGAAAAACGACACTTGTCGGCCCCATACGGACACTCTTTAGACTTATCGTTTGGATCGACAACAGAGGAGCACAGTTTGATTTCTTCGTGTGCCTGCCGTAGATCTCTCTTCTTGTTCTGGCCTCGTTTCTTATCTTTCTTGCTCTCCTTCTCTCCGGAAGTGTGCTTGGAAGACTCTGCTTCATCGTCGTTGTAATCAGCCACCACGCCGCCAACGACAAGGAACTCCTGTTTTATTGGTGCAACGCCCTTTTCGAGACGCGGCTTCACATTTCGCTCGGGGGAATGCTGCTCCGCCGAACGTTTCTTATCCTCTGTGATTTCGCTCATTCTAAAATTTTAAGTAGCACAGCCAGCTGAAAAATTATTTGAAAAAATAAATAAATGAAATAGCACAGCCAGCATACACTTCGCACCTGTCTTCCGCAACGGGAAACTTAAAACGGCACTATCTCTATCAGATTAGATTTAATCTTTTTGTCTGGTTGTTGAGCATGGTGAGAAATCCAGAGGACAGTCCGTTGGCTGTTATAGAGCGTTGTCGTCGCGAGAACAGACCCGTTTTCGTGGCAGGACCGATGGTGCGGTACTCCAAGCTGCCGTTTAGAGAGCTTGTTCGAGACTACAAAGTTGACATAGTTTATTCGCCCATGATCCTCGCACGGGAGTTTGTGCGGAACCACAACGCCAGGGCGAGTGATTTCAGCACAAATCACCGCGATAGACCACTTATAGTCCAAATCGGAGCCAATAACGTTACAGATCTGTTACGGATGATAGAGATGATACACCCTTATGTTGACGGCGTTGGGCTGAACTGCGGGTGTCCAATCAAGGATCAGGTGAGAGAAGGTATTGGCGCAGCACTGATGTCGAAGAAGGAGCTTGTTGCGGAAATGGTACGTGCTGTGAAGGAAAAATACGGCTCGGAGATCGTAATCGAGACCAAGATCCGAGTGCACAGCGACATCCAGGAGACTGTTGAGTTTGTGAAATTGGTGGAGGCGGCAGGTGTTGATTTTATTACAGTCCATGGCCGTACGAAGAACACGAGGTCGTCCGAGCCATGCGACTTTGAGAAGATTAAAACTATCAAGGAGACCGTGTCCGTGCCCGTGATCGCCAACGGTGACTGCAGATCGCTCGAGGACGCGTATCGAATTGCAAGAGATACGGGTTGCGACGGGGTCATGGCGGCAAGAGGCATTCTTAATAACCCTGCTATGTTTGCAGGCTACGAGAGGGCTCCGTGGGGAGCTATTGAGAAGTTCTGGAACCTGAGCACCGCATACGGACTGCCATTCCGTCTAATCCAGCATCATTTGGGGTGCATGCTTGTGGGACAGATCAGCAAGCAGCTACAGAACGAGCTAAACAGCAAGTCCAGTCTGCTGGAGCTGATGGACTGGTTTGATGCAAATTTCGAGCTCAAAAGGCCTACAGATACTGGGTTCGGAACAGTGGTTGCTGTCCAGTACCGTCAGAATAGACAAAAGCAGGCACATATATAATTTGGTTTAAGGATTAATATAAAAACGGATTCATACATAGTGAAAAAATAGAGACGGCGAAAATTTTGAATACAGTTTGGTTTTTGGTAAGTACTGGAGATGAATGATGATGACCTTTTATTACCATATTGAACAGGCCTCTGGGCCTTGTTGACGGAACATGGTAGAAGTCCGTTTTGGGCTCTATCTGCCTTCCTCAGCGCCAGTAATGATCGGTATTTTAGTCATAGTTACACTGACATCGAGTACTAACGGTTAGATCCGAACGCGCAAGCTCTCGCCAGAGTTGCCAACAGCACATTGCTGACGATTGTCGGCATTTTTACTCGAGGCCGTCTTACGATCCGTAGCACTAAATAGGTCAATACACCAGCGATACCATACTCAAAATGTAGCTCTACGCTTACTACTGCTTAATTATTGGTTTCCTCTTATTCATATTATCTATTCCTCGTCCTCAACAACAACAGTGTTCAAGCCCTTGACAGATGGAACGTTGACAGGCTCGACGTAAGAGAACATAGGGTTCTTAGCGTCCTCCTCCTCGTTTCTCTTTCTGGAAATTCTGATTCTCATTCTGAATGGAACACCCTGGATACCTCTCTTCCACAGTTCGACGTTCAGTTTAGGATCCAGTCTCACGTCTTCAGTACCCATGTGTAGCTTAGCGAACTTCTTGATCTCCTTCACGGCTCTTGGAGCTCTTCTCTTGAATTGGATACCGTGCAATCTCTTGTGGAGATTTATAGTGTACTCTCTGGTCACAAGTTCCTTAAGGTCGGATTTAGCCATCTTTAATATGCAATCAAAGGTTTGTGAAGAACAACCAAATTAATTTGAATTTTTGAAGTGCAATTTTTCACTCGAGCTTTGTGTGCTGATTACGTAACAAAACAGAGCAAGATATACGATACAGCATAAATTGAGGTACTGCAGGTATTTGAACTATACAGAGACAGGCTATAGAGTACCACCTGGTAGAACGTCAGAGCTGTATGGCCATCAAGAGCCCCAATTGCAAACAAATACCGATATTTCTACAAGCTGTTTGTAAGAGGTGCGAGGTGTATATTACAGGAATAATCGTGCCCTTTGTTACGTCACGTGCCTTCGCTTCCTGACAATCTATTCAAATGCGTATATATTCTGGACATGCGATGTCCATTGTTGATGGACTAGGTCGAGGCACTTATCCAACTCTGACTCGCCGTTCTTGGTCAGCCTTTCTACCTCGAAAAGTCCGCACAAACTGCACAGAATGCGTCCACTAATCTTGCCATCCTCTACTAGACTAATGATCTCTTGCAACGTAAACTTGTGCTCCTTCTCCATCGCCATTGTAGTAGAATGGTCTTCATTGTAAACCGGTTTCACAGAGTTCAGGATTGTGACAAGCAAACTGAGCGTCCGGCTATCTGTTTTCTCAAAAGCCGCGACAATTTCCTTGAAAAACGGTGCACTATCTGACACCGAGCCTTTTTCTTTGAATGTGTATAGGCAGCCCACTAAGGCTGCAAGAATTGCTTGTTGTGGATTGTCGGAGTCGCTTTCGAGTGTTTGGTTCAGCAGATTGAACACGGTTAGCAGCTCATTTCTGGCGATCATGATAGCGCACACATTATAGAGTATGATGGATGATTTATTCGCCAAATCCTTTGTAGTTCTCGGGGTAGTTGCACGCAATTGCAGAAGTTCATTGTATAGCTGGTTGACTAATATCAAGCTTGGGCCATATTTGATTCTGTTGATGAGCAGCTTGAAATGCCAGCTTAGCTCCTTGGGTAAAGTTTCCTTGTCATCAAGCTTAATCAGTTCTTTCAAAAACAGGTTTGTTTCATTTCTCAGGAACTGCGCATTTGGAATTGGCGGGATCTGAGAGCTCGAGCCTGGCACACGCAAACTAGTGGCCATCAATAACAGATTAATACGCAATTCCCAAATCTGGAACACATCTTGCAAAGATATACTAAAATTGGAGAGATTTGGCGACAAGATGATCAGCTTGCAGTACGATGCAATGGCGAGATATATTTCTAGACGATTCTTGTACGAATTCCGGGCAAATAGTTCTGAAGGTGCCTCCTTCAACTCCTCTCCCAGAAGATTTTGTACAAGCAGGACCAGGTTGTCTGGTGTAACAGGAGTCTTGCGCTCAGTTTCGTAGAACCTTGACTCGTATTGTGGAAGACTAATGAAATTATTTGCGTTTAATAAGGATGGATATTTGACTTGGAGCATAAGATCAACGAATGCGTGAGGATTAATATATGTATAATTTTAATTACGCATCTTTCTAGCGATAAGTGGCCTTGGGGCGGCTGAATATAAATACCTGCATAAACAGAGTCAGTACAGACCTCCCTTGCTCTCGAGACAATCTCCCCCACTGTTCGTGCTTCCTCCAATTGGACAATCTATCGACAGACCTGCCCTTTGATAGTCATCTGCTTAATAAAGTTGGTGTACAGATGTTCAAAAAAACTAATTTTATATTTCTATTTACCATGTCCTTCAAGGAGTCGTCGTACAGCCCGCAAAATGATCATGCTCCGGTCAAGTTGCCCCCGATTTCGTTTCTTTCCACGAAGTTAGGGACATCGGACAAGGAAGACGAAACCAAAAGCCGTCCCGAGAGTCAACAATTGCCTTCTCTGTCATCCATCAACTCTGGTGAATTTCAACTGCCTTCGATATCCTCGTTGGCTTCGGGCGTTGACTCGACAAAACTGCCCTCCATTGTTTCGAGCAAGTCTCCTGAACAGCCGCTAGACCAGAAATTGCCACCTTTGAAAGCGTCGGCATCACCTTCTTCCACAAACAGCTCGTCTTCATCCAGGCAGCAAATGAATAGCGTTAGCCCCCCTCGCGAGGGTGAAAAGGGAGACAAGTGCCGCCATCATAATCGTGTGCACGATCAGCTTACGACACATTTGAAGGAAGCGCAACAGCATCTCAAAAACGGTGGACATATCCATATCGTGCACCAGCCTCACGGTAACCACCATCATCACAAAGTTCTAGTGCACAATCCTAATGAGACATCATCTGATGTTCCACCGCCACAGGGGAACGACACGACAATCATACAGAACGACTCTACCATAATTGACCCCAACGCGACAGTGCCCCAGGACCAGTCGTTGGTACACCAGACATCCCCGAAACAGAGCACAGAAACAACAAAAGAAACATTCAAACACCGGGAGATAACCATCGACTCAAAAGAAACACTATTGCTCGCCGCAAAATTCCCAAGAAAACACCTGGGGTCGATAATATACCAGGGCTATCCCACAAAGGAGACCCGTTGCATGTACTTGCAAAATATAGAACCGGAACACGTGCGTGAGAGCTCGCAAGTGGACAATGAGTTTGTCTCTAAGAGAGTGGAACTTCTTCCTGCATACTTCGCAAACTACATCAACTGTACAGTGGATATTCACATCCCATACCAGTGCATTCCCGACAACGTCAACGTGTACGACCGCAGAATATGGGGGACGGACATTTACACGGACGACTCCGATGTTGTGGCCATGCTGTACCATTGTGGAGTGCTCAAGTCGGCCGACCCTACTGCTCCGGAGTCTGGGCTGTCCACCCGTACACCAGAAGATAGCGCAAAATCCGGGGAAACTGTCATCGATAAAGAAAAGGGGACTATAAAATTCTCCCGACACACGGGTCCTCTGACTCCCGGAAACCTGGAGAACCGCTCGAATGTGATCAGGCAGCATGTGGATTCGAGCGACGCAAACGATTTAGTGGTGACTTTGCTGATTCTGCCTCGTCTCGGCGTGTACCAGGGGACATACAGAAACAACTACTACTCCAGAACTTGGGGAAGTAATGGCCGTTTGCATAATGGTGTTTCGATTGCCCTTTATGCGGTGAAATGGTGCAAGTTGGGTGGTTCATATGACGGCCTGAACTACGGCTCTTTCCGCAAAAGATTACTGAGCGAGCGCATCGAGCTTTCCCAAAAGCTCCTTAAGACATCGAGCGAACAGGGGGCTGTTTCTGGCTGGAAGCTTGATCCTAAATACTATAAAGAGTTCAAGTAATATACATGTGTCTTCTAGCCATATGGTTGCGGCTTTAACTTGCAATAAAAAAAAAAGTAGAAAAAATTGTCGTGCGAGCAATTAATTACCAGGTGACCTTTGTGCAGTAGGTTTCAAGTGCTAGGCTGGTCAACAGGTCTTGCAGGTTGGACAAAAGCTTTTTACCCGAAAGAGGCCATTATCATGGATGAACCAGAACAGAAAGAAGACGCGGTATTCGTGGGCTGCGAGCCTTCGAGGCTGAGGAAGACATTACTCAAATTATCGTTCAGTTGGGCATCGTTTGTTAGCAGACTCCGTTCGATATCCGAGGCTTGTTTGGAGTCCGACGAGATCACGGAGCAGCTGTTTGACGACGACTCAGACAGCAACTCTGCCGGCGTCGGAGAATACGAACCGGTCATACCTTCCGAACTCCCAAGAGAAGTGTTGGCAAATAAGCTCGCGAACGATGATAAGGAAACGTGCTCTACTAGTTCCCCCTTCACAACAACACGATTAACGTCGCCCCAAAGCAGCGCTGTCAGCAGAGGCGAGGAAACTAGCGATACCCGAGATAAGGAAGGCACCCTCACACCGTTTTGTGGGGGAGAGGAATTATGGAAGATACAGAACCAACAATGGCTGAAGCCGATCGCGGAATACGCCACTTTGGAAGGGAAACTGGAATTACAAAAAAGACTGCGTTCCCAGGATCTCAAGCATCACGTGTCGTCGAAAGATTATCATATCATATATCGCAATTTGGTGATTGACGGAAGGAGCCTTAAGCAGCCGATGAATTTGAGAGACCTGTTGCGCGTCGTTGAGGCCGGATGGGAACGGAATCGGGTACAGGAAAGCTGTCACCATCGCCCGAGATGATGCATCGCTCAGCCAAATAACCCCTTTTTCACAGGCGCGGGTCTTGTGTTGGTAGATTCGACTAATTTAATGCTATTTTCAAGAACACGAATATTTCTATCAAGAACCTCGATTTTGGCTTGTGCAGTGTCTGCCCCGCTATCGTTCAGCTTTTTGGTTGTTTTTTCTAATTTCTTATGCAGTTCCATGGCCCTAGTACCCAACTGGTGGTACGTGTTCACCAACTCATCCTTCTGTCGTGCGATCGACTCCTGATTGGAGTATATGGTTTCGACTTTGGATTGTAGTCCGGTTTCGGCAGACTCAGGGGAAACCAGCTTAGTCAGAGTCTTGGACAGGTATTTTGAGTATTTCTGCGACAGCTGGCTGTTTTTCGCTCGGATCTGTTTCGAGTGGTTCAGCTGCTGTACAAAATTCGGGTCTACCATAACCAAACTTAAAATAAAAAAATATATTTAATCCTTTCCCATGGTACTGGTGGTATCTCCCTATTCGTATTTTGAATTCGGGTCCCACAACATCTCCACGTTTGAAGTGTTTGGTAACCTCGTGTACGTGGGGCTACACGATGGATCTCTGGACGTTTGTCAGCTTCCCACTGGGGGAGAAACACAGATGACCGAATTTGATGAATCAAAACTGGTACTGGAAGACCTCAACGTGATTGCCAGAACGAAATTGTCATGCCGAGCGATGCAATTGGAAGTGATACCAAACTTGGGATATCTGGTAGCATTACTGGAGAACCAAACAGTGGAAATATATAGTCTGAACGATTATCAATTCATAGACAAATTTGATGAGGCACGCTTCAATTATATCAAAACCTGGTACGAGGACGACAAGGATCTCCATCTAGACCAAATCAACGAAGAAGACAACGATTACATCACAGTTGACGACAACGACTCCATCTCGCTTGCCACTACAGCCTTGGAAACGGTCCGTACAAAGAAGTTTGTCACATCACTGACAGGAAACAGCTATTTGTGCCTGATATCCAAACGGAATGTTGCTGTCATGAAGTGGCACGACAACCAATACGATCGCAAATACGAATACAAACTGCATGACAAAATCCAGGTGGTTGAGTTCCTCAGTTCCGACGGTTTAATCGTTGCACTGAAGAACGGTGACATTCTGAAGATCGACCTGGCGCACGATTCTGTATCAACTATACAAATCCAGTTTCTGAACCAGCCCACTGGATTCAGCAAGTCATTTTTCTTCAGCCCGACAGACTCTTTACTGGAAATCTTCAAGGCAAACAACGACCAGCACCTCATCATCATGAAAGACTACAACCTCATTAAGCTCAACAGTGATCTAGAACTTGTTGTGTACAGACGACATACCCATTCCATAGACTTCAAAAATCCCGTTCTGGTGCCGAGTCACAACCAGTCTGGGAAAAAGCTTAAATTCCTCAAATACTGGTTCCCTTATGTGGTATTGGTCTACGCCAACTCACTGGAAATCCGAAACCTGGAGAACGGCTCACTTGTGCAGCAGTTGCAGGGGACGCCCACTTTTGGTAGCATCACGTCCATCAAGTTCACCCCCAAGTTTCTGTTTCTAGTTTGCAACTCAACGGTGTACAAACTTGTGAAAACGACGTACGACTCCCAGCTGGCCGAGTTTGAGAAATCAAAGGACTACAATAATGCAATAAACTTGATCGAAAAACTTAATCCTCTGGCATTTCAAGACATTTCCGAAGACCACTCTTCACGACAGATCAAATTTTCGAAACTTCGTCAATTTGAGCTTCTAAAAGGCCTGGAGTACTTGAAGTCCGGCAACTACGAGACTGGAATCAAACTATTTGTTGAGTTCTTGGCCCCACCAGAGCTCCTGCTTGATAATTTACCAGACTCAGTCAAGACGTTGCTATCTGGAACATCAAGCCCAAAAATTGCTGCTAGTAAGGAGTCACTGAAGAGCGATAAAGAACCAGAACCAAGACCCAACCAGGACCTCAAGATTATCCACCAGGTCATCAGTTTTCTAACAGATTCTCGGAGGAAGCTCACTCGGCTTCTGGATCCCGATTCGCCGAAGTTTCAATGGCATGGTTTCCTCATCTCCCGCGAGCTGTATGGGTCCAAGGACATCTCCAAGCTAGAGCAGAAACTGCAAACCGTGGACGACTGTCTTTTCCAGTGTTATTTGATCACTAATCCTCGAATGGTTGGACCACTGCTCCGAATCTCCAACTACTGCTCGTTTGACAAAATAGAGGATAAATGCCTCGAACTCAAGCTGTACACAGAACTCATCGATTTTTATTACTGTCGGTCACGACACGACAAGGCGTTGACATTGTTGGAGACGCTGTGTATCGAGAAGCACGTCTTCGAACCTGAACTTATGGTCAAATACATACAGAAACTTGGACAGCCACAGTTGGATCTTATATTCAAATACTCAGAGAAACTGATTTCGCTAGACCAGACCAATGTGGAAAGTATATTTATGGATGACTCGATTGAGTGCGAGTCTCTCAACAAGCAGCAAGTACTGGATTTTCTCGACAAGTGGCCCTCGTTGCAAGTGCGTTACTTGCGGTACCTAATATTTGACCTTGGCGAGACGAACATCAAGTTTCCAAATAAACTCATCGAGCTATACTTGCAGGACCCGGAAAAAAACCAGGCCCACATCAACCAAATCTACTCACTAGACAACTACAATCCATCGTTTGTGCTAAAAAAACTCAACTCGCTTAAACAGTCGCCAGTTGTTCTAGAGCTTATGATTCTTCCTCTTGGGAAACTCCATAAACACAAAGAGGTGCTAGATATACTTGTGCACAAGCTCTGCGATGTGAAAAAAGCGCTGAATTATTGCAGGGCAGTATACTCCTCGTCCTCAGAAACTGGACTCAAGCTCACGTATATGCTGCTCGACATGCTTCTATCCTCCAATGACTACGACTCGGTATTAGAGATATTAGACTCGGGCATTACATATCTGGATCCGGTCGAGGTGCTAGAGAAGCTGCCCGGATCGCTACAACTTGGCAGATTGGAGGCCTATTTGGAGTCTAACATAAGAAACCTAACGTCAGATCTCCGCTTAGACATCATAAAAAGCGAGCTCCTCAAAGTGCAGCTCATCAACCTCAAGTACGAAAAACTGCTTTCAGACACGGCCCATGTGCGCATTGAAGCGAGCTCCAAATGCATGGTGTGCGACAAGAATTTCACTGCCTCTTCAATCCTTGGTTTTTTCCCAGACGGATCTGTGGTGCACTATAGCTGTAGTAGGTATAGAGATTAATGACATTGGCTGGCTGCGAATTTATGTCGTCGTGATGAAGTTGATCACAGCAGAACAGTACTTCACCATATCGTCCATCTTGCCGTCTATCTGAGAGGCCACAGAACGCCATTCTTCCAGAGCCTGCACAACCTCACCTTGAACATTGTACAGCACGTCTCCATGGATTCTGAAAAAGACAGAGACAACTGCCACCAGAATTTCGTAGTTTCTGTTCTGCTTGAGCCCGTGACTGATTGCATCCACAAACCGTTTGAGTTCTGTGAATGGCTCTGTTGTCTGCAATGTCCTGAGTTCCAGATCCAGAGTGGCTGGACTCATGTCCACAAGATACTCGATAAACTTGTCGTAACCAGAATCAGCGCCCTCTCTAAGCAATCTGGTGAAGTCAGACTCAAACGAAGCACCTGAAGGGTCCAGCGTCATCAGTTGGGACTCCAACTCCGTCTTTTTCTCCTCACTCGTCTGCTGCAGGAAGAAAGGAGCAGACTCTGGTTTCTTCGGAGGCTCCAAAGGCTTGTTTCTCTTCTTGATCGTGTCCAAATGCATAATGGTATTGAACTTTGAGCGCGAGTGGAGCGAAAGAGTCACTAGGTCTTTACCAAGCTGGTCCACCGAAACGTACGTTCCGGAGCTGTATTCCTCACCTTCGGCAAATGCACCTTCCAGAATACCAGAGCCGTCCTCGCCGCTCACATTCGGAAGCATCATGGTTGCAAACTCCTCTTCTTCGACGTGCTTCGTGGATATCGGCTTGAATTGCGCTTTGTTGGTCCACAAGGATATACCCACTCCGTTGACATGCGTGGTGGCAAGATAATCGCCCAAAGGAGACATCTTCAAGCACGTGACTGTGTTAGGAACCATGATACCGTCAATGCAGCCACCAGTAGGCAGGTCCCAGGTTCTGATAGTGGAGTCCAGTGACGCCGACACAATCCAGCGACCATCAGGCGAGAAGTCCATAGCAGTGATTCTGTTGGAGTGGCCAAACAGCTGTCTAACCACTTTCTGCGTCGAAGAGTCGACAACGACGATGGAAAGATCATCCAAAGCAAAAGCAACGAGGTCAGAGCCTCTGTGGTACACCATTTGTGTAATTGGAGCGTCCAGCTGCAGTTTTCCCAGGAACTTTGATTGACTGAAATCGTAAAATCCAACGAGTCCATCGAGAGCGCATGAAACCATCTTCCTATTCATTCCGTCAACGGCAACACCAGTGACAGCCTTTTTGTGCAATTTGTAATTTTTGCGGAGTTTTCCACTTTGCAAATTGTACACTCCTATGCCACCATTGCTGGACCCAACCAGGGCAAAGTTTCCGCATTGAGTGATGTTCACGGCCTTGACAATGCCACCATCGATGGTGTCCAGAACGTGTTTGCTAACCTTCTTGTTTCTAGAGTCCCAAGTACGTGCAAACGTTTCGTCCTGGTGGGCAGTCACAATATTGGCCCAGTCTCCTTCTCTCGCATTCTCCTGAGCTATCATGGTGATTGGCGGGAATTTGTCCTTGAATGTTGAGGAGACACCCGACTGACGCTTTCCGTCCTTCATGACAGATTGTCTTTGAGACATCTCCTGCGACTGAGCGTCTTTACGCAGCGAGAATGTCCAGAAGGAGCGATCTTGGGAGGCAGATTGGATGAAGTGCGATTTCGAGTCGCCAAATGTGATGCAGGTAGGTGGAGCCGAGTGTCCTCCACGGGATCTCAGGTGTCTAGGGGGAGAGACAACAGCTGAGTTGTCTGATAAAGGAGGATCAAACACGTATTCCTTCAAACTGTTGTCTGCGCCAGTGGTTACCAATATTGGCTGTCCGTTAAGGAACTGCACTTTTGAAACACCGCCGGAGACCTCTCTGTGAGCATTACGCAAGACGTGAACTCTTGTCTTTTTCTCCAAATCGTAGAAGAACAGGTCTCCGTTCACGAGCGAGCATACCACATGAGGGGACCCATCAGTTCTAAACGAGAGCGACGTGATCTTTGACTTGGATCCTGTAGATATGGTTCTAAGGATTTTACCCTTTTTCAGGTTGTAAATAGTAAACGAGCCAACACCATTTCCAACGGCCAGAATGTCCAATGCTGGGGCCGTTTCGATACAAGTGATTCCATCAACAAACTCTTCGGACAGAAACACCATTTTCGCAGTCCTAACGTTGAATATGAGCAGATGAGAAGTTGTAGCAACAACAACTTTGTTGATATAGGTTGGCGGATGCGCAATATCAACAATCTCGCCATTGAGAGCGTTCACCTTAAGCTCTCCATAGTATTCGGTAGGATATTTTTCATCTTTCTTCTCAAACACGAAAAGCGAAGATTCCGTACAAGCGACCAGATAATTACCGAAGATTATCACTTTTCTGATGGTTTCAGCAGTTGGTAGTGACAGCTCTTTTTCCAATTTGCCTCGTCTGAAAATACCGACTTTGTTTCCATACGAGCAAAAGATATAGTGGAAATGGGCTGCAATAGAACGAATAGGAGTTTCCGTTTGGGTGGATGACACAAAGAGCAAGTGTAAGGTTGCAGCATCGTAGATCTGGAACGATCTGCCAACGACAGTGGCAATGTAGAAAGACTGGCCTAATGTTCCCACAGCGAAGGGAGTCCCGTTGGAGACGTGGCCAATGACTCTGAAAGGTGCAAAAATCTTGGATTTGCGCACAGCACCAGGGGATCCAGAAGCTTCAAGTCTCCGTCGTTTCATCGAATCTGCAACAGTCATGGTGTTGAATCTGGATCACTAGCAAAGGTGAATAATTTTTCTAAAAATTTATAATTTTTTTTTTCCAGCCGCGACGATCGACCGGAAATCTAATCAGAATTAATTCTAAAAGTATTTCTAAACTGCAATGAGCTCTCTTCCTCAACCGGGAGGAGATTCCGATATAGAGCACGAGGAAATTGGCACGCTACCAGAAAGAACATACTCCAGCCACTCAAACACTTCTGTGGGCTCCATGCAGGCCATAGAGGAAGAAGACGAGGAGAATGACATGGACCCTGTGCCTCTTACTGCGCATTCTTTGGAGCAGCATAAAAGGGCCATCGCAACGATCGCTCCTATTCTGGAAGATTTTGTGCCTGTGCTTTCCAAGTCTGAGGTGGTGAGTCCGTCAAATAACGCTCTTTCTCGTACTGTCTCGAATATCAGCTCCCTGAGCATAGGTCACCAGATGCCTCCTAACAGTCAGGGCAGTCCGCAACACGAGACTCCAGGGACTGACAACTCGCCCGTGACTTCTGAAAATGCATTAAACTTCAGTGACGGCAGAACACTGTCGGCCACGTCCTCGAACGGCGTTTCTGTCTCGAGTTCGGGAGTCAGTTTACAGCATAAGAACAGAACGTCGTCAATGTCCGTCTCTGAGGTGTCTGGGCCGAAACTTCCCAAGATCGGGACCATTGGTGTGTGTGCAATGGACAACAAGGTGCTGAGTAAGCCCTGCAGGCAGATTCTGAACCGGTTAATCGGGAACGGCGAATTCGACACCGTGATATTTGGCGACAAAGTTATATTGGATGAAGCCATCGAAAACTGGCCAACGTGCGATTTTTTGATCTCCTTCTTCTCCAGTGGGTTCCCTCTTGACAAGGCAATTGCGTACCAGAAGTTACGCAAGCCATTCACCATCAACGATCTAGTGATGCAGAAAGTGTTATGGGATAGACGCTTATGTCTCCAAATTCTGCAAGCATCCGGTGTTCCTACGCCAAAAAGACTGGTGATCTCCAGAGACGGCGGTCCCTCTGTGGACGACGAGTTAAAGGTCAAACTGGAGAAGCTGGGAGTGGACACCTCAGAGGTGCCGGAGCCCGACTGGAAAATGCTCGATGACGACACTTTGTACGTTGACGGTGAAACTATCAAGAAGCCGTTTGTGGAAAAACCCGTCGACGGTGAGGACCACAATGTGTACATCTACTACGCTAAGGAAAATGGTGGTGGTGGCCGCAGACTTTTCCGCAAAATTGGCAACAAGTCTTCTGAGTTTGATCCCAGCTTGAACATGATCAGAACCGAGGGATCATACATATATGAAAAGTTCATCGATACGGACAACTTTGAGGACGTCAAGGCGTACACTGTCGGCACTGAGTTCTGCCACGCCGAAACAAGAAAGTCGCCAGTGGTGGACGGTATTGTTCGCCGCAACACGCATGGAAAGGAGGTCAGATATCTTACTAAGTTGTCGCAGGAGGAAACAGAAATTGCGAAAAAAGTGAGCCGAGCATTCGAGCAGACTATTTGCGGGTTTGATCTGCTGAGAACAAGCGGCAAGAGTTATGTCATCGACGTCAACGGCTTTTCTTTTGTGAAGGACAACGACGGCTACTATGATCAGTGTGCCTCGATTCTGAGACAAACGTTTATAAAGGCCAAGAGCGAGCGTCTGAAGAACTCTGCTGCTGTAACTTCCGAGGAGAAGAAACAGAAGTGGGTGTTCAAAGGCATGATTTCTGTGGTGAGGCACGCTGACAGAACACCGAAACAGAAGTTCAAGTATTCGTTCAAGTCGCCCATATTTATATCTCTGCTCAAAGGTTACAAGGAGGAGGTTATTATCCGCGAGCTTAGAGACCTCAAGATTGTTCTCCAGACGGTGCGTGTGGCTCAGGAGCAGCAACTGGAGGACGAGTCAAAACTGAAGCAGCTGGCCACAGCCTTGGAAAAGAAGATGAGTTTCCCAGGTACTAAAGTTCAGCTGAAGCCCTCACTGAACGACAAGGGAGACATCGAAAAGGTACAATTAATCATCAAATGGGGCGGAGAGCCTACCCATTCGGCCAGATACCAGGCTTCGGACGTGGGAGAGCAGCTGCGGCAGGATATCCAGCTGCTGAATAAGGACGCTCTGAAAGACGTGCAGGTCTACACTTCGTCGGAAAGGAGAGTGGTTGCGTCTGCGCAACTGTTTGCCAAATCGTTCATTGCGGAGAACGAACTGCCCGAAGACTTTCTGCAGGTCCGCAAAGACCTTTTGGACGATTCGAATGCGGCCAAGGATTTGATGGACAAGGTCAAAAAGGAGCTGAAGCCTTTGTTGAGACAAGGCAAGGAGGCTCCTCCACAGTTCTCGTGGCCTCCGCGGATGCCAGAACCGTTTGTCGTGATCAAACGAGTTGTGGAGCTGATGAACCACCACCGCAAGATAATGGAGAAGAATTTCGAGACCAAGGACGTCGAAAATTTCCAGAAGGAATGGTGTTGCGGCGAGGACCCGTACCTGTTCAGAGAGAGGTGGGACAAGCTGTTCCAGGAGTTTGTCAGCGTCGAGAAAGTGCACCCGTCGAAAATTAGCGAGCTCTACGACACAATGAAATATGACGCTCTACACAACCGCGACTTCTTGCAGAAGATCTTCATCAGCGACGACGGCGAGGACACTGGCCAGCTAGGCTGTTCTCTGGTCAGACAGTACCCGATCAATGTTCTGGCCATGAACAATTTCAAGGTGAACGACTCGTCGCTCGACAATTCGTCTCCATCAAACTCGTCCAACCCAGCAGGCTCGATCGGCTGGGTCCTTTCGTCTTCGTACAAGCCGTCGTCTCGCGACGACCACAGCTCTCCGTTTGACGACCCGAAGTACAATCTTTTGCGCGAACTGTACAGACTGGCCAAAGTTCTATTCGACTTCATCTGTCCTCAGGAGTACGGTATCGAGGAGCACGAGAAACTGGATATTGGGCTGCTCACGTCGCTGCCGTTGGCCAGACAGATCATGAGCGACATCTCTGCCATCAAGGAGACCGACAAGGCTGCCACGCGCGTGTATTTCACCAAGGAGTCGCACATCTACACGCTGCTGAACATCATCTACGAGTCGAAGCTGCCTATGAAAATTGCCCGGAACGCGCTTCCCGAACTCGACTATCTGTCGCAGATCGTGTTTGAGCTCTACGAGTCGGAGGACAGCGTGGGCGGCAAGACGCATTCGATCCGACTGCTGCTGTCTCCGGGCTGCCATACCCAAGATCCGCTGGATGTGCAGCTGGACGAAAAACACTACATCTCGTGTATCCGCCGGATCAGTCTGACCAGACACCTGGACATGGACTTCATGCAGCAGAAGCTGAAGAGCCGGTTCTCCAGAGTGTCTCTGCCGAAGCGGTTCACCCCGGTGAACATTTCGAGTCCATTGGCAGAGGTCAAGCCTTGAATACGTTAAAAGATAATTTATTTGGTTAACCTAGGTTATCACCGCGAGAGAGTCAAAGAGCACGCTGATGCTTTCGCCAAAATGGTCTCTTCTGATACACTCGGCAAAGATCGGCGACACGTCGATGACAGTCAGTTTTTTGCATTTTTGGGCCTTGGTCTCGGAGATCGGGTACGTGTTGGTGACGATGATACCGTCGATATACTCGCACTCGTTCAGTCTCTCGAGACAGTCGTTGGCGAATATCCCGTGTGTAGCCACCACGTAGCACTGTTTGGCGCCGCAGTTCATTCTCAGGTGCTCTGCCGCAGCAATGAACGAGGTGTGCTTGTCAATCATGTCGTCGACGATGATGGCTGGTCTGTTCTGGACGTTTCCGACCAGAGTGATCAGCTTCTCGCTGGCGTTGAACTCTGGCTCGTCGTCGTCGTCGGAGTTGTCGTTCGCGATGTCCGGGGTGTGCTGCACCTGCGGCTCCTCGTGCGGAGCAGTGATGTCCTCTACCACATGTCCTTTCACGATTCTCGCCGTCTGGATGTCTGTGCTTACTATGACATTTTCCTGTTCGACCTCGCCGTTCTCGGTGGTGTTGATCGTGGCTGCCGGCTGCTTTCCTCTCACCTTTTTGCCCATGAACCCGTCTCTGGTCCGTCTTCTGTCCGTGTGGATCATGGCAAAGTTGACCTTGAGCTGGTCGGCCAGGGCCGTCACGCGCTTCGTTCCGCCGGGATTCTTCGACACCACGACCGCTTCGCTGTAGTCCTCGATGTTCTGGCGGATCCAGTGGGCCAGCGTGGGGCCAGCGTACAGATTATCCACCGGCTTGGAGAAAAAGCCCTGCATCTGCGAAGCGTGCAAATCCATCGACACCACGTGGTCAGCGCCGGCCATGATGAGCAGGTTCGCCAGCATACGCGCCGTGATGGCCCCACGGTGCTTTTTCATCTTCGATTGCTTGGAGTACGGGAACTGGGGAATGACGGCAGTGATCTTTGCTGCAGAACCGCCTCTGCACGCAGAAATCAGAATCAGCAGCTCCATGATGTGGTCATTGGTCTCTGGCGAGCCCGACTGGATGATGTACACGTCCTCGTCTCTCACGGAAACACCTATCTGCACAGAAGTCTCTCCATTGGCAAATTTCTTGAGGGTGACTGGAGCAGGGTCGATACCCAACTTCTCGCACACTAGCTGTCCCAACTTGGGATGGGAGTTCCCCACAAACACCTTGCACTTTCTCATCTCGCTGATAGGATGCGGCCTATGGGAACTGGTAAACTGGGTGGCGCTAATGGTGAATAAATATGCGCGAGTGGCACTGGGCCTCCGGTAGATAATTAAAAATTTTTTGGGGGTGTCTGGTTTAGGAAACCGGGCCGGAAATCAAAAAAATATATTATCTCTCGTTTATGCCGAGTTAGTACATATTCAGTTGCTTCTGGGTCATCGAGTACCTGATCCAGTTAGGCAGGCAGTTCTGGTCGTACACGTCGGGAGGCGCGAAATATCCTGGCTCGTGGTCTGTGGAACACTTGTCGCTGTGTGGCGAGTTCTCGTACGGCGAGTGGTGGTAGCCAATGTCTCTGAACCACCACACCTTGCTCTTGTCCTCGAACAACCCGACTCCCACCGAGTGCACGGGAGCGTCCCCCCATCTCTCGTAGTAGAACCCACCAGCGGCCTCAAGAGCGTCGAACCATTTGGAGTACGCCTCGCCTCTATAGAAGTCCATATCTGCGATCTCGAAATTCGACCAGAAGTGGCATGTCGAATAGCCGCCTGCTCCGTTGGTACTGTGAGGGTTCTGCTGGTTCTCTGTCAGCCACTTGAACGCACCGTTCGGATGCACGTACTCGGGATGGGCAAGACAGAAATCGACAGTGGTTTTCCACAGGGTCTCGACCGTCAGCGGCTCGTCGTACAAGCTCACAGTGAAGCCATAGGTCAGCTCGTTGTCTCTCATGAACTTGAACACATCGTAATCCACTTTGCAGAAGAAGTTCACGTTGGGCTCGACTCTCCAGTAGTACTTGAACTTCTTCAGGCCCTCCAGTCTGTAGAACCAGCCCGAGTTGAACCGACACATGTTGTGGTAGCTCTCCAAACTGGCGTAGTTCACCTTGTTCGCAGCCAGCTTGGCAATGCCGCTCTTGTACAGCGCAGGGTCGATGTTCGCCGGCTTCTCCCAGATCGACTTTGGAATGACCTCGTAGTACACCTTGCCGGAGCACACTTCCTCCACGCCTTTCTTGAACTCTGGAGTAAACTCCTCGTCGTTGATGAACGTGAACGGGTAGTTGTAACGCCAGTTCCAGGTCTCCTCCAGCTGTCTGATCGACGAGACGATGCCCTCCAGCTCGGAGTTTCTCACCAGAGACAACAGAGTGGCGTTGGCCAGCTCGTAGTCGGTGTCACCGTCCTGCTTGTGCACCAGCTTCATGTTCTTCGGCTCGTCGATCTTCTTGCTCAGCACCTCTCTGTGGAACTTCATTTGTTCCTCCACAATTGTCTCCTTAGGCGTTCCCTCAGGGAACACGCCATTATTGAAGGTCAGAGCCCGCTTGACCTCCTCAGCGGTCATTTTTTTGTGCTTGTTGGCTGTCTTGGTAATATATCCCTGGAGATCGGTACGATAGCTGTCGAACATCTGAGATGCGCCTTTCAGAGTTTGCGTCTCGCGTGCGGCGTGGAGCGTAAACCCTAAGATGAACACCAGTGCTACGATTCCGGCTGAGAGCCGAATAAACCGTTTATTAAGCAGCATTGCGGTTAGGGTCCTGGCAAAAATAGCTGAGAAAAAACATTTTCCTGAAAACAGAGCAATACACGAAAAAAAGTAATCCGTGTTTGGTCCGCCCACGCGTAATGAATGTTCTATGCATTAATCAATTTAAGGGACTCAAAAACTTGCCGCGGAAATGGCGGGGCGGGGCACTCACGTAGAGCGCGTTATCTGGGGAAATCATATCAAGCTTTTGTCATGTCTGCCACATCTGCTACACCCACTTCCGGGCCCCATGGCAAGACATTCCTAATTGATCGTAGACACAGCCAAGATATTAAAAAAATAGTGGATGTATAAAATAGTGAAGCGTGCTGCTTCTGTGTAATCTTATGGCTCGCCGATTTACACACTCGTCGCAGCGACGCGCGTCGCTCGTCTCAACATCTGTGGGCAGACATGGGCTGTTCGTGCCCCAGGACCTCATCAAAACAGAAGACTTTACGGCCGTTGTCAACGACCAGGACCTCGAGGAGGACGAGCCACTGATCGACTCCCAGGTCCAGCCGTACTCTGCAACATCAAAGGACATAGCCGAAGAGGCAGAGCTGCTCCAGGCCAACCGTTTTCCCATCAGAAGATACTCCTCCGTGCCATCGGTTTCTGTGCCACCTGCGGAAGACCGCGAAGCTATCAACGAGTCTTGGGACAAGGCCCTTCGCGACGGGAAAATCACCACGACGCCTCTCTTTGAGCTCAAGAAGATGTTCTTGTCGTCTGTGCCGCTCGTGATAACCTTCCTGCTCCAGAACTCGCTCGGTGTGGCCTCTATCTTTGCCGTGGGGCACATTTCACCCGAAGCACTCGCTGGAATCACCCTGGGAACCATGAGCTGCAACATATCAGCCATCGCCGTCATTGCCGGCCTCGCATCATCGCTCGACACGTTTCTGCCACAGGCCTATGGAGCCAAAAAATACAAAATTGTGGGCTTGATTTTCCAGCGTTGCACCGCTCTCATATTCACCATTATGTTCATAGTCTGCGTAGCATGGTGGATTTGGGCCGAGCAAGTCCTGACAAAAGTTCTGCCGAGCGCAGAAAGTGCCAGCCTCGCTGCCGTTTACCTGAAAGTCATCACCTTCGGATTGCCAGGCTACATACTTTTTGAAACAGGGAAAAGATTCCTGCAAGCCCAGGGAGTGTTCGAGGCGTCAACGTACGTGCTCTTTGTCTGTGCTCCGTTCAACGCATTGCTCAACTACTTGTTCGTTTGGGTATTCAAAATGGGATACATTGGCGCCCCGATCGCCGTCAGTGTGAACTACACACTGATGGCTGTCGGGCTGTTTGCGTACACCGTCTGGACCAAGAACGTCGCCAATCCTATGAAATGCTGGAACGGACTGAGGCCGAGAAAGGCGTTCTCCAACTGGGGCGAGCTGGTGAAGCTGAGTATCCCAAATCTGATCATGATAATGTCCGAGTTCCTGAGTTTCGAGATCCTCACGCTTCTGTCCAGCTATCTCGGAACAGTGCCGCTTGCAGCACAGTCTGTGATCACCACTATGGCCTCTCTCACCTACCAGGTGCCGTACGGAGTTTCCATTGCCGCCTCCACAAGAGTGGCGAACTTCCTGGGCGCCCAGCTCCCACGGGAGGCCAGAATAGCTGCCAAAATGGTTTTCGTATTCACCGCAGCCATTGCCGTGATCAACTCGTCGTTCCTTCTCTTTGACAGCCGGCAGATCGCGGGCTGGTTCTCCAACGATGCGGATGTGATCGAGGTCGTCACCAAGGTGATGCCATTGGTCGCTTTCATCCAGATTTTCGACGCCATGAACGCAACCAGTGCAGGATGTCTACGCGGACAGGGTCTGCAAAGAATTGGCGGATACGTCAACCTGTGCTCGTACTACCTCATTGGCCTTCCGCTTGGCTTTGTGCTGAGCTTCTACTTCCCTAAGGGCCATCCTATGGGACTCTTTGGGCTGTGGACCGGCTGTGGAGTCGCTCTGGCTATTATTGGCATCATCCAGACGTATTACTCTCTTGCTGCCGATTACGACAAACTGGCGGCCGACGCGCTCAGACGAAGTGAAACAGACTAGGATAACTGTGTAATTTCGTGTTCAATCTTGGCCAGCTGAATAATAAGTTTTAGCGAATCTGCAAAATCAGACTGTGCTGTTCGTAGAGACAGGGGCACCAGCCCTCCGGAGAACATTTTTAGCGACTTGCTTAATCCGTTTTCCTTGTCGCAGAGAACTACCTGGGCATTTGTCCAGTCGACGTCCACCAGTCGCTGCATTTCCCTGAGATCAAGGAAGGTTTGGTATCTTGTATTGCCTGCGTAATTGGCCCGGGCCAGGTCCACGAACCCGCGTTTGAGAACCTTCTCAAGCTTCTCGTGAACGCTGTAGTACTCTGAAAGAAGGTCAAGTGCTCTGACCTGTTTTTCCTGCGCAGGGGTGAGCAGCTTGTTCGAATTCACCGGATCGAGCAAATCTGTCATTACTCAAACAATAATATTTTTACTGAATACAATATTTCAAACTTTAACCGTTCGTTATTCATCTATTTAATATACATCCTCGTCGGCAATTTCCGGCAGACGGAGTTGACTAATCGTCTTTGAGTATGGGCCCGAGAAGTCCAGCTCTGTGGCCACACTCAGCCTTGACAGCCTGCTGATGTTCGCCGCGTTCAACGCAATAAGAGTGTCTTCCGACTCCGAGTTGTGCTCGTTTTCGTCATTCTCGTCCTCCGAAAAGGTACAGGAGAGAAGGTATTCACTAGTAGGCTCTTTGTTCTTCGCGACACCGCTGTTTCGGACATATTCCGGGATTGACAGAAGCTCGAAAGTGAAAGCCGAGTCGCGCGAGTCGACAGGAGAGCCGATGGAGGGCACTTTGCGGATGTGTGGTGGGTTAGTAGGGGTTCTGTCTGTAGGTGTTTGCAAGAACTGCGGAAACTCGAATTTCTGGAGATGGACGTCTTCCTGGTCAGAACTGTCTTGAGACTCTCTGTTGCTTCTGGCAGAAAACTGAGAGTTCTCCGAGGATTCTGAAGACCTATAGAAATCTGGCTCTGACTGTTCCTGAGGAATCGATGGCAGTCGATCATTGCATTTGAGCATTCTCATTGGGCTTTCCTGGATGGAAGGCGCCAGGGAGCTGAGGGTGGATATCGAGGTGGAGCGGGTGAACGTGGAGTTGGCTCTGCTCAGAAGCTGCGAGGCAGAGGACGTGGAGTTAACTCGGAAGTGTCTGGAGGAGGGACGCGATTCTCGTTCCGAGTTACCGACCGTGTTGGGCGAAGTTCTGAAGGAAGATACGGCCAGACACGGCAAAGACTGTTCTGGAGCCGTCTTCAGCACTTTTGGCAGCAAGCTTAGGTCGGCCTCTTTGAACGCCTTGTCCAGACCAAAGGCGTCTTTGTCACTGAGATGAGACATGTGGTTGAAGCCGAAGGGCGTGCTGATCAGCAATGGAGACTTTTTGCGGCTCTTGGCGAATTCGGGCTCAACGTCAAAGTAGTGCAGGATCTGTGCGCTCTTGGTTTGCAGGACGCGAAGGACCTTGTCCTTCTTCCTCGTGGAAGGCTCGTCCAGCCACAGCGACTCTAGTTTTGGAGAGCGAGACATGAAACGCTGGGAAGAGGCGTTTACGTGCTTTATATCTCTGTGACCAGCCAGCACGGCGCGCTTTTTCCAAAGGGGTGAAAAAAAAAAAAGATATGAACAGGGATGCATACAATAGTAGACAATAGATTTATAGCTGGCACAATAGCTGAAAATCAGGGCCTGGTAGGAGACGTTATCCGCGGCTTCTGCCAAACAACGATGTCACAGAACCCAGGAGGCCTACTGTACACCGTAGATTCTCACGCACGTAGCTTCACGGGCCACAAACTGGAGCTCCAGAGTTGTCACAAGTTTGTTGCCGAATTGGAGCGGTGGTGGCCGGGCATTTGCGAAAAATCCTTACGTGTGCTTTTTCTCAATCGGGAAAAAGTCCAAACGAGAAACCTAATAAGGAGCCTAAAGGGATATCGGCGGCTTGACGCACCAAAGTCACCGACAAACAATAGGAATTACTTTATTTCAGTTTAGCGTACGGTTCCTGGCTGGAACCATGAAGTGATCGTCGAAAGATTGTCAAAAGATCGCCAAAAGCTCCGCATTTGCTAAATACCATTAATTTACCCGTTAACCATCCAAAACCTCATAACGCTCGTCTACATGGCCACAGCCACGGCATGCACAGGACACTCACACGCACCTTTACGGTTAATCCAGTCCTTGATGCACTTGTAGTGGAAGCAGCAAAGACACTCTAGCCTGCCAACCTTGTCTCCCGCGCGGAACTCCTCAAAGCAAATCACACACTCATTATCCTCGTTGACGCGAACGTTGGCGTCCAGCGTGTACACCAGCATTCTATTGGTTTGTCTCTTGGAGTCCGGCGAGCCCGTGAACTCCAAAAAGCGCAAGCAGTTGCTGATGTGCTGTTCGCGGCCAGCGTCTGTCTCGTCAGACAGATCGGTGTTGCACACTGGACACAGGTGTTCTTCGTTGTCCAGGTCTAAGGTGTTCTCTCTAGCGGACGAACTTTTGATCATGTCGATCGGCTCGCTCCTGTGGCCCAGTCTTTCCAGCTCTGCAGCGCATTCGTCACACGTTCTGTGCGGGACGTGGGGGGTTTCCAGAAACATCTGGGACTGCGGCGACACAACGTACGTATTGGGCAAGTAGCACCTGAACACAGAAGAGCAGTCGCCACAGACCACGCGGCCACACTTCCGGCAGTGGTGTCTGCGGTTGAAAAACGTGAATTTGCGATGGCAGAAGGGGCACTCCCGCGCACTTTCATCCGGTTGCCACAGGGGAACCCCCTCCGGCACCACTCTTGCCCCTTGAGACATCGCCGATAAGCCTGATAGATGGGGAAAAATAATAATTTTCTATTAATTATTTCCATCTATCTAGAATAAGGAAAGACACCCCAGACCTAGAAATCTTCGTCCGCCCTTGCAAGATATCTATTTTTCAAGCTGTAGATCAGCGATCCTAGAACAGTTAGCGCCACGCCGCTCAGCAGGAACGTGTATGTGGAGCAGATGACAAGGTTGTTGTTTGCAGAATCCACACAGTTCCGCGTATAGTCCGCGCCGTAGACCAGGTTGAGCAGCATGTTACCGATGATGGAGCAGCACGAAAAAATCCCGTACGTGGTCCCCAGAACCTCGAACCCGTAGACTGCCGCCAGCACTGCCGGGAAAAGCGTGTATATACCCGAATTGAGAAGGGCGTTCAGCATCACAACGACGTTGACGTGCAGTCCGGGGATGGGCCAGCTGGACAGGTACACATGGCCGAGTCCGCACATAACTATCAAACCTGCGAGGATGCTGAGACGAGAGATGCGGTATGTTGCACAGACGTGATCGGTGGCCACCATAATCACGAACCTGATCACCGTCGACGTGACGGAGTAGAGCTGCAGATCGTAGTCCAGCGTGTCCTGGCCCAGAGAGGACAGGATCGAGCTCAAGTTCGTCAGAAAGAACTCTGTCGCGCCGACGGCCATGAAAAACGCCGCGTTCAGAGGGTACATCAGCGGATCTGTGAGGAAACGGGTGATTTGCTGTTGATACGTGACACTGGAGGCAGACATCTGGTCGGCGAGTTGCACGTACTCGAGGTCGTCTGTAGGAATGGCGGCCTTTGGAGAGCTCGAGCCCAGGACCGCGCTGCCTCCTGAAAGTAAGGGAGACGCGTTGAAGCTGCTGAAATGCTCTATTTCGTGCTCGTTCTTTTCCGTTCGGTCGGTGATCTTGCAACCGAGGAATGCGAAGACACTGCTTGCGCAAAGCGTGACCATAAAGAACCGCAATTTCTGTTGGAATGCCTCAGTCGGGTCCGATTCGTCAAACCAGTTTCGCAGCACGTGGATCTCGAGGAAGGTGGAAAAGGCAATCATCAGGTTTGGCGTGCCGACAGCGAGGGTTGTATAGTACTTGCCGAGGGAACGCGCGCAGTTGAGCAGACAGCTGAATAGAAGACACGTGTGGGCACACCCGATGAGAAAAAAACTGATGTACACGGGGATGGGATCAAGTACCTCGTTCTGGTGAATAAAGAGCACGGCAGAGAATCCCAGCAGATAGCAGACGAGGGCCAATAGACTAAGTATCCACGGACCTTTGAGATCGGCAATGAGCCCACAAAGAGGCGTGAATCCATTCAGACCCAGATTTTGGGCGATTATGATGCTGTTGATGGTGGATTGCGGGTATCGTAGCCGGCTCTGCAAAGGCTGGGTGAATATGGAGAAAAGTGCCAGCACACCCAGGGACAACGAGCCGAGCAAGGAGAGCCCAAAGGCCAGCGCATAAGAGCGCACACGAGGTCTCATGGGAAGAGCAAATAGGGGGACAAAAGTTTTTCTGTCGCCATGGAGCGTAAATCGTGATCGGGGGACCGATAAGCAATGATAATTCGACGCGGGTACCGATCGACGCGACGAGGCAATTTTTCGTGGCAGTATTTATGGTTAATTTATTTTACTTATCTCAAGATATGTCATTGGAAGGAGCATTGGAGGAAGAACGTCAATTAATTGCGGAGATTTTAAAGCGCCAGAAAGCCGGAAATTCCGGAACAATGAGAGGCCGCGGAAGGGACACATCTCCAGGTGCTCAGCGCGCACATTCCAGGGGCCTGTCTAGTGTGAGGAGGTCCCTGAGTCGCTCCAGCTCCAAGGACCCTGACGCTAAATATGCGATTACCGCACACGATCCATCCGAAAGACTGCGGTCGCCTTCTGGGTCACGGGTGAACGACAGCGAGGATGAGCTCAAGGGCCCGGAGAATACCTCCAGTAGCGACGAGGAGCAAATAAGCGACACAGATTCTGAATTCGAGGTCGACGACGGCGGCAAAGTGCTTCCGAACTATGCGTCTTACTCACCGGATGAAGTGCTGGATGAAAAGAACAGTTTCGGTCGCAGGCTGAGACCCAAAGACGAGCTGAGCCAGATCAATAACCGCAAGCTCGTGAAAGATGCCATTCAGGCCGAGAAAATTGACGAGCTGCTGGCAGCAGAACGGGCTCTGGCAAACGCTCAATCGATTGGACGCCACGTTCCTCATGAGTTTTTGGAAAAGATTGAGGAGGACGCGAAGAAGGTTGGCACGCATATCCATTACGACCCAGAAAAATTTTACCAGGACAACACTGGACGCAAGGAGAAATTACAGGAATACGCCATCTATAAGAAGAAGCTTGTCTCGCCTGAGTTTTTTTCTGCCACAGACGGCTTTTCGGTGCCTTACACCAGCGATGTGGAGGAGAAAGCGGACTCCGAGTTGGCTCGCACCCTGAACGAGCACGTGGTCGTGTCAGAAACTGAATCCAACCTCAGTAACCAAATGGCCATTCGGACGATCACGAGGGGACAGTTCTTCGAACTCTCCAGAAAGGACGGCAGAGAAACTCCTCAAATGTTTGTGTTGTGCATGGATTTTTCTGAGGAATCAAAATACGCTCTGGAATGGTGTATCGGTACAGTTCTAGTGGACGGGTCTGTGCTGTATATTTTGAATGTGATCGAGGATGACGATTACTCATCAATGAATCTAAACGGAATCCAGCCTAACGGAGCAAATCAGTCTGAGACCAAGGAAGAGAAGCTGTCGAAAGCTGCTCGCGAAAAGCTGCGTATCCAGAACGTTGAGGAGATCACGCGCCAGACGCTAGATCTGCTCAAACTCACCAAGTTGCAGGTCCACACCGTCATCGAGTCGTGCCACCACCCGATCCCACGCCATTTCATGGTGGAAATCATAAAACACATCTCACCGACGCTGGTGATAGTCGGCTCCCGCGGCACCTCGGCTATAAAAGGAGTGCTTCTGGGGTCGCTGTCGAATCATCTCGTGCGCAAGAGCACAGTGCCCGTGATGGTGGTCAAGAACAAGCTGAAAAAGCTGACGAAAAAGGGAAAACACTTCAGCAACAACATATCGACGCTACACAGTCTTGCCGAGGCCAAGGTCGACTGAGTGGTATTTTTTATCTAGACACCCGTGCACCAGTGTTTATCAAAGTCCCCTCATGTTGTTTTGGTTCAACATTTTCTGCGTGGAAGAGGGGATTTCTGCTCAAAAAAGGGGCTTCCACATAGCGCCATGTATATAAAGAAGTCAAACACGTTTGAATTATGCTGTTGATGTCGCATATTGCTGTTCTTCCAGCAAATTAATAAAAAGCAGCCGTCGATCGACCCGTCGCTATGAATTACTATCAGAACTTCAAGGCCACACATAACCTAATCACTTCAACCTTTATAAACTATTCATCTGCATCGCCTATTGCTGCAAACACAGTCAACAACGCTGTGGTCTTGCAAAATAAGCTTCTACAGCGTCTACACAACAGCCTTTCCTTTTTGAGGTACCAGATCCCGAACCCTCCGCAAGTGGGCCACGATCTGGATCATAGATTCGCCAAACTCGTGAACAGCCACAGGATGGAGTCACGATATTTAATTAATTTACAGAACTACCAGCCTCGCTACTATGCCGGGTCCCAGGTCTCTGTCTGGCATCGCCTGCCAGCAGTGAGAAGGTCGTCAGTTCTTGTTCTTTTGTTTCTGGGCAGACAGGGAGAGTTGCGCGTGATCCTGACAAAGAGATCGCACAAGCTCAGAAACTTTTCAGGACACATTTCTCTTCCTGGGGGCAAAGTTGACTACCCGTTTGAGTCTGAGTTTCAGTGCTCTCGCAGAGAGGCCGAGGAAGAGATTGGAATCCACCGCGACAACCGGTTTTTGAAAGAAAAGTTTGGGTATGAGGTCGAAGAGCTGAAGGTGATGCCTACTTATCTCGCAAGAACACTGCTGGGAGTGTCCCCTTGTGTGGCTTTCATCAACTGGAGCGAGTCCAAGCTGGGAAGCTTCGAAGATCAGCACATCGGCAACATCATGCTCAACCCGGGAGAGTCGTCGTCGATCTTCAGCGTGCCCCTGAAGGACTTCCTGCAGCCCAAGCCTCGCAGATACGAGCTCAAGGAGTGTCTTAAACAGTCTTACGTCAAGACCAAATGGGCCGGTATCCCGTGGAATTTACGGTCGTTCATCTTCCCTATTCACAACGACAACGAGGTCAGATGGCTGGAGGAAATTCAGGATCTGTCGTCCGAAAGCGAGGACGAAACGCAGGAGGACCACGAGTTTGGCGTGCGCACGCGAAACTGCTGGGGGCTCACGGCCAACATCCTGCACGACCTTGCCGAGATTGTCTACAATGGAGAGAAATGCTACGACAATATTCTGGGAGAGGAGGATTTAATATGGGCCTTGATCCAGAACGGCCAAATGCAAACAAAGCAGCGTTCTGAGTTTGAGAGAAAACTAATCAACAACACCAAGGGTTGTTCATTCAAGGAGTGCATGAGTTCGGAAGAGTTCATTAATCTTAAAAACCTATACAGTACTATCTAACGAACCGCCGCATTTATAACTTTCCATAGGGATCAGCGTTGGGCTCCAATCCCATATGTTCAATGTAGTGGACTGCCTCGTCGATGTATTGCTTTTTACGCTCCTTGCTCCAGCCGTACTCCTCGGCCATAATGTCGGCAACTTCGCCAACACATTGGAGCGCCATCTTGGAGTCCAAAAAGGCCAGTCTACACCGTCTGGCCAAAAAGTCCAGTGGCCGCCTGGCGTACTCATACGCCATAGAGTAACGCAGCTCTGCTCTAGTGAACGGATGATCAAAGTTGGCATAGGTGGGCGGGTTGGTCAGGCCCAACGGCTCGGCATTTTGAGGGTCCTTGAACATGCCGACAATCATGGCAGCACGGTCTCCGTAATTGCTGGCCAGATGGACGGCCATTTTGTCCGTCAGTTTATAAAGCTGTGCCAATCTAGCAGACAATGAGTCGTCGTAATTGACGGCTCCAACTAGCTTGTGGTTTCTGGTGGAACAAGGCTTCAACTGTTTGGTCTGGAACTCGGGAGTGTCTTTGATGACCTCGTTGATAACCTCCTCTGCCATTTCTCTATAAGTAGTCCATTTACCACCGGAAATGGTTATCAACCCATTCGACGAGCGATAAATCAAGTGGTTTCTAACAAGTCCCTGGGTGGAGTTGATGTTGCCTGCGTGCACCTTCTCAGGGTCTCTGACAAGCGGTCTGACACCACACCAGGCACTCAGAACATCCTCTCTTTTAACCTCGAACTTAACGTAATGTTGCAGCTCTTTCAAAATATCATTAATTTCAACCTCTGTAGCAACAGGGTTTTCTGGAATCTTTTCTAAGGGAACATCAGTGGTTCCTGCCAAAACCTTTCCTTGCCATGGCAAGAAGAACATCACGCGTCCGTCAGATGTGGAGGCGTCGAGCAGTCCCATGTCTCTGGCACAGTACCATTCCGGAAGAACGATGTGAACACCGCCAGAAGGAACCACCATCTTTGGGTGTTTCAGGATCTCGGGATCTGGCAGACCGGATGGCGACTCGTCCATAGACAGCAGCGCGTCAGAGTAAGGGCCGGTGGCACTGATGATGGCATCGGCAGCAACGAGGTACTCATTATTGGTCTCTGAGTCGACAACGCGCACACCCTTGCTCTTTCCTTCCTCGTTCTTCAAGATCTGCTTGACCTCCATGTAGTTCAAGACAGTGGCGCCGTTGTGGATAGCAGTTAAGGCAAGAGTGACGTTCATCCGGGAGTCATTAAATAATCCGTCGTGGTAGACAAGTCCACCAACAAGACCTTCTGGGTCCAGCTGCGGGTGTTTGTCCAGCAGACGGTTTTTGGTCATCATGTAGGAAAATCTAAGGTTCTGGGAACCGGCAAACAGGTCATACAGCAAGCAGCCAGCGTAAAAGTATGGCATCTGCCAGTACTTGTAGACAGGAATGGCAATAGGAAGACAGTGAGCTAAATGAGGCGCGTTGTTGAGAATGGAGGCTCTCTCATTCAAGGCCTCGATGACAAGGTCCAGCTGTGCCTTGGAGAGCTGGAAAATGGCCTTTTCTAAGTACCGGACGCCTCCATGAGCCATCTTGGTGGACTTGGAGGACGTTCCAGAGGCAAAGTCGTTCTTCTCAACCAGTAAAACATTCAAGCCGCGGAGAGTCGCGTCCAAGGCAGCGCCTGTGCCGGTAGCGCCTCCGCCCACAATGATCAGGTCAAACTTGGAGCTGGCGTCCTTGGCGGAAAAATTTTGGGCTGGAGTGCTGATAGGCTTCCCCAGTTTTTCCAGCAGGTCTTTTCTTGCGGGGGGCTTTTCTACGTCAGTCACGATGGGCGGGAACTTGCTCTTGTAGTCCACAAGCGTCTCGTTGTGTGCAGTTTGTACATAGAGGCCTCCCAGAGTCAGCGCCAAGGCTGAACAGACTCCGAATTGGCCAAATCTTTTTGCTTGTCTAAAAGACATAATAAATCATCTAAATTCGAGAAATATGAGAAAATTGCGGAATACATCTCTCCAAAAATTTCCCGTTTACCCTGCCCCTCGCATTTTTTCTTGCGCAATCACGTCCTCGCCTATCGATTGCCGAACCTCTTCCCGAAACAGTAAGTTAGTGTCGCCGTAGCCTAGACTAATTTCGTAGGCCCTCACGAGCCGGACCTCATTGATCCCGATGTTGCACTGACTCAGGCTCAGCAAACAGTTCTTGTATCTCGATATGGTGTCCTTGATGCTGGCCGAGAGCGCGTCGTTCTTGTCGCTGTATATGTCCCACGAGGACTCCTGTTCCAATCGCGTGATTGATACACTACCCTGCCCGGGCTGATAATGGCCGGAAGCCGCAGAAGACAGCTCTGCATTAGTCTTTGCGGTGGAAGCAGAGTGATCTGCAGCAGAAGAAAGCGGAGTTTTGTAGATCCAGCAGTAGCCGTTCACACCCAAAATGATGCTCACATTCCCGGGTAAGTCGTGCGAATGGTTTTTTGCTCTCACAATCAGTTTTGACGGCACCGCAACAAACACGCCGTTTCGGAGCTTTCCGTACTTCAGCGAGCGCGTATGTAGAGACGCGCTGCCGTCCGAAAACAGCGATTGCACTTCGGCGTTTAGCAGGTCGCCTTCCTTCAGAAAATTGCGCATCTGTAATTCGTCGCTCTCGGATTTCCTTCTCAAGATGCCCCCGGGAAGGTTGACAGATCCCAGCATAAGCACCGCGTCATGTTCACCTCCGATATCCACTTTCCATCTTTTCTGTCCGACATCGATGATTCTGCCCACCAGGTGATCTCCAGTCTCTGGAGAGTATCTGCCTTTAAAGGGCACCACGCTCAGCAGCTTGTTCACCTTGAGGACGGTTCCTGCAACTGAAGAGTACGTTTTGTCGTTCAAAAAGTACGTCCCGTGTCCACGCATCCACGTCGGGTCGTCCGTGATCAGCTCTCCCGGGGTGACCACCGACGAACCAGCCTTGGTGTCGCTAGCTTTTGACTTTGACGGCACGCTGATGCTGATAATCATTGTAACTGGATTTTTTTATTTTTTTATTTTTTTTTTTTTTTTTTGCACCTGAAAAAAGCGTTACTTTACTTCACTAGGGTGTAAAATAGTATATAAGCGTTCTGGTCTCCAATTTCCTCCTCATACCGACAAACGCTCAGCCTGTCGTCATCACACAAAACCCATTGACCGCTGCGGTGAATGACGTTGGTGTAGTGGCCAGACCCTATGGAGTCGCCCAAATGGTCTATCCAGCCACTCAGCTTGTAACTGTATGCAATCTCTTTATCGTGTCGTTTGATCTTGAAATTCAATCTCTTGGGGAATCGCAATTTAATGTTCAGTTTGTTCTGGTATGGATCAAATTTGGCGAGGTAAATGGTCAAAATCTGGGGTAATTTGATGAAGTTGGACGATCTGTACGACACGTTCGGCTGGCTCAGGAGCGCTTTTAGCTCAGCGTAGCGGCCTGTCTGGTAGTCGTCCATTGTAGCGTGCTCCTCTTTCTTGAATTTGAAAAACCCTCGTTTTTTTGATTCCTGAGAAGAGACCATCTCCTCGAGCTGTTTCAACTCAGCACTTAATTTCTCGCATTTTGGGCAGTTCCACGCGTTCCCGAGCCGTTCAGAGAGTTCTTCTGGCTCGAGATTTCGTAAGATGAGATCGTTCAAGTAGTATTCGTTTCCATTCAGATTCAGGTTCATCATCGACAAGTTATCGTAATTCAGCGAAACATAGCCACAACGTCCACACTTGAGCTTAGTTTCTTGTTGGATTTGGAATAACTTGTTGATTGGAGAAACTCCCTCCGACTTCAGCAGCTGTGAGTTCCAAGACAGATACTCCTTGCTGCTACCATAGTCTGTAAATGGGTCTGTTTCAGGGTTATTAGTCTTGAAGCTTTGGCGGTTAGCGGGCGAATCATCTATGCGCAGCTCGTCATGCAGTCTGTTGAGAATGAAGTACAAGAATTGAGAGGTGTCTTGCTGTTCATGGGGGATTTTGAGATCTGGCCTCAAATATGAGCATAGCCTCACGAAGTTGTTGGGACGAACAACCGCATGGCCGTTGGCATAGAAAAACTCGTTAAACAATGCGTAGAATGCGAGGACGAGCGAATTATCGTTAGACCGCAGAATCGGCTGGAACCTCGATGGGTCCATCATGAAATTGCGGAAGTAGGACAGATTGAATAGGCACTGGACCATAGAGTTGATGTAACACGTGCTTCCGTAGTTGTGAAGTCTCACCAAAGGAAGAGAGAGACCGGGGGGAAGAGACGGAGTGGAGCTGCGGAAAGATGTGGCAGGCTTGGATGGCGTGGAAATGGTTCCTGTAAATGTTTTTGCGCTGTCGTCACCAAAAAGCTGAAGCCAACGCTCAAAGCCTCCTTCCAGAGTCCTTGGTTCCACCTTAATATTTCCCCATCTTTTCCGTTTCTCGATAGCGCTTTCCACTAGCTTGAACACGTGATTTGCGCCTTGTGACTCGCCAAACACGACGACAAAAGTGTACTGGTTGAAGGACGCAAGTTTCTCCGAGAAGTCTATGTTTCCTACCTGAAGACAGAAAACAAGGTCCTCAAAGTCATGTACTGCTTGCACGCTTTCCGGCTGGATGTTGATAATGTCGTCATGTTCTATGTGCGATTTCAGGAACTTGTCAAACGTTCGAACATCTATCAGAAGTATCTTCTCCTGGAGATCAAATAAACGTGTTGATAGCTCGTCGCAATCAAAACTGAGTTGGTCTGCCACTGGATACAGATCCTGATTTATGTCTGACTCAATAATTCGCGACGCTTCCTCCACTGCAAGATCCAATAGCTCCCTGTATTTACTCTTGTTCAATAGTTGTTGTGATACGTTGTTCAGGGTCCCTATGAATCCCTGATCCTCTTGATTTCTGACGTCGGCGCGGTCCAGTATGTATTTGAGTATGAAGTAGTTGTAGATATATAGTTGGATCACCATACTAGGGTCCTCGAAGTCTGCCAGTGCTTTGAGACCGTTCAGATAGTTAGTTGAGATCTCTATCCAGTCGATGATCACCAAATCTGTAGCACGTGAGTTGAGGTGCTTGTCTTCACTTAGAAGAGAGCGTGATCGGAGCCTATCATTGCGCTGAACAATCAATTGGAACTGGCATTGGACGATGGATTTAATTTCCTCTAGTGATAATGTGTCCATAAAAAAATAAATGGATACTAATTCGGTTCAACGCCTGCGAGTGACTAAAAAAATATTAGGAAAAAAATACAAAATATAACCAGCCGGATGACCAGAAAGGCCACCACCAATATGATCGACCATCTGGCCGTGACAGAGTCGTTGGGGTATAAGGTTTTCCGAAAACAGACTCGATCCTTATGGACCGACGAAAAGGACAAGGCTCTCAAAACAGCGGTCATTGAACAGTTTCTCAAACAGGAAAACCTGGAAAAGTACGATAAACAGCGCATAGAGCCCGATCGCATAGATTGGGCGGCCATAGCCGAGATTTTCCCAGAATTCAGTGCGATGCGCTGTCGCAAGAGATGGGTGAACGCACTAGACCCTCGACTGCGACGGGGAAAGTGGACTCCAGAGGAGGACCAGCAACTGTTGAAGGCATATCAGGAGGTGGGGCCTGTTTGGGCCAAAGTGTCAGAGCGAGTCGAAGGAAGAACAGAGGACCAATGCTCCAAGCGATACATCGAAGTCTTGAACCCAGAGAACACCGACAGAACAAAGCCATGGAGCCTGGAAGAGGACTTGCAGCTGATCAAAAGCGTCCAGGTCCATGGAACCAGATGGAGAACTGTGGCCACTGCGATTCAGGGACGTCCGAGTCTGACGTGTAGGAACCGCTGGAGAAAGATCATGACCGACGTTGCGCGCAAACAGGCCTCGAGGCCGATCATGGTAGCCGTGGGAGCTATAGAGGCTACAGGGGACGACACTGTTCAAATAACGAATAAGGTGCCAAATCCAGAGCTTCATCATCTTCCTCACAAGCTGCCGCAAGTGAGTTTCCAGCGCCAGCCGCTTGCCGGGCCAGCAAACGGGCTATCCCCCGGCAGATCGAGCACGGAATGGCGATTTGACATGCTGGATCCAAAGACCAACGAGCCAATCAGAGACTTCCACGGGACTATACAGTCGCAGGAACAAGTGCACCAAATCATCGATCTGGCCAAGTTCAACGGCGTCAACATCACCATCCACCAGCACATTCATCACCACTACAGTCCCCAGACATCTGCTTTGGATCCAACCACGTCTCTGAACAGATATTCGCACTTCAACTATCTTCCGCCGTTGACGGAGGTCCCAAAGCTCACGTCCCACTCGCCAAGGGACAACACCACTGAGTCGAACGGAAGCAGCACGCAAATGCGGTGTGCAAAGAGCACCCCTCCTCACACCGACGACGAAGACGAGGACGTCGAAGAGGATCAGGATTTTTGGGAATCCATGAGATCGCTGACGCAGCCCACGGCGCCGACCGTGTCAAGCAAACCCGTCTCGCGACACCACCCTCTGCATTACCAGGACAAGTACGTCACTGAAGTGACAGAGTACTCTCACGGGGTGGCGGAGTCACGTGCCGAGGAAGAGGAAGAGGAGCTAGATGACGACTACGGATACGGCTGGTCGTACATGTCTCGAAAGAGCCAGGCCAACAGCGAGAGGTACGTGATGCCGTTCAATCCGTCGTGAGGGGCGAAGGGCGAAGGGCTATAACTTAATACTATTACCTGAACTAGATAGATCAATCTACCGCGAATCACTTTCTTCTGAAGAAGTAGGAGCTGGACATGAATTCGGTGCTCTGGTTGTACAGGTAGTCACCGAGCTCCAGGTACTTGTACGCGTATTTCTCGAGCTCTGGCTGATTCAGGAGCTTCACGTTGGGCTCGATTCCAGTATTTTTCTTGACACCGGCGAGGAAGCCGGCCAGCAGCGCCAGGTCCACGGAGACGTGTATCGCTTTAGATATCTGGGGTTAGTGGCACTGATGGTATTTTACTTACGAAAGCCATGAGACGAATGGAAACAACGATAGGGGTCAGGAGAACTAGTCAAAAAAATGAGAAAAAATACCACCACAGCCAACAAGAGCAGCTGATATGGGATTCGCCAGACGCGTGGAAATTTAGATGCAGTTTGCTCACCGCCGAGCTGTGAGAGAAACAGCGTCGTAACGTTAGTCAGCTCTTGATTGCGGGCTTCGTAAAGTCTCCGGCCGGCTCGCTCCTCGCTCGTAGTGAAGTAATTTTTTTTAATTTTCTATCTTCTCGAAAACATGTCAGGACCGCCTAGATTCCAGCGCTATGACAAGCGCCATTACAACCAAGAGTACTACGACGACCGCTATTACTACCACAGTGACTACTATGGCCAAGATCAGCGATATTACTACGACGAGCCACGACTTCCGACGGGTCCCCGTGCGACCTCTGCACCCAGAGGCACTGTTCAACCGTCCTTTAAGCGAGCCAAAGTCAGCAACAAGAATGTAATGGAGGACGAGGAAGAAGATGCTTGGCAGCCAGAAATGCTCTTCATGCGTCACGTGGACATCAAGGGCCCTGTTTTCGAGCGAATCAACCAAGTTGGAGAAGGAACATACGGAAAAGTGTACAAGGCGAAAAACAAAATTACCGGGCAGCTGGTCGCGCTCAAGCGTTTGCGACTAGAATCCGAGCGCGAGGGATTTCCAATCACTGCGAGCCGGGAGATCGGCCTCCTGCAGTCTTTCGACCATCCCAACATCGTTGGGCTGAGCGAAATGATGGTGGAAAAAAACGCCGTCTACATGGTTTTCACGTACATGAACCACGACCTGGCGGGCATTCTTCAGCAGGCAGAGATTGTGATCAGCGACGGCGAGAAGAAGAATATTTTCAAACAGCTTTTGCGCGGTATCAACTACTTGCACACCAAAAAAGTCATTCACAGAGATATAAAGGGCTCCAACATCTTGCTGGATGAGAAAGGAGTGCTCAAGATTACAGACTTTGGGCTTGCGCGACGTATGAAGAACATCAACAACAATGTGGAGTCGCCAAACTACACCAATAGAGTCATCACCTTGTGGTATCGTCCGCCTGAGATATTACTGGGGTCTACCGATTATGGACGGGAGGTGGACATTTGGGGCATCGGGTGTTTGCTGATTGAGCTATTCACACGACACGCTATATTCCAAGGAACAGACGAGGTTGACCAGCTCTGGAAAGTGTACGATATCATGGGAACGATAACCACCGAGGAATGGCCCGACTGCGATAAGTTGCCCTGGTTCGAGATGCTGAGACCGAACAGCCACAAGCCGTCGCTGTTCCGATCCAAGTTCGGGTCTCTTTTGAGCCCGCAGTGTTTTGACCTCGCCACCAAACTGTTGTCGAAAAACCCGAAAAACAGAATCAGCGCGTCAGAAGCTCTAAGACATCCGTATTTTGTGGAGGAGCCACTAGAACAGAAACTACTATTTTTGACCAAGATCGAGGGCGAATGGCACGAGTTTGAGGCAAAGAAAAAGCGCAAACTGTTGCGGGAGGCAAAACAAAAAGAGATGGCAAACATGTCGGGCTAAATTTGAGCGGTAAAGATATATAACCCAGATTTGGCTTTTCAAAAAGATCCACTGCATTTCTTGTAAACCACCACGATGAAACATATTCCGTTGCTTATGTTGGGCCTCGGCCTCCAAATTGCCAGCTGCCAGGAGTCCAACAATAGCCATTCTGCTGCTACAATTTATAACGAGGAGCATTTTGGTCATCAATTTTCTGAGTGTGCTTCCCAAGTTTCTAGCGATCTTGGTGGATCAGCATTGGACCTCAATGGCGAAGACCGTTGTCAGTTGCACAGGGCCGTCTTTGATAAATGCTCTGGAGACTTGAAACACACCGATCCGATGTACTACTTTGTTGCGAGACTGTTGAAGGACGAGTACTGCAGGGTGGGACATTCAGGTTCTGCCGAAGTCGCCGTCGGCGGAAGGGTTATCGACCATATTGTGCGGATGCTGAGCAAGGGGACACGGAGAGACTTGAAGGTGTTTTTCGAGGCCACTGAGGTCAGTTCGTCTGCACGGTTGACCAAACGCGGCAACCCGTTCGAGTTCAAGATCAGTGAGGACAGAAAGTCAACGAACAACGCTGAACAGAAGAGCTCGGAGGATGAAGCCAAAACCCGGGCCCTGGAGAGGTACATCAACCGACGCGTCGAAAAAGCCAAGGCCGAGAACTTAAAACTGCCCGACGGCAGAGTGGTCGACGAGGCCAGAAAGGTGACGAGCGTCTCGAAGCCAAATATGAAGACCACTCAAACGGACCAAAAGCTGAGACCAACGAGTCCTCCAAAACCAAAGAAGCAGGGAAAGAACAGCGGCAAGCAAGCCCAGCCTGCTACTCCACTGACCGGTCGTCTCCCAGAGCCCGTGAAAACCGCCCCGGCCAAGGCAGGCAACCTCGGAGTTTCTGACCATGGCATCTTTGACAAAATTCGCGACAAGATTGCAAAGCACACGGGCCATCTTGACGGCGACGACTGCGACGACGAAAGTCCTCCTCCCGAGACCGTGGAGGTGACGACGACGCAGATTAAAAAAAAGGTGCGCACCGAGACAGAAACAGAGACAGAGTACGACACGGAAACAGCAACAGACACTACTACGGTGTACAAGATTACGCATCTCCCAACCACGATGTACCAGTTTCTGACGAAGCACAAGTGGGACCTGCTCACGAAGACAGAGTACGAGTACGTCACCGACACCGAGTACGACACAGTCACCAAAACGTGTTTCGATATCGAGACCAAGACAGAAAGAGAGCTGGACATCGAGCATACGACCAAGACGGTTGCGAAAAAGACAATCACCATGTATGACACAGACACGGAGACAACGACAGAGACAGAAATCGAGTGCAAAACCACAACCAAGGAGAAGACCAAGACGGTGCCTACGACACAGCTGTCCACGACCACACAGACGGCCACCACTACGCAGACTACCACCGTCACAACGTCCATTACCGGTTCCGGCTCGGTCACGTTGACGTCGACCGTGACGCTGTTCAACGAGTTCACGTCGCGTTTCTGTTCAATTCTCGGCCGCCTGGGTGTCGACTGTCCGTCGATTCCGCTGCCCACTCTGGGGGCCATGCAGCTGCAACGGCGTGATTTCGCAGAGCCAACGGGAATTGTCTCCACGGACCACTTCAGCGTGCCGGCATTGGCTGCCACAACTGCCGCCGAGGCCAGCAGGCTGTACACGACGGCCAGAGTCTCCGCATTCACAAACACCACCCTGCAGACTAGCACGGTGGCCGCCTCTTCAACGGCTCGAAACGCGACGTTCCACAACGCTGCCGGTGCGGCGCCGGACGGAAGCTTGTCTGTCGTGGTGAGCGTGGTTGGTTTCGCATATGCCGTTCACTGCTTCATGTTCGCGTGATCCGTTTTCCTTTCTCATTGCTTTTCTAAAGCTACTTAGCTCTGCGCACGGAATAGACGTGTGCTGCTCAATAAAATTTTCAGAAAAAATCGAATCTCTATTTCTTTTCTTCACCCCGATGGCTTCTATTGGTATCGCTTTTGGTAACTCCACGTCGTCGATCGCTATAGCCACCGACGACGGCAAGGTCGATGTCATTGCTAACCCTGACGGTGACCGTTTCATCGCCTCTGCGCTTTCGTACGTGGGAGAAGACGAGTACCACGGTGCGCAGGCCGAGGCCCAGCTGGTGAGAAACCCTGCCTCGACCGTGGTCAACTTCAGGGACTACATTGGTCTCCCCTTTGACAAGATCGACCCTACCTACTCCCAAAAGTCTGCACATCCGATCAACCTGGACGGGAAGACTGGCTACTCCATCAATGGCAAACAGGTCACCGTGGACGAGATCGCCACAAGACACCTGAAACAGATCAAGGCTGCTGCCGAGGACTACATCGGAGAGAAGATCGAGGGCGCTGTCATTGCGGTGCCAACGAACTTCTCAGAGGAACAGAAGGCCGCTTTGAAAAAGATCTCCAGCGACGCAGACATCAAGGTTCTGCAGCTAATCAACGAGCCTTCTGCTGCTCTGCTGGCCCATCTGGTTGCCAAGGACGCTCTGGACAAGGACAAGTTGTTTGTGGTTGCTGACTTTGGTGGCGTGCGCTCGGACGCTGCTGTTGTTGCCGTGAGAGGCGGTATTCTCACCATCCTCGCCACTGCTCACGACTACGAGCTCGGTGGTGACAAGCTGGACGACTGCTTGGTGGAGTACTTTGCCAAGGAGTTCCAGAAAAAGTACAAGGTGGACCCAACGACCAACGCCAGGTCGTTGGCCAAGCTGAAGAGTGCGTGTATCATCACCAAGAAGACGCTTTCCAACGTCCAGACCTCGACGATCTCGATCGACTCGCTTGCCGAGGGCTACGACTTCCACTCCACGATCAACAGGCTGCGGTTCGAGGTTGCAGGTCGCTCGGTGTTCACGAGAATGTCTGCCTTTGTTGAGTCTGTGGTTGCCAAAGCGGGCCTGGAGACTCTTGACATCGACGAAGTGCTGCTTGTGGGCGGTTCTTCGAACATCCCGAAGGTTGCCGCCAACATTGCGGCCGTGTTCCCGGAATCCACCGTGGTCAGCGCTCCGTCGACCGACAGCAAGCTGTGCAACCCGAACGAGCTGATCAGCCGAGGCGCTGCGCTGCAGGCGTCGATCGTCGCGTCGTTCGACGTCGAGGAGATCGAGGAGTCGACGCAGCCCGTGGTGACGAACACGCAGCACATAAGCAAGCAGATCGGCATCAAGACCGGCGACGGCGAGTTCCTGACTATCATCTCGAGAGAGACCGCGTACCCGATCAGAAAGAGCGTGACCTTGAAGGCCGGAGCGGACGACGTCTTTATCGAGCTCTACGAGGGAGAGCGCAGGGTCAAGGAGACCGTCGTCGAGGCCGAGAAGTTCTCTGACGACGAGGACAGCGAGGAGGAGGAGCCGGAGATTGTGAGGAGCGTGTATTACGCTCCGGGCACGCTGCTGGCGCAGATGGCTCTGAGAGGTGTTGGCGAGGGCAGCTCCGTGGAGGTGATTGTGAACATCAACAAGGACGGCAAGCTGCAGCTGGTGGGACGCAGCGGCGACAAGGTCGCCAAGGGAGAAATATAAATAATAGACCCGAGTAGTTCAATTGCACCCTGAGATTGGGCTGCGGCTCATAAAACCAGAAACAGTGCCAGAATTTTTCCATGGCTCAGCCTGCATGAGTTGCGCTGTGCATGGCTGTATCACATCAATTTTTTGACGGGGCGTCTAGACTCCACCCCCGCTTGGAGGGCACCCTTTTTTGAACATGCCAAGACTGATTTCCATTCTTGCAGCCAATCAGCTCATGTGGCGAAATTAAGTCATGGCCAATATAAAGACACATTTGTACCCTGATTTATTTACACTGCCCTATGTCTACTGCCCTGAGCTACTATCGCAGAAGGGTCTCTTTCAATAATCTCGATGTTGACATCATCAACGACCAGTCAGTACCCAACGAGCCTCCAGAGTCGGTATCCAAGCCCAAGCCGATTCTCAAAAACAGGGATCAGGTGCTCACCGCGGGCGGCGACCGCTACCGCAAGAAGAGCCTGGTCGAGATGTCGGACGAGGAAATCCTGCAGCTGGACTCGCAGTTTGCCACGAAACGGGTCAACATCGACGACTTCAAGTTCGAAACAGACTACCCGCTCGTGGTGGACCCGTTCAGCCAGTCCAAGCTCGCGCGCAAGACCTTCCACAAGCTCGCCACAGACTACCCCACACGCCCCACCGTCCGCACGAGCTCGCTGTGTTTCAGCTTCCAGCACCCCGACTGGTCGCAGAAAATCAGCAACAACCGCTTTTACCTCGTGCTGATCTCGTCGAAGGCGTCGTCGCTGGGCGCGATAGACTACTACCTAGACTCCAAGGCCAGGGACGGCGATAACGTGATTATTTGCTGCTCCATCAACGACGAAAAGTATAAGGACGAGTACCTGCCGGAATTGATGGAGATCATCCTCGACAAGTTCTACAAGCACGACGCGGATCTCAAGGTGCAGATCAACTTTGAGTTCTGCCGCAGCGTCAACTACCTCAGAGACATCCTCAACTTATACAACCCGACCGCAATCCTGGTCGGGTCACCGCATAGAAAACGTCGATTCGGGTCGATCGTCGGCCTCAAGTCTATTATCCCGATAGTGTACGTAAACGAGGGCTACGAGGTGCAGCGCCCGCAGCTCATCGACCGCACCAACGGCATCCAGTTCAAGCAGCCGTTTGCAGAAAACAGCAACACGCCGTTCATCACGATTGACGAGGCAGACGAGCCGGACATGCGCGAGCCGCAGAGCAAGAAGTTCTCCCTGGAGTCGTGTGCCGTGGAGTCGACCACGTCGTCGTCGTCTGCGTCGGTCAGCTCCATGAACAGCTTCCGCAAGTTCAAGACCAACGAAACGTCGCACTCGCTCCTGTTCGAGAAGCTCAACGACCTGCCGTACATCGACGACCACGAGAATTCGTCCGAGGGTGCCACCAGAGTGAAGTCCATGCTCGGTGACGACGACGCGCAGTCTGCGGTCAAGGTGCTTTCGAACAGCAGCGGGCAGTCGCCGTACGGCTCGATGTCGCATGCGGCCTCGGGCCCTGTGGGGGGCCCTGTGGGGGGTTCCAACAGCAACAAATTGTCGCTGGCGTCGATCGACCCGGCAACAGGCATGGCTGCGCCGCATGCGCTGGGCAAGACCAAGTCCAACAGCATTGTGGACCAGTACAACCGTCGCATGAGCGTGCAGAAGAAAGAGGAGCCTGCGGCCAAAGTGCCCGTCAGCGTGCCGGCGCGGAAGGCGCCGCCTGCACAGACCAAGCAGGACCCTCCGCCAGACACGCTGCCCAAAAAGGGCTTTCTCAAGAAGCTGATCCGGTTTTAATAAACGTCGCTATATTAGGGGCTACTCATAGTTGCTAGGATATCTGTAGTCGGAGATCTCGTAGAAGTTCTCCTTGATGGCCCGCGGAGTCACGAATCTCGACAGAATCGACGCAGAGCCGGCCTTGTCGTTGGTTCCCGACATCCTGCTTCCGCCGAACGGCTGCTGGCCCACAACAGCTCCCGTGGACTTGTCGTTGATGTAGAAGTTTCCGGCGGCGTATCTGAGCTCCTCCTGCACTTTTCTGATGACTTTGCGGTCGGACGCGAAAACAGAGCCTGTCAGACCGTATTTGGTAGCAGAGTCGATCTGCGGCAAAATCTGGTCGAGGTCTTCGTAAACGTAGACGGTCAGTAGCGGGCCGAAAAACTCGGTGGTCATGAACGGGTGCACGGGATTTGAAGTCTCGACAATCGTCGGCTTGACAAAGTAGCCCTCGGACGCGTTGGCAAGACCGCCGCACAGCAGCTCGAGCTCGGAGTCGTCCTTGATGGAGTCGATCGCCGTGCTCAGCTTGTCGAACGAGTTTTGGTGGATCACAGGGCCCATGAACCGGTGCAGGCCGTTGGTGGCAGAGGTGTTGGTCGGCACGATCTCGTTGGTGTGCTGCACGAGCTGTTTTTTGAACTCGGGCCAGATCTGGGCGTCCACGTACAGCCGCGACGTGGCTGAGCACTTCTGGCCCTGGTACTCGAACGCGCCGCGGACCGTCGACAGAACAGCATGGCTCACGTTGGCAGACTTGTCCACTAAGTGGAAGTTCTTGCCGCCGGTCTCGCCGACAATCCTTGGGAAGTCCCTGTACTTGCCCTGTGCGGTGTTGTTGGCAATCTTGGCCCAGATGTCGCCGAAGACCTGCGTCGAGCCGGTGAAGTGCAGAGCACTGAAGTTTCTGTCCGCAAGAACAGAGTTGGTGATCATCTCGGGGTCGCCCGGAATGAAGTTGATCACGCCTTCGGGCAGCCCGGCCTCTCTCAGAACCTGGAACATCGTGTAGTTGGACAGCACGGCGTACTGCGACGGCTTCCAGACCACGGTGTTGCCCATCAGGGCCGGCGCCCCGACCAGATTGGCAGCAATGGCCGTGAAATTGAACGGGGTGACCGCGTACACGAATCCCTCCAGCGGCCTGTACTCAACGCGGTTCCAGACACCGCTGCTCGACTCCGGAGGCTGCGTGTTGTACAGCTGGTGCGCGTACTTGATGTTGAACCGGAAAAAGTCCGCCAGCTCTGCCACCGCGTCGATCTCTGCCTGGTACACGTTTTTGCCCTGGCCGAGGATCGTGGCGGCCAGCATCCGGTGTCTGTACTTGGTGGAGATGAGGTCAGCCGCCTTGTAGAAAATGGCGGCTCTGTCGTCGAACGGGGTGTTGAGCCAGTCCTTCTTGGCCGTCTGTGCTGCGTCGATCGCCTCTCTGACGTCTTTTTCCGTCGCGGTGGCGTACTCCGCAATCACCTGTTTGTGGTTGCCCGGATTGACTTGCGTCTTGAGGTCTCTGTCGTAGTACTCCTTGCCGCCAATCACAAGGGGGATCTTGGCCGTCGTGTCGGAGAACGAGAACAGCTCGCTCTTGAGCAGGTCCCAGTCGAGCTGGTCGTGCTTGGCGAACGGCTTGACGATCTCATTTGTGACGTGCTTCGGCGTCTGGAAGTAGGCCAGCTGGGCCACTCCACGTCTGTGCAACAGCAGGAAAGAGCGCATGGAAAATTGTGAGCTGGGGGCGAGGCCCTTGTATTTATATAGGTAGCTGCAGTGTAGCTGATTTTTTTTTTTTGCGGAAGTCGCTGCCGAAATGCCATGCCGGGAAGTCCTCAGCGAGCAAAGCCAAAGAGCCAGGAAAAGGCTGTGGACGGGTGCGACGCTGGTGTTGGCCTTCTCGTAGCCCGTCGACAGCGGCTGGACTGGGTCCGTCCGCGGCCCACCTGGTTGCCTGCCTTTTCGCAAGCATGCACGAAATATTTTCACATGTCAGTACCCCACATTCTGCCCTTTATATTCCTGCCATCCCGCTGTTCTTCTACATGTCGCCAAGCTACAAAATCGTCAACCAGGTGTTTGTGATCGTCCTGGACGACCCGCACACCAGAAACGCGCTCACGATCCCCCAGTTTGTGCAGCTCGCCGAGCTGCTCGAGATGGCAGACAAGCACCCGCACACAACAGCCACGCTTGTCGTGGGCAGGGGCCCGATGTTCTCTGCGGGAGCCAACATCAAGACGGTGGCCGCGCTGAAAAACAAGAGCAGCAGCGAGATCCTCAGCGAGATCAGCGCGAAAAACCTGTACTTAGTGCATCTGTTCACGTCGCACCGCAAACTGCTCGTGGTCGGGCTCAACGGGCCGGTGATCGGGCTCACGGCGTCGCTCGTCGCTTTGGCAGACCTCGTGTACGCACAGAACGACAGGGTGTTCATGTCGTTCCCGTTCACGAACATTGGTCTCACGACCGAATGCGCGGCAGCGGTGTCGCTGCCGCACCGGCTGGGGTTGAGCACGGCACTGGAACACGTGCTGCTGGCAAAACCGATGTCGGCAGCCAAGTTGCGCGAGCTTGGGCTCGTCAACCAGGTGTTTGATGTGGACGACTGCGACGCGTTCAACGACCAGCTGGCAAAAATGCTCAACAAGGAGCTGGACGGTCTCGACCGCGACACCATCTTCGCCAACAAGCGGCTCATGCGCCACACGTTCGACACACACGTGCGCGCGCAGGCGCTCCAGGAAACCATGTCCGGCGTAGCGGACTGGACGGCCAACCGGCCGCAGACGGCGTTCGACGAGATCGTGGCCGGCAAGCGCAAGCACAAGCTGTGATCACTGCACACGCACACGCTCGTCCCAGTCGGCCTCGTAGTCGTGGCTCTCCTCGTCTGCGGGCTCGGAGATCTGCCGCAGCGTCGGCGCGTCCTGCGCGGCCTCGAGCTCGTCGCCCAGTTTGAGGTTTTTGGTGGCGTTCCAGCTGGTCATGATGGCGACGGCCATGATCAGAATGGCAAGGATGCCGGACCGCGTGAGCGCCCACCGGAGCGTCTCGACCTCGGACCGCAGCCCGGAGATCAGCTCCGAGATGATTTTGTTGTTGAGGTCCTGGTTTTTGATGTTGAGTCGCTTGAGCTGTAGATTATTTTCGTGCTTAAACTGGTTAAGGATCATTTTGATGGAGTTGTCGTTGAGCTGCAGTCGCGACGTAGTCTCGTCCTGCAGCAGGTTGAACATTCGTTTCAGCCCGATCGACGAGCTCGTGAGCTCCGTAAGCGAGATCTCGCGGTAGTTGCGCGTCTCCACCAGCAGCTCGCTGTGCGCAGCCTCGAACAGATACACCTCGTTCTCCAGGTCGACCTGCGGCACGAACTTGTTGTTGAGCCACGTTAGCTTCTGCTTCAGAACAGCCTTGACCAGGCCCAGCACCACCTCGCTCTCTGCCTCGCTGAACCCGCTGTCCCGCAGCTGTCGCCACACCTTGTATGTGTCCAGAAACGACTCCATCCGGATCTGGTCCGCGTCGATCTCGGCCGCTGCGTCCGGCAGCTCGTGCTCGTCCAGAATCGGGATCAGGTGGTCCAGCTGCGACGCCACGCCGTCGACCTTGTCCGGCGTTTGCAGGTCGAACTTGAAGTTCTGGTCGTCATTTATCTCGTTGATCACGTCGACAATGTTCGGCCCGGCCGTCGCCTGGTTGTCCTCGCTGTTGGCATTGAACAGGTTGGCGTTGAAGAAGTAGTTCTTCCGCGCCGGCCTGGCGAAACTGACGCTGCGTCTCGTCAGCAGTCGCCGCAACATGGAGGTCGGTGTAAGGATTATGGGAAAGAAATTAGGTGAAATAATTAAGTACATTTTATTTTCTCTTTTGCATGTCCGACCTGCTCAACAAGCCGCGCGCAGAGCTGTCCGAAAAAGACCTGCAGGACCTCGAGGACTACGAGTTCAACAATGGACCGCTCCGGCTGCTTACGCAGGCCATCCAGAACAGCGCGACAGTGCTGATCTCGCTGCGAAACAACCACAAGCTCCTGGCCAAGGTCAAGGCCTTCGACCGCCATTGCAACATGATCCTCGAGAACGTCAAGGAGATCTGGAGCGAGACCAACCCGGACGACAGAAACAAGAAGATGATGCGAGAACGGTTTGTGTCCAAGATGTTCCTCAGAGGCGACTCTGTGATTGTCGTTCTCAAGCACTCTTGACTGGCTTGCTGAGGTAAGCGTGTATAGTAGAAAAAAATTCATAGAAAATAATTCGATCAATGTTCCGACGACTAGTCCCGCGACCCCGGCTGTGGCCGTCCTGCAGACGCCTCAGCTCACACAGGGAGTACCTCAACTACGAAATTGACAAGGTCAACAACCCGATCCGTGTCCCGAGAGACCAGCTTGCAGAACGAATGGCCAAGATCCCGCTGAAAAACTACAGGAACTTCATCATTGTGGCCCATGTCGACCACGGAAAGTCCACCCTGAGCGACCGGTTGCTCGAGCTGACCGGCGTCGTTGAACCGGGCCAGCACAACAAACAGATTCTCGATAAACTTGACGTGGAAAAGGAAAGAGGCATCACCGTCAAAGCCCAGACCGTGTCGATGATGTACCATTACAAGGGCGAGGACTACCTGTTCCACCTGGTGGACTCGCCGGGCCACGTGGACTTCCGCCTGGAGGTGTCGCGGTCGTACGCGTCGTGCCAGGGCGCGCTGCTACTCGTCGACGCGTCCGAGGGAATCAAGGCGCAGACCGTCGCCAACTTCTACCTCGCGTACTCGATGGACCTGCGGCTCCTGCCGGTCATCAACAAGATCGACCTCGACACCGCCAACGTGGCGCGCGCCGAGGAGCAGATCGCCGCCGCCTTCGAGCTACCGGCACGTGACATCGTGCACGTGAGCGCAAAGACGGGCCAGAACGTCGAGTATCTGCTGCCGGCGATCATCGAGAAGATAGCACCGCCCGTGCACTGTCGTCCAGACGCGCCGCTGCGCGCGCAGATCGTCGATTCGTGGTACGACCCGTACGTCGGGGTCATCCTTCTCGTGAACATGGTGGACGGTGTTATCAGGAAAGGCACCCGGATAGAGAGCTGTCGCACGAGAGAAAAGTACGAGGTCAAGGAAGTCGGCATCATGTATCCCGAGCGCACGCCTATGCCGCAGCTGGTCGCGGGTCAGGTTGCGTACGTGATTCCCGGGTTCAAGGATCCGAACGACGCGTTTGTCGGCGACACGCTTATCCTGGCAAACTCTGGCGCAGAGCCGTTGGAGGGCTTTGAGGAGCCGAAGCCGATGGTGTTCGTGGGCGCGTTCCCGGCAGAAGGGTCGGATTTCAAGAAGATGGAGGAGAGTCTGCAGCATCTTTTCCTGAACGACCGGTCGGTGACGATCCAGCGGGCCACGTCGAACGCGCTGGGGCAGGGCTGGCGGCTCGGGTTTCTTGGGTCGCTACATGCGTCGATTTTCAAGGAGCGGCTCGAAAAAGAGCACGGCAAGAATCTCATTATTACGTCGCCAACGGTGCCGTACAAGGTGCACTACACAGACGGCACGGAGCAGATCGTGAGCAACCCGGACGAGTTCCCGGACGGCACGCAGAAACAGAAGATCCGGTACTTCAGCGAGCCGTACGTGGAGGCCCTGATGACGTTTCCGAGCGAGTACACGGGCACGGTGATGACGCTGTGCGACAACAACCGCGGCGAGCAGGTGGACATGCAGTACTTGTCGAACGGGCAGGCGTTGGTCAAGTATCTGCTGCCGACGTCGCAGCTGATCGACGATTTCTTCGGGAAGCTCAAGAGCGCGACGCGGGGCTACGCGTCGCTCGACTACGAGGACCATGGGTACCGGCCCTCCGACATCCACAAGCTGGAGCTGCTAGTAAACGGCGACGGCGTCGACGCGCTGTCGATGGTGCTGCATAAGAGCCAGCTCGAAAAGACCGCGCGGCGAGCGGTGCAGCGGCTCAAGGAGTTTCTGCGGATCCAGCAGTTCGAGGTGATTATCCAGGCCAAGGCCAACAACCGCATTATTGCCAGAGAAACCATCAAGGCGCGCCGCAAGGACGTGCTGGCGAAACTGCACGCGGCAGACATCTCGCGGCGCAAAAAGCTGCTGGCCAAACAGAAAGAGGGCAAGAAACACCTCAAGGCCGTGGGCCAGGTCCGCATCTCGTCGGACGCGTACCAGTCGTTCCTGCGCAAGGACTGATGTAAATAGTATTATCGTATTAGTGTATCAATTGCTCGACCAGCGCGCGGATCTTGTCGTTTTCGCTGCGACTTTTGATTAGGTAGAGGATTCGGTTCAGCACGGCGTCGCACTGCTCCACGTCGTGCGCAAGCTTCTCGGAGAGGTCGCGTTTGTACGGCGCAAACAGCCGCGTGATCGTGAGGCGGGGGGTTGTCTCTGCTGACTCTGTGTCAGCGCAGTCCTGCATTTCCATCAGCTTCACCTCGCGCTGCTTCAAGTTGATCACAAACGTCCTGCTGCTGGCTCTAGGGCCCAAACGGGCGCAGTCGTCTCGCATCGACTCGCAGATCTGGCCCTCCAGGTTGTAGTGCACGGGACACGCCTGGAGAGAGAACTCGGGCCGGTACTGGTCGATGTAACCGGTCATCAGCGGCAGCACCTGGGGACGGGGGATTTCCACGGCTAGCGGGGCAATGTCGAGCACTTTCGCACCGCCCGCCATGTCTACAGGCTCAAAGTCCACGTCGGCAGCCATCACCTGCTGCGCCAGATCGACACGCTCCCCGACGCCGGGGATCTCGTACGTGGTGCGCACGACGGGTTTCTCCTTGTCCAGGTCAAGTGACCCAAGGTCACGTGAGAGCCTCGGCAGGTTGGCGCCGCCTGAGGACACTGACTTCCACGGGTACTCGTCGTACTCTGCAGCGGGCGGCGGCGTCACGTCGACGCTCTCGCCGACGCCGGACCGCCAGCGCTCCATGAACGAGCCAAAGTGCAGTCTATTGCGCCACGACGACGATAATGTCGTCGACTGCGACCCGTACGACGTCGACAGGTTCTGGAGCGAGGCATACGACGAGGCCCGTCTCACCAGCGTCACAGGCTGACGCTCGGGCTTTGCGAACTCGGTGAACTTCGGCGAGTTCGAGATGATGGGCGTCGCCTTGGACGGGATCTCCCAGCCCTTGGCAGAGCCGGAACTGAACGTCATTTCGGGCGACATCGACTCAGAGCTTGAGTCATCCTGGTACGCGGCGCGCTGGATGGGGATCGGTTTCGACGCCGTCGGCCTGGGCTCCGAGTCGGTGTCAGTGTCTTCCTGTTCGAGCGTCCTGGAGAATGTATAGCGGTCGTAGCCAAAGATGCCGGCGAGAATTAGCACGAGTTTCTGCGACACGACCGGGTTGCCCGTGACGAGCACAACGCGCACCGCGCGGCGGGTATGGTAGTTGAGCGGGCCGTCGACGACTTCGCAGCGGTACGGCAGAATGAGTGTGAGCAACGTGGCTAGGAACTTGAGTCCGACAACGGGCGAGCACGCGTGGCCCGGCGACGTGGACTGGGATTCCTGGATCGGCGCCGGGAGCAGCGACAGCGACGGGTGGCGGCCGTCCTTGAGCTCCAGCCACGTCGCCACGGCGACCGCCCACCGGCACAGCGTCGAGTCGTTGTGTTTCAGCGGGACGTAGAGCCTTGGTGTCTCGATGAGGAACACGAGCGACCGCACAAAAAGGTGCAGGCTGTGCACGAGATCGGGCTCTTTCTGGAGGCAGCCTGGCGGGAACGCGGGCTTAGAGCCTGCAGACTGCCGGCTGGGCGACGCGAGCGCGCGAAGTTTGGCCACAATGAGATTCTGCGTCGCTTCCAGGTGCCCTGCGATTTCCGGCCAATGGTTTGTCAGGATTTCGTGGGCGTTCCGGTCTCTGGCCACCGGCACAATCAGGCCGAACGCCAGTCTCGTGGGCGTCTCGTCGCACACGGGGGCGTCCCGCGTGTATACACAGGGCTTGGGGGCCCAGTCCGGGTCGCCGTGGCCGCTCTCGCACAGCCTGAAACTGCTGTTCACGGAGAACAGCCGCGTGACCAGCATCGACGCAGGCATCGCCGCGAGCGGCGGGAGGTAGTGGAGTTTGGTCGTCGAGATGGTCTCGTTCAGCAGAATGCCGTAGTATCCGAACATGAGCGCCGAAAGCTCGCTGGTCGGGTGGTGGAACGACTTGTTCAAGTACGCGGGACTGGACACCTCGGCGACGCCGGGTCGCAGGCTCAGCGCAGAGTCGAACAGCGTCTGCTTCGACCGAATCCCGGAGTCCTGCACCACCACCAGACGACACAAGCTCGACTTGTCCGAGAGCCGGAAACTGGCAACGGGGACGGTGTTGCCGGGGCCATAAAGCTGGGTCCCGCTGTAGTGGGCGTCGGCGGCGGCGTACGCGGGCGGCGGGACCTGTGGCTCGAGAGCAGGGTCCTGCTGGCAAAACTCTTTTTTTCTCAGCAAGTTTCCGAGCATTTGCGATGCATGGCCACAGGGCTGCGTATTGACCTTTGTGTCTTTTTTTGATAAGTCTGGGTGCGAGGGAAAAGTGCAGGGTGTGGTCTTTTTTTTTTAGTGTCACGTGCCGCGTGTCACGTGTCGCTCCCCCCCGATCAGAAACAAAAGCAGCGGAAAAATTGCTGTCTAATTTGAAAACCGGTAGATAAAATCGTCAGGTGCGAGTTCAGCAGCCACTGCATTTTCTGCCGCCGTTCCCCGCCACCTACCGCTCTACCGCCACACACTCTCCCTCTCTTTTGTCCCATGCAACACACGCACGCAAAATGACAGGAATAGCGAACAAACAACAGATTTTGGAGCACGACAGCGACTTCCCCACGAATCACTCGATTCCGCAGTTCAACTCCAAGTACACGGCCGAGACCTTTGGTGCGTCCGAGGCATTGGCGTCGTCTGCGCAGCGCAAGAACAAATCGCAGGAGTCCAGTCCGCTCGCGTCGCCCACCACGTCCCGACGCTCGTCCCGGTTCCCCTCGGTGAACCCCGTTTCGCCGTCGAGCTCGTCGCTGGCGCTCAGCCAGGACGCCCACGCCGCCGCGCACGCGGCGCCCGTGCACGAGCCCCGCGACAATGGCTCGCGGCGTCCGTCAAGCAGCCACGGCGCCATAGGCGTTCCCAAGTCGTACAAAGGCTTCCACGGCCGGCGCGACGGAAGCGAGAAGCCTGTGCCGCCGCTGATGACGCCAATCAAGCCCAAGAAAAGCCGTCGCGGGGCGTCCTTCTTCAACAAGTTCCTGCCCTCGCGGCGCGACTCGGACCCCAAGGCGCGGCGCCAGGGCAGCTCGCACTCGTCGCGGTTCTCGCGGCGGTCGGACCAGTCGCTGAGCTCGCGCGCGGGGTCGACGGACTCCGAGAAGGGCGGCTCGCCGCGCGAGTCGGTGTCGTTCTCGTCGCGGCTCAAGAACCCGCTCTCGCAGGGGCTGCCGTTCGGCGGCTCCGAGAAAAAAGCCGCCCCGTTCAACCTCGACCTCGACACCGATAACGAGCACATGGCGGAGATCACGAGGCTCTCGAACTCGCGGCTGTCGCGCATGGGCTCGACGGCCAGCATGATCCCGCAGCCGCCGCTCGAGCGCACCGACTGGCGGCCGCCCGAGAGCTGGAAGGTGAAGAACACGCGCGAGAACTCGGACCCGCTCGCGCACTACCCGGGCATCCAGGAGCGCTCGAGCTCTGTGTCGTCGGCGTCGTCGACGACGTCGTCGGGCCGGTCGCTGGTGCCGCCGCGAAAGGCGTCGGCCATCACGTCGCCGTCGACCTCGAGTCCAAGGAGCGACAGCAACGTGGACGGCAGCAGGGAAAAGCGCGACAGCAAGAGCACGATCACGGAGGAGACCGGGCGCGTGTACCACGCGAAGGAGCTCAAAGGCGCGTCGCGGTCGTCGGTGCGGATATTCATCGGCGACAAGAGCTCTGTGCTGCCGTGCACGTTGGACACCACATGCAAGGATGTTTTGGACTCGCTGCACCGCAAGCGCTTCCTGAAGAACGACGAGGACCACATCATCGTGCTCAAGTGCGGCGGGCTGATCCGGACGCTGTCGCTGGACGAGCGGCCGCTGAAGATCCAGCGCACGATGCTGTTTCTGTACGGCTACACGCAGCGCGACAACCTCGACTACATCGAGCGCACCGACCTGAGTTTCCTGTTCAAGTTCGTCGTGCAGGACCGCGGCGTCGAGCTGATCAGCAACGAGCGCCGCCGCATGATCAACCCGCAGAACGTCGACCTCAACAACTGGAACTTGCAGGATATTCCGAACTTCCTGTACGCAGAGCCGATCGTCAGTCTGGACGTGTCGCAGAACCCGTCCTTCGAGTTCACCAAGGAGTTCATGCATGACTGCCGCAATCTTCTCCATCTGAGCTTCACGCGCAGCGGCAACCCGAAGTTCCCGACGCCCGTCGTGTACGCGCCGCGGCTGCAGGAGCTGAATCTGGAGGTGAACTATATCAAGCTGATTCCGCCGGAGATCTCGAAAATGACGACTTTGACAACGCTGAACTTGGCGTGCAACCGCATATCGACGCTGCCCGCGTCGTTTGCCGAGTTGCAGAGCCTGCAGAGCCTGAACCTGTCGTCGAACAGGCTCAAGAACATCCCCGAGCCGCTCACCAAGATTGCCGGTCTGAAACGGCTCGACCTCTCGTACAACAGCATTTCCGAGATTCCGGACTCGGTGGCCAACCTGGCTAACCTGGAAGTGCTGCAGCTGGCCGCCAACAAGCTGTCCAGAGACCTGCCGCCGTTTTTCCGGCAGCTCAAGACGCTGATCAAGATCGATATCCGGTTCAACAAGTTCGACTCGATCGACGCGCTCAAGAACTTGCCCGCTCTCGAGGTGATTCGTGCAACGGGCAATAACATCTCCGTGTTCAAGAGCAGCGCAGCCAACCTGTTTGAGGTCGAGCTCAACATCAACCCGGTCACGCTCGTCAAGTTCGACCAGGTGATGACCAAACTCAAGATCGTCGACTTCTCCAAAGACAAGCTCACGTCGTGCTCGTTCGTGTCGATGCTGCCTGCCATCGAGAAGCTCACTATGGACTACAACCATCTGGTCTCGTTGCCCGACGACATCTACAAGATGAAGAACCTGACGTATCTGTCTGTGTTCCGCAATAATCTGACCTCGCTACCCACCGCGATCGGCTCGCTGACGAAACTGCGCTACCTCGACCTGCACCTCAACAACATCAGCTTGCTGACGCCCGAGATCTGGAACCTCTCGTCGCTCGAGTACTTCAACATCTCGTCCAACTTGCTGGAGTTCTTTCCGGACCCGCCCGAGCAGTTTGTGCCGTTCACGGGCTTTTCGTCGCTGGGCCGCACGGCCACACAGGGCGCGCGCAACCACCAGTCGTCGATTGTCGCGCCGGCCTCGAAGCGCCGCACGTCTGAGATATCCACCATGACGATAAACAACTCCGACAACGTCGGGCTCGAAAAGTCGCTCAAGGTGCTCAGTCTCAACGACAACAAGTTCACCGACTCGGTCATCCAGACCGTCTCGATGTTCAAGAACCTTGTGGTGCTCAACTTGTCGTACAACGAGCTATTCGATATTCCGCCTGGCCATCTGAACAACCTCACGAAACTGCAAAAGCTTTACCTCAGTGGCAACCATCTTTCGAGCCTGCCCGTCGATGACCTCGAAGCGTTCACGAAGATGGACACGCTGCACCTCAACGGCAACAGGTTCCACACTCTGCCGGCGGAGCTGTCCAAAATTACCAACATGACCGCGCTCGACGTGGGATCCAACAACCTCAAGTACAACATCGGCAACATCCCGTACGACTGGAACTGGAGCTACAACCCGAAACTCATGTACCTGAACTTCTCGGGCAACAAACGGCTAGAGATCAAGCCGCTGCACAAGCGCGAGGGTATGGAGGACAGCTTGGACTCGTTCCTCGTGCTGAAGGACCTCAAGCTGCTGGGGCTGATGGACGTGACCATCACGACAGACCTCGTGCCCGACCAGAGCGTCGACGTGCGTGTGCGGTCGACCGCGTCGCAGCTCGGCAAGTACGGCTACGGCATCTCCGACACGCTCGGCAACAAGTCGAGTCTCACCACGAGAGACGTGGTGATCGAGCGGTTCCGCGGCAACTCGGACGAGAAGCTGATCACGATCTACGACGGCAAGAACTGCAGCGACGAGAGCGGCGACAAGATCTCGAAGATTATCCAGGAAACGTTCGAGATCCACCTGGCCAAGGAACTAGAGGGCCAGGACTCGGGCAAGACGATCGAGGACGCGCTGCGTGCGGCGTTCCTCACGATGAACTCCGAAATGAGCATCCTCATCAACAAGGACAACTCGTCCACGTTCAGCTCGGCCGCCGCCCACCGCACCACCACCACCGACGAGCTCACGATGGAGAAGGACGGCCTCACAGGATGCTGCGCGACGGTGATCTACATTCGGGGCGACGAGCTGTACGTGGCCAACATCGGCGATATCATGGGCATCCTGACCAAGGCGGACGGCGAATACTCGGTGCTGACCATCAAGCACGAGCCGTACGCGCCCGAGGAGTACGCGCGCATCAGAGAGTCGGGCGGCTTCGTCACCACAGACGGCTACCTGGATGGCGTGAGCGACGTGTCACGTGCCGTGGGATACTTCAAGCTCATCCCGCACATCAACGCGGTGCCGAGTATCTCCAAGTACAAGCTGACGCAGAACGAGGAGATGATCGCGATCGCCACGTCCGAGATCTGGAAAAAGGTGCCGTACGACTTGGCGGCCGACATTGTGCGCCAGGAAAAGAGCAACCCGGGCATCGCGGCCGAAAAGCTGCGGGACTTTGCGATCTCGTACGGCGTCAGCGACAAGGCCACCGCGGTGGTGCTCTCGCTGCAGCAGTTCACAACGAAGCAGAAGTATCACGAGCGCGGCTCGCTGCCCGAGGACTCCCTTCTGCGCAAGCTGGACGAGGAGATCGAGCCGCCGACTGGCGAGCTCGCGATGGTGTTCACCGATATCAAGAACTCGACGCTGCTGTGGGACACGTATCCGGTCGCGATGCGATCGGCCATCAAGGTGCACAACGCCATCATGCGGCGGCAGTTGCGGATCATCGGTGGCTACGAGGTCAAAACCGAAGGAGACGCGTTCATGGTGTCGTTCCCGACGCCATCGAGCGCGCTGCTGTGGTGTTTCACGGTGCAGTCGCAGCTTCTCACGACGGACGACTGGCCTGCGGAGATCCTGGCGTCCGACCAAGGCTGCGAGATCAAGGACGAGGAAGGAAACATCATTTTCCGCGGCCTGTCTGTGCGAATGGGGGTTCACTGGGGCCGTCCCGTGTGCGAGCGGGACATTGTCACCAAGAGAATGGACTATTTCGGGCCGATGGTCAACCGTGCGTCGCGGGTCAGCTCTGTTGCTGACGGCGGGCAGATCGCGATGAGCACGGACTTCTACTACGAGTTTGAAAAGCTGCGCAATTTGCACGAGCAGGTCAAATCTGGGGCAGGCGATATCAGCCAGGTTTATGGGTCTAAGACGCTGGGTCAGATTTTGGAGAGCCAGATGAACCAGGTCGACCAGATCGGCTGGGTCGAGGAGTCGATTGGGAGCCGCAAGTTGAAGGGGCTCGAGGCACCAGAGAAAATATGGCTTATTTTCCCAGCCCATCTCGCGCAGCGGCTCAAGCTGCTCACCAGAACAAACGGCGAGATCGACAACCGCGCGGGCAAACTGCTCATGGGCGGACTGACCGCCGAGGGCGTGTGGAAACTGCGGAAATTGTCGCTGCGGCTGGAGAAAATATGCAGTTTCTGTGCCGGCTCTACCACGCAGCTCATTTCGAACAAGTCGCAGATCCTGCCGTCGGACCTGATCTCGTCGTCCGCCGAGGAGACGTTCATCAATCAGATCGCTAACGCAGAGATGGATCTGCTGCTGTTGATCGAGCACGTTGTCACAAGAATCGAGAACGCCGTGGGCATTTTGACTGTGCGCAAGTATGCCTCGCCAGATGAGGCCAACGGCCTGCTGATGGGCTCCATGGACGAACTGTACCGCACAATGCGCGTGCTGGTGCACCATGCGGAGGATACTGCGCGCGCCAAGAGCCAGCGAATGGAGGAGCTGCCAGAGGAGTCGTCGCAAGACGGTGCAGAGCATGTAAATTAAATTGTAAATAAATGAATATTCGCAAGTTAATTTTTTTTTCGCATTTGTATGGACCATGGCAAGATAAGGCCCGTTTCTCACACCGTCCGCTCGGGCGTCGTTGTCGTCGACGGCACCGACGTTGTCCGCGAGCTGCTGGAAAACAGCATCGATTCCGGCGCCTCGCATGTCGCCATCAGCGTCGCGTTTGAGAACGGTTGCTTGGACATCGAGGTCGCTGATAACGGCACGGGCGTGGATCCACAAGACCTTGCAGCCATGGGACGCCGCCACTGGACGTCCAAGGATCTGAAGGAGTCGAAGTTCGGCTTTCGGGGAGAGTCGCTGCACGCCATCATGGGGTTGTGCACGCGAACAGAGATTGTTAGTTGCAGAAGCGGATGTGCCTGGAAAATGCACTATATTGGCACAACCGCACGAGAACAGCCCCGTCGGTGCGCTTTCGACGGGGCGACCGGAACATTCGTGCGTGTGGTTGATGTGTTTGGCCGGGTGCCCGTGCGCAAAGAGCAGCTGGCTGTCGAATGGCGCGAGATGACTGCAAAGCTGAGCAGAACGGCGTTCTCTGTGTTGGTGGCGCGGCCGGGGGTCACGGTAACTCTAGAGCGCAATGGTGTGCGTGTGTTTAGTGCGATCAATCAGGGCGGTGTGGCAGGCATCGTGGGCTTGCTGGAGGAGCTGTTTGGGCTCAGGGACGTGGTGGAGCCTGTCGAGGCCCGCTTCGAGGATGTGGACGTCACTGGGGTGCTGGGGGCAGACGTTGCCAAAAAATGCCAGTTCCTGTTCCTTAATGGCCGTCCGCTGGAAAACAGAAGCCTCCAGAGAACAATCAGTCTCCAGCTGGGCAGACAGTCGGCACTCTATGTGTTCGACATCCGTACACCGCTCCAGGAGTCGGATCTGCTGCAGAGCCCGAGCAAAAGGGTGTTCAGTCCCGTGCTGTTCGACAAGATCAAGGCTGTGTTGGAGGAGGTGGTGCGCCGGTGGACTGACAAAGACAGAGCCGGGCGAGTGCAGAAAAAAGCGCGTCGGTCCGTAGGCCTTTCGCATTTCTTCAGTCCCGCTACTAGCGTGGTGCTTGACGGGCCCAGCATCGGGCGCAGTCGCGTGGTTGCCCAGGTAGAGAGCAAGTTTGTTCTTGTGCGCATTGACGACGTGCTTGTGGCGCTGGACCAGCACGCGTGCGACGAAAGAGTGCGCGTCGAAGCCCTGTACCGCCGATGGACGGCCAGCACGCACACTGTCGCAGTACACATTGAGATACCCGTCGATGCGGGCGAGAGGGAGCGTTTTGCACGTTTTTCGGCCGAATTGAGTCGATGGGGCATCAAATGGCGGCAGGAGAACGGACTCGTGGTGGTGCGCGAGATTCTGGCTCTCGTGGCGGAAAAGGACGCTCTGTTTGTGCAGACCGGCGTGTTGCGGTTTCTGGACGACCTGGCGTCGAAACGCAAGCGCGCCAGCGCCTCCGGCGGCGACTGGTGGGTCGCCACGGCCGAGATGCCGGAGATGTACCACGAGACCATCCGGTCTCAGGCCTGTCGCGAGGCGATTCGGTTTGGGAGAACGCTGGACCACGATTCGCAGTGCAGGCTCGTATCGGACCTGGCGCGGTGCAAGGACCCATTGCACTGCGCGCACGGCCGCCCGACGTGCGTGCCTTTGATAAGATGGCTAGATAGATAATTATTTATTTTTTTCCTCTTGTTTTCGGTTTTCTCTCCTATTGTTCTGTGTGCCAACAATGTGGGGAGACAGGGTAAAACAAAAGGAGGTAGCGATAAATTATTGCTTCAACATTTAAATTGGACAGTGGGAAGATACACTGAGACCCTGGATATTCTTGTGTATTACTATTGATTAGAGTTGTCGCATATGTCACGGAAAGTTGAGAAGCATTTGTTGTTTGAAGTGGCGACCGAGGTCGCCAACAGGGTAGGGGGTATCTACTCTGTGCTCAAGTCCAAAGCCCCAGTCACTGTGGCCGAATACCGCGATCGGTACACTTTGATAGGCCCTCTGAACCACCGCAGTGCCTCTGTGGAGGTGGAGGAGCTGCCGGTGCACAACGCGGCCCTCAAGGCCACTCTCGACTCCATGCAGTCGAGGGGAATCCGCTACCTGTACGGGCGCTGGCTAATTGAGGGAGCGCCCCGGGTGATTCTTTTCGACATTGGGTCGGCCGTCCCGTATCTGAACGAGTGGAAGGCGGATCTGTGGAGCCTGGCAGGCATTCCGTCGCCCGAAAGCGACGTCGAAACGAACGATGCAGTCATGCTCGGTTACCTGACGGCGTGGTTCATCGGCGAGCTGTGCTGCCACGAGACGGAGCGTGCGATCATTCTGCACGCGCACGAGTGGCTGGCGGGCGTCGCGATCCCGCTGTGTCGCCAGCGCAAGATCGACTGCTGCACCATCTTCACCACCCACGCTACCTTATTGGGCAGGTATTTATGTGCGGGCAGCGTCGATTTCTACAACAATCTCGACAAGTTCGACGTGGACTACGAGGCAGGCAAAAGAGGCATATACCACCGCTACTGCATCGAGCGTGCTGCGGCACACTCGGCCGACGTCTTCACCACGGTGTCGCACATTACTGCATACGAAAGCGAACATTTACTGAAACGGAAGCCGGACGGTGTGCTACCCAACGGACTGAACGTGGTCAAGTTCCAGGCCGTGCACGAGTTCCAGAACCTTCATGCGGAGAAGAAGGAGAAGATCAACGAGTTTGTGCGCGGCCACTTCTACGGGCAGCTCAGCTTCAAGCTCGAAAACACGCTCTATTTTTTCATTGCAGGAAGATACGAGTATAGAAACAAAGGCGTGGACTTCTTCATCGAGGCGCTCGCCAGACTCAACCACCGGCTCAAATCGATCAACTCCGAGATGAACGTGGTCGCCTTCATCATCATGCCGGCAGCCACCAAGTCGTACACGGTGGACACGCTGCGTGGCCAGGCCGTGATCAAGCAGCTGGAGTCCACCATCAAGGACGTCCAGAACCTCATGGGCAAGCGGCTCTTCGAGTTCTGCCAGCAGCCAATCAACATGCAGAACTCGACGCAGATCGAGCTGCCCACGTTGGACGATCTGCTCAAGCCGGCAGACAGAGTCAACTTGAAGAGACGCATGTTTGCTCTGAAAAGGGACTCGCTGCCTCCGATCGTGACCCACAACATGGTGGACGACGCAAACGACCCGATCCTCAACCAGATCCGCCAGTGCCATCTGTTCAACACCGGCGAGGACCGCGTCAAGATCATCTTCCACCCTGAGTTCCTCAACTCCAGCAACCCTGTTCTTCCTCTGGACTACGACGAGTTTGTCAGAGGCTGCCACTTGGGCGTGTTTCCTTCCTACTACGAGCCCTGGGGGTACACTCCGGCCGAGTGCACGGTGATGGGGATCCCGTCCATCACGACCAATCTTTCTGGTTTCGGGTGCTATATGGAGGACCTGATCGAGAACTCTGAGGACTATGGAATATACGTTGTCGACCGCCGGATGAAAGGCGTGGACGAGAGCATCAACCAGCTGACCCAGCAGATGTTCGACTTCACGCAAAAATCGAGAAGACAGCGGATCAACCAGAGAAACCGTGTCGAGCGGCTGAGCGACCTGCTGGACTGGAAACGGATGGGCCTGGAGTACGTCAAGGCTCGTGCGTTGGCGCTGAGAAGAGCGTACCCTGAGCAGTTCAAGCACTCGTCGAATCCGTTCGACAGCGCCGGGATCAAGATCTCGCGGCCCCTGAGCGTCCCCGGATCGCCCCGCGACCGGTACGTGAACGGCAGCATGACTCCTGGCGACTTGGGCACCTTGCAGGAGAGCAACGACGTGGACTATTTGAGCTGGACGCTGAATAAGAGCGGCTACGACGACGACGACGTGACTCTGCGGGGGGCCAGTGTGGCTCCGAGCGTCGACGGCGAGAGCGGCGAGGAGTAATCGCTAGTGTTGCTATAGTAAGCTATTCCTGTTCACGACTGGCGTTCCCTGTAGCGTTGGGCCTTTGCGTACTCGTTTCTGTCCACCAGCACAGACCGGATGGTGTGCTTCGGCACCGACACGAGGCCAAGGCGTCTTGTCTGCGAGCCTGAGTGCTCGTACACGTCGGACAGCAGCAGGTTGCTCTGGTCGTCTATCGCCATGAGAATGCCGTCCAGCTGTCTGTTGTCGGTGAGCACTATCTGGTACGGCAGGGAAATGAGGTCTATGGGAAGCATGAAAAAAAATATTTTTATTTCCTTTATTTTCATGTCCAGTATCACGCTCAAGGCAGACCTTGCGGCAAAATACGTGGTGCAAAATGAGCTCCTGCTAAAGGCGCTCGGCGGCCAGACGGAAGACGTGGGCCACATCACGATCGGCGACGTGGTGGGCCAGGACAGCCGGGCGTACTTGGAGCAGTGGAAGAGCCGGCTGGAGCAGGCGGACAGCGAGATGGAGACGCGGGACAGCGCGGACGAGGAGCTGGCCGAGCTGGACGCGATCATCGCGCGGCTGGAGAAGGAGTTTCTGAACCCGGCGGACGGGGCGCTGCGCGAGCAGAACAACGCCATCTTCAACGAGTACTGCGAGAAGTACAACAAGGTGATCTACGAGGTGAAGGAGAAGGAGGACCTGAACGCCGGAATGGAAGACGCAGAGGAACAGGGCTCGTTCGGCAGCAGCGTGTACTATAGAGTGAAATAAAATACGGATTGTGTGGTGTAAAAAAAGTTTGCCCCTTTTCTTATCTAGCAACTATGAGGTAAGTCCGGTACTTCCAGGGTGCTAACGGCCAGTTCTCCCAAACGGCGCATTGAGAGCGATGTGATGAAACTGTAAGTGTGAGCCTGAACGGCGTACTAACCGGCAGACTGATGAGCGACTACGAGGTGAGCCTGGTGGACGACAACATGCAGGAGTTCTACGTCAACTTCGAAGGCCCCAAGGACTCGCCGTACGAGGGCGGGCTGTGGCGGATCCACGTGGAGCTGCCGGACCAGTACCCGTACAAGTCGCCGTCGATCGGGTTCCAGAACAAGATCTTCCACCCCAACATAGACGAGTCGAGCGGCTCGGTGTGTCTGGACGTGATCAACCAGACGTGGTCGCCCATGTTTGACATCTTCAACATCTTCGAGACGTTTCTGCCGCAGCTGCTCAACTACCCGAACGCCGCGGACCCGCTCAACGGCGACGCCAGCTCGCTCTACATGAGAGATAAGAATCTGTATGTGGAGAAGGTCCGAATGTACGTCAAGAACTACGCCAACCCGGCCGCGATCCGCAACGGCGGCGCGGACCAGGAGGAAGACGAGTCGGACTCGAGCGACGCCGACCTCAGCAGCGTGGACGAGATGGTGGGCGAAATCGACCTGTGAGCCGTCAGATTATCTCATACTCTTATCATTTATAATATAGCCTCATACGTAAGCGATTCCCAAAATCATCCAATGTAGTTCGTTAATTCGTCTCTAACCAAAAAGTCCTGGTGGTCGTCCTTGAACCCCGACAGCCAGTCGTCCGCGAGCTCGGTCTCCTCCAGCTGCCGCTGCTTCTGCAGCTGCGCCTGCTGGTTGGTGATGTACGCCATCGAAGGCGTGTACTGGTACGACTCGAGCTCGAAGTTGAGGTCGGCGGCCTTTGGCGGGAACAGGTCCTCGATCTCGTCGAACCACTGGAACGACGTGGCCGACGAGTCGGCTGTGGAAGGCATGATCGGCGACACGGTGGCCGAGTGCGGCACAGTGATCTGGCCCGGGTCGTACACCAGCGGCGTGGTGGCCTCGAGCGGCGAGTTCAGCGCCAGGTCCGGCTTGAACAGCTGCTCGGGCTCCACTGCGGCGGCGAGCGCAGGCGCAGGCTCGAGGGCCTTCAGCCCCTGCGGCTCGGTAGGCCCGGCAGCTGGAGCGCGCTGCACAGGCTCCCTGTCGGCGTCCGGCGTGCTGCCTCTGGCAGACCTGTCGTCGTCGTCGCCCGAAAGCGTCGGGTTGGCGATTCGCGTGTCGATCACTATGGACTCCCTTCTCCTGTGGACAACCGGGTGTTTGCGCTCTTGTTTATTGATGAATTCCCAGCACTTGTCTCCGTAGGCCTTCGGGGTCTGCCCCGTGACGGACTTGAACACACGGTGGAAATGCCATGGGCTCAGGTTCGACTTGGATGCCAGCTCCTTGAATCCCAGCACTCCGCCCCGGCGTCTTTTTTTGCGGCCCTGGCCGGCCTGGCTGGCCCGGCGCGAGTCTGGGGGCGAGGGGCTCTTGGAAAGCGACTCGTTCACCATGGACGCGCTGTGGCTGGTCGACAGCGCGGCAAGCGCGATGTGACGACAGGCCAGGTCTATAAGCTTGAGATGGTCAAACTTGTTGCGGGTCAGAGGGACCTCGTCGGAGTCCTCAACGGGACCACCCGAAAGGCGTTTTTTCAGTGACATGTTGTTGCTCTTCCATAGCGACTCTTTCAGCGAGCTGTTCTTGTCGTCCTCCTCGTCCATCAAAGGCTTGATAAAGCCTATGGACTCGTTGACGTACTCAACGGTCTTCACCAGGAGGTCAAGATCGATGGAAACAAATGTGTCGTGCAGGTCTTCTGGGTTGGGCTGTCTGTCCGGGAAACAGTGCTTGCAAGGGCGATAGCCGTTTGCAGTGGCTTGATCCAGTGTGTCGACAAAAATGATATCCGACTTGTTGAAACTGGAGAATCCAAGGTCGCAGTTAGGACGGCAGCAGACTCCCCTGCCAACATGGCAAACAAGGAACTTATCTGCCGCGAAAGGGTCCTTGAATTGGAATGCCACCCATTTGCTCTGTTCTGATGAATACATTTTAGATGGGAAAACGAAGAGGAGACTGTGGCCTTTTATAAGATTAATCTTGACATGACGTTTACTACACGACGTGAACGTAATTTAGAACCCCTCGCATCTGCACATGTATGCAGACACTATTGGGAAGTGCGGAATTATTTGTGCGAGGCTCAAATATGCCGAACAGCGAGGGATATTCGGGTTATGTGGGCATGTTTCCAGACATGCTAAAAAATCTCAGCTGTGGGCTATTACATCACTATTGATTAATGTGCGCGCCACGACAGGTGGCGCAGTTTTTGACCACTAATTACCCTGAAACCTGTCAAATCCTCGGCAATTTTACGGTACTTTTGGGCCGGAATTTCAGTTTATTGGCATCTGTAGAGGCACGTCGCATGGCTGCACAAGGTGGTATATAGTGATGTGACATTGGTCGGTTGCCTTTCCAAGCTACTGGTGGTGTTAGACTTGATTTAGCGCCGCGCCTCTGTGTTCCTCCCGCGCTCGGACTCCAGGGTCTTCTTCTAAATAGCACATAATGTCGTCAGCTTCCTCGCCTCGCCATCAATGACATCAGGCCATAGGTTTTTTGCTAGAACTTTTCGAAACTTTTCATCCACGATTACGTGTGTCGACTACTCCATAACCAGTAATTTTGCAAATCGTGGGGCTTTGACGCAGCAGGCTTCCATGCGGCACGAGGGCGGAGGAAATATTATTTGTCCTAGTGGCGCGCCCGGGAGAAGTCTCGGTAGAAGAGCCGGGCTAATTGGAAAGAAACCCGGTGCACAGACATGATCTGGGTGTTTTGTCGTCAGTGTTGGCCATGTAGCATCTAGAGCGCCAGGACCCTTTGCCCAAAATAGCAGGGTATAACTTATCGTGCGCAGCATGGACTCTATGCACGCTGCAAAAGAAGCCCTCGGTGTATAAGTTGTATCATCGCTCGCGCATAAAATCCGAATTGAAAAAAAACTTCCATGGCAGAATGCTGACTATCTGTTGTATCACAGAGCGTAAGTTCATGTAAAAGCTCCTTCCATATCACTTTCGTCACAATGGGACATCTGACATGTACAACCCATTACGCTGGCTATTTCGTCATATAATTTTAGAGCTTCCGTCCTGCAGATACCCTTATTTGGGGTCCGCTGGCGACGTTACAGGCTATACGAAAACTATGTTTATTGTTCTTAAACCCGCTCTCGTCACATAATTCCCGATGTAGCACTTTATTTGCCCCGAACGTCTGGGCCAGTGACAACACGATGACTACCGTATGATGCGCATGTCAGTGAGCTGTTATTTCCTGCCCCAGTCGCACCGGATGTTGATCACATGGCGTACTCTTCCCCGAAAAACTGGCACTTGAGCTTCTCCGCCAGCTGTTGACAGTCCCTGTTGAGCTGGGTGGGGCCGCAAGAGACAATCCACTTATTTGCGTAATCAATGGTGCGGTTCACATTTTTGGCCAGTATTTTTTCAAAGCGTGGCCGGCGTCCGTGTTTCACCACAGTGGCAAATTCGTCGGTAAAATCTGGACTGTGTGTCACCTGACTCGACTCCTCGTATGCGTGGAAGTCGTCGTCCAGCGACTGTAGCTCGAACGCCTCCAGGCCCTCGAGGCTCTCTGCCGCCTCCTCCTCGCGGCCAGAACGCGTCACGTACACTTCGAGTCCTTCGGCCTCGAGTTCCTCGAGAATAAATAAGTCTCCCGCGTTGGGCGTGATCCAGATGCATAGCAGCTTGATATCTTTTTTTTCGTGCTGTACTTTGCGTTTGAAGTAGTTGAAAAGAGGCAACCCCAGCGATATTCCAGAGCCTCCAGATACGATGGTGACGCTTTCCGCGGTCTGGAAGAAATTGAGCGATAGGGAAGATTTGAAGAACGGCTGCAACGAGTACCGCCTGAACGGCTCCAATGCGAAGCGGTTCCTCTTCACGACCAGAGACACGTACGGCGAGCGCTCCTCCTGGATCGACGCCACAGTGTAGGGGTGCGACGGCAGCAGCCAGTAGCACGGGTTATACATTGAGTACGCAGACAGCCGCACATGGCATCCCGGCAGAAACTGCGCCGGAAGCAGCGCGCGTGGCAGCTTGACGACTTGCAATGCAGAGCCGCTATTTTCAGTGATCTTGTCGATGGTGACGCTCCTCGTCGTGAGCAGTCTGTAGACGTGCTGGTACAAAAGAAGGGCGATGTTCAGCACAAATAGCAGCGTCACCCCGGGCCGCGCGTGCAGCTGCGTCAGCACCAGGTACGTGTACATCACGAGGTTGTGAAACGCAATGAACCACGTGTACTTTATCGACCGGACGCGCCGCCAGTTCACGCCCAGAAGGACGTCGAACAGCACAAACATGACAAACCCGTAGAAATTGACCAGTCGCCATACTTTCGAGAATGTGCCCAGCGCAAGCCATCGCAGCAGGAATCCCACGCTGTGGCATATCCCAAACACAAGTATAATCCGCGACACCCACTTGTGCAGCCGCAGGGTGTCCAGATAGTTGTCGATCTTGAGCGGGCTCGGACGCAGGGCCAGAAACAGATCGAGCGGGGTCAGCGCGTACGCCAGACGGCCGAAACGCTTCAGATGGATGGTGAACTCCTCGACGTGCAGATTGAAGAACTCCACAATCAGCAGCACCACGCCCAGGATGGAAACCGTGTACGCCAGTGGCACGTTGGCGAGGCCCTGCTTGGTGGTCGATCGGCCCGACCGACTCCAGCACCTGTGGTAATAACTTAGCGCTGCGTACCGGAACGCCACGTACAGTGCAGACATAAACAGGAGCGCATAACCGTACTTGACGTTTGCGTAGTGGTGGTCCCCATGGCGAGCCAATAGCGTTGGAGGGTTTTGCTGTGTCATCAGCGAGGGAAGGCGTAGTACTTCCTTCTGGCGAGGTTCGGTAGTAGGACGGTGATTGGATGGGTTGGCGACGTCAGCGACCGGTTTGCCGCTACGTGGATGCAAGAGAGCAGACTATAAAAAGATGGATTTATTTTGTTAGTCCGGCTTATCTAAGCAGTCGGCCCAGTTCCTCAGCGCTACAAAAAATCCTTGTTGCAAATCCCTTATTTACCCTTCAATGTATATCGCCAGTGTTCTTTCGTTTATGGCGATGGCGGCCGCGGCCGTGGCCATGCCTCCCGCATGCACACTGGCGTGCATCAACGACCAGGCGCACCTCTGCGCCAAAAGCCATCTGGACTTCGGCTGTCTGTGTGCTTCCAGGGCCCATATCCTCAGATGTCTGATCGATAAATGCCCCTTTGGCAACTACCTGCCCGCCAGGGACCACTATCTGGGCACGTGCATCGAGCGAATCCCCGCCCTGGCCTCCAGCCCGCTCTACAATATTCATCTGAGAGAGCGCGAGCCACCGTCGGCGTCGAACCATGCGTACTGGATCTGGGACGCCAAAAACCCGGCCTCGGGCGTCATCATCAACGGCACAACTGTGGTTGATGCCAACCGCACCAAGAACAGCGCGGCAGGCAAGAGGCTGCCGAAAACGGTCTCGAGGGGAGATTACTTCAGAGACGAAGAGAAAGCTCGTGACTCAGACAGCAAGCAGCTCGCAACCCTGGAGCAGGAGTACGAAAAGATGCGGCATCAGTTCTCGTACATGCGCAAGCAGTATGTGGAGTCTGAGGCTAAAGTGCCAATGGAGCAGCACCTGGGAGACTCCTTGATTGCGCCGCTGGCTTCCAAAATCTCCACGCCTTCGTACGAGACACTGCCCGAGTCGAACGCCCCAGATCCTGCAAAAGAAGAACCCACGCTGCACCTCCGGTTTGCAACCCAGCAGCAATTGTTTGATTCGCATTTCGGAAAGCAGCAACCACACTTTGCAACAGGCAGCCAGGATATGGAAGACATGATCCGGCAGCTAGATGACGCACTTGCCATCGAAAGCGGCGATTTGGGCGAAGATGACGATGAGGACGGATACGAGGAGGCAACGGTTGCAGACGCCTTGAAAAAAGGGGTCGTCAAAAAGCTGGCAAAGTCTAGAAAAAGCAAGTCTAAAAAAACGCGCGCTAAGTCGAAACACGCTGCCCCCGGTAACAACGGTCTTGCAGGCAAAAAGATTCGGTTTTCGTCGAATATCTTCAGGACGCCCAACTGACCCAGTTCACGAATGTGTTGCCCCGGTATCGATCCTCAGGATGGAGTCTTTCCTTCTGTTTCTGGTCCGGCTCAATAATTCGAAATTGGTGCCCGAATAGCCGACATACTTGTCGTGCGCTTGATTGATCTCTGCGAGATCAAGAGGCCGCTCGGGTCTGACAAGAGAGCTTATAGGGATGGGTTTCGGCAAGTCTGCCGTGTCTATTGCTGAGTCCCCGGGGGATGGGTAGCAGGAGCACTCAGAGGTTGCTGCGCTCTCCGACATCTGCACCGGCCGTCGGGAGCCACTGGACAGCGGCGATTTGTCCGGAGTCGTGTAGATATTCTGGCTGCCGGCTCGTGGAGCGGCCGGGGAGTGCGTGCACCGCTTGGTCGTGAGCGGCAGGTATTCGTGACGGAATCTTGTATTTTTGTTATCGGCTGAAATTCGCCAGCCAGGTGGCAGAGGCTCGCCTAATCTTTGCGCGAAAAAACGCTGATAAGGATCGTGTGCCCAGGCGTCTTTCTGCTCTAAGAAATACCGCTTGTTGTGTTTGCGCTTAGTCCTGCCTGTAGAACTAGGGCTCTTCATCTTGTACCGAATCCCGGGACACTTATCTGGTGGCTGGTCATCGATTTCAGTCTCTGTCCCGCTAGGTCGTGCCACGCGCAACCTAGTATTACAAATACACATCTCTCTTGTGTCCTGGCCTCTACTTATACGGTGACGGCTAGCCGTGCCTGCCCGCGCGATGCCCCCCTTCTATACGGAGAAACGGTAGACAGTCTCCATGGCGAGCAGCATAGCCTATCGCGCAAGTCCGCATCCCCGACACCCGTGCACCAGGTATCTCCTAGGCGTGCTTGCCGATGACGTCGCCCTCGGGGTTCATGAAGAGGTTGGCGGTGGTTTCTGGGTCGTCGTCGTGCTCGAGACACTTTGAGCAGATGTTGGCCGCCGGGTTGAAGCTGAGGTCGTCGATGTGGATATGGTTGCCGCACTTGAGACAGAGCCGGTCTGGGTTGGGGATCGTGAGCGATCCGCCCACCTCTTCGTCGTTAGACTCGCCCCCGACCTCCTCCTCGTCTGTGTTGGACGAGGAGTGGTCCTGTCCCAGTTGCGACAGCTCTTGGTGCAGCTGCTGGTTCAGCTGCTGGTTCAGCTGCGAATGGTGGATGTGGGGCAGGTTGTGGAAGTTCTCGGGCAGCAGGATGCCCTGGTCGTGGCCAGACTGCTGTCCGTTGAGCACGGCTGCTGCCACGGCCTCTGCCGAGGCCTGTTGCCCGCTGTGCTTGCGCCCGTCGTGGCTTTGCTCCGCCAAAGCGACGCGCTTATTTGGCGGCGACTGGACGCTGAGGCCGCGCTTCTTCTTCGTGCGGCACTTCTCGCACACCTTGTGGTCCCTGTCGGACTCCTTGAGCCGCTTGGCGCACCTGTTGCAGGCCCCGATTTTCTCCAAGTTCGAGCGGCGGATCTTGTCGTTCTGCCGGCACCGCGAGCACACTTTGAACTTCGCGTCGATCGAGTCGTTCGGCCCCGAGCAGTGCACACACTTGCCCAGCGCGGCTCGGCTCGCCTTTCTGGACCGCAGCGACATCCTGCAGTTCTCGCACAGCACAAACTGCGCGTGCTCGGGCGGGATCTCCACGCCACACCGTCTGCACACGCCCTGCTTCTCCTTGGTCCTCATCTGCCATCTGCGCGACCGCTGCCGTTGCAGCTCGCGACAGTGCGAGCACAGCCGGTACTGTTTGTCGGGCATCTGCGTAAACTCCTTCTTGCACCGCGTACAAACGCTCGTCACAAACAACTGGCCGTCCTGCTTCTTGTGCTCGAGATCGTGCGCTTCGCGCGTCTCCTGCTTGCCGTACTTCTCCAGCTCGAGTTGCAGCGCCGGATCAAGCACAAACTTCTCCTGCGGCTCGTCTTTGGAGCTGTGCGCGCTGTCTACGCCATTGTGACGCCCCTGTGCGCCAGGGTTTTCCGGCCACACCCCGTCGCCGTCCTCGTAGTTTTTGATGGCCCGCGCAGCGGCCTCCGCGACCACAGCCGCGTGTAGAGGGTCCATGTACCTTCAAAAAGTCGTTCTATGCCAAAAATCTTCCCCGGATTGAACGATGGTTATGAAAACCTGTCCTTTAAGAATAGAATAAAAAAAATATTTTTCTCCATGGTGTCAAACATTATTCTAGACATAGAGGGCACAATTTGCCCGATCTCGTTCGTCAAGGACGTGCTTTTCCCGTACTTCCTGCGCCAGCTGCCCGCCCTGCTCGACCAGTACCAGTACCCGCTGCTCGAAGATGTGTCCGACCCTGTGAAGACCATCCTGCTCAAATTTCCCCGGGACAAGACCGCAACCAGAGACTCGCTGTACTCGCACATCAAGGCCCTGGTAGACAACGACGTGAAGGACCCCGTGCTCAAGGAACTCCAGGGCCTCGTCTGGGCGAAAGGATACCACGAGGGAACCATAAAGGCGCCGCTGTACGAGGATGCGATACAGGGCATGTACACGTGGAGCACGCGAAAGGACAAAAAAGTGTACATCTACTCGTCCGGATCGGTCCAGGCGCAGAAGCTGCTGCTGCAGTATGTGCGCGGCATCAACGAGCCGGAAGCTGCGCCGGGCAAGGACCTCAATGGACTGGTGTCTGGCTATTTTGACACCACTAACGCGGGCCCAAAAATCCAGCCGACTAGCTACTCCAAGATTGCGGAAACAATAAATACGAGCCCCGACGAGTGTCTGTTTTTGAGCGACAACCCAAAAGAAGTGGCCGCTGCTCTGGAGGCGGGCATGCAAAGCTACCTCGTCGTCAGACCGGGCAACGCCCCGGTGGAGTCTGCGCCTGCAGCCAAAATCTCTACGTTCGCCCAGCTGGATCTCTAGTTCGCCTAATACAATTTGTCTGCATTCCACATATCCACTTCGTATTACATGTATCACTCAGCGTGGTCGCTGAAGAGCAAATTGGCCGTCATCTCCTCGTTTTTGTCGCAAGCAAAGTACACCTGGATCACAAGGTCTCTCTCAAAGCCCAGCTCGCAAAGTCTGTTGATGGCCTCATTTTCTTCCTGCGTAATCTGAATTCTCGTAGCCCCTTCAGGCAGCTCTCCGTCCCCCTCGACGCCTTCCATGTATTCTGGAGGAACTCCTAGGGCCTGGGCCAGGGCGTTCTGGTCTCCGTCGGTGATATATCTCATGAAGGCCTCTGGATTCGACTGCACGATCTCGGCCAGTTGCGGGTTGGACGCCGCCAGCTGCTGCAGCACGGCCTCAGCCATCTCTGGCTGCTGTTGCAAAATCTCTCGCAACGAGCCCATAAAGTCGCCCTCCTGCTGCTGGGCGGCGTCCTGTCCCTGGGACCCTGCGGCGGCAGCCGCCTCGAACAGGTTGTCGGGGTTAGGGCTGGCATTAGCGTCTTCCGTAGCCGGCTGGCCCTCTGTGCGTGGCTCGCCGCTCTCTGCCGCGGCCGGTGGCTCCACCGTCCGCTGAGGAACGCCCGAAAGAAGGTATTCCACTGCTCTATCTGGGTTGTTGAAAGCTGCCGTGAGGGCCTGCTCCACCTGAGGCCTTTCGAAGCCCATTGCCATGATGTTTTGTATTGCTGTCTCCCTGACGCTTCCGGACGCAAACGTGGAGGCGTCGAACGCAGCGGGCGTCGCAGAGGAGCCCTCCTGCGCTTGCTGCGCTGGTTCCGCCACCGGGGCTGCTGCTCCAGCCGGGCTGGCCTGCTCTTTCGCAGCAGTCTCAGGGGCCGCAGCCGCCTTCTTGGGTTTCGAGATCATGAATATCACCTGGTCATTCTCCTTGATCTTGAAGCTCTCGAACGTCTTGTCGTCCTGGAGCACTTTGCCCGAGTACACAAACTTCACCTGTGACGCTTCGCACTCTTTCAAGGACGCCAGCTTCTCCTTGGCAGAGAGCACCGAGTCGCCCAGCTCCACCTCCAACGGGATCTTCTCCTTCTTGAAATCTTTGAAAATCACTTGCATTCTCAAGTCGACAACACTTACACTTGATTTAGCACAAATAAAAAAAATTCCACCGTTGCACCACGACTATTTTTTTTGACCTTGACACAAACAGATGGACTTGTCTCAAGACACTGACGACTTGCTCGCCAATTTCCCCCAGTGGGCCGCCTTGAGACACGCTCTCGCTGAGAACGACAAGGATCCGCAGCTCTGGGGCGAGCTGGTGTCCTATGTCGAGGGCCTGGTGGCCACTCAGCTCAACACGCTCAAGACGAACCCCCAGCTGTCCGAACTGCTCGCGGACGATTTCCGCGGGCTTCTGGCACGGTTCCCGTACCTGACGGAGTTCTGGAAACGGTTTGTGGCCATTGAGTACTCGATTGAGGGCCTTGGTGGCTCGGTGGCCATTCTGGAAGAGGCGGTCGCCAGCTTCCCCAGTTCCTGCGAGCTGTGGGTCGACTACCTCAACGTTGTGATATCAAACAACCTCAGGGACGAGCCAGATGTGCGTGACCTATTTAAACGGGCCGTTGCGCACGTCGGACGACAGTTTATGTCCCACCCTGTTTGGGACTTGTATCTGGACTGGGAGGCCAAACATGCGGGAGTTACGTCTTTGGAGTACGTCCAGATCCTGCTACAGGTGGTTCAGTATCCACTTCATCAGTACGCGCGCTATTTCGAGTCTCTGTACGAGATCACCTCGAACTTCACTATCGAGGACCTTATTCCAGCAGAAAAACTGCATTCTCTCCTAGAATCGAGTTATCCTGGCAAAAATCTCGAAGACCTTGATGCGGATCAGGTGAAGAACATAAGCGACGCCTACTTCAACGAGATATTCACCTCCTGCTACACTCGCGTCACAGAAAGGTGGGAATACGAAAGCCAGCTGACCAAGCAGAACTTCGACCTGCTGCCTGTTTCTGACGAGGACATGGCGCGCTGGATCAGGTATCTGGACTTTGAGGAGTCGCGGGGCGATGTTGAGCAAACCAAAAGCTTGTATGAGCGGGCACTGGTGCCCACTTGCTCGTATGAAACCATCTGGCTTAAGTATCTGCGCTATCTCATTCGCCACAACCAGGACACAGAGTACATCGTGTCGCAGTTCAACAAGGGCTGCGACGTCTTTGTCAGCGCCGACCAGCCTTCCATAAGGTACATGTATGCCAAGTTCTATGAATTAAAGCTGGAAGACCACGAAAAGGCTCGTCAGATATATATCAGCATGATCGCCGCGCATCCTACGGAAGCTTATCCGATTGCCCGCTATGTGCGTTATCTGTGTGGGAAGCTCGGCGATGAGTCAACTTTCCGACAGCTGCTGAAGGTGCTGGACGTGTACACGGGCAAGACGGCGGACGAGCTGGACGCAGACTTTGGCGAGCTGCGGTCGGTGCTGAACATGTGGAATGCTGCGAATCTGGTGGTCGAGGCGGCGCGAATACAGTGGCTCCGACGGAGAGACGCCAAGGCCGCGCGTGACGTGCTATTTGCGTACTACAAAACAGAGCTGGTTCGGTGCTCTGTTGCGTTTTGGACGTTTTTCTTCAAGTTTGAGCTCGCCCATAAAAACACCAAAAACCTCGCCAACATCGTCAACTATGTCAAATACTACGGTCAGCTGCCCACTGCCTGCATTAACCAGCTACTCGACGAGTACCGCGAGCATCTATTCAGAACCGGTGGTCTGGAGCAGCTGCAGCCGAACCGCGAGCTCGTCCGGCTCATTCTCGAGACAGATATCGAGTCTTCGACACACATGAAACATTTCCTCAAAGCACGGCTCAGCGCAAACCGCGACGAGGACCCGGTCAACAAGCGGCTGGTCAAGGAGAACGGCCACCCGGGCGTCGTTTCGGAGTACCGTCCGCGGCTGGTCAACCCTGTCGATTTCGACGCGTCGATCTTGGCGCAGCGCGACGCAGCGCAGATGCCACGGTTCACCAACGTCGAGCGTGCCACCATGCCGCTAAAGTATCTACAGATGGACGAAACGAGCTAACTGTGTACTATAAACAAGTCTATATACTGTCGCCCTGACGGCCGATGATCTTGAGGTTGTCTCTGACGATGGCCGCAGGCGTACATCTATTATTTCCATAGACCTCGAGAATCGATAGTTTCGGAGCGATCCTGGATAGCACGGCGAGCGCAGAGTCGTCGCACGAGCGCACAAAGCCGATATCCAGCGCGGTCAGCAACGGGAACCGCAGATGGCGGCCGATTTGCTTGAAGAAGTTGCGCGTAAGGTTTTTGATGGAGTTCAAGTTCAGCTCCACCAGCGTCTGGCACGAGTGTTCGAGCAAAGCGTAGACGGACTCGTCGCCGAGCTCGAGGCAGCGCGCCAGGTTCACGTCCATGAGCCCGCCGTTCATGTCCCAGTCGGTGAACAGCTCCTTGACGCCGACGTCGGTGATCTGGTCGAGCAGCACCAGCGACAGCTTGGTAAGCGCGGGACAGAAGGGCTTGACGCCCGAGATGAGGAACTGGTCCGTAAGTCCTGTGCATCCGTCGAGCACAAGCGACTCCAGCGTCTCGCCGTTCACGCCCAGCAGGTTGATGACCAGCTCGTCGTCGATCAGCTCCTCCTTATTCGGGTACGAGATCTCGAGGTGTTTGAGTTTGCGGAGGTAATGCGGCAGCAGGTCGTAGACATTCTTGGAAGTGAGACCATCCAGTCGGCTGAGCGTGAGCTCCTCGAGGTTATTGCCGCAATTGTCCAGCAGCGAGATCAGCGAGTCGGACGAGAACCGATGCGTGTTCTTGATATGGATGCCTTTGAGGTTCCTGCCGACGGGGCTGTCGAAAAAGTCCTGCCACGCCTGGTCGCTGATCAGAAACGCGCCGTTCAGGTACAGGTACCGCAGATTGGTGAACTTCTCGCCGTAGTATTGCAGATTGTCCTTGTGCAGCCGTCCGCACATGTTCAGCACCAGCCTCTCGACATTAGGACAGTACGCCGGTATCTTGTTGAGGGCCGCGCTGTCGATCTTCGAGCAGTCCCAGAACTCGATTTCGCGCATGCTGCTGTCCAGAAAAAGCGACATCGTGCGGTTATCCAGCGACCTGTTCTTGGACAAGATGCGACTGATCTTTTTCATGTTGACCACACCAATGTCGCCCAAAAGGTCCACCTGGTCGATGTTTCTGGAGATCACATTGATGCAGCAGTCCTGCAGCGACGGGATCCTGTACTCCTGCTTGTCCAGCAGCGCCGCCGCCACCTTCTTGCGCCGTTTGCGCGCCTCGATCTCGTTGCGCTTCGCCAGCCGTTGCCGCTTGATCTCATTGCTCGTGCACTCAGGACACAAGTACCCGATGCGTCCGTACTTCTCCATGCGTTTCGAGTACACAGAGATCACAAACTCGCGGTCGCACTCGATACAGAAATTCTTTCCCTCGTCGGCCTCGTCGTCATCCAGCTCGCGGTCCCGGCGCGCGCGACGACGCTTGATCCTCGCGCGCTCGCGCAGCACCTTGACGTCCTCTGGTATGTCCTCGCCCTCCAGAATCTCCTCGTCAGACTCGTCCGATTCGCCATTTTCCACCTCCTCGCCACCGCTCGCCTGCTCCTGCTGGCGCCGCAGTCCTTCCTCGTACCGCTGTCTGATCGCCTCCGCGCTGATCCCCTGTTCCCGCAGAAACGACGTCAGCGCACTGCTCGGGCCCTGAACCTGGTACTCCTCCTGGCTGCCGTTCTGTCTGACCCTTCTTCTGGACATGGCAAACGATAAAAGAAATTTAGGCCCTTTCTACGGCTATATTTTTTCCGGTGCAAGGAGTAGGTTATCGTTCTATCTACAGTACACAGGCGGAGCCAGCGAGTTGGACTCCTCGGCAGTGAGCAGGACCAGATCGCAACTCTGCTGCGGCAGCGTATATGCGGGAGCGGGCGTGTGCTCTATCAGGCTGTAATCCGGCGCTGGCTTGTCGATAGGGCCCAGCACGATGTCGTGGTAGAACCTGAGCTCGTGGGTCCGTTTCTTGAGGATGCCGTTGTTGCACAGTGTCAGCGAGAACATTAGACGCGTCGTGTTCTTGAAACAGCTCCCGATCTGGATGTTGGGCATGAATGGCTCCTCCAGCACGTCCAGCAACGAGACGTCTGGTAGCAGCTTGCTCAGCGGCAGCCGGCCAGAAAGCATGCCGTCGTGCTCCTCAAACTCGGCCACGTCAAATCGCGGCTCCGTCCCCGGCTTGTAGTCGAAATTAAACAGCTCCACGGGAGTCCCTGCGTTCTCAGCAACGGCCTGGCCAATCCTCAGCTGCATCTGCGAAAGAACGACGGCCTTGACGTTCAGGACGCAGAACTCGCCCACGCCCGTAGACAGGCCGCCGATGGTGTAGTCGTGGGTCTGCGGCGTGCGCAGGACCAGCTCGCCCAGACTCTGGATGCTGGTGCCAAAGCCAAGATGTGACACCGTGGACAGCTGCGCGCTGAGCAGCACGTCTGCGGCGAGCTGCGGGTCCCGTCTGTGCAGACGCAGCAATCTGCGCAGTCGCAGCGAGTACCACGGCATTGTCACGAACGGGCTCTGCACGACGGCGCCGCCGCATTGAACCAGTCGACGGGCGCACCCGGGGAAAATGTGCGAGGCTTCCGAGCGAATTTTGCTCACGTGACCGGATGTGGGATCCGAGTCGGCCTGGAAGCTGATAGGGAAAGAGGCGGTGATGGGGTCTGCGTCCGGGCGGACGATGGCGACGTCGATCTCGTACTGCGTCGAAATCGAGCCCTTGCCCACGGCCTGTTCGCCGTGCGCGCTGCACGACGAGGGGAGCAGCTGCCGGTCGACAGGGAACTGGAACTCCAGCGGCAGCTCCAGAACGGAGTCTTTTTCGAGCGTGGCCGGGTACTCGATGTTTCCAGAGACGGTTTTTGTGTAGCAAAACAGCGGGTGGAACGCCTCCAAGGTCTGGGAGTCGGGCTCCTGCCGCAGAGTGTGTGTTCCGTCCATGTTGACCACGTCTGTGTATGAGTATGTTCTTTCGACTATGCTGGTGGCCATGCGGCCCTTGAAGGACGCCTTGATGGTCTGGACACGGACTGGGTTCTGGAAGTGGAGTTTGAGGCTGGCTTTGACGTGTGGTTGCAGCGGCGAGTAGATGCCACGCTTATTAGGAGCGTCTTGCAGCGAGAAGGTAAAGGCTACCATGATACGGGTTGCGCTCTATGAGAGAGCAGATGCAGGGCACACGTCTGTATTTATGTGCGACTGTGCGAGCACAAGCTTTGGGTTAGGGCCCCAGATTATGCCACCCTATGCGGGTGGAATTTTTCTGGAGCCGCGCTTTTTTGTTTTAGAAATTCCGTGCCACGTAGAGTTGAGATATTTGTGGAGTCAGCATGAACAGGGTCCTACGACTAGCACCTGGCGCTGCCCGCCGGTGTGTGGGGTCCGTTCGTTTTTCGGGCACTCTGCGCAGGCCGGACTTCGATCTGGAGTACTACAGCTCGAGAGTCGACTTGTTCCGCGACATTTGCAGTCGAAGACAGGTTCCGTTCCCCTTGGACGGGTACACAGCCCTGTACGGCAAGTATCTGGACGCGAGGAAAGAGGCGATCGAGCTCAAGCGCGAGGCCAACACGCTGCAGCAGCAGATCAAGGCCAGCAAGGCGGGCAGGCAGCCCGTGGACGAGCACGCGGTGCTGGGCCGGCTGGCCCAGCTCAAGCCTCTGCTGAAGCAGAGTGCAGAGACGCAGAAAGGTCTAGTTGCGCAGATGGAGGAGCTGGTGGGCCAGTTGCCGAACCTGATCGACGACGCCGTCGGCAGCCAACCGGCCCTGCTGGAATATATCAACGTCTCGCGCGACGTCGACGCCGCGGCCGACGAAAAATTCGACCACAAGTCGATTCTGGAGAGCGCCGGCTTGGCTGAATTTTTGCAGGCCTCCAACGTGTCGGGCCGCGGCTGGTACTACCTGATGGGCGACCTGGCACTGCTGGAGCAGGCACTGGTGCAGTACTCGCTGAAAATGGCCAGAAAGAGCGGGTTCCAAATGGTGCTTCCGCCGTCCATAGTCAAGACAGAGGTCACCAACGCGTGCGGGTTCAGACCCAGAGACACTAACAACGAAAGACAGGTGTACGAGCTCACCCACGACAACCTGTGTCTCACGGGAACCGCCGAGATCTCGCTTGCTGCGCTGAGCATCAACGCGGAGTACAAGTTTGGAGACCTTCCTCGTCGCACGGTCGGTCTCTCGCGCAGCTTCCGTGCCGAGGCTGGTGCGGCGGGAAGAGACACGCGCGGCCTGTACCGCGTGCACGAGTTCACTAAGGTGGAGCTGTTCTCCTGGACTGCAGGAGAGCTCTCGGAGAGCAGCAAGGAGTTCGACCGTTTGGTAGCATTCCAGAAAGAATTTATCTCGAATTTAGGGCTCCCGGCCAGAGTGCTACTGATGCCGGCGGACGACCTGGGCGCGCCAGCGTTCAAAAAAGTCGACATCGAGGTGTTCATGCCCGGCAGAGGCGCCTGGGGTGAGGTCAGCTCCACGTCCAACTGTCTGGACTACCAGGCGCGACGGCTCCATGCCCGTTACCGAACGGAGAATAACAAACTTAGATTTGTGCACACGCTAAACGGCACTGCGTGTGCGGTTCCGCGTCTACTGGTGGCGATCGTGGAAAACAACTACGACCCGGACTCGCGCTCGATCGCCGTCCCGGAAGTGCTCCAGCCGTACATGGATGATAAAAAATATATAGACTGCCTGCCATGTAAATAGCTTGCATAATTAAATGTATAATTATTTAATTGTACGATTTATTAAACTGCCAATTAGTTTCAGGGAAGGGAGCTCAGGAGCCGTTTTTCGTCGGTGTCGTTTAGATAGAGCAGAGTCTTGATCACCGGAAGAAGAATCCCCCGCTGCTCCTTATGCTCCAGAAATCCCAAGATCACGTTCTTGACGTACTCCATCTTCTCCTTCGTGTCCGACTGGCTCTCAGACGCAAGGTCGCCAACGCTCATCGAACGGCTCATAACCGTGGACGACTTATCCGACTCAACACTCGCCACAGACTCTCTTCTGTCTCTGGTCGTTCGGTACTGTTGCGAGAGCAGCTTGTATTTTTTGTTCAGGCGCATCAGCTTCTGCGACGTCTCCTCGTTGGCCTTGCGTAGCTTGCTGTTCATCGCCTCGAGGTCCCGGATCTGGGCCTCGCTCTGTTGCAGAGTCTCGCGGAGCGACTCCAACAGCTTGTAATCGCGCTCAGATGTGTTTTCCTCGTGCTGTTTCTCGCTGTTCTCCACATCACGAAGAGCACTCTCTTGCTCCAAGAGTTTGGCCTCCACCGAGGCCTTGTCGCGACGAAGAACGTCCAGCTCGTCCCGCAGGCTCTCGAGACTGCTTTTGAGATCTTCGAGCTCGCGCTGCTTCTTCTTCAAAGTCAAGGTCGACTCGCGCTCCAGCGCATCCTTCTCCTCGGCCAGCTTTTCCAGTCTGGCGTTCAGCTCCTTGAATTTAGTGTTCTGCGAGTCCTCGGTGTCAATAAGCAATTTCCGGATGGTTCCAGCCTCGCGCGTGCGCTCCTGCAACATGGAACGAGCCTCTGACAGCTCCTCCTGCAGCACCTCCATCCGGCTCTCGTACTCTCTGTTGCGCATGGACAGCTCCTCGCACCGCCGCTTGATTGTCTTGACCTCGTCAGAGGAGCTCATCTTCGAGCTCTGCAGATCCTCGTAACGGTCCTTGATCTCTTCGTAATTTTTCACCAGCCTGTTGTTCTCAGTGCTCACTTTGTTTAGACGGAGCATAAGCTCGTTATAATCTTTGCGCAGCGTTTCATTCTTCGCTAAAGCGGCGTTCTTCGCTTCCATGTCAGAATTCATCCTCGTCTTCAGCTCGCTCACTTGCACCTTGAGCTCTATCACGCTGTCATTCAACTTATTTTTCTCTTCTTCCAGGTATTTAAGACGACTTTCTTTTTCGTCCAGAAGTCGATCCTTGCGCGTTAGCGACGACTGAGCACTAGACAAGTCCAGCTTTAGCTGCACTTCCCGCTCCTTCAGCCCAGCATATTCGCTGATCTGTTTCTCCAACGCAGCTTTCTCCTTATTCAGACTGTTGATCTGTTTTTGTAACTGTCCATTTTCCTCTCCAACATCCTTGAAGTTCTTCTCGAATCCAAGTTTGAGGTCTTCAATCTGCTTCTTAAGGCTCTCGATAACGGCGTCCTTGGAGCTCGTCTCGTCACCGCCGCCCCTCGTCTGAGTTTCTTCCAACGAAGCCAGCTTCTTTTCCAACGACGACTTTGCCCTCTCGTAGTCCTTCACTGCATCGGAATTCTGGATGCGCAGCACCTCCAATTCCGCCTTCACGGACTCGAGCTCCGCCTGCACCCTCTCCAGCTCCTCTGTCTTCTCCCGGTATTGTTCTTGCGATTTTTTGAGCTCGTCCTTGGCCGTCACCAGAGAGTCACCGACGTCCCGCAGCATGTCGCGCTGGTTCTCGATCTCGTCTTTTTGGGACTGGACCTGTTTAGCCAGATCAGCAGCCTCCTTCTCATAACGCTGGGCCTCGCCGGCTTTCGCCTCCAAGACCTCAACCTGGTGACGAAGCTCAATAAGCTCGGCATCACTGTTCGGGCTTTTAACTGCCTGTGCCTTCTTTTTCTTTTTACCTTTCTTGGAACCTTCGTTGGGCTTCGCGTTGGCGTTAGCACGCTCGTTCTCTTGCTGTGACTTCAGCTCCTCGTTTAGGGCTGCAACTTTTTCTTTGAACAACTGTGTGAGCCTATTGCTCGACTCGAGCGATTTTTGCAGCTCTCCAACCTGCGACTCCAACCTCTCCTGCTCAGACTGAACACCGCTCAAACTCTTCTCCTTGGCTTCTATCAAAGACTCCTTTTCGCTCAAAAGCTTCTCAAAATTGGCTTTTTCCTGGTCAAACGTCTCCCTCAGCTGTCTCTCGTTGGCCTGCGCATCAGCTAACTGCTTCCTCAGCTCTTCCACCTGTCTCTTCAAAGCTTCCAGCTCCCCATTGTCTGGGGTTCTGGACTCGCTGCGCAACCGCTCAAGCTCCTCCAGATTTTTCTTGCCCTCTGCTTCCTTGGCCACAGCCTGCCGCAGCTCAGACTCCAGAAAAGCGGTCTTTGATTTCAAGCCTCCGATGTAGTCGCGCACCGCATCAATCTCGCCAATACTGGAACAGGGAGTCAATTCTCGTAGCATCGCCTCAAAAGCCTGTATCACAACAGTCTTGCGCTTCTCAGCTTTGTAGGCCTCAAACAGAATGGGATACTTCTCATCGTACTTCACAAACTTGCGCATTCGGCTTCGTATTTCCGGTGGCAGATCCATGTACTTGATGTCCGTGCCCGGAACAGTAATGCTGATAGTATTGGCCTCGCTAGGTGGCTCGGGAGTGCTCATTTCCCTGGGCTGTGTCATGCTGTCCGGCTCGGGAGTCTGCGCGGATAAGATCTTGCTTGCGGTGGACGGATCAATTCCCGCATTGGGCGAGCTCGAGCCCTGTTTTCGGTTGCTATTCACCTCGTCATTGATCCGCGAAATCTCGTCGGTCAGATTCTTGCCGATCTGCGAGATCTTGGAAAACATGATGGTGGAAAATAAAGCCTCCAGTGCTTGTGAAATTATATTTAATGTCTGACAAGTCCACGCATCCTTACACCACTATCTACATAAACCTCGCCTCGGGATGATAGTACACGGGACACGTCCAATACGGCCGGTAGATGTCTGCCCAGACGCTGTCCTTGGCGTCTGGGTTGGTGGTCTGCGGCACCTCGATCTCGGTGAATTCCGTTTTGAGCCCGTAGTTCTCCAAATCCAGCTCCACAACGCGCTTATACACCTCGTAGCACACCAGTCTGTCTGCTCCCAGGCCATTGAAAAATGAGAACGTGCCTTCGGGCTTCAGCAGTCCTACAATAAGGTCATACAGCTCCAGCATGTCAGAGTACTGCTCGCTGAACGTATCAAAATATATCCCATCGAAGAACAATCCTTTGTTGAGGAGTGGTGGCAGAGTGTCCTGCCACTTGCCTTTCAACACTATTACGTTCTCCTTGTCCATCCAGCCGTCCCTTTGCATTTTTGCAAGCACATCAGGGTGGGCCTCGCAGATGTAGTGTTTGGCTGGTTTTTTCTCCTGGATCATGCTGTCTATTATTCCCATGCCAAATCCTATATTGAGCACAACCACATTGTTTGGGTCCTCAACGCTCTTGAACAAGGACTCACTCCCAGCTCTCATCAGTTTCTCTTCCCATTGCATCATCACTCCGTCTTTTCTATCAGTTAGCAGTGCATCGTCGGTGTACTTTAGCTTGGTCTTTAAGAATGTGTCACTGTCCCCGGCAGGATCTTGCACCTGCTCCTTATCCTTCTGTTCTCCCTCCTTGGCCGTCTCTTCGTTGAGACCAGCCACTTCGTCTTCTTCAATAAATTCAATGTTGGATTCTATGTGTCGTAGAAGCACTTCTGCGCGAACACCAGCAGAAACTATCTGCTCCCAATATTTAGATCCATGGAAGCCTCGTCTTTCCAGCACACAACCGGGAGTCTCGTTTTTTGCACTGATTAAACACCAGCCAGCTCCATTTAGAAAGAGTTCGTCAATCATCGAGACCACAATTTCCTCCTCTTCTGGCGTGAAATCGTGAGAGACGTTTTCACAGATCAGATGTAATGGGGTCGTGGTAGACGAGAGCTCCTCATCAACTCCTCTTTCAAACTGGTCCACCTCCTCCAGCGTATACGTCGCTGGGATTCCAGCAGAGAGGTATTCTTTGAGTTTTTCGAGATGACCTTTTGATATCGGTCTTTTGAGCTGGCAAAGTTCATGCAGTTCAGACATGCTTAAATTTATATTTTTTTCGTAAAATATTTTTAACTAAAAATAAAAATCATAAATAAGGTCCATGGATTGTCCTTCCTATTCTCCCAAAAGTTCTGCCAGATACCTCAGGGAACTTTCTTTGAGGCCGCGTGTTATTATGGCATCATAGTCGATGGGCTGCTCCTTTCCTGATGACACACCTCCGTCTATCGTAGTGTTGCCTGCAAGAAGAGGAGCCAGGTACGCATAGGACTCATCGTTCAGGATACCGGTGTAAAGAGACGAGCTCGACATATAGCGCTTCTCGTTCCATAAATTGACTAGCACCTTGCCCACAGTATTATCCTGCACTTCCTCAAGGGCAGAGCACAGTGAAGTCTTGTCAACTTCCGTGTTGCTCTGCTCAGTAAGCGTAGTATTCTGCTCCTCAAAGACGGCAGCCGTGCCTTCCTTCGGGGTAAAGAATTTCTCGTCTTCTGTTTCAGACTTATCGGTGTGCGGCGAATCGAATATCTCCATGTCATCTGTCAGATCTGGAAGTGACATGTCAAACGTACTGGACAAATCGATATCTCGAAATAGATCTGCATCCTCAGCTATTTGTGGAATCGGCGGCTGGTCTTTGAACTTCTCATGTGCCACTTGTAGTGGAGTGACAATGCGCACGCTTGGCCTTTTCGCTTCCAAAGCGCCTGGTGCACTGTTTGATTCCAAGATAACAGTCGATTCCGGCTTTGCTTCGTTAACTTCGTCGAATTCCTTCGGCACCTGTGGCAGCCGTTTCTCCGTCTTCGTATCTCTTAGGTCCACTATAGCATGCTTGTGCCAACCTTTGCTGCTCACAGGCCGTCTCGCAAAGCTTGCCACTCTGCTGATGATCGACTCTTTACTTTTATCGCTTTCCAGAACAGAGTTGTCATCGTTGTTGGCAACTATCCAATTATCGCCCTTTTCATTGTCGTTAAATTTATTCAGCTTGGCCGCAACACTTGGCGAAAAAAGAAGGCCCTTGCTACCAAGAGGAGCCTCTTGGCCCTCCATTACTAGGCTGACACCGTACTCTTTCAAATTCTTCTCGTGCTGCTCCCTTCTTTTTCTCACTTCGCTAAAGTATCTCTCCAACTTGTCTTTCAGAACATCTTGGACCGAAGAGCCCTTGTGGTTCTCGTTCAATTGTACCTCCTGCGAATGGAACGCTCCTTGCGGTTTATTGCCGTGGGCAGTCTCCTTAGTACTTTCACTTTTCAATGTCTCAGGTCTGAGCTTGTCAATATTCAATCCAAATCCATCAATCAGGTTGTCCGTTTCTGCAGCAGAAGTTTGGCGAGCTGTGGATTTGGCGGAATCATGGTGGATACTTGAGATTCTCGAGCTTTGGCGCTGCCCAATTCTAAGTATGCTGTTGTGTCTTGTTGGGAAATGATATTCGTTAGCTGCCACCATACTAGACATTGTTTCAGAGACTCGCTTTGAATTTTCATCTTTGAGCACTGGAACTGCTTCTGCTTCCGACATCTTGCCAGGTGCCCTAATCTCGCGAGCCATCGATCCTCTCTTTCCGCGAAAGATACGCTTGTAAAAGGGCACCGACTTGTCCTTTGGCTTTGTAATTTTTGTAGAGCTCACTCTGTTACTATTCAGCATGTTCAAACTGTCCGATCTTGGTTTGTGAACTTCATGTCCTTCCGCAGGCTTTCTGGTTTCCATGAATAGTTTGTGGGCCTTCTTTATGTTCGCAAGCTCTTTGCGTTGGCTCTCTTGACTACTATTTATCACAAGTGCAGCCCTGGAGAACATCTCACTTGATCGATCACAAAGCTTCTGGCTGATCATTGGATTAGCGTAGGTCAGTTGGTAATCAAGCATCTCAAAGATTTTACCTAGTAATTTGATTGAAAGCTCGCCGTACGGAACTTCATACCTCACATAATTTTCACAACAACTGGTACCTTCCATGAGTATTTTATTGGAAGAGAAGTTAAGGGTGACAAATCCAAATAGAGAGTATTTCTTCAGGTAGCTTTCGTCAAATGACATGTTCAAAAACACGGCCAAAGGCGACTTGGTTTCTTCAGACTTGTAAGTTTCTAAGTCATGAGCGGTATAATACAGTGTCTGTTTAGTATCTGATGCGCGGAAGAGATGAAATGGCTGCGACTTGTTGAGTATCTTCGCCTTATTGAGAACTTCAATTACGTGGGAGCCAGTATATTTGCTGACTTCATAAACATCAAAGGCCTTATCATCGAATAGTTGAATAAATGCTTTCCCGTCGTAGTTGTAGAATTGGGCATCAATATCACTTATACCGGACCATCTTTCGACTCTCATTTTTGGCAAGCTGGAAAATGGAACCTCATTAACCAATGAGTGCATTAACACATCTGCAATAGATGGCTTGTGAACGTGGACATCAGTCTCAAAGAGGTCATAGTAGTACAAGTCGTCCACTATTTCCAATATCACAACGTGATCACTGAATATAATCAGCACACCATTGTTCTTCACCGAATGTTTCAGCACATTTTTTACATCAAAAATTGCAACCACCCGTCTGGTCAACCAGCCATACTGAAGTTCTGCTGGCCAGCCGCTGGCCAACTCTGTGAGGATTTTACCTGTAGGCGTGAAGATTCTGTGATTGTAAGGCTTGAGAACGTCACTGCCGAATGCTATGATTGTGTTTAAACATGACTGGTAGTACTCGTCGACTTCAGGCTGTAAAACTTGGGGCCATTTCTTGGTTGTCATGAGTCTATCCAAGATCAATTGCAACTTTGGTAGATTTAGAGATGCATGCATGATTGATTGAATGGTCTTTTGATCGTAAGCAAGCTTGTCATATCCGATTTTTTTCATATCAATCAGGAAAGCATCCAATTGAGTGGCGAATGTTTTCGTGGCGGCTTCATGTCTCATGTGCGCTTTGTAAAAGTAAGGAATGGTAGTACCACTAGCCTTGAGTATTTCAAAACTCCCATAAGGAAGAGCCGTTTTCAGGATGTCTAGATATATGCAGTTAATTCTAGTCACTTCATCGATGGTTGGTGGAAACACCTGATTAAGTTTTGCAGTTGTGTATCCTGGTATTTTCCCCTCTAGCACATCAATCCTTAGAGGAATAAGGAATTTCTGTAAGAATTGCACCAACGAGACCGTGAAATTAGTTTGCACTTTCACCAGCTCATTGCAAATGCTTTTAACAAGTATGTCATCTGAATTCTGAAGCTGCGGTGCATCCGCAGGAGGTTTATATGCTTTTTCTGTGGGTTCAGGAGAATACTCGGTCAATGGGTCAAACAGGTGGTCCAGCTGCTCCCCCAACAGAAATGCGAGCTCGTTATTTTTGTCAGAGTCTTCTGAATTCTGGGTATTGGCGTAGATGACATCTGCAACGTAAGAGGTTCTTTGTTTGCGCTGTTGTGCAAATCCTAACTTCAAGAGAAACTCTCCAACCTCCTGAGGTGTCCTATTATCGATGAGTTTCATTTCCGAGGCAATTTTTCCTGCCTTCGTCTCATCCCAGTCGTAATCTGGTTCTAATTGGGCTTTCTTCATCATCAGCGATTTCGTGTTCGGGTCCAGTTTCGCGTACGTTCGCAGCATCGCCACAGCTAGTGCCCTTCTCACGTTGCTTTTGCGACAGGCTCTGCTGAGGTTCTCAACAGCGGGATAGTATTTGGAGTGTCTGGTCAATGACATGGAATCCACAATAGTCTGTCCATGTACACTGAGAAGCATGCAGCTGAGCTTCTTGCTCGTCTTGTTCTGGTAAACCATAGCTATTATTTGGCCGAAAAGCTCATCGTGCCCTTCAAAATAAACAGAGTCTGCAATTAACGAGCGCCAGTACTGTTCGGTAGCCCGTTCAGGGTGCATGTCTGATCCCAAATCATCCATGTACTGACTGCTGCTTCTTCTCATCGGGTTCGACTCCGTGAACGACGAGTAGAATGACGGCTTCATATTTGATGGATCCAGCACCGTTTGCGGGCCGACCTGTTCGTCCATTTTCTTTTATAGCTGAAATCTGAGACAATTTCCAAACAAGATCGGAAGTTGTTTGTGATTTATTTTTTTTGTAAACAAATGTTTCAAAAACAGGTAAATAAAACTGTGGGCAGTGCAAGAACTAAAGTGCACAGCCGTAACCTTATTTTATCCCAGGGCCCTTCTGTCATGTCTGATTGCTGGAAATGACTTAGGTAATAATTACCAAATTATTAGTAACTTAAGGGGTTGCATTCCAAATGGGTAACTTACATAAAACAAGGTTCTTGAGCAAAATTAGTTGGCATTAAAGTACAAACTCGATATGACCAAGAAAGTGGCAGTAAGTATCGATGAGAAATCCTAAGCAGCTAATTCAAGATCATCATCTACTCGTTATACCATCACGTGTCCACCCTTGCTGAATCGGTCAAAGCAGGACTGGAAGCAGGAGGCGTGGGAGCCCAGATCTTCCAAGTTCCAGAAACACTGCCAGAGAGTGTTTTGCAGAAGATGCATGCTCCTCCAAAGAAACCGTACGAAGAGGCCACTGTTTCTACACTGCAGGAGTACGACGCATTCATGTTTGGTATTCCAACCAGATATGGTAATTTCCCTGCCCAGTGGAAGAGTTTCATTGACCAGACCGGCGGCTTGTGGGCTTCTGGTGCTCTTTACCACAAGCCATTTGGCGTTTTTGTCTCTACAGGAACCGGTGGTGGCAATGAGATGACGGTTGTTAACTCTCTGTCCACATGGGTCCACCACGGGATGATATATGTGCCATTGGGCTACGCTAAGGTGTTCCCATTGATGACCGACCTGAGCCAAGTCCGTGGCGGTTCTCCTTGGGGAGCAGGCACTATTGCTGGCTCCGATGGCTCAAGACAGGTGACTCCTCTTGAGCTGGAAATTGCCAAAGCCCAAGGTACCGAGTTTGCCAAGGTTGCACTTAAGTTTTAAAGGGTTCTCTGAGATTTGCTTTTGAGTTTATATGGCAATGAAATTCAGGTGTGAAATAACTTACAAAAAACTACTGTAGTATTCATAGTCTGCCTCGAGCAGAGCCGATTTTGGCACCTCGGATTCGTAGGTCATGTACATGCTGATGATATCATTGACCCACTCGAAGTTAAAACTGTCTGAGTACGTTGACGAGCTCTCAGACTGCTGTTTGGACGGCACGTTCCGCTCGCTGCTGGGAACAAGATAAAACTGCTCCGACAGATCGCCCAGATCGTGCTCCACGCTGATAAAACTCATTTCCGTAGACTCAACATGAAGCAAAGTGTTGGCAGCTGCTTCCTTTGAAGTGTCGACGCCATCTGTGAGCACAGTATTTGCAGGCGATTTGTTCGTCGTCTGTAAGGTTTCGGACACAGTGGTGTTCGAGCTCGGCTTCTTCCAGAAACTCTGCCTGTGCTTCGAGCCTAACCTCAGCTGGCTCACAAATCTGTGGACAGTTCTTGCGCGTTCGAGCATTTAGATTTCGGGAGACAAGCAGTTGCCCGTAATGTACACGGCCGCCAGCAGAACATCCTAACTGGCGCATGAACATTTGCCCATTTTCAGCTCGAAAGACACATCAGAACACCATCTTTCCTCCACATTTTTCAGCTCATCGCCCCACTTGGTGCTGTCGTATGGGTTGGTGGCCATTTTCATCATTTTGTCAATGTAGTCTGGATTCAGGTCGTTTTCGGTAGTATATTCAATAACTTCTTCCAGCATCCAATTTTTAGGAACGAACAGCGGGTTCACCTTGGACGCCCTGCTCATCCGCTCGCTGTCGGATAGCTGCTCCCGCTCGACTCTGTCTTTAAAAACAACCAGAAAACTTTTCAGCTCTTTCAGAATATTCTCTCTGGTGTAGTCGTTGACCAGGTCTTCCTGGAAATTTTTTGGGATGAACAGCTCTGCAGTGGCCTCGTAGTCAAGCTTCTTCTCCATCGGCACCTGCTGCAGGATTTTAAAGAAGTCGTTGTAGTCGATCTTGGTGGCTCTTAGCATCTCAAACATAGGACCCAAAACTTCGGTGTGATCGGTATCTCTAGGACTGATACCGATTCTTTGGCAAACCAGTTTTAAGTAATCGTCCATAAACAACTTCTCATAGACCGTGCCTGCAATATCAATGATCTTGCCTGCTCTTTGAATCATTCTTTCTGTCCATTCTTGCTTTATGCCAGCCTCAAAGTCGGGAGCATCTAAAAGCTCCTGGTCGGCTCCGATCAGCTCAGCAACGTCCTCGCCAAGCTTGACCAGATTGAACCATATTGCGCTCGGGGTGTTGGCAAAACTGTACATTCTCGTGTGATCGTCATGGTTGGACGTGTAGTTGGGGTCAAAGTACTCCATAAATGCGAAAGGCCCAAAGTCCATCGACAAGCCAGTGATGGAAGTATTGTCGGTGTTTAGAACGCCATTCAAGAATCCGTAAACGTGCCACAAGGCAACGGTCTTCGCGTTCCGTGCGACGATCTCCAAATACATTTTGTCGTAGCGCGTGAGAGCGATGTTATGTTTCGAGATCTCTCGTTCGACCTCTTTTTTGACCTGCTCTTCCTCGACCATCTTGTTGTGGAAAACCTCGTCGATCACATAATTGCTCAGCTCAATCAGCCCCTTGCGGTCCTCTCTCCATTTGTACAGGTCGAAAGTTCCGATTCTGATCCACGTAGGCGCCATCCGACAAACAACGGCACATTTTTCATGGCGAGCCCGCATGGCATATGTTCTGGGAAGCGCAGTGATGGCCAACGCCCGCGTGGACGGAATCCCAATAGCTGATAAGGCCTCACTTATCACGAACTCACGGATGCTCGAGCTCAAGAGCGCCTTTCCGTCCGCAAACCGAGAGAACGGTGTCAGTCCAGCTCCCTTTAGCTGCAGTTCGTATCTTTGTCCATCATTAGCACTCTCCACTTCAAAGAGGTTCACGACTCTGCCGTCGCCCAATTGCCCCGCAAATTGTCCAAATTGATACCCGGCGTAAGCCTGGGAGTATGGAAAGGGGTCGGTAAGGTACTTTTCCCCAGACACCAGCTCCTGGAAACACTTATTTGAAGCCTCCGATGGATCCAGCCCTAACGTCTCCAATGCGTACGGTGATACTGTGAGGAAGCGGTACTCTTTACGGGGAGTAGGCTTGCAGTAGGTGTAGGCGCCGCCGATAAGACGCCTCGCGACATGGAAAAGCTCCTGTGGGGTTGACGGATCCAGAGCTACCTTCACGCTGGGAATCCGCGGATCGGGCGTGAGTTTTTTGGTAAAAGAAGATGTCTTTGGCAGTGACTGAAGGGTCATTCGTCTGGACATGGAAAAAAACTGTTTTTGCAATTAGTCATTCTGTCGACTGACTCATTTGCTCTTTTTTTCACTAGAGTCCTGTATTACATATTTTTTAGATTGGATAATTATTTTTTTCATAATGGAAGTGTTCGTTAACGAAAAGATAGGAACCGACGACGCAGTCGCGCTCGGCACCAAGGAGAAGCCATTTAAAACCCCGGCCTATGCACTGTTCAAGGTGCCTGAAGCCAAACTGTTTGTCGCCCACGCAACTGAACAGGGTGAAGAATATGTTGATATCACACCTTCTGCGTTGAAGAAGGCTAAAAAGGGAGCTGAGTCTTTGAAGAAAAAAGAGGAGAAGGCCCGTAAGCAAGCTGAGGAGGCTGCTGCCAAGGATGCAGAAGAAAATGCCAAAATGTTGGAGGCCATGAAAATCACGATTGTTGAAGACAAATCACTTCCGCCGGCCACGAAAATCAAGATCATGTCCGTGGGAAAACACATCGAGGAGAGAGTCAAGGTCCAAGGATGGATCCACCGTTTGCGTCTGCAGAAGGGCCTTGCCTTTATCATCTTGAGAGACGGTACGGGGTACATCCAGTGTGTTTTGAGCGGAGACCTGGCTAACGCATACCAGACCCTTACTCTCACCATTGAGTCCACTTTATCCATCTACGGTACAATCAGAAAGCTCCCTGAGGGCAAGTTTGCTCCCGGTGGCGTGGAACTGGCCGTGGACTATTACGAATTGGTCGGCTTGGCTCCATCTGGCAAGGAATCGTTCACCAACAAGATCCAAGAAGGAACCGATCCTTCCATCTTAATGGACCAGAGACATCTGACCCTGAGAGGAGATACCTTGTCTGCCGTGATGAAGGTGCGTGCTGCTCTCCTTGCCGCCATCAGAAGAGTCTACATCGAAGAATCGGTCACTGAGGTGACTCCTCCTTGCATGGTGCAAACCCAGGTCGAAGGTGGATCAACCCTGTTCAAGATGGACTACTACGGCGAGGAGGCCTTCCTGACGCAGTCGTCTCAGCTGTATTTGGAGACTTGCTTGCCTGCCCTCGGAGACGTCTACTGTATCCAGGAGTCTTTCCGTGCTGAGAAGTCGCACACCAGAAGACACTTGAGTGAGTTTACGCACATCGAAGCCGAGCTGGCCTTTGTCACTTTTGACGATTTGCTGAGTCACATCGAAAGAGTCATTACCAAGACCGTCCAATACGTGCTGGAAGACCCTACTGCGGGTCCTCTGGTGAAGCAGCTGAACCCAGGATTTGTGGCTCCGCAGCTGCCCTTCAAGCGTATGCAGTACATTGAGGCCCTGGACTGGCTGAACGAGAACGGCATTCCAAACGAGGAGGGCGAGAAATTCAAGTTTGGAGACGACATTGCCGAGGCTGCAGAGCGCAAGATGACCGACACCATCGGTGTCCCTATTTTGCTTACCAGATTCCCGGTCGAGATCAAGTCTTTCTACATGAAGAAGTGCGTCGACGATCCAAGAGTCACCGAGTCTGTCGACGTGCTGATGCCTACTGTCGGTGAGATCACCGGCGGCTCAATGAGAATCGAAGACACCCAAGAGCTGCTCGAGGGCTTCAAAAGGGAGGGTATCGACCCCAAGAGCTACTACTGGTTCGTTGACCAAAGAATCTATGGTACCTGTCCTCACGGAGGCTACGGTCTGGGTACCGAGAGAATCCTTGCCTGGTTGTGCAACCGTTTCACTGTGAGAGACTGCTCGTTGTACCCACGGTTCACGGGCAGATGTAAACCTTGAATAGAATTTAAATTTTCAGGTGCTCTACCGTTCCGTTTTCGTATTTCTCAAACTGGGCGATTTTATCTTGGCTTGAACAAAAATTTTGTCACTATGATTTCTTCCATGCTTTCACTGCTCTCGTTGAGCGAGCCAACACCCGAAGATGCTGTTGCTGTCAAGACGCTTGTGTTCAAGCCAAAGACACCAAAGTCGCAGACTCCGGTTCCCGTCATTGTTGTGGCCCCTGCTTCTGTCCAGACTCCTGGTGGAGGTATTGCCAAAGCCGCGGCAGTGAAGGAGCCAAGACTGGCCAACGACGAGCTGACGCAAGAGTTTTTTGGTGTTCAAGCTAGGGAGTTCACTCTCGCTGCCTTGGGCAACGACCATGTCGGCAAGGTCAAGGTCCTTGTTGAACAAAGCATCCAAGCCGACGAAAAGAACTACGTTATCTCTAATTCTAGCGGGAAGCTGATTCTCTCCGGAAAACAGCTTCTGGGTTTCCTGGCGCCCTTTGAGCCTGTAATTGTCGATTTTGCAGCCAAGGACGCACCAAAACCTGAGGCCAAGACCGAGGCCAAGATCGACGATGCCAAGCTGATCGGTGTGACTGTGGATAAGGAACGTGATTTCTCCGGCTGGTACCAGCAGATCCTGACCAAGGGAGAGATGCTCGACTACTACGACGTGTCTGGATGCTATATTCTGCGTCCTGCGTCCTACGCTATTTGGGAGAAGATCCAGAGATGGTTTGACGACAGAATCAAGGCTGACGGCGTCTCCAACGCTTACTTCCCAATGTTTGTGTCTTCTAGAGTTCTGGAGAAGGAGAAAGACCACGTCGAGGGATTTGCTCCTGAGGTTGCTTGGGTGACAAGGGCCGGGTCCTCTGACTTGGAAGAGCCAATTGCTATCAGGCCAACCAGTGAAACCGTCATGTACCCATACTACGCCAAATGGATCCGTTCTCACAGAGACCTGCCACTGAAACTCAACCAGTGGAACTCCGTCGTCAGATGGGAATTCAAACATCCACAGCCATTCCTCAGAACCAGAGAGTTCTTGTGGCAAGAGGGCCATACTGCACACCTCACCAAGGAGGAAGCTAGCGAGCAGGTCAGCAGGATTTTGGATCTTTATGCGGGCGTGTACGAAGAGCTGCTTGCTGTTCCTGTCATTAAGGGTGTGAAGACAGAGAACGAGAAGTTCGCCGGAGGCTTGTACACCACCACTTGCGAAGGATACATCCCAACCACTGGTAGAGGTATTCAGGGTGCCACCTCTCACCATCTGGGCCAAAACTTCTCCAAGATGTTCAACATCTCTGTCGAGAACCCTCTTGGTCCAGAACACCCTAAGATCTACGCTCATCAAACGTCCTGGGGCCTTTCCACCAGAGTTATTGGTGTCATGGTGATGATACATTCCGACAATAAAGGTTTGGTCATCCCACCAAGGGTGGCTCAGAACCAGGTGGTTATAATTCCTGTTGGCATCACCAGCAAGACCACGAAGGATATCGAGAACAAGCTCTACCAAACCTGCTCCGAGCTGGACTCTCGACTCAAAAAGGCCGACGTCCGTACCATTACCGACTTCAGAGACAACTACTCTCCGGGATGGAAATTCTCCGACTGGGAGCTCAAGGGTGTTCCTGTCAGATTGGAGGTTGGTCCTAAGGATATCGCCAACAACTCTGTTATGGCCGTGAGAAGAGACAATGGCGAAAAGACTGCTTTTTCTCTGGAAACCATCGAGACTGAGTTGCCAAAGCTGCTGGAAGCCATCCAAAAGTCTCTCTTTGATGCCGCCAAAGAGAAATACGACAGCCACAGAAAGATCGTTACCGAGTGGAAGGACTTTGTTCCAGCTCTGAACAAGAAGAACGTTATTCTTGCTCCGTGGTGTGGAGTTCCAGAGTGCGAGGACGACATCAAGGACTCCTCTGCAAAGAAGGACGACGGAGAAGACTACGAGACCGACGAGAAAGCTCCGTCCATGGGTGCTAAGTCTCTATGCATCCCATACGACCAGCCAGAGCTTAAAGAGGGCCAGAAGTGTGTCAAGTGTGACAAGCCGGCCGTCAACTTCACTTTGTTCGGTAGATCCTACTGATGGTGTAAGGGTGTAGATACTAATGGAAAAATTCGTGCTAATAGTCACTTGCGGCAAACAATGTATAGATCCCTCCGGACGGATCTGCGGCGCCATTTTCGGCGATATTCAAGCGGATCTGGGCAGATACTACCCAAGTGTATCAGGGACATTGCACAGAACCCTCCCCAGATTGGTGACACTATCAAGATCAATGGATGGGTGAAATCTTTGAGAATATCAAAAAATGTTGCATTTGTCGACCTCGTTGACGGTTCTTCGCACGGAGACATCAAATGTGTTGTTCGGCCACCTTCGCTAATTCCGAAAGCACTAAACACAGGCGCTGGAGTGCAAATATCAGGTGTCTGGACAGAAGGTAAAGGGAGACAAAGTTACGAGCTTCAGGTGACCGAGCAGCACGGGCCGCAGATCGAAGTGTATGGTGGAGTTGAAGAACTGTATCCACTGCAGAAAAAAACTCACTCCAGCCAATTCTTGAGAAGCATACCAGAGTATCGGTGGAGAGTGCCCGAAGCCGGCTCCATCCTCCGGATGAGCTCAAAACTAGAGTCTTTCTTCTCAGAATTCTTCGACGAACGCACGTTTTTCAAAACTCATCCACCAACGGTGACAAGCAGTGACTGTGAGGGGGCCGGTGAGCTTTTCCGCATTGAGTCAGAGTCGAAGCTCGGCAGTCCAGAGCAATTTTTTGGTAAGAAAGCATACATGACAGTTTCGACCCAATTGCATCTCGAAGTTTTGTGTGCAGCCTTAGGCCGTGTCTGGACGCTTACTCCATGCTTTCGCGCCGAGGAGAGCGACACAAATCGTCATCTTTCTGAATTTTGGATGTTAGAGGCAGAGATAGCATTTATTGACGACGTGACACAACTGACCCGATTTTCCGAGGCGATGTTGCGCTACATAGCTCGCGCACTTCAAAACAGTGGATTTGATGAGTTTTCTGACGAGATTAAACAACGTTGGGACATGCTGGCAAATGGCACTTACACTCAGATCACTTACTCTGAGGCTATAGATCTCGTGCGACAAAATTCAAGCAAGTTTACGACCATTCCAACGTGGGGAGACAGTCTGGGCTCTGAGCACGAAAAGTGGCTTGCCGGTGAATATTACAAGGGCCCTGTGTTTGTGACGAACTACCCTATAGACCAAAAACCTTTTTACATGAAAAAAAACAGTGATGGTAAAACTGTGGCATGTTACGACTTGTTGATTCCGCAAATCGGAGAGTTGATTGGCGGATCTTTGAGAGAGCATGACCTGCACAAGTTGGAGCAGGAGATTGCTAACCGGCAAATGGATGTCGGCCCTCTACAATGGTACTTAAACCTTAGAAGGAACGGGAGCGTGCCGCATGGGGGCTTTGGCATGGGCTTTGAAAGATTACTGCAGTACGTGAGCGGGGCTGAGAATATACGCGATACAATCCCATTTCCTAGAACGACAAATCATTGTGCTTGTTAGAATTAGATCTATTTCATAATAGAACCGTGTGTGACACACGACAATGCGTTATCAGACTTAATTTATTTTTTTATTTTCCATCAATTATTGGGAATTTTTAGGAATTTTTTTCTGATTTAATTAAATTATATTACACGAAAATTTATGAACCTCTGACAACATGCTTTCGGAACCGCCTCGCTCATCTGTGAAACTTCCGGTACTTAGTCTTCCTCCGGATGTGCCGTCTCCGATCTCTTCGCTGTCATTGACTAGCAAACCGCATTACATTCTACCGCCCCCAGTCACCAAAAACACGGGCCCGGTTTCCTCTAACCTCCTCCCCTATGCCCTTTCGAAGAGTCCGGAAACCAGAGAAACTTCACCAAATGATAAACCTGAGTCCGCGACGTCGTCAACGCCTGAACCGAAAGGCGGCGAGGAAAATAAACGCGAGAAGCCTGAAACCGGCGGGGAAAAGCGCAAGCGAGGACGACCTCGCAAGTTCCCACCTCCTCAGTCAGACGTCCCTTCGGAGAAGCGTAAGCGTGGAAGACCAAGGTTACCACCGTTGGAGGAGAGGGAGAAGTCGAAATACATCAAAAAGAAAAAGCCTGACCAAAAAGAAGACAAGAGCGGGAAGACTGGGTCCCAAGGTTTGCAGATCCCAGAGTACTCGTTCCAACTAAATGAGACTGCTAACTTTTGAATTTAGAAAATATAGTCTTACCGCTATAGCTTTGCGTGTGGTTTCACCAACACGTTGATTAAAACAATTTTTCCGCTCATCATATCTTCCACCCCTTTTTCCAAAACGTCATCCAGCTCCTTGCATTTCTCCACGAAATAGCCGGTCCCGCCCAATGACCAGCCGATCTTTTCGTACCGAACCCCAAAAGTCAAAGCCGTTGAAGGAAGCGGTTTTCTGGTGTATGGAACGTACTCACGCGGGTTTTCAACTCCATTGTATATTCCAGAATTGTTGAGCACTATTATCAGACAGGGAAGTCGTTCTCGCACCAGGGTTTCAATCTCCATAGCCGAGAATCCGAATGCAGAGTCTCCTTGTATAACAATCAACGGCTTATTTTTCCTAGTCAGTTTGGCTGTCACTGCATATGCCAAACCAATTCCCATTGTGCCATTGGTCCCTGCATCTAACCTCTGGCGAGGCTCGCAGAGATACAAACTCTGTCGGGACAGATCCATTGTACGAGCGCCCTCAGCCACGATGTTCGCATCAGGCGGAATGTGTTTCCTTATGGCGGCCAGTGCTTGGGTGTGACTAGGCATTAGATCATCATTGACAATTTCCTCCTGTTGCCGCAACGCTTGTTCTCTTTTTTCAATGAGCTCTGTGACCATCTTTGGAAGCGCTGGAAATTGGTGTCCTTTCAATTGATCGCTGAGATGGTTGATTGTGTGCCCCACGTCTCCGAGAACTCCCAGCTCCAGAGTACCCACGCTACGTGCGATCTCGCTAGCGTCAGTGTCAATTTGAATGATTTTGACATCTTTGTTGAATTTTGGAGGTTCCCCAAAATGGAGAATCCAGTTCAACCTGGCACCTGCCACTAGCACCACGTCTGCATGCTTTAAAACCAAAGACCTTGCAGAGGATACGTTGCAGTTGGAAGCATCCGGAATGATTCCTTTTCCCATTGGAGTTGGGAGAAACGCGATTTGGTGGGTTGCGACAAACTGTCTGAGTGTGTGTGCCGCATTTGCTGCTCCCTTTCCAATTATCAGCAGTGGAAACCTGGCGTCTTTCAGGAGTTTGCTTGCCCTTTTTATTTTTCTTAGTTCAGGAGTTGCAGTCCAGAGTAATGAAAAATCGAATTTCATCACTCGAACATTTTCGTAGCATTCTTGATTGATAAGGTCGTCCGGCAAGTCAACGTAAGTTGTCCCTGGAACATCTGCTATGGAGGACCAATATGCTTTCTCCAGGTACTGCGGTATTTGGCTGCTTAGAACTGTGCGAAAGCTACTTTTAGCCCATGGCTTCATCAGACTGACCTGGTCCAATTCCTGAAATCCGCCTTTTCCTGTTAGGGATATTTTAGTTGATCCGGCCAAAACCATGAGGGGCCATTTGTTGGAGTTCGCATTGTACACGCCAGCCAGAGCATTGACAATCCCTGGCCCTCCAACAGTCAGCAAAACCCCTGGCTTGCTGGTTAAATATCCGTATACTGAAGCTGCTAAAGACGCTTGCTGTTCATTTCTGAAGGGGATGAACCGAATGCCTTTCTCGATGCAAGCATCAGCAATCTTTCGGTTAGTAGAATTCATTGATGGTACCTTACCTCAACCACCGGAATGCCAACAATACCAAAAATATGCTCGATTCCTAGCTGCTGAAGCGTTTCTGCAATGAGTTCCGCTCCAATCATGATAAAAAATAATTACCCCAGATTTTCTTTAGGTAGCATTTATTTATTAGCGTCGATCAGTCAGTCATAATATATAATTCGAGACAAAAGAGTCCGATCGTTGAAGTTGATCCACTGATTTTTCTCGTGGTAGTCGTGCAATTCGTTATTCAACTGTTCCAACTTTCCTTTATTGCTCATCAGCATCACAACGTCAATCAAAGACGAAGCTGACGATGAATGCCCCAGGTTGCCGCGCAGAGAACCCCTTTTGATGCAGCCAATAGGATTGTCCACCTGATTAAAATCCAAGGGAGGAATCTTCACAAAGTATCGAGTGTAGAACTCGAGCTCTTGCTCAGGCGTCATGTAGCCGTCTTCTGGACCGAATTCAGACTTGAAAACTGAATCCACAGTGCGTTTGGATGACTGGCTTCGAACTCTGGACAAATTTATCGGCGTAAGCCGCGAAATAGGAGACTGTTCTGGTCCGCCTCTGGCAGGTATTGGAGTGAGCTGGCGGGGAGAAGAATTCACATTTTTCATTTGGCTCCGCAAACTCCAAATCTCATTTTGTATGGACTCTTCCTCTTTCAAATCATTGTCCGGCTCGTCGGCCTCCGCTCGCTCGTGCTTCATCACCGGAGGATCTGTGTCTTCGGTTAAACTGTCGTCCAACCGTTCAGGATCGTCAGAGGAAAACGTGCGTGGTTTTTTAGAGTCGCTCTTCAAGGCACTTAAATCATCCTCGGAAAACTCGTCCAAATCTATAAGAATCGAGTCTTTCACGCTGCCGTTTTTGGGCAGGACGGGGCCCTGCTCCTTGGCCACTTCTTCGGCCTCGCATGTGGGTTCCTCAGGCTCCTCACTGGCAAGAAGAATAGACTGTCCTATGGTGGACCCCAAAATGCTGGAGCTTCTATTCGCCCTGCTAGAGGAGCTGAACAACTCTCTCAGCTTCACCTCTTCGTCTTCAGATGCCTCCAAATCCGAGACGTCGTCCAATAATCGCCGTTTTTTCACACTTCTCTCCTCTTCTTCCTGTTTTTGGCGGACCAGCTTGGAGGCAGATCGAAAACCAGTCTCCACTCCGTCTGGCATGAAAAACGACTTAATCGAGGGTTGCGCTTCGTCACGTTTTTCGGCGGCTTTTTTGCCCTTCTTGGTCTTTCCTTTGGTGGTGAGTTGTGTCGCAAGACGCAAAAATGCATCACTGTCTTCTGATTCCTTGATTATTTGCTCGTTCTCTTTCGGAATGTCAATGAGTTTTTTCTCGGGTCTAGGATTACATCCCTTGGGAACAATACGGTCCGATGGATGGAAACGAATGTTGTTCCCGGCTTGCAAGTGAGTCTGGATCCAGCTGTAATTATCCATGGCTTTGTCAAACTTATCGCGCTCATTTCTCGACAGAAGCAGAATGATCCGACCATCTCGTTTTCTGCCGGTTCTTCCCATTCTCTGAATGTTCTTTATTGGCGAAGACGTTGAGTCGTAACATACAATCAGATCAACTTCTCCAATATCCAGTCCCTCCTCACCTATGGAGGTTGCAACGAGCACGTTGTACACTCCCTTTCTGAACTCTGCAATTAGCTCTTTCTGCACCCTCTGCGTCATTCCTCGGAGCTGTGCATCCTCAGAGCTTTTAACGCGGTCATTGGGACGAAGTTTCAGCTCAGCCTTGGCCTTGGTTTCTTTCCTGGGTTCTGGTTGTTTATTCTTGCCACGCCTTTTGGGCCCATGCTTCCTGGTAAATGATTCCGAGTCAAATTTCTCTTTTTCTTTTGCTTGACCGATGAAAATGTGCGGTTTGAATATTTCTCTGGGCCCACTAGGGTTTTGGGCATAAATGACGGCGTTTGCGGACTCTAGACATTTCACAATGTCCAATGCACTTTCACGAAGCTCGGTAAAAATGATGACTTTGGAATTCAGGTTTTGTGTCTCACCAAAAAAGAATTCCAGCTCGTCCACCATATGCTGCATTTTCGAGTGCGAAAAGACGCCTCTGATGCGCTCGCCCTTTGCAGACTTCTCCTCGTCCTCGACAATCATTTTCTCGACTCTGTTTTTCAGCTCCTTGACTCTAGCGTGGTAGTAGAAACTGGCTGCTATTTTGTTAGTCGACTTCTTATTGTCGTACTTGGTTGTGAACTCGGTGAATTTGTCAAGAAAATACGAGTAAAATGTCTGGATTCCATAAACATAGAGTCTTCGCAACAATTGTCCCACTGTTCCTAATAACTGTAGCTGGAAGTAATACGTCCATTTGATTCCCTCTGCGAGCGTTGGGTTCTTGATCACCTTTTGGGATTTCTCCATGGCCTGAAAATGGTTTATTTTCGAGGGATCCGTAATGTCGTAGATCCCGCTGCCATTGGCTTTCCGAAGCACGGGAAGGATAGCCTCGCAAATCAACTCCACAATCAATGCAATGCTATCAGTAACTTCACAGTCAATCTTCAAAATGTCGCGGCCCTTCACGTATTTAGCAGTGTCCGGACTGTCTTCAGTGCGCACCTCAATTCGCGATATGAGTAAATTGTCCACAATTCCTTGAATGGACTCAACATCAGAGCCAGGAGTAGCAGACAGACCCAGAATCCGGAAACTTGTGTTGAACTTCCTCATGTATGCCACGACGGCCGTATACGCATATGCACCTTTCGATCGATGGGCTTCGTCCACGACTAACAGCACGATATCCTTGGGATTTAGCGTGCCACTCTTCAGATCATTCTCGACAACCTGAGGAGTAGCAAAAAAGACGCGTTTTGAGCGCCAGATCTCTGCACGATTCCGCCGCGTTTTATCAAGGAGAATAGCTGTTTGATCGCTCGGAATGCCTGTGATGCCATAACAGGCCTTGATCTGCTGAGCAACCAACGGCCTAGTCGGAGCCATGAATATTACTTTGGCATCACGTGTCCAGCGGAAATAATTAAGCATTACCGTCGATGCAATAAACGTCTTCCCCAGACCCGTGGGCAGCACACATAGAAGATTCTGATATAACGCCTGTTTGACAATTTCAAATTGGTACTCCCTGACCTCGTAATTGGTCGGGTAAATAAAAGTCTCGAGCGCGCTGTAGTTCAACGGATGGTGAGTGGGCCCGAAACGGATGTTTTTCTCGCGAATCTCCTCGTAGATCGTCGTCCCGTTGCCGTTCTGAAACTCCAGAACGCCGCCGTCCAGCGTGCGTTGTCCAATCTTGCGCACCTCAGAAAACCGGTTGATCGCGCTACCTGAGTCGCGTCGAGGCGTGATCTCGTTCAGAAATACAATCTCTCCCTCATCGCTGAAATCGTCATCAGACGACATAACAGAAAATCAAGATTATTGCAAACGCGTATTATTCTATATTACAATTTTATCTGCACTGCCGTGATCCTCAAAGATACTCCTTGCTGAAGTTATAATTGATAACGATTTTATCGACCGGGTTGGAGAGCGATTCGTAGTAATCTTTGAGAATTTGGTTCAGCTTCGAGAAACTGACGTTGTATATGATGCACAGTGAGTTCAAACAGTTGTTGAAGAGATCCTTCTCCATTTCCTGGGCAACTTTTCGACTGATCTCGCTTTCCTCACCACACGTCATCTTGCCCATGATCTGCGATGAAAGCTCTGTCGAGAGCTGCTTAATATAGGTCTTCAGCTTGGACGACTCGAACTTTTTCAAAAGCTTGCTCATATTGGCGGTTGAGTACGCGTTTGTGCGAGATGGGTTCGTATGAGACTTGATCAGCCCCTCGATGCCATCCAGCACCGACATGAGCTCTCCTATAACAGTGGTCTTGGCATAAGAATCACAGAAATCGCTGAGCTCGCTGGACTTCAACTCCTCGATCTTTGATCTGATGGCAGAAGGCAAAGTGTCCAGATTCTTGACTTCTTCACTCAGCCATGTATAGTTAAGTAGCAGAACCAGGTGGCTTGCTACCGTTTCAACGACAGATGGTACTGTTTTGGTAAGCTCTAGCCGAATGTTCTCGCTCGCCGTTCTGGCAAGGAGGACATCATGCTGTCCCATGATTTGAGCATTTCTATGGAGACAACTGTCGAGGCCCTCCCATAGTTTGTTGTAGTCACTGTCTAGCTGTTGCTTGATGGCATATCCTGAGACACTCGTAGCTCCATTCAAGGCCATCATCTCTTCAACACGACGGGAGAATTCAGGGAAGGCTTTACTAAATTTGTAAACTTTGAAACCAACGGGCTCTTTTTCCATAATATGCAGCTGCTTATCAATGTGTCTCGTCCATATGAGGACAAGCTTTGAGTCCATTCGGCCCAGCGAGTGAACCACATATTCTTGACCTGTCGACGAAAGCTCGGCAATGAGTTTCTCAGCAAACAATGAAATGACTGGAAATTCTAGCATGTCTTCCTTGACGATTTTCGACACAAACTTGAATAACTTGTAGATCGACTCTCCAACGATCATATGCATGAGATTGAAAGTCTGGTCACTAACGTCACGGTCTGCTTCCATGTGAGAAACATCGGAATCAGTGAATTCGCGCACCCGCAGAGCAAGTGGTTTTTTGATCATCTTGACAAAATTGTACTCTTCAGAAGATGACAACGAGAAGAATTGAATCACAAAGCGTTGGTGCGTAATAACCGTATTGAAGAACAGCCTCAACAGGTCTAAAAGCGCCGTCGCAAAAGTATGCTTTTCCATTGGTTCCTGCGAGCTGCTGAGAGACTCCGGAGACGGCGTGCTCAGACCAAGCTCCTGCAAGATTTTTGTGTTCGACGGCAACTTTTTGGATTCAGCTGTCGACCTAGCTCGTTTGGTTGTTCCAAGGATAATATCTTTTGGTTCGCTATTAAACGAAAAAGATGAAACCTTGTCATTTTGCTTTTCGGAAACAAGTCTTTCAACAAGAACTGAAACAAAGTTCATATAGAACTGTGAATAAGCCTCCTTATGCTCGTCGAGCATCTGCTTATAATCTTCTGGTGAAACTTGTTTCACAAATGCCACCGAGCCCTGCAACGTCATCAGTTCAGCAAGCTTACGCTCAAGAGCCGAATTCAGAGAATCGAACGACTTTTCTGTCTGAAGTTTTGAATTCAGACTGGTCACCGATGCCTTCACCAGCTGACTGAATTGTTTTTTGAAGCCACTCACAAACCTGGTCGCGGCCTTCTCGTACTTGGACTTCTTTTCTTCAAGAGCTCTCATTTGACCCATTTCTTCATCATCGGAATCGTTGCCTCTGATCTTCATCAACGCCGCATACAAATTGCCTAAAGCAGCCTCGATACCCTCATTTTGTTCACCGATGGTAATGCGCTCGTTCAACAAACGAGTCAGCTCCTGATCAGAAATGTCCACAGAATGCAAGATCTCGTTAAGCTCTTTCATGAGAAGCTTTTTGTTCGTCGTCTCAACTTGTAGACCTTTTCCTTGCTTCTCTATATAATCAACTTCATCTTGGAAAGAGGCCAGTTGTATTCCGTAAAAGGCCAAGATGGGGTCAATAGACTGACATTCTTTGATCGACATGTTGATGGCTTGGTTCACTGCTGATGTAGAGCCTACCACATCCGTCAATGATTCGATCCTCTTGAACTGAATTCTTTCCAATTCCTTAAGCAGCTTCTTCTGCAACGATTTGGAGTCGTCCGTCTTGGGGTCCCACCCTATCTCATCGAAAAGTTCAGAGAGATCTCCGCCTTTTGGATTTTCAGTGTCGACCCTGCTGAAAGCCCTGGATCTGGCATGAGGTCTCAGCAAATCCATGGTTGTATTTTCTTCTTCTTCGTCAGAGATATCGAAGTCAGGCACAAATTTCTCTGCCTTCCCAACATTATGAGGAACTGGAGATGGCACTTTCAGTGAATTGGTGGAAATCTCCGGCTTTTCTGGCAAAGTGTTCGGGCTCAAGTTCAATGGGGCTGTTTCTGGTTCGTCATCAGCATAGTCGTCGAACACAGTCTCGTACTCATCGTCTTGGGTCAGTTCTTCAATCTCATGGTGAGACTTGCGATGCCCTATAAATTCGATTGACTTGACTGATCTTGCAGACGTGGATCCCCTGTTATTTTTCAAAGCAGTTAGGGTTTGTGCTTTTTCCATCTCTCGTCTGGACTGCTCAAGTAATTCCATCTCTAGCCTCTGTTCCTGTTGTTGTCTCTCACGAAACTCGATCTCTTGCCTTTTTTGCTCTAAACGTTCCTTCTCGCGTTTTTCCGCCTCAGCACTTTCCATCTCGCGCTGTTGTTCCTTCCGCTGCTGCTCTCTTAACTGTTGTGCTCTCGCTTCCTGTTCTCTGCGCTCCCTTTCAATTCTCTCGCGTTCCTTGCGCTCATTTTCTTTTCTCTCCTGTTCTTTGCGCTCGCGTTCTTTTCTCTCCTCTTCTTTACACTCCTGTTCTTTGCGCTCCTGTTCTTTGCGATCCCGCTCTTTGTCTAGACCCTTGAGAGCAGAAGTCGTTCGTTGAACTTCTCTCAAACGCATGTCACTTTTGCTGTAGATCCCCGCCCTCGATGGAGATCCGGTTCCCGGAACTGGAATGGGAGATGAAATACGTGTTCGAGGCGAACTGTTGGCAGTTGCTGTTGTAGCCGAAGTCCCTGTACGTGTTTCGCTGGTCATCGTTGTTGAGCTCTCTGCGGTTGCAGAGCGACTCGGAAGCTTGTGGACAAACTTTTGTAAAAGGGGCTCCAAATGGAAATAGTCGACCGAACAATTGACCAGCTGGGGAAGCTTCTTTCCCCCGGTGTACCTGATGTAATGCTCCAGCACAGATGTAAGCCAGACCCTCCGTTCTTTGGGATAACTTGTTTCCCAGTAATACCTCTTGCCCATCTCAAAGATAAAACCTGTCGGAACTTCTGGATCAAGCTCAATTTTAACGAGCTCTTCAAAATCCCAGGTTCTACCGATCTGGACACTGGAGTCCGGGTTCTCCCTCGCCTTGTGCAAACGGATCCTTCCCGACGACCTCACGGACAATATCAGTATACGGTCCTTCTTATTCTGGGCGGGACTGTTGTCGGGTGGGCGTTCAGACTGGGACTTTGAGTCCTCAATGATACGGACATGTGCCAGATACTTCTCAGCCCGACGGCCAGACTGATCCGTCTCCCTGAACAGATATTTGTTGATTTTGGACATGTCAAGCTCATATTGACGAGCCAGATCAATTGAAGAGTGAGAGGCCGTTTTTTGATGGCCCTTCGAGGGGTGGCTTCGGATCATGACAAAAGAGTTATTTTTTGGAGATCTGTTTACAACGTTTGTTCTGCAGTAAATTTACTTAAAGTACATCCTTACACCATCATGGAATTCAGTCAAACTCAACTAGAAGCTTACCCTTAACGTTACCACTTTGGAACTTGTCGACGGCCTTGTGGAACTCCTCAAACTTGTAGATGGTATCCACAACGACGTTGAACTGTTTTTTCTCCCACATATCGCTCACGGCCTTAGCAAAGCCTGCACCATCGCTAATGCTTCCGAGAGCAAAGTCGTAGTTGGAAAGGCCAAGCTTAGACAGAATTTGCTCTCTCAGGTTTCCCCTGGATGGAATCATGTCTCTGTATCTAATTGTTCCGTAAGACATAGTGTTGCTTCCAGCAACTTGGATGTATTTTCCACCTTCTTTCTTGGTCTTGAGGACGTCTTTCAATCGTCCCACGAAAACTTCGTCTCTGCAGGTGTCAAAGATAAGATCAAACTTTCCGTGTTTCTTGGTGGCCTCAACAATCTGCTTGTACTCTGCCTCCTTGTCATGGTAGTCCACTGTTTCGTGAGCACCGAATTCGTGGGCAACGGCATTCGACTTGGAAGAGCAGGTGGTGAGAATGTACTGAGCACCCAGGTGTCTGAGTATCTGAAGCCCCATCATTCCCACAGAGGTACCTCCACCAAGAACAAGGACATTTGCGCCCTTCAGGTTCTTATGTTTCGTGATCAATTCGTATGCGGTCCCGAATGGAATCCCGGTACCAGCAGCCTTCTCCATAGGCAGTCCTTCAGGAACCTTGGCGACCTTCGTTTGTTTGGTCACGTCAATGACCTGGTAGTTTGAAAATGAGCCTTCAGGATTGAAAGGACTTATGATGTCTCCGTAGATCTTGTCTCCGGCCTTGAAAGATTTGACGTCGGAGCCTGTTTGCAGGACGACACCAGAAAAGTCTCCGCCAAAACCTTTTGGCTGGCCTCTCTTCAGCCATTTTGGACACAACTGCCATAAACACACATCAACAGGGTTCAAGGCAGCATATTTTGTCTTGACCAGGATTTCAGTTGGAGCGAGGAAAGACGACTCGGAATGGCCCTTGATTTCTCTCTTGGTGATCTGTAAAGGTGTGGTGTAGTTGTAGTACGTGACCGCCTCGACAGTCAAAGTATTGTTGACAATTGGAGCTTCAGTCATGTTAAATGCGAAAAAAACTTGCTCTCAGGGTTTTTATGCTTCCTGCGTCAAAAGTCACTTAATTAATAATCAGCCGAGCGTACACCGAGTTTCCTGATACTATAAATCTAGTATATATTTCTGGAAGCTTCTTTGACCGGTATCCAGCAATCGCTGGATACCGTTGCTCGACTATTCGACGACGGGGCTTTTTCATTCGCTAGCTTGGGTATCCTCCTCGTCAGGCTCCGCTAGCTCAGCGTCTAGCTTCTTGCGCGTCTCCTCGTCAGTCACCTCGTAGCAGCCTGCTGCCTCGTCGACCACAGTCAGTTCCAGACCAGAGTTCAGGATCTTGTCAAAGTCCTTGTGGTTGATTCGCCATCCCAGCTCCTTGCCCGTGAGATAAGTGATTACGTGGTCGCAGTACCCCAGGATGTCAACGTCAAACTCGCAGTGGTAGATAGGATCTTTGTTGATCAAGATTTGCGGGACATGATTTGGAACAAGGTTGACAATTTCGCTGACTGGCGCCACTTTCAGTGACGTCCCTATGCAGATCAGCAAGTCGCATTTCTCGATATCGCTCTTGATAGTGGTGTGGAATTGCTCCGGCAAGTCCTCTCCGAAAAATGTAATATCAGGCTTCATCACGCCGAAAGAGCTCACGTACTCGAATTTTCGCGAGTAAACGCCTTCGTCCTCCATCTTGTCCAGCTGGGCAAGCAGGCTCTTTCTTTCCTGCTCACAGAAGGGACAGTACGCGATTTCCTGGCGTCTGAGATGCCCAAAAATAGTCTCTCCAGGCACCTTGTATTTGCATGTAATACAGCTGGCAGTTGCAAATGAGCCGTGGCACTGAACAATCTTTTCTTTTAGCACCCCTGCGTTGGCTTCCAAATTATCGATGTTTTGCGTGTAATTTCGCAGCAGCTTCCCTTTGTCTTGCAACAAACGGATAAAGCCATGGAGCGGTGTGTAAGCGGCTTCTGGAGGCAGAATCATATGTGCGATCGAGTAAAACACCTCCGGGGACCGTTTGAAGACCTCCAGACTAAAGACGTCCTGCGGATCGTCGAGCCCAAGATGCTTCATCCTGGCGTAGAAACCCTGCGAAGACCTAAAATCGGGAATTCCCAAAGAGGTGGATATTCCTGCACCTGTAAGCACTAGGATGTTTTGTGCATTTTCTAGCGCATTTTTGACGTGCTCGATCTTGTGGAAGCTCGGGAGTCTTGTGCGGATCTTCAACACCCGGTTCATGGCTTTCTGCATAAAAAGAATGCATTTTTGCATGAACTCCTCTGTCCGGTCCTGATTTCTGTAAAAGCGACTCTCGTACCTAGGCGCATAGCCAAGCATACCGGTGACGTGTAGTATATCTTGAGGCGAAGGGTCCACAGGTATGGTCTTTTCCAGAAATTCAACAAATCCGCGCGACTTGAGGAAGCTTCTGGCGTACGAGCAAACGTTTTTGGTGATCTTGATATCGGTCATCAGCGGAGGCGAGTCCCGGTCAAAGTAATCCATTTCTTCGAAAGGCGGTTCCGACTCGTCGGCCTCTTCAAATGCAATTTCTTTCAGTGCAAGCTCGTCTATCATAAACGTGTCAGAGTCTTCGGAAGAGACGTCTGATTCAGAGCTCGTATCGACGGGGGTGTTAGAGTCTGGTTTGGGTATTTTGGATTTTTGGCCGTCGTCCATGCTGCCGCCCCCATTTTCAATATTAGGACTGCGAGGTCTTTTGGGCAACTCTGCAGCTTGCAATGGGGTGATCGGCATGTTGACGCTGTCAGAGGCCGGAAGCGACATGTTATTAGATTTAAAAATTAAAAGAATTAACAATCGATTAGCTAATTTTTTTTCAGCTCAGATCGTCTTTTTGGCATATCTGCTTACGTTCGCTAGTTACACTTTGCTTAGCTCAGGGACCGCAGCCGCGAACAGTGATCCCGATGTGCTGCAAACGCGGGGCAATTGCAGAGAAACATGATTGCCAGCTGCCTACGGAAACCCTCTTTCTTCAATGAGGGATGCACTCACCCAGATGGCACAAGCCCGCGATCGGTTTGCTGTGTCTGCAAATATACCATGCACGGTCTGCTCGTAAGCGTGCCGCAGCTACCACGCTCTATATCTACACATCCTTGCACCACCGACTGCCAAAAAGTAGGTCTGGTCGAGAAAAGTATTTTTCAACATATTTTTACAAGATCGGCCGCCATGAGACCAAAGCACACGCCAGCGATTCCGCCTCTTCCTCGGTTGAAGGTCCGGTCGTCGGGAAAGAAAGGAGCCGCAGCAGGAAAGTGCGCTGTGGTGATGTCGCAGATGCTCAACTGCTGGGCCGCCAACGGTGAAGGTGCCGCAGCTTGCAGAGAACTAGAACAGCAACTCAGGGAGTGCATGTACTCCAGGAAGGCTGTCACCACCAAGTCTAGTCCAATGATCAACTTCCATGCCTCTCGACTGCTACCTAAAATCCATCGCAAGGTCGACAATTAGAGACACCACAAGTTCGCTGTATATACAAGGTTTACGGGTTGACTGCTGTAGAGCGCATATAGTTTACAATTGAAAGTCATTTCTTCATCCACGTATAAAACATTAGATTTAAACATTAAGACATTATTAAATTAGGAACTGATTCATCTCTCATTTCTCGTTTCTCATTTCTCGTTCCTCATCGAAAATTAAAGGTATCATTAGACAAGGGGAACCTGAGCTGATTCAGGCTCGTGCCAGGATCCTGGCATTCTTAGCCACTTGGTTTCTGGAAGAGGTGCGTAAGAGTTTGCAGCGTTTGCCAATCCGTCGTAAACACCGTAGAAAGCGCAGACGGAAGTCAAGAAGCAGAACACACCAGATGCAACCTTAACGCTCTCGTGCTCTCCAAACGTTGCAATGGTGTAGAGCAACATGAAGAACCACTTGCAGAAGGTCAGAGCAACCAATGGAATGGTGCTCTTAAAGGTTGCAGTGAACAAAATGAAGTCAAACACGGTCCATGCTGAGAGGTAAATACCCAAAGCATTGTTGTAGTCGTCCGTGTTAGAGTAGTAGTCCTGGACGCCCAAGACGTCGGTGATGATGGCACCGTAAGAAGCAAAGAATGCACCGTAGCAAAGAAGTAAAACGGAACCAAACAGGTTGTTATCGACAACAGCCCAAATACCAGTGATGATCTGGACTAATCCCGAAGCAAAGAAGAAAGCTCCCGACAGAATGGCCGGGTTCTTGACAGAGTGGGCTTGACACAGAATCAAACCAAGAGAGAACAGGGTGACAGCAATCATAGCCAGGCCACCAGCACAAGAAGTAGGGTATGGCCTCCATTTGCTGGACTTCTTGTAGTAGCTGACTCTAAGCAGACCTGTTCTTGGTGGATAAACCACATACTCAGGCTCGTAGGCCGACTGCTGGACTTTCTCGTTGTGAACCGCGGTTTCAGTGTTGGATAGTTGATCAGACATTTCTAGCTAATTGATTTAGTACTGGTTAGAACAGGGTCGTCAAGACGGCTATTTATACTGTTGCGCAGCCGAACAGTTCCTTGGTTCCTTAGTGTGTGCGGCTGCACGGCAAGCAGGAATATGTGGTCCGCGTTCGTTGACGGGTGACAAACAAGTCTACGGGACCTGTCGGAAACACGTCACGCCATGCCAATTAAGGTAGCTGATGCATGTAATTATCGCAGATTGTTACGATGATTGTTTCGGAACTCATCGGCTTTTTTTTTCCAGAATTTACACCCCATGTCAAGATACGATAGACGGTAACTAGAATGACCTCTTGTTGATGGGCAGAATCTTTTGGAATTTCCAGTAATTAGTAAAACGTTCTATGCATACGGAACGGCTGGTAGCATGTCCCTTGATGGTGTGACCCGTCCCGAAAACTCCTATCGCCACTCCCGCAGGTTGTTAGGCTATCGAATAATATTCGCTCTGGGATAAAGGGAGCATTTCCACAACTTTCTTTTAAACTCATCTCAGTATTGCTTGTTAACGATTTTTGAGTGTCTCATGCGCTTCAGAACGTTAATATCGTATCTTCTGATTATGTAAATTTTGATCTAATTTTTTGTTTTAAAAAAATGCTCAGAGCTCGCTCTATACGGCAGTATTCAAAGCTGGGCCAAACGGTGGCAGATGCCACAAAGTCGGGCGTGGCAAGCTCTATCACAAACGACCAGTCGTACAAGAACTTTTTCGAGGATTTCTCAAAGTCTGTGATGTCGCAGAACCAGCTCTCCTCCATCAGCGAACAAAAGACCTTCGGCAAAGTGTTCGATTATCTTATGAAGAAAACAAAGCCTGCTGGCGTGGCAGAAACACTGAAAGATCTTGTGAACATAAACGAACAACAAGCTAAGAGCCCGTTCCAGGACTTGGCTCCAGGAACGCAGTCCATTAAGGCCCATAGCTTGGAGACATACAAGAAAAGACTCGAACAGAAAAAAGCTCTGTTCAAGGCTCTGGAGCCCGCTCTGAACTATATCGGCCACAAAATTGACACGAGCGAGGCCATGATGGCATACATAAAGAACGATCTTGTGGAACGGTTTGTGAGAGAATACTCCACCAAGAACAGGAACTCATTGGATCATGATCAGCTAGTTCAAAATACAGCTACTTTGACCTTCAAAAACCCTTCGCAGCCACCGGTCAACCAGCAAACGCTTCCTCTTCTGCTGGAATACTGCTTAAACTCGCTCACATACGATTTTGACTCATTCGACGACACGCTGCTTCTGCTCGACTACATCAGACAACACAAATCGATTATTGTCTACGAGTTTGGCCTCAACATCGATGTTTACAACTCTGTGCTGCTCCAGGTATGGCGCAAAGCGGAAAATTTGCAGCTGATCAGCAAGTTGGTGGACGAGATCAGCGCAAATGCTATACAGCCTGATCTGCTCACATACAAGATTCTGGCTCAGATTTATCTCCAGTGCATGAACGTTGACGACGAGTCCAAGGCTCGCTACCACCTTTTGTGGGGCAACGGCTCCGACATCTACAAAGTGCGGACATTCTTGGATAACATGAAGCTATCCATCGTGTAAATAGTGCATTGAAAAATCATACACATCCCTACACTGGGTGTCACGATATTTTCTTGAAACGCGTAAGAGTATTTATATAATTTTATTCATACACCGTGGACGGAACCGGCCTATAGAAGCACGCTTTGCGCCCAGTGCCTTCTAACTACACATACGAACCCGACATTTAGGGTGCACGGCATATCTGGTTTCAAGTGACGATGATATTGACTCCCGGAGAGTTTTCCAAAGCCTTTGAGGAGATCAAGACCACCTCCCTGACTCACTCTACTTGCAAACTCGTCATCTTTGTGTCATGTCTAAACGTGGATGCGATCTGTGCGGCCAAGATATTATGTATGCTTCTCAAGCGGCATCTCATAGTGTTCCAATTAATACCTGTTGTTGGATATAATGATTTGAGGACCAAATACTCCAAGCTTGACGAGGGCATTTCCAATGTGCTGGTGGTTGGCTGCGGTGCAATGGTCGACCTGGAGAGCTTTTTGGAGATTGACGTGTCGCAACACGTCGAACAGATCGATGGGCCCGGCGTTCCCATCACTCCAGAGTCCTCTACCACAGAGCCCCAAATGAAGCTCACGCGACGCATATACATTTTCGATGGGCATCGGCCGTGGAACCTCGACAACCTATTTGGATCGCAAATGATTGCTTGTTTCGACGACGGCTCTGCCGAAAGAGAGCTCGAGAGCCAAAAATCCGCATACGAAGCATTGGTAGCCATGGACGATGAGGAGGAGGAAGAGGAAGAGCAGTCGCAGTTTGACGATCTTGGAGGCGACTCTGAAGACGAGCTTGGCGGCCGCAAGCGCAAAAACGAGGACACGCTTCCCCAACGCAAACGTTTACTTCTGGAGAACGAAAAAATCATAGAAGACTACTATAATCAAGGTACCACCATTTCTATGTCTGCCGCGATACAGGTCTATTCGCTGATCTCCACATTGGGAGAGTCCAATATCGACTATTTGTGGCTATCGATCGTGGGGGCTAGCTCGCTGAGCTCTCACTTTGCCAACACGTACGAGTCTCTAATCCCGCTTCTCAAAGACGAGGTCAACAGGTTGCAACAGAGCAGCGACAGAGAAGAAAACACAGAGTCGGCACTAGACACAGCCAGAGCGAAGAAAGCAGACGACACGGCGCTCCGGATCGACAAGGACTACAGCTTGTTCCTTCTCCGACATTGGAACCTGTACTGCTCGTTTTTCTATTCCAGCTACGTCAACTCAAAACTTCAACTATACACAACTAATGGAAAGCGGAAACTGAATACCATGTTTGCGCGCATGGGTATCTCGCTTGCGGCTGCCAACCAGAACTGGCATTACCTGGACATCAACCTCAAGAGAAAACTGCATTCTATCTTCCGCAAGAATTTGGGCCAGTTCGGACTGACAGATGTGATCAGAGACGGCTTCGTTCGCGACTTTGGGTTTCATGGTTCTCTGTCCGCCGGCGACTTTGTGGAGGCTGTGACGGCGCTGTTGGAGTACGACGGCGAGCTCGTGACCCAGGACACAAAGACGCGGCCGTCGACGCCGGACGTTGAGGAAAACGCGAAGGATATTCGTACCCTGATCCAGAAAAGGGAAGCACAATTTGTTTCAAATTTTTGGAGAGCATACGACGCGCTAGACCATTTCGAGCTGATTTCCAAGGGGCTCAAGATTGCAAAACTTCAGCAGCAGTTCATTTTCGACAAGGGGTTCGAGATATTCCAGAAAAAAATGATCAAGAACCTGCGCATCTTCAGGCTTGTTGTGCTGAAGGATAATTTTGCTACCAACAACACGGTGTCGGACCACTCGCTGATCCCAGATTTTGGCAACTCGGACTCCATCGAGATCAAGACATTCAGCAGTAACACTAAGCTCTTTCAGAACCCCCTCATCCTCACAAAGCTTGGCAACTGGATTCTCGAGTCCTGCGCAGAGCTGGACAAGAGTGTCTTGCCGCTGGTGATCGCCTCTCTCGATGTGGACACCGGCACGTACCTCGTCTGTGGACTGCCCCCCAAATACCCAAATATGAAGGGTGTGGAAGAAGCTGCCGAAAAAATCACGGTGCTCAACACGTTCTCGCTCGCGTTCCAAGAAATAGCCAACAGCACAGGGGCCAAAGCCAGAATAGACAGCTTTGAAAGTTCCATGATTGAAATCCGAAAGGACGACCTGCCCATGTTCCTAGAGCGGCTCAGTTTGAGCGGGCTGGTCTAATCTCGTGCAGATGTAATAAACTTGAGGCCATTGCGTAGCAAATATGAAAGGTATCTATTAAATGCACAGCCCAGATCTTCTCTTTATTTATATTTATTTTATGAGCTCTCCCTCCAAGCAGCCCGTGCACCCTTTCCCCACATTCACGCCTACCAGGCACCTCGAACAGCGTCGGACGCGGCGTGCCGCTACCTCTCCTCCACGCAAACGCACAGCCACAACTCCTATCTCGCTGACACCACTGTCAACGATGAGGAGGATCAACGCAACGCGGACCAGCACTAATGGCGACCGCCCGACCGTGCTGAATTTCCAAAGCGCCACCAAAACAAGCTCCTCAAAACTGTCTAAATGTGAGGGCCGCAACGAGAACATCTTCTTGTCTCCCCAGCAAAACAAGAGATTAAGCACTGACAACGAGCTAAAGGAGCTTCTGCTCGAAAATAGCAGACTGATGAAAATTCTGGCCCAAAACCAGGAACTGATCATGGACTACATCAGACGGAAGTAGAAGGCATCTTCTCAATTTGTTTTTTGACGATCTCGAGCGGTATGATTGCATCTTCCAATGAGTCATGCTGTCCACCTTGAATGTTCTTGCTCAAAAACCGCCATGCGAGCTTCTTCAGAGGATCTTTACGACGAGGGTCGACTGTCTTCTCCGAAAATAGCACTGCTGTGTCCACAATTTTGGAGTAGACAATCCGCAAAACATTGAGATCGTTCTCCAAGCCGTGTCCAATGATCACAGTATTTTCGTCAGTGAGTCGCGCCATTTTTTCCAGCATTTGCTCCCACGTCATTGCGTCCTCTGGGATCGAGTCCACACCAGAAACAAAAGTGTTCAGATCAATCACATCGCCTTTGGGTTTGACAATCTCATCCATGATCAGGGTACACTCAGGGAACTTGACAAGACTCAATTTCATCATTTCGAACCCACACGAGGTGTAGCACATCTCGCAGTCCAGCCCTATCGCCGAATGTTCAGCCTTATCTTTAATGTTATATTTTTCGCGCAGTTCTTCGATGGTTGCAAACGGTCGCTGGAAATGCATTTCTGCCGGATCATTCAACTTGTAAACATGCTTGTCCAACTCTCGACAACCCTCCGTATGGCCAGGAGTCTCATTGCAACATGAATAGCGGCGGTTTGCATAGTTGTAGTTCCATTTCTTGATTCCAGGACTCAAACTGGTGATGATTTTCCCCGGATGAAACCTGCAAACGCTCTTATGAGTCGGTAGGTACTCCTCGGCAGCCAAAAACGTCACCTTACAATGAGCACACTCAAGCGTCTCACCATGTTTCTTTGCCTCCGGCACATCCAAGATGAAGCCGTGTCTCAGCAGCATCTGTCTTGAAACACATAATTGTTGCAGCCTGCGAACATATTCCTCGCAAGATAAACCTTTTGGAGCAGAATCAAGCTTGGGCTTTTTCTTCACTATTTCATACATCCGTCGCTTGACCATTCGAATGTATTCCGGCTGTGTTTTGCTTTTGGAGGCCACATCGTGCTCTTGATCAACAGCGGTAACAATAGCATTCGGGGTCCCTAGTTTTTTCAATTGTTCATGGAATATTCGAAGATAATGTCTTCGTTCCTCGTACTTTGCTGGCGAAAAAGGAACAACCGGCCGCGGAACAAGTTTGATAACATCTTGTCTCGAGTCAAAAGGATCAACGCTTTCGATCTTCCGCTTGGACATGGGTGGCAGCGAAAAAATTAAAAAGCTCTTATTTTTATACATATTATCGACCAACGGTCGATCGTCGCTAGTTCATCGAAATGTCTTCCTATTATACATCAACTCTAAGGTTTCTTCATTTCGCCAGCACTTCCTGGGGCCGGTGAGGCTGATTAAGTCGATCCATTAGCCCCATTGGCCTCCGCCGATCCGTTCGCCAGCTGTTTTTGCTTCTGCTGCAACATTCGCTGCTGTTGCTGGAGGAGGCGTTGCTGATGAGCTTCAATCTGCTTCTGTCTGATGTGATGGATGCTGTCGTAGGCCTTTGTCAACAGCATACAGCCGAAACGAATGGCTTGAGTCTGACTGCCGATTTGGTTAAGCTTCGATGGATCCAAAGGATTATAGGATGGCAAATCGGAGTCAAACATGAAGCGTGATTTGAGTCTCCTCTTCGCATCGCTCTGAGAGTCATAGACATTGATACGTCTCTTTCGTGATGCCAACTCACCATTCTCGGGCGGGGTGACTGGTTCGTCCTTCGATTCTTCGTCGCCGTTATCCGACTCCAATTCTACCTCATCGTCGGACGCATTCAAATAATCTTCGAAGCCAGGATCGTCCCTAACGCGCTTGCGGTCTATCCACATTCTTCCGTAGCGACCAACACGTTTTCTAAGTTTATAGAGAACCTCTGACACGGAAAGCTTGTATTGATTGGCGTTGTTTGGATTGTAGAATCCGGTATCCTCATAATCGCGATCCTGTCCAGTAAGATCGTAGAATTCTGGCAAGTTGTTTCTATCATTCTTCACCACCTCCCCATCAGCCGCGTTGATCTTGACTACTTCGTCGTCCGTATAATGTTTGTGGCCGTTGAGAAGTGAGGAGAAATCGACTTCCCTTGAATTCTCCACCTCATACATAGAAGAGGCGATAGACGAATAAGGAAGATGTGATCTCTCCTTTAAAGCCTCGTCTTCATTGCTTGCAATCTGGAAAAATGGATTGTAAGGATCGTCGGTGAAGTTGACCCATCCTTCATCCTGTGCTCGCCGTTTCACCAATTTGTCGCTAACTGCCTTTTTGATTCCCTCAAGCTTGTCTTGCAAAACAGCATTGACTGTTGTCAAATCCAAATCTGGAATACGCGAAGACGGGAGCTTGACATATGGTTGGACAGCGACTGGGTTTGCACCCTGTCCTGGCTGTGTCTGAGAATATGCGCCTCCCTTCTGATACTTTTGTCGCTGAGAGGCAGCTAATTTCTCCTTTTCGAGTTGTTGTTTGCGGCGCTCCTTGGCCAACAATCGTTCCTTCTCCGACATCTGCTGCGCTCTGAAAAATTCCGGATCCGGTAATGGTGGCCGTTTCTTCTTATGTGTGATCAAATCCTCTTCTTCTCCTTTAATTCCTAGCTCTCTCTTCACTTTCTTTGTTTCACATCTCAAATTGAAGATCTCCTTGTCTGTTTTGAGCTGCTCAAGTCGCCGAACCTCCCGTTCAGCAACCATAAATAAGATATTGCGAGCATGCTTGAGATCTTTGTAGAACACCGCAAGACGCTCTGCACCTTGCGTATCGGTTCTTCTGGTTTTTCTCGCTTGCCTGAATTCACGGCGTCTGAAACAAACATATGGGTCATTGTCATCCTTATGCGACGGATCTTCGAACTTGAGCGTAGGAAACACAGGCTTACCATTTCTGGCTATGCGACGAGCTTTCCAATGCTCATATATTTTGCGACCAAACATATCGAAGAGCACCTTCAAAGGTCGAGGTTGCTTTCCACTTGTTGGTTTGGCGTCGAGCAACGTCTTAAACGGATGTATATTGAGCTGATTTTCCAATGTCCGTGCAACATCTGCGGGATCGGATTTGTCTGGCACCACGGCAACCTCAACTATTTCCTTGAAACTCAAGATTTGCTGCGGATCCATCGCCAAAAATGGCTGTTTTTCGTTCACCACTGACTCGAATCTGTGTGCGATCATCTCAAACTCGTCCTCAGTGCATTTGTTGTCTAGCGTACTGTTCATCTTCTCAAGAAACTTCTCATCCACCTCATCCATACAGTAGGGACATCCGCAAACATCCTCAACGGTAGCTGAGAACCTGATGTATGAAGCAGGAGGGACAAACTCGTCCTTGTAATACTTGTCTGCATCTGCCCAGACCTTCGAAGCGTCTGGGGTTGGAATATAAACCTGCTCAACTTTTCGACCCTGTATTTTAGCTGCAGATGCATTAATAACTTTTTGCAGGTGATGTTCCTCTTCTTCTCCTTTTTCCACACCGGTTTCGATCTGTTGTAGATCTCGCTGCTGCTCAGCAAGCTCAAGATCTGGAATATCGCGCTGCTTCCACACTTGGAGCGTCTGCTTCACCGAGATCTTGCGCTGCCGGAATCGAGCACCAGCTGATGATGGGGGTGCCATTGTGAATGGAAATCGATGTTACTCCGTAACACCCTTACACCAATGTTTATTTGCCCCTTACTTGTGACAAACAACACGCTCAGATCCTGGTGGACTCGGAGCAGGCAATCCCAATCTGTGTACAGTCCGGTTCTTTTCTGTCTTCCGGAGCGAGATATGCAATCCTGTGTGGGATGAGTGTAACAGAAACTCCTATCTCGGCAATGAAAAACACACTTATTTGTCCCCGTCTCTCCAGTATGCACGCGCACACTCTCGGTCTTGAAATAACTGCGCCCTTGTAGCTGTAAATGGGAAGCCTTGACTGGACTAACTCCTTATTGGGCAAAAATTAACCTGGTTATCCTAGGAAATTTGAATATGTACAAGCTGGCCCAGTTTACGAATACCCGGATTTGCCTTCGCTTGCCATGCTGGGGGCTGCCTTTTCGCGAAGAAATTTTCTCGACGAAATAGGTTATGAGCACCTGTAACGATGCAGGGGCGCACGCGATCCATTTAGACATCCTTGCACTGGATATGGTAGTTCTCCAGCGTATCCTGGGCCACTCTACTTGGCGACCCGACCACAGGGTCCGTTCCCGCTTGCGTCTTCGGGAACGCCACAACGTCTCTGATGTTACTTGACCCAACGATCATTGAACAGAGTCGGTCAAATCCCACAGCAAACCCCGCGTGCGGTGGACAGCCACTGTCAAGTGCTTTTAGCAGGTGACCAAACAGCTCCTCGGCGTTGTGGACCTTCAGAATTTCCTTGAGGACGTATCTTTGTACCTGTGCATCGTGGATTCTTTGCGACCCTCCGCCAACTTCGACTCCGTTGATCACCAGGTCATAATGTTCTCCTTCGATGTCTAGAACGTTGTCCGGAGAAGGTGTGACTCCCTGAGTCAAGTCGAACATTGTGAATGGATGGTGAGTCGCCTCGTATTTGTCTTTTAGATAAATAGGGTATTCTTTTCCCTTGGACTGGGAGTCTTCTGCCGGCGAAAATAGTGGGAAATTGGTTACCCAGCACGCTGCGAAGGTGTCGCTTGCTGAGAGTCCCGTGTCGTGTCTCCAGAGCTCTGGGAAATGCTGGATAGCCAGTTGTCTGAATTTCCCTAAAGGTGTAGGGTTTTCATAAACGTGTCTGTGTCTCTGTTTGTCGGGATAAACTATGTCACCCAGGGCTACGACATCCCCAACTTGAAGACCGAGTTTTCCGTTCAATGCGTTGATTTCTCCCTTGAATACAAACGGAGATGCTGCATGCCAGGTAGTGAGATCGTGGTCGGACTTGATCTTGGCAATATACGGCCTGCGGTGTGCGTACTCATGCGAACTGATCAGCTGGTCAATTCCGTCAAAGTTGGCAGCTCCAGTAAGAACAACTCCCTGAATGGTTCCTTGGCTCTCGAAAAACTCGTCCAGGACCTTAAACCTCAGGTTGTAACGGAGGTCTGGTTTGTCGATACCGTAATAATGCATCGCCTCTCTATATGAGAGCCTTTTCAATGGCTTTTCACCCGCTAAAACCACACTAGATAAGTCCTCGTTCGGAGTGAACAAGTCAACCTGGCGAGTCTCCTTAAATATAGCCTTGATCACAGTCTCCACTATGCGCATGACATCTTCCTTCTTTGCAAACCCCATCTCCAAATCGATCTGGGTGAACTCGGGCTGTCTATCCGCACGAAGATCTTCGTCGCGGAAGCATTTGGCTAGTTGGTAATACCGATCAAATCCACTGGCTATCAACAGTTGCTTGTACTGCTGTGGTGATTGAGGAAGAGCGTAGAACTGGCCCTTTTTTCGGGTCGGGACAAGAAACTCGTCGGCCCCCTCAGGCGTCGACTTGAACAGCAGCGGTGTCTCGATTTCGACAAATTCGTTTTCGTCTAGCACGCTACGTGCAACCGCAGCAATCTGGGCCCTTTTCCGCAGCGACTTTTGATAGTAAGGTTGCCTAAGTTGGAGATACCTGAACTCCTGCGGAAACTGACCGGTTGTTTGTTTCAGAGAGTTTAGCTGCACGGTTTGGATGTCCGCGGTGTTCAAGACCTTCAGATCCTTTAGTACCAGCTCCCACGTCTCCGGCTTCCCGTCTTTGCTCTTCTTCGGCTGCACAGTACCTATCACGCTCACCACGTCCTCTGGCTTCCTGGAAGCAAGCTTTTCTGCTGTTTCCTGGTCCTTGCAAATGAGTTGGGCGTAGTCTGACTTTGTGTCTCTTAATGAGGCAAAAACAAGCTTGGAAGACAGCTTTTTGGGAGGCCTATCAATCCAGCCGTTCAAAATAACGGTACCCTTTCCCACTCTCTTGTGGTCCCGGTTGATCTCGCGAATCGTGTGAGTCGGCTTGTCAAAGTTGAACTTGGCCGCAATTTCGGCAAAAGGGGCCAAGCTGTGTAGCGATCGGACGAAATGCGTCGAAATCGGCCATACTCTAAGATTCATTGTGGAGAATCTCAAACAGGAACAAGCTTACTGTGGTTAGCTTTCTTGGACACCTTACTCCTGGTGTGTTTCACACGACTCGCTAGCTTAAAAATTTTCCAAGCACGAACAAAAGTACATTATAATTGATCTTTAACACTAGACAAAATGTCGTTGGGTACTTTATATGCTGGTGAGGCCACCAGAGTTTTGGCCGCTAAGGGTGTTGTCAAGGCTCTGGACTTGGACGTCAAGTTTGGCGAGAAGACCGATGAGGCTTTCCAAAAGAACTTCCCATTGGGCAAAGTTCCAGCCTTCATTGGTCCAAGGGGCTACAAGCTGAACGAGGCCATCGCTGTCCTCTATTACTGTGAGTATTTGCGTATGCGGACCATGATTGATGCTTTTATGATGAAATATTTCCATCAATTATACAGTTATCCCTGTCTTAAATACCATGTCGAGATTACGAATCTGAGATGCATCTGGTCCGTTTTCCTATGTGAAAATCTTACTAACCTCTCTAGTGGTGTCTTTGAAAGATGAAAATCACCCATTGCTAGGAAAGACCATCCAAGAGCGTGCTCAAGTTCTGAAATGGATCTCCTTCGCTTCCTCCGAATTCATGGTCGAAGCCACGGCTGCCTTCAAGCCATTTGTCGGCAAGGCCCCATACAACAAGAAGGCTGTCGATGAAGCCCTCGGGAAGATGGAGAAGTGCGTCGCTGCTCTAGAGGCCAGATTGGAGCACTTCACTTACCTGGTTGGCGAGAGACTAACCATCGCTGATGTGTTTGTTGCTTCTATGTTCTACAGACCATTCACCGTTCTGTACGGTGACGAGTGGAGATCCAAGCACCCATACTTGACCAGATGGTGGAAGACCATTGCTGCCACTGACTTCCTGAACTGGTTCTTCAAGGACGTCAAGCTGATCGAGAAACCTTTGGAGCCACCAAAGCCAGCCAAGAAGGAAAAAGCTCCAAAGGCTGAGAAGGCTTCAAAGGCCGAGCCAGCTCCAAAGGCTGCTGCTGAAAAGCCAGCCGAGGAGCCAGCCCAAGAGAAGAAGCCAAAGCACCCACTGGAGGCCCTTGGAAAGCCATCCATCCCCCTTGACGAGTGGAAGAGAAAGTACTCTAACGAGGACACCAGAGCCGTTGCTCTGCCATACTTCTGGAATGAGTTCTTCAACCCAGACGAATGGTCTCTGTGGAAGGTCGCTTACAAGTACAACGACGAGCTGACCTTGACCTTCATGTCCAACAACTTGGTTGGAGGATTCTTCAACAGACTGTCTGCTTCCACCAAGTATATGTTCGGTTCTGCCGTCGTTTACGGTGAAAATAACAACAATGGTATCATTGGTGCATTCCTTGTCAGGGGCCAGGACGCTGTTCCAGCTTTCGAGGTTGCTCCAGACTGGGAATCCTACGAGATCACGAAGCTGGACCCATCCAAGCCAGAAGACAGAGACTTTGTCGACAATATGTGGGCTTGGGACAAGCCTGTTAACGGCCAAGAGATCGTTGATGGTAAGGTGTTCAAATAGTCTGTGTGACGGTAGTTTAGATAATAAGATGCGTTTTCACGTCCCTGAACAATTTGGGTTTTGGTTGTAGCCACCCTGCCCGTAGCAGCGCTTGTGTGCCGCACTTGCTGATCACTCTGAATCGTTTACTGCCGAGATTAGGGCCATTATGCCATCTTACCACCAACACCAGCACGTTGAGTAGCTTGAAGTCGTTAAGAATGGACACAAGTCGTTCCCCTGCCCCTCTCTCCCCGTTGTCGTTCTTTCCCTGATCGAGGTTGGCTATGTGCGGCGGCTCAAGTGCCGTTGTAGCTGTTCTCCAGGCGAACATGGCTGGATGGGTGGCTTTCTTAATGCTAGGGTTTTCCTCGTGCAGTTGCGATATCAACAATGGAATCTCATTTTTCGACGCTATCGAAACACACCAGCCTTGGAACCTGTCCTTGTGGATACTTTCGACCGGCGACGAAATCCAGGAACTAGTCATGTCTCGAAAAATAATTTGCAATTAATTATTTAGCCATGGACAAGGCCAAATATAAGTACCGGCTGGAGATCCAGCAGATGATGTTCGTCAGCGGAGAGACGAACGACCCGCCAGAAAGCACGACTATGGTGATTGAGACGATCGTTAAGGACCAGGTCGTGGAGCTGATATTGCAGGCCCAAAAGACGGCCAACGCCAGAGGACAAAAGAGCATTTTACCGGAGGATCTCATTTTCCTGATCAGACACGACAAGGCCAAGGTCAACCGGTTGCGCACGTATCTTTCCTGGAAAGACGTGCGGAAAAACGCCAAGGATCAAGAGTCTGGCGACCTAGGTGCCGGAAACGATCTGCTGGACAATCCTGCCGGAGGAGCTGCTGGAGCACCCAACGCAAGCGGCATGGATAACAAGATGCTTGCCAAACAGAAAAAGTCGCAGATCCGGCTTCCCTGGGAGCTGGAGTTCATGTTTAACGAGCAGCCTCTGGAATCCAACGACGACGGACAGGGCAACCAGATTGACGAGGAGGAGCGCGAAGCCGTTTTTGCGCAATTGAAACGGCTCAAACAGAATGACGAGAGAACGAAGAACATGACACAGAAAGAGTATGTGCATTGGTCGGAATGCAGGCAGGCGAGCTTCACTTTCCGTAAAGCCAAACGATTTAGAGAATGGTGTGGGATGGCACAGCTCACCGAGAGTCGTCCTAATGACGATGTTATCGATATTCTTGGGTTTCTAACGTTTGAGATGGTATGCTCCTTGACCGAGAAGGCACTGGAGATAAAGAAGAATCGGAGAGAAGAGTTCAGGCAGGAGAAAGAGAACAAGAAGCGCAGATACCTGTTTGACGAGCCGAGCAACGACACCAAACCGATCATGCCAGAGTATATCTACGAGGCATGGAGACAGCTGCAAACAGCGCCCCAGGAGGGCCGCTGTCTATACAATTTCCGCGGCGGAAGATTGAAGGAGAAAATTAGACTTATCTAAAAAAAATTCAGTATCAATTTCCATATATAAATAAATGGCCACTTTTCTCAGCCGGTCTGGTCCTTTTACAGATCCAGATTACACACCAGAATTCGGTCTGGAGTCCCTGTTAACGAGCAAGGTTCTTGTGCTCGGGGCTGGAGGGCTAGGATGCGAGATTCTGAAAAACCTCGTCCTCTCTGGGTTCCGCCATATCGAGTGCATTGACATGGATACTATCGAGACCAGCAACCTGAACCGTCAATTTCTATTTCGATCCAGTGATGTGGGGAAATCAAAAGCCATTGTCGCGTGCGAATTTGTCTCCAGACGCTTAGCACGCCGAGGACTAACACTTGTTCCTCACTTCTGCAAGATTCAGGACTTTGACGACGACTTTTACTCACAATTCTCGATCATCGTGTGCGGACTAGACAGCATTGAAGCCAGACGATGGATGAACGAGAAACTAGTATCTTTGGCAGCGACGGCGGGCCGCATCATTCCCTGGATCGACGGAGGAACCGAAGGATTCCAGGGATCGGTCAAGCTCATGATCCCCACTATAACAGCATGTTTCGAGTGCTACATGAAACTGGTCCCTGTGCAGACCACCTACCCCCTGTGCACGCTGGCCTCAACGCCTCGATTGCCGGAGCACTGCATCGAATGGGCCCATGAACTCGAATGGCCCAAACGCTACCCAGATATGGACTTCGACGCCGATGTTCCTGAGCACGTGGACCTCATGTACCAGCTGGCTAAGGAGCGCGCTAGCCAGTTTGGAATTGAGGGTGTCACGAAGGCGAAGACGCTGGGAGTGGTGAAAAACATCATTCCAGCAATCGCGTCGACAAACGCGGTCGTTGCCGCCGCGTGCTGCCACGAATGCTTCAAATTTGTCACGTCCTGTGCAGATAACATGCGCGACTCCATGTACTACAACGGAGAAACAGGAGTTGTGTGCGTTTCCGATCCGTACGACAAGGCCGCCGACTGTGCCGTGTGTGCCAGCTTACCTCAGGATTATGTCATTGACGAGCGGTGCACACTGGGCCTGTTTGTGGCCGGGGCCACACAGAAGTTTGGGCTCCAGCAGCCGTTGTTCTTCACAGCGGAGGGCGACTTGTACAACTCGAAAAAACCGGACGCTTTCGCGACAGATATTCCTGTGGTCAAATTAATCCCGTTCGCGGATCGAGTTGCCAAAGTGCAAATTAATATCGTCGACAGTTCAACGCCGTCGACGCTGAAGCTGATACTCAAGGTGCAGTGAGATCCGCCGCGATCTACTTCACAGGCCAAGTTTTGGTAAATTCGCGTGCTAAAAAGCTATATAACATGTCCTTTTGTCTAACTGGCTCTATCTAACCGTGCTTGGAAAAGTAGTCCTTGGCCTTGCTGACCTCTGGCTTGATAGTGTCGGCACCAGCAGTCCAGTTAGCTGGGCAGACCTCCCCGTGAATCTCAGTGAATTGGAAGGCCTCCAAAAGTCTCAGGGACTCCTCAACGTTTCTACCAACAGGCAAATCGTTGATGGTGATCTGTCTCAAAACACCCTTAGGGTCGATCAAGAAGATGCCTCTGAGAGCAACACCCTCCTCCTCAATCAAAACGCCGTAGTCTCTGGAGAGAGTGTGGTTGGTATCGGCGAGCAATGGGATGTTGACCTTGCCCAATCCACCGTCGGCACGTGCCACGTTGGTCCAAGCCAACAGAGAGTACTCGGAATCGGTGGAAGCAAACAGAACTTGGCAATCCTTATCGGCAAATCTCTTGGCTGCCTCGGAGTAGGCAATGATCTCAGTTGGGCAGACGAAGGTGAAAGCCAATGGGATGAATGCGAGCAACACCCACTTACCCTTGAACTGTTCGAGCGAGACTTCCTCAAACATACCGTCGATGACGGCAGTCTTCTTGAAGGTTGGAGCTGGCTTTTGAATCTGAGCAACCATTGTGGAATCTAAAAATCGGTACGAAAATGTCCAAAGATCTTGGAAAAAATTTGGATGTTCCTCATCCTTTTATACTCACCCTGTTGGGCGCCGAAACGGCTCGAAAAAGCTTACTTACGTAACTATCTGCCTTATCAAATTACTAACTAAACCAAAAATTCTGGAACGGTCTTATAAAGTTATACGTAATCTGCACAGCCCTGATTATAAAGTGAAAAACCTGGTTACTGTACTGCGCGTTATTCTTGTTGAGCCGATAAGTCAATGTGCTCTCGTTCCTTCTGATCTCTGACTAGTTTCTCCACCAATTCCTGCTGTCTCTTCAGTTCCTGTTGGCAGAGCAGAAACACTGTTGGGTGCAGAGTGATCACCAGTAATATGGCGTCCTGCAACGCCACACAAAAATAGTGTCTTAGTTCCCTTTTTGGGTCCAGCGGGCCCTCGGGCCCGCTTTTTCCTGGCAACTGCAAAGGCCCCCGTCTTTCGTGTTGCAGAAGAAATCGGAGCAGTAGGATTATCGACGACTCTAACTTCTGTTGCACCGCATCAGAGAGGGACAACCCTTTTTGCACCACGGGCAGCACAGAGCTCTGTGCTGACGCCGGCAGATCTTTTTCGACCAGCTCCTTCAAGCTCGCCCACAGATCGCGTCCAAGCATGGTGCCCAAAATAATGTATCCCAAGAAAATGTCTGCGATAAAGTTTCTCAAGCCTGAAACGTTGCTTACCTGTGTTGAAGTCCCGACGACAGTGACCCCGATAGCCAGCTTGATCACCACCCAGCTGATGTTGACGAGACGCCAGAACGTTCCCTGTGTAGCGAAGTGCACCGCTCCGCGCACCAGCAGGGAGGGCGTGCTAAAGAGCAGATGCAATGACGTGGCGAAGACCTGGCCTACCGAAGCCGGCCAGTCGCGCGCTGCCGGAGCACTACGGGCATGGAATTCTGTGTTGAGCGGAGCAAGGGTCGCAAGTTTTTGGCGACCTGCGTTGGACAAGAGCACGTAGGAGTCGTAGCCGGTCTGGCGGTTATCGACTAGAATGCAGTCTTGGGAGGTCAATTCGACCTTGTTTTCGCGTCCGAGCTCGTCCGTAATGGCCACCACGTACTTCTTGAGCTGTGCCACCGAGCCGGGCAGTAGCACGCTGACCGATATTATCGTGGGCACCTGGTCGGTAGTGACGTTTGCGCCGCATTGTAGGATGTGATACAAGGGCAAGCTGGGGTCCAGCGACTTGGAGGAGTGCTCATTTTCAATGACGATTTCCAGGATGTCTTGTTCGTCGCACATATTCAGCAGCTCGGAGACAGTGGTCTGGAGCGTTATTCCGCGCACTATCTTAGGCTCTCTGTTGGTGAGCGGCCGCATATCGGACGAGCAGTAGCGGATCTCGGCCTCGAACTCGACTTCCAGCGGTGACTTGCCATAATCATCGGACGAAGACATAGAGATGGAAAGCTCCAAAAATCCAATTCTGCCAAATACATTGCGGGTGTCTGGCTTGCAAATAAAATTTTCGACGCTTGTTCACATTAAACTAGCTTGAGCCTGTAACTGTGCTGTTTGAGAAGAAGTTGCTGGGCTCCATGTTTGTCCGCGTCAAAATCAGCAAGACCGTGCAGAGGGGTGTTGCAAACCCCGTGTGCAGTCGTCGGATCGGCTCCTTTATCCGCAGCGTGCTTTGCTTGGACCCACCGCCCTCTCCTGATGATCCTACACCGGAGAACAGATTCCATCCGTGGGACCAGTCCCCGTCGCCGGACCTGAGGATGCGGGCTGCCACCATCCGGGCAAAGGCCAAATGTCCCGTCACAAACAAAGATATCAACTATACCTGTCCATACTCGGGGATTCCCACGCATCACTCCAGAGAGGCGTGGGAGCAAGACACCGATTACCACGAATCCAAGAGATACGAAATCTTGAAAAAAGTCAACATCTACGAGCACGACCTGAGATCCGGAAGACAGTTCCCGGAGTTTGACTTTCCATCGCAGCAGCCACAAGACACCCTCGTCAACTTTGCTAGCTGGGATACCTACCTGTACACGAGACGCTTCTATTCCATGGACACAGAGTTTCAGCTGGCTGTCGTGACCAAGATGTTGAGCTTCCCGTCCACCATAGCGTCCATCGTGCATCAGTATTCTCCGTACTTCCTCAAGCCCAAGGGCCCCGTTTCCGTCGAAGGTCTCAAGAGTCTGGCCGCTTTGAGATACACTCTGTATCCGGACACCAGAGTCTCGTCGCTGAAGGACCGCCCGATACGGATTTTCCTTCTGAACTCGAAATCCGAGTCCATGTTGCCCGGATTTGTATGGAAAGAGCTGACATATTTATTCCCCGGCATTTCTTTCGAGCTGCATTTCATTGGTCCAGAATCTTACTACGATAGGGAGAAGAAGCAGTATCTTGTTTCCGAGAGACCGATAGTCAAGCGAGTCGACGACACATTGTGTTTCTACTATCACACATACGACTTCAACGTGCTGCACGAGGCCCAGGACTTTTTCCCTTACGATCCTTATCTCGACGTGTTTTTCTGCTTCCATCCGAGAATGGGATCAGGAGTTTCCACGGAGCTGTGGGAAAAGAGCATTCCTGGTCTTCTGGACTCCAAGTGCGGCGTGTTCGTGACAGGCTACCACGCCAACGACATACAGAAAGACTACGACTGGCTCGTCCAGAACTACGCCGACGACATGGACATTCTGATGGACATCGTGCCGAACGTGTTCGGATCCACTAAATGGGAGCTCAACGACTACAATCCGCATGAGGTGTTTCAATACAACCAGCAGACCTTCGGGTTCCGTGGAAAAAGATATCACGCGATCAATCAAGACTAATAGATGTGTCAATCTTGTGAATAGAGCGAATATATCAAGTACTGTACAAAGTGAGCGTCCAATGTTTCTTCACCAAAACCCGTAGCCTTCCTCACCGCCGAAAATGTTCAGATCGGTCTCTGGCATCATTTCCAGCACCGAGGTTTCGTTGAAGTTGAGGATGTCCGAGTCGATCTGCGAGAAGATGTCGTTGAGCAAGTTTTGCGACTCTGTGGTTTGTTCCATAGGATTTTCGAGGCCGGTGGTACCTAGTTCCGGTTTCCGGTCCGCAGCCTCGCTGCCGTTACCGGGCGAGTCGTTGTTCTCACTGGAGTTGAAGCCAATAGGCGACGGAATGTATGTCGAGCCCGACCGGCTCTGCGGCCGCGACGAGCTCATCGATAGCTTGCGGCTGTTTTTGCGCGACATGCTATCTGCGCTGTAGTTTATAAACTTGCTGAACTGGATGCGCGAGTCCGGGTTCAGGTGCCCGTTGTCGCCCTCCTTTTTGCCCTTTAGGTTGATGCTGATGTTCTCTACGGCTTTTTCCTTGCCCAGCTCGTCCAGAAGGTCCACCATCGAGTTGGTGGCGCCGTCTCTGTTGAAATTGTTCGACACCTGCATCCACTTGCGCACCCGCGTGAGAATCATCGTCATCCGAGAAGCAACTTTGCTCTTCGCGGCGATTTTCGCCAGCGCAGCAGCCACGCGCTCGTACTCGTGCTCCACGTTCACCTCGACGTCCAGCCGTTGCGACTTGACCAGCAGCCGGGACCGGATCAGGGCCACGAGCGCGTGCATAGGTCTGTAGTAGAAAAACGTAGGAAATGTCGACGTCTGGTCGCTCAGAGCAACAAAGGAGTCCACAACCTTGATGCTTGCCCGCACCAGACGGTTCAGCGTCTGCAAATAAACGTCTGTGAGCGTGTCTTTGCGCACGAGAACACGACAGACCACGTAATCATACATCGTCATGAGTAGTTGGTAGTAGATGATGGAGAGCAGGTTTTTCTCCTTCGACTCCGACGTGAGCAGGCCGCTCTCGGTGGCCAGTTTCTGCATCTTCTTCTCGTAGCTGATCATCATGGCGCGCAGGCTCTCGTGCGGAAACGAGTTCTCGTCCTGCGTTTCCTTATCGGCACTGAAAAGCATGTTAAGCCGCGTAGCCAGCGACGGAGACGCAGTTGTCGGACACAAAAATTGGAATATCTCTTCGCCAATTGCCACGAGTCGCGCGTAGTATGCCAGAAACCGGTCGTACCTGGTCACGTCGCCCATCAGCAAAATCTGACAGCACCGTTCGTGCGTGTTTGTCCAGTTCACCACCTTGAACCGGGGAAGAGACAGCCCCAGCGATCCGCAGCACGAGTACACGCCGATGTATGTGCGCAGGATTTTGCGCTCCTCGGAATCGTCCTTGAGCACGTTGGGGCCCGTTCGATGGGCCTCGTTCCCGAGGTCGAGACACAGCGTCAGATTCAGAGCCGTCAGCAGACTCATCTGGTGCTTGTATGACCCCCACTTGCGTGGGGGGGAACACCACAGCGACAGCGTCAGGTAGACCTGCACTAGGGTGGGGGAAATGTCGCCCAGCACGCCCACCCTTTGCGCAAGATTGTTGTCGAGATAGTAGAGCAGAGTATCGTGCAGATCGACCTCGTTGAGGCACGTGACCGTGACAAATGCCAGCAACACAAGAGGCTCGTTCTCCAAGAGCCAGTCGAACGTGTAATGAGACGGAATTGAGACACACGGCCAGTAGCACAGCACGTCGCTAAGAAAGTAGTCGAATCGCGAGCGCGCGTCCTCCTCGCTCAGAATCTTCAGCTTTATCAGCTCCTTGACGAGGTTTGGGCCGTACGCAACAAAAGGCAGATTCGGCACACTCTTCACAGGGCCCTCCTTCATGGAATTGATCGAAGAAGCGACATTCTGATCTTTCGAACTGAGATACACGTCCTTGCTGAAGGTGACCGCGTGAGCAAGCAGTCTTTGTAGGTCCGTGAGCTGCGCCTGCAGCTGTGAAAGGCTCTCTGGGTTTAGGTTTTCGTCCAGGCTCGAAAAATCCAGTTTCTGGCCGTCCAGAGTCAGTGTACTATTGTTTGTCGTCTCTGCCATCTGTCTTTGCAGCGTCTGAAAAAGCCTGGTGGCCTCCCCCATGCTAGTTTGCAGCGCGCTCAGGGGCCCTGTGCCCTTGAGCTTGATCTTCTTGCGCGGCCGTGAGCGCGCAGTCGTCTCTGTAGGGTCTTCCGTGATAGAGCACTTCAAACTCGCCTTGAAGCACCGCGTGCAGCTCTCGAAGTTGGGGTCTTCGTACACGCAGCGCATCTTTAGCCGATGGCATCTCGCACAAGCACGCACCCGACGAAACCTGCTGGCAAAGTCAGAATCCGGTGCTGTGGAGACTTCGTTTTTCATCAGTGAAGCTGGCTGCAAAAGATTCCTGATCCAGATTAGCAATATATTTTGTGTATTTTTTTTCTTAGCTGCACGGATTCTCCCGTAACCAGACGGACCGAGGAATCTGCAACCCCGATAAGACTGCTTCTTTACCCCGTAAATTTTACTCTCTGCCTGCGAAATCTGTCTTCTAGCAGGGTAATTTTAGGAAAGTTCCGGCAGGCCGGTTCTTGATAAACCTGACTTGTTATTTTGCTACCCTAAAGAATTACATGCGAATTAATCTCCACAAGCCCACGTTCCAGATTGCTGTACACCATGTGGCGTGGTGAGTACTGAATCAGCTCGTCCAGCGCCCTGACCTTGCGGACCTTGCGGTCGTCGACACGGACCTCCTCGTCGTACTCTCCCCAATAGCATGACACAGACATGCCCAATTGTGCGCTCTTGTCGATGTTGTCGTCGTCATCGAACGCAGTGCGCAGCCATTGTAGACCAACGTGGTAGTATGGCTGCGTCCAGTTTAGCTTGTGGAGCTGGATTTCGTCAATACCTTTCATCGTCTTGAACCGATGGTTGCCGGCCTCGTCGGTCGAATAGCCAGAAGGAACAGAAGACAACGGCACAGACTCGTATCCGTTAACATACAGAGTGACCAGCTTCACTGGTGAAACCATCTTTTCTGAGTGAGGAGACTTGAGCGAGTCGTAGTTGGACGAGTTGAACCGCAAAATGCAGTTTCTGTTGTCTTGCACGTTGATGAGGAAATCCACTTCCACAGGGGTGTAGTTGTCCACAACGTCACCGTTGTTCGAATTGTTAACAACCTGAACGCTCAGGTAGTGCGAAAACTCGTTATCTGCACTGGTTCCGTCCAGAAGGTAAGGACGAGGACCCTCGTACTGACAACGCTCCGTGCCCATATCGTTGTTGATAGTGCAGCTAATAGCGGTCCCACTATCCTTTAACGAAGGAAGATCCCGGAGCATCGGCTCAATGTAGCCAGCCCGGCCGAAGAGGTTGACTAGTGGCGCCTTCGAAGCCTCATTAATAGTCTGCAAAAAGCGTAGCTTCAATGGGTTGGCGTAAGAGTAAGGGCTTTCAAAGTATGACACCATAGAGCATACCAGCAACACAGCAGTAAGGAACAGTACCAGCGCGCCGTTGAGCTTGTGGATGAATGGGGTCACTGGAACGCCAACACTGACGGCCACGCCGACAAGAATTTGCATTGTGACCCTGCCGAAGTATGATGACTCCTGCACAGTCTGATTCAAGGCTTGTAAAGCCAGTTCGCCATTTGTGTAGATCAAAAAAGTGGACAACGGCACAAGAATAAGGAACTGGATAGACCAGTCATAGGAGAACGACTGTAGTGCTGCGTGCTTTAGTTTCTGCTTATAGGTTTCTTCCGACTCGTGCTCTATGACCACGATGGTGGAGTTGTTGTTATTGGATGAGTTCTCCGGCGGTAGCAGAGGTTGATTCTCCGAGTCGTTGGAGTCCGGAATTGTCTCAGCTGGGGAGCTGTTTTCATTATCCGAATGAGGCCGCTCCTGCTCATTTGATCCGTAGATTCTTGGCTTCATTGTTCTTCTGTAGCGAGGAGCTCTTCTTTTGAGAGTCAGCCCGATCAGGCCAAAAATAGACGACACCGACACCAGCGAGTGAACGATTGTTATAATGTAGCCTGCGACATTGTGCTCCTGTTTTTCTTGCATTGTCATCCAGATTGCCCCAATCCACAAAATAAAGTTCAGTTCAAGCAAACAAACCAGTTTCTGGTCATGGATGGGCCGCAGCCAAGCAAGGAAGTTCAAAATCAAGTAGTTGGATAACAGATTTAAAGATGACAAGGCCAATAGCGGAGAGATATAATCGTTTGAGAGCAGCACAGGATCATTCAGATAGAGGTATTTGGACACGAATGCGGTCAGTGCATAGGATGCTAGCAAACTGATTGGGTATCTCAGCCAGCCCCTGCCAAACTCAACGTACCAGGTTCCTCTTTTAGCAACAATGAGCACACAAATGATGGTGACGATTGGCACAATGCTCACAATGAAAATGTCCAAAACGTAAAGACTGTTGACAGAGCAGTAGAAGAAAAACTTGCCGAGAATGTCAAAAAACACCGCTTGGGAAGTATCGTCACTAATTTGTGTGCTTTCGTTGGCTAAAGCGTCCACGAGGTTCAGGGCATTGATCTCCATGTGCCATAGCGAGCCCAAAGAAGTGCCTGTAATTGAGTCCCGTAGGGTGTGGTATAAAGATCTTGGCTTGTAAAAGGCAATGTCAACACCGCGGAGACCGTTTTCGACGTAAACTTTGTAGTCTGTCTGGGACCTGATGAGGCCGCTCTGGAAGCCCTCTTGAAATAAAGAGTTGGCAAACGGCCTGCTTGCAGCGGAGTAGTAGCTGAGTACTCCAACATCAGTACTTCTGAACAGAATTGCCTTTCCTCCAGCTCCTGTTCCCTCCAGATTAACAAAATATTTCACGAGTTTGGCCCACTTGTGTTTCATGAACGCTTCTGCTCCCAACAGCCCGAACTCCTCGTCGTTGTTAAAATTGAAGATGATGGTTCGTTCAGGCTGCTCGCTCTCATCTGAAGAGTAATGTTCAAGAATTCCCAACATGGAAGCCACGCCCATTCCGTCATCTGTGGCACCATAGGCCGTCGGAACAGAATCGTAATGGGAGCTCACCAGAACGCCGGGCAAAGCGGGGCTCTTGCCTTCGATTTTCACCACTATGTTGCCGCTTTCAAAGTAGATGATTCTGTTTGTAAGCGACTCTGGGTCAAAGACGTCCTGCTGGTTCACCATGAACTTTAGTTTGTCATAGTCGTCATCAACCTCCATGTAGCTCTTTCTCGCGCAAATAGTGGAGATTCTCTCAAGCAAGTAGTCATGAACATCGTCGTTAGCGTGAGACGTGTATGGATGAAAATTGGTTGAGATGGTCTGCAGATCAAGCCACGCCGTACTTAGTATCCGTGGAGCAGGTTCTGGGGGAGTGAGGGAGACCTTATCGAAGTATAAATTCAGAAGGATGGTGACAATGTACGAAATAATCACCAATACCGTAAGGGTTGTTTTCCTGAACCCAAAGGTGGACTGGATGAACTTGGTGATCCTCCCGGGTTCTTGAGACATTGCTTCCTAATTTCAGTACGGCTTGTTTAAGATATTTTATTTATGTTGCTTATAGCCACATTTCACTGCCCGCATGCGCCACGGGGCGAGTCAAAAAAAAAAATCAAATTGAAAAGTCAGCATCCTCAATGTTTCCCCCACTGAAGAACGATTTGATTCTGAGAGCTGCGCGAGGTGAGGCTGTTGAGAGGCCTCCTGTGTGGCTGATGCGGCAGGCCGGTCGATATCTACCGGAGTACCACGAGGTCAAGGGCAATCGCGATTTCTTTGAGACCTGCAGAGACCCCGAGATCGCTTCTGCCATCACCATCCAGCCCATCGACCACTTCGACGGGCTGATCGACGCAGCTATTATTTTCAGCGACATTCTCGTCATACCCCAAGCAATGGGCATGGATGTCCAAATGGTGGATAAGGTGGGGCCCCGTTTTACGGATCCACTCAGGGTGCCGGAGGACCTCAACAGGCTTAACAACAACACAGATGTGGCGAAGGAGCTGGACTGGGCGTTTACTTCTATAACCACTACGAGAATCAAGCTGCAGGGACGTGTTCCGCTGCTGGGTTTCTGCGGTGCCCCATGGACTTTGATGTGCTACATGATAGAAGGAGGAGGATCGAAAATTTACCGTTTCGTCAAGGAGTGGCTCTTCAAGTACCCAGAGGCGTCTCATAGGCTGCTTCAAATGATTACAGATGTGGCTGTAGAGTTCCTTGCGCTCCAGGTGAAGGCGGGAGCACAGATGTTGCAAGTGTTTGAGAGCTGGGGCGGAGAGCTGAGTCCGGCCGATTTCAGGGAGTTTTCGCTGCCGTACTTACGCCAAATCTCGCAAAGGTTGCCGTTGAGGCTGAAGGATCTGGGAATCACCGAGAAGATCCCGCTCACTGTCTTTGCCAAGGGCTCGTTCTATGCTCTAGATGAGCTGTGCGAGTCGGGCTACGACGTTGTCTCGCTCGACTGGCTGTACGAGCCAGAAGAGGCTGTCAAGGTGGCCAAAGGCAGGGTCGCGCTTCAAGGAAATCTGGACCCCTGCGTGATGTACGGATCGCGTGAGACTATCAGTCGCAAGACCGAGGAGATGATCAGGGGATTTGGCGGAGGAAAGAAGAACTATATCATCAACTTTGGCCACGGAACCCACCCGTTCATGGACCCTGAGCAGATCCGATTCTTCCTGGAGGAGTGTCATCGCATTGGCAAGTTGTAGCAAAATAGCGGTCAGAATCAGCAGGCTGTATTTTAGGTATATATATGTATTAGACGGTAATTGTGACAGTTCCGAATTTTTCACAAATTTGTCCATTTATTTAATTTTATTTTCAGATGTCCAAGACTGCGAATTATCGCGCCACGGCCAGCAAAGAGGAAAACCAGTTCCGCGAGGCCCTCAAGCTCTACGACTCTAAGCAGTACAAGAAGTCATTGAAGCTAATTGATGGTATTCTGAAGAAGAACCCGCATCACGCGGAGAGTCTCGCTCTGAAAGGACTTGCCTTGTACTACTCGGATACAGACAAGGCGTCTGCGGAATCGTACATCACCAGAGCCTTGGAAAAGGACGGCACAAACAACGTGGTGAACCATATTGGCGGTATTTACTACAGGGCCGTCAAAAACTATAAAGAGGCCGCTAAATGGTACCAGGCTGCGATGGATCACGGCTCCACAAACAAGAGCATTTTGCGTGATCTCAGCTCCATGCAAAGCCAGATTCGAGACTTCAAGAATTTGCCGAAATCCAGATTAGGCTACCTGGAGGACCAGCCTGGCTACCGAGCTAATTGGACGGCGTCTGCCGTCGCACATCATCTGCACGGCGATCTGCCAAATGCCGAAAAAGTGCTTGGCCGCATTGAAGAGCTTATCAGTGATAAACTGCAGGAAAGCGACTACTACGAGCACTCGGAGTGTCTGCTTTATAGAAACGACGTCATTGCCCAGATGGGTGACTACGAAGCCGCCTTGAAGGACCTGGACAGGATCGAGGCCACTAATATGGTCCTGGACGGTTTGTCGTTACTAGAGAAAAGGGCAGATTACCTCATGAAACTGAATAGAAAAAAGGAAGCATCGTTGGTGTACCGGAAGCTGCTCAAAAGAAATCCAGACAACGCCAAGTACTACTACCAGTTGGAGGATTCTCTAGGAGTGCGCAACGCTCCACGCGTGAGAGTCGCCTTATACGAGAAATTGGCATCTTTCTACCCAAAGTCGGACCCACCTCATTTCATTCCACTCACTTTCCTGGCCGGCGACGAGTTCAAGCGGAAGGCCCAAAACTACGTGCTTGGCCAGCTGAGACGTGGTGTTCCGTCGACATTTGTCAATGTCAAGCCACTGTACAAAAACAACTCGCATGCTGCTACCATATATTCCATTGTGTCTGAATTCTTTGAGACGATCCAAGACCAGCCATTGACATACTGCTGGACGGCCTATTTCCTGGCGCAGCACCACTACCACGTAGGAAGTTACTCAGAGGCTCTCAGGATGATTGAGCTGGCCATCAATCACACGCCTACGCTCGTTGAGTTGTACATCTTCAAGGCACGTATTTATAAAAGGATGAACGAGCTGGACCAGGCTGCTTCAGTGATGAACGAGGGTCTCAAACTAGACCTGCAGGATAGATTTATCAACACCAAGACCACCAAGTACTATTTGCGTGCCGATAACGTTCACAAAGCGATTGATACGATCTCTGTCTTCACGAAGAATGATGACAGTCCCAACGGCCTGAGAGACCTGCATTTGATGCAATCTATCTGGTTTATTGTGGAGAGTGCAGAAAGCTACCTGAGAAAATATAGAAAGGCTCTGGGTGAGCACAACAGCACCGAAGCCAAGACAAACCTGGGTCTTGCGTTCAAGAGATACGTCAGCCTGACCAAGATCTTCGAAGAATTTTACGAGGACCAGGTCGACTTCCACCACTATTGCATGAGAAAGGGCACTCCAAGAGCGTATCTTACCATGATTGACTGGGCAGATAACTTGTTCGATCAGCCGATGTACAACCGTGTTCTGGATGGCTTGAGCGAGACTGTCCTGGAAGCAGTGCGCCACAAGGTGCTGTTCACGACCGAACAGGGGCACAAGAAGCTCAAGAAGGAGGAGATCAGGAAAAGAGAGGAGCTAGTGCAGTACTCTCAATCTGTTGCAGAGGACGATGACGTGTTTGGAGAAAAGGCGCTCCACCAAATCATCCAGGACGAAAAGTTGGATATTCTTGTGAAGCAGCAAGCGCTGCTGCACCAGCACGACGCTGTCTTCACACAGATCTTCAATTTCAGAGTTAACTTCCAGCTGAAGAAATACGTTCTATGTCTGCAATCGTTGAACAAACTGCTGGCTCTAGATAAACACAATCCCTTCATCGGATACATGGTGGTCCAGCTGCGCAACCACCTTGCAGAGTCGACACCGGACACCATCAAAAAAATTGTGTCTGTGGGTCTGATGAAGAATTTCGGTAAGGCCGATACCGCCAACCTGCTGGAGACGTATTTTGGTGCCAATGACCTTGAAACAGGGCTTGTGCTTGCCCGTATGAGCGAGACTGCTTTCCAGGCGCGGTTGTCTGAAATCAAGGAAAACCTGGATCCCTACTCCCGGGGCCTGGTCAGCATTGTCCAGCTCAGCTATTAATCCAGTTGTCCAGCTGTGCTCTAGCAGCAGAGCCCGTCAGATTAAGTCCCTGCCGGCCGTAGGGAAAGTAGCTGACTGTATAGGCGATTGAGGCAATCAATTGCACGACACCACATATAAGAACAACTAGAGTGTACTTCCACACAAGACAGAACCACAGAGTAGCCACTATAGATCCGACAAAGGAGACGGTGAACCATAACCGCTCCTTGGAAATCAGATGTTTGGCGAATTTATTAAACCCGCTCATGAACGCAAACGAGGTGAGAAACAAGATCGAGCCCAAAGTCCACAGTAATGCGAATTTGCGTGGCTTGAGTGACAACAAGGGCAGCAGGACAAGGCAAAGACCGTAACAAACAAAGGAACCGCACAGGGTCACGGCAAACAGCGCCATGCGCTCAAAATATGAGAGACTGAATGACTCTGAGTGCCACCACGAAGACTCCTGCTGCTCCTCGTCGGCGAGCCGAACTCTGCCCAACCAAGAAGACATGTAGGAAATATATTTTAGAGGCTTTTATTTTTGGAGGACACAGCCCTATTTTAAGTATTTATTCTTCCCCTCATGACGGCCAAATATATCAAACATTCAGGGGCCCCAGTGCCCCACGTTCCGCCAATCTACCGGTACACGGCCACTGCTCTTGGGGCGACGATGTGGTTCTGGATGCTGTACCGGGCCAAGCACGACTGGAGACACTGGGTCGGGCTGCACGAGCACTAGTGGGGAAAAGCTACCACTCCAGGAATACCGTATTTATTATCTGTCTGGCCAGGATCATCGCTGTGCTGACAGCTTATTTATCACATATAGATCAATAATGCTCATGCTGCTGATCGCACGAAGTCAAAAGCTCACTGTTCATTTCACAACTAGTCATTACGTTCATTTAAAGATTTTCTTGAGTTTGCCGATAATGCCACCACTGGTCTTGCCAGCGGACAGCGAGGCTTTCTTCTGCGAACTCTCAGTCATATGGACTGGCGACACCTGCTGCTCCAGTTCCGGTTCAATGGCGCTTGAATCCTTAACGTGCACTCTATTTCCCGCGCCGCCTCGTCCAGTAGAAAACACCGGACTCAGCTCCTCCTTGATGGCAGCAGGGTCCTCCCGCGGGCTGGGAACAGCCTCCAGCTCCGTCACGTTGCCCGCCCCTCCCCTGCCTGTGGGGTAATGGAACTTGCCGTGTTCGTCCTGTTTGAATGAGCTGTGAGTTTCGTGCGGCACAACAACCTCATCGGCTGCAGACTGGTGCACGACATTGCCTGCTCCTCCGCGGCCCGTTGAATAAACTGGCCCTATATCTGACATTTGCGTTTATGAGCAAGCCACAATTGTGTCAAAAAAAAAAAAAAAAGATAATATATAAATCGTGACCTAAATTTCAATTTAATGCCGTGCCAGCTCCCTGGTAAGAAAATTGTACACTGGAGGTAGACGGTGCTCGACCCAGTCATCTCCGTCGACCATTACCAGGTCGTATAGTGATTCAGAGCCCGCTCGGGGCGCTATCTGTCGCATCTTGTCGAGATATTTGTTGTACAGTTCCAGGTGGAACTGCACCAGCTGCCTGATATTTTTGGTGCCATTTTCTGCCTCGTAGTCGTCGCAGAATTTGGCAAACTCCTGTGCTCGCTCGACACGCTCCGCGAAGTACGACTCGACCAGTTCCAGCAATGTGCTGAGCGCCCCGTCGATCTGTTCCTCGGATGCGTTTTCCATCACGGTCGGCACGTCGTCGGGGCCAATGAGTCCTGCAAAGCTGTAGTTCGACGCCATATTCAGGAAAAGGTCCACCAGCTGGCCATCTGCATACTCCAGCACAAATTGCAGGTTCGTCGGCTGCCGCTGCTGGAAAACGTACTGGGCCAGCTCCTCAGACCGGTCGAAGTGGTGGTATCCCCAAAACGGCACGTCCACCACCTTCAGACCGTCCGAGCGAGGATAGAAACCGTACGTGATAAACATCCGTGTCATCTCCTCAACTGGCGTGTAGCTGATGAGCACTTCTGAGCCGCCAGAGAGCGGCCGTTTGGCAATTAGGACGATCTCGTCTGTTTTTGGATCGAGATCAAAATACGCATTCTGTTTGGAGTTGTCGTGGTTGGCAAAGTCCAGAAGCGGCACCAGCGTAACATCGACAGAGAAGTCGTCGTCGTCGCTGACTTTTCTGGGGACTTCCAGCGTCCGCGAACGGACCGCAGCTACGAGCTGCTGGATCGCGTGCTCTTCAAAAGTCACCCTCCACGTCTCGGAGATGTACCTCGACAATTCGCTAACCTCGCCGCTCTGTTTCTCCAGCAACGTGGCGTTCACCAACGAGTTTCCCGGCTCCAACTCATAATAACTTTCAAGAAGAGGCTCCTCGTCCTGCCATAAATTACCGATTTCCGTGCGCAGTAAAACATTCAAGTACTGTTGGAGCTTTTTGTATCCCTCCAGCTTGCCCAACCGGCGAAGAACCTCGAATCCAATCATGTAGCAAATCAGAATTCTCGTCTCGTTAGGCGGGCCGTTGCAGTAGAAGCCCAAAAGCGACTTAATCACCGGGGGCTCTGTCTGGTCCTTTATTTTCTTACTGAGTTCCAAACAGGTGTAGATGCTGTAGGTGTGCTCACGGCCAATTCTGAGAATCTCGCCATCTATGTCCTTGTTTACAAATAGTCCAAGCCCGCCAAGCTGGCTGGGTCCAACAGAAACGCCGGAATCGACGCTGTTGACGGCGAGCAGGGCCTCCATAAATAATATATTTGTCAGTGCGAGCACATTGAGGAGGATTTGTGGTGTAGGGGTGTGTTTGCCGGAGCAATGAGTTAGAGGGGCCAGAACAGCACAAGAGCCTACGGGTTTTGGAGCGGGGGCGCCATCTCAGCCCAGCGGAGCCAAACTTCCAGACAAAAAGGTAGCTCGTATGTATATCTATTGAGTTGCGCTATGTCTATGAGCTCACGAGAATATTAGAGGAGATGGAGTCCAGCTTGCTGGTGAAGAGCCGCAGACTCACCACGAGAAGCTCCTCGTACAGGTCGTTGTCCTGGCGTCTCAGCTTGTTGATGCTTGGCTCGTCAAGCTTCCAAACGACGCTCTCTGTGTTCGAGTAGTAGCGCACCACGCGGTCGCTCTGGGTCTTGACGATGTCGCCAAATATGGTGAGCGGTAGCACCCAGCTGTTGAGACAGAACTTGAGGTTGTTGAAGTAGATGTCGTAGCCGATCATGCCGGACTCGACAAAATAGAGACATGGCTGGTTGAGGTGCTTTTCGTAGACGACCTGGTTAGCTGCGAGCTCCTGGCGCGTCAGATACGGAACCAGCCGGCTCCAAAACTGGTCGTCGCGCACCTCGCTGATGCCCTGCATGGCTGTGGAAACAAGCGTCAGCGGGTTCTTGGAGTTGGCTGTGATGGAGAGCCGCCGTTTGTGCGACTCGAGGTCCAGCGTCTTGCGCGCTGCGCGCATCACGTGCGCGTGCCGCGGCGACCCAGACATCATGGTTTCAACCAGTTGCGGCGTGGGGACGGTCAGTTTCCGCGACTTTCGGCCCAGCTCCTTGTATGCTTCCAAAAAAATGTTCTCGCACCATTCGAGCGCCGTGTTCAGGTTGTTGAACAGCTGGATGCGCTCGTGGTGCTCGCTGGTCTCCCACAGGCCAGAGTCCTTGAGAGCCTCGACGATCGCAGACTTGTCGGTCACAGACGAGATGATCATGTACGAGTCTTTCTCGATGACCAGGTTGCGGATCCGACGGAAGCCCTCGACGGCAGAAAAGTCGATGCTCTGCACATTGTTCATGTCGAGAATGAGGTACTTGATTGGCTCTCGGGCAAAAGTGTGGTTCTCGAACCGCGCACGCACTTTCTCCTCGAGCCCGCCAATTGAGCCGAAAAATAGAGACCCCTGTAATTTCATCACGTAGATCTGCTTGCCCACGTCCTTGAGGAACTCCTGCTGTTTCGGGTGGCGCAAGACTATCGAGCGCGCGTACTCGCCCGTGTAAATGCCAGAAACCACGGGCTTGCGCGCCGCCTCGACCACAAACGATAGGCACGCCAGCAGAACGCCCACCAGGATCCCGTACACAAAGTCCCAGGCGCCCATGGTGAGCACGATCATGACGATGGTGAAGTACTCGAATTTCCTGAGCTTGCCCTTTGTGTCGTAGAGCGCCTCCTTGAGCAGCTCGTAGCCGAGCAAATAAATTAGGGCTCCAACAACGGCCACGGGGATGTACCCTATTATGCTCGGGCCGGCCCACATCACACACGTAGTGGCCATGGCGAGCATCACGCCGCTGAGGCGCGAGTCTGCTCCTGCCCGAATGAAAAGCACAGAGTTGGTGTACACCAGGTAGTTCTGGATGCTACCACAGAGCCCCGAGAGCGCGTTGGACAGCCCGTGCGCCATGAGCTCGCGGTCCACGTCGAAGTCGTCCATCTCCACGGTGACCGCGAGCGCAGGCACGTTGATCGGCACGTGCAAGATGCCAAAGAACGTGAGCGCCAGCATCGTCGGGACCTGGTGCAGCACGGCCCACCAGCTCACCCGGTCAAATTTGTAGAAGCTGTAAAAAGAGTACCACGGGGTGTCGCTCTGCGGCGCAGAGAACACCCACCCGTAGTCTCTGGCGTCCTGCAGGTCCCACGAGGGCACAAAGTACACGATCAGGTGGAAGACAGCAAACACGACAATGAAATACAGCGGCACGATCAGCGCACTAGAGTTGTAGTGCTGGATGACCACCAGCACGGCGGCCAGAGCCAGCGGAACGAACCACTGGCAAAATGCGAGCGGCTGTAGCAAGTATCGAAGCGTGGGCAGGTTGTACTCAAGCCCGCCCTCCAGCCGCGACGAGACCTCTATGGCGGTGACCACCAGAAAATAGCCAACACCCCCTATGCAACCAACCAGGATGTGGCGCGGGAAAAATCCAACAAGACGGCCCAGACGGCATTTTCCAAGCACAAAGAACACCAGCCCCGTCACCATCGCCGAGAGCGCGTACGTGACTATTGTGGTGGCCAGAACCGCGTCCTGGTCGTCGCCTAAGCTGACCATGATGCTGATACCCATCTGGTGGAAGAACGGTGTCACCTCGATCATTTCTGAGCCGATCCCAGACTTGAACGCTGATCCTCCCAGAGAATAGACCAGCTGCGAGATAATCGTGGAGACATAGAACATAGACAGCCCGTGCGCGCCCATCTGGCTGAACATGCTCTCTCCAATCGGAAACAAAATCATGCCGTAGCTCAAACCGTCGAGAATGTTGAGCAAGGTGCCCAAAAACACTGCCGGAAGATACTTCACCGGCTTCACCACACACTCTCGTGCCAGCGTGCGCGAATCGGCCGTCCGCAGGGTCTGCAATGCCTGCCACACGCCAGTGCCAGCAGCACGTCCATCTCCAGTATGATCGTACTTATTGTATGCAGCAACATCAACAGAGGTGTTTGCAGTGTTTACAGTATGTCTCTGCGCCTCCTCGTCGCCGCTGAACGCCGCATACTCGTCTGGGAACGCGGAGGCGGCCTGAAAATCGTTCTTGACGAGATCTTCAGCCAGCAACGGGGTGTAGTCTTCGGCGTAGCGCTCGGGAGGGGTGCTCGCGTCGTCAACGTAGTACGAGATCTCCTCTACGTCATCGACCCCGACATCTGCTAGCCCCACAGACGTTTCGTTGATCGAACTGGACGAATGCACAGCAGCATTCAAAGAGTTCAAAGGAGAATTCAGATCAGGCCGGAAGCTCGAGTACACAAAGCTGCGGCCAAGATGGGTCTCAGTCGTCACTGACTGCCGGGTGCCATAGCTGGGTGATTGGGAAGCCCTGGAGCTCGCAATCACCTTGGGCAACGAGCTGTTGAATGCAGACATGCAAGCGAAATTTGACGTACTTACAGAAAATAGGGCCTCAAAAAATTTCAGTGATTACGTAAAGCAATGTGTCGACGGAGACGTCAAGCCACACCTCTACAGCTCGTCTTTGGCGACATTGATCTCGCCGGCGTCCGCAATGACAATTGGCCGGACAGGACGGTTCTGGAAACCTGTCTTGGTGGACTCAATGAGCTTGACCGTGTCCATTCCGTCGAGCACCTTACCGAAAACCACGTGCTTTCCATCGAGCCATGGCGTTTTCACGGTGGTGATGAAAAATTGCGAGCCGTTGGTGTCTTTCCCAGCATTCGCCATCGACAGATAACCTGGGCCCTCGTGCTTCAGCTCAAAATTCTCATCCTCGAACTTAGCCCCGTAGATCGATTTGCCTCCGGTTCCGTCGCCCTTGGTGAAATCGCCTCCTTGAATCATAAAGTTAGGGATGACTCTGTGGAACTTGGATCCCTTGTAGCCCAGCTTAGGGTCGTCGGAGATGGCCAACCGGTAGAAGTTCTCGACTGTTTTTGGCACCACCTCGCCAAAGAGACCAAGGACTATGCGGCCGAGGTGGTGGGCGTCTTCTCCCTCGCCCTCTGTGATGTCAAAGTAGACGGTGTGTGTGATTTTTGGAGACTGCTGGGCCATGACTGTGCACAGAAAGAGGAACAGAAATGCTAGCGGAAACTTCATAGCTTCTCGGATTTAAAAATAATACTAGACAAATTACTCGAAATATTTCTTGTTCTATATATTGAGTTTTTCGACCGAGTAGATTGGAATTCTGCGACCATGGTCTTTTTTCGCCACGCCGTTTCCCAGTGGTAGCAGCGAGTCCAGGTTGGTCGTCTCCTCGACAATCGAAGTGTTGTTGATCTCGACGTCCTTCCGTTTCTTATGCTTCTTCTTGGTGCTGTGCTCGGCTATCGACAGCGACTGTGTCACGAGAGTAAGCAGCTGAGTATCTGTGATCAAAGCATCCACTTTCTTCTGTGTTTTGGCAATCAGCTTCGACAGCTGTGTCTGGTTCTTCGAATAGTGCAGACTCAACACCAGTCCATCAGAGTCGATGAAGTTGTTGAGAATCTGGTAGCCGTAGTTCAATTTCAGGATCCGGGCAATGATCGCATCCAGGTCCACGGCGGCACCGTTCTTGAGCAACCTGGCGGTCTCCTGCGTGATCGTGTCGCTGGAAAAGTCCTCTAACAATCGGGAAATGATATCTTTGAATACTTCCTCGTCTTCCACGAGACTCAGCAGCTCGATCAGATCGCAGCAGGGGATGTTCGGACACGTCACTATGGCCTGCCGCATCAGCCTTGGAGACTTCATCAGTGTCCGGAGCAGGCCCGGAGTATACTCGGCCGGGAATAGCGGGTGCGTGAGAAGATACGTGAGCGAGTTTTCAGCAACATAAGCCGGCAATTGCAGGGCGCCGTCTTTTACTTCGAAAAGCAACAAAAGCGCCTGGCGGACAAACTCCGGGTCGACCACCCTGTCTTTGTCAGCCTCGTATACCCTAAACGGCTGCTGCTGGGATTTGGACTCTGCAACGTCGGACTCGTCAATTTTTTTCAAATAGCCAACCAACTGGGTCTCCAGCTCGTCGAACCGGCCATCTTTCTTGAGCTGCTCGAGGGTTTCGAAAACGTGTTTGGCAGCGCTGCTCAGCTGGCTCTCTCTGGTCTTCAACGAGCTGCTTTCCTTTGTGCTAGACTTGAACTCGCTTTTGTTGACCAAGGCTGGATATCCAGCAAATCTAGCGTGCGAAGAGTTCTTGATTCCTTTTCCTAAAACATTGGACAGCTTTCCGAGCCCAACATCCACAGAGATATACTGCAGAGATGTGAAGTTGTCTTTAGGGCTCTTCAAAAGCACCAAAACAAAAGTTTCTCTGCTCTTCAGACTGTTGCCTTTTACGGTCACACAGGCCTGGAGAGTGGCGGTTCTGGGAGGTTTGCCGGTGTTTTCCTTGGACTTGGCATAAAGGTCAATGGAGCCTAGCAAAGCCTCAAATTGGATGTCGACTAAAGCGATGGTGCTGCCCTTGGAAACAAGAACTCTATTGGTGGAAGCAGCGCAGAGAGAGATAGGCTGTTCACGAAATTCCCTGTCAAAAATGCTGATGAGCTCGATCTGCTTCAACTTTCTCGTGAATGGAACCGAGTACACATGGAGTGTCATGTTTTCGTCATTTTCCAGAATTAGCAGCTTGCCTGACGGATCGTAGCAGAACTGAGCGCTGTCTGAGGTGTGCATTTCGATCATCGAGTCGGAAATCTCCAGAACACGTGAGCCTTCAATGGCATACACTCGCGCGCTCAACCCTCCTGTAGATTGCTCCACCGTCAAGAGCAAGCTCTCAACGTTCTCGGATTTCTCGAGCTGAAGCTCTTCAGGCGAAATAAAGCAATGGTAAATGATATTTCTTTTCTTGCCGTACTCCAGCTCAAACACCACTTCCTCCTCAATCTCATCCTCGAGCTTGACCAACCAAATGCAAATAGAGCCGTTCTTACTAAGTGTGTATGCGTTTCTTCCGTTGCTGGAAAGCTTGATCCCTATTAAATCCTCCTTTAACACCACGTCTTTAGTGCGCACTTCTCTCAATCCTTCTGGCTCAGTTGTGTTTCTCTCCTCCTCGTTGTACAAGGACAAGCTTTCCGATGTGTTCTTGTCGTCCTCAGGCTCGTTCTTGGGACGTCCATAGGTAATTATTCTCATATAGCTCTTCTTTCTCTCATTTATTCCCGCGAGAAAGAGTCTTGACTCATCTCTATCAGCAGCCTCCTCAAAAATGAACGAGTCAAGACATTCCACGCGCGCTTGTGGAGACAGCGAATACGACCAGATCAGCTTGGGAGTAGGTTTGGTGATGTAGGAACCAATGTACGAGCCACTGACTCCGAAGTCGAATTGCGTCGATAGCGGAGACTCTATGTTGGATATCACACATGGAGAGACTGCGCTCGTTTTTGACGGCAGCCGGGGAAGCTGCGTCACCATGAACGGGTCCCATAATGCGGTAGACATGATTGAAATATTTTTTGGTAAATTTTTTTATTTCATTCCGCATCTGTGCACTGCGACATATAATATTGTTGTAGCTCCTATCTAATAGTATTGACAATGAACAAGCTGACCAGTAACGAGGAGCCAATGCTATGTTAGTTCATTTTCTTAGTTTGTATTATGCAGATGGTAAGAAATATCTGGAAAGTAAGCTAAAAATGAACTTTAGCTTGAATACTCCCGGATACAACAGACGGTGTGGCAAAATTAAAATAGTTATCTATTTAATGTGCCAAACATATAGTCTAAGGCTCCGCGGCTACACGATCACTAATACTCGTATGAACAGTAATTCCGTTACTAATATACACCCTAAATAGAAAACTTGATGAACAAGTTACAATTCCCGATCGCAATAATAAACGTTAAACTTAAGCAGAGGTAGCAGAAGTGTACTTAGTGACAGCTCTAGTACCTTCAGAGACAGCGTGCTTAGCCAATTCACCAGGCAGGATCAATCTCACAGCAGTCTGGATTTCTCTAGCAGAGATGGTGGACTTCTTGTTGTAAGCAGCAAGCTTGGAAGCCTCAGAAGCGATTCTCTCGAAAATGTCATTCACGAAAGAGTTCATGATAGACATGGCCTTCTGGGAAATACCAGTGTCTGGATGCGTCTGCTTGAGCACCTTGTAGATGTACGAGGAGTAGGTCTCCTTTCTGGCCTTGGTTCTCTTCTTAGCATCGGAGGATGCGGCCGTCTTCTTTCCAGCTGGCTTCTTCTCAGCTGGTGCCTTGGAGGCAGGTTTCTTCTCTGCTTTTGGTGCCATTCTGTGTTACAATATTAAATAAAATCAATCAAGAGATTTGTTATCATGGGCAAACGAGCGAGTTTATATAGTTTTCCAAACACGCTTGTTTAGAAAGCTATGGTCGTGACCCACCCATGTTTTTTTTTTCGCAACATGCTCTTACAAAATGACAATTTTGAATTTTTACCTCACCAATGTCTAGAAATTATAAAATTTCGCGACGTCTACGGCGTGCCAGGATTTTTTCATCGATGTGTAAAAACAAGTCTGATAGCGTATTTACATGTGGAATTATGTTTCCACCAATCAGACGACGCTGTAAGTTTGCCACCTGGCGCGCAGGCAATAAGTATATAAAGTAGACCTGTTTCGTCTTTTGTAAACCATCAACAACAAAGTATAACTAAAAATGTCTGGTGGAAAAGGTGGAAAAGCAGGAACTTCTGAAAAGGCTTCGACATCTAGATCGTCTAAAGCTGGTTTGACTTTCCCAGTTGGAAGAATCCACAGATTGCTCAGAAACGGAAACTACGCTCAAAGAGTGGGTTCTGGTGCCCCAGTTTACTTGACTGCTGTGTTAGAGTATTTGGCTGCCGAAATTTTGGAGCTGGCCGGTAACGCTGCTAGAGACAACAAAAAGACCAGAATCATCCCAAGACACTTGCAATTGGCCATCAGAAACGACGAGGAACTGAACAAGCTGCTCGGTCATGTGACTATTGCTCAAGGTGGTGTTTTGCCAAACATCAACACCGAGCTCTTGCCTAAGAAGGTCGGTAAGAAGGAGTCCCAAGAATTGTAAGCATAGGGCGTTCCGACTATATCGATTTAGCTGTAATGTTTTTAGGGTTCGGGTATAAGATAATGTATATTAGATGATTTAAAGAGCCGAGAAGGTTTTTTTTCTGATAAGATAACTTTTAAGTTTTGTGGATCAAGGCGGGTAACCCCCTTTTTGAGCGAAATAGGGCACGACAAATCAAGCCATAATGGGATTTTGTTGTGGGTGTCCCCCATTAACCGCTTCAAAAGGGCCATATAAAAAGGGAACGCGTCCCTCAAAAAAAATCTCTTGTTACATTTACAAGCAGTCCCGCCGCTAATCAATCCATAGCAATGCCAGTCAGAAGAGTGCTCAAGTTCGTCAGAGAACAATACGAGTCTATCTCCAAGAGATTCAATAACAACACCGAGAGAAAGGAGGAGACTCCAGCCGAGGAAACGCTTCCTGTTGAAGAGGCTCCAGCCGAGGAGGCCGCTCCTGCGAAGGAGGCTCCAGCTGAGGAGCCTGAACAAGCCGCCGCCAAATAACCTTTTGGCGCTCTCGTAATGAAGGTGTCCCAACTCTAGTTGCATTCAACTAGCGGGAAAGTTTCTCTCTCAAATGTTGCTACTGAGCTATTCGTTTTCCAGTTAGGCAGATTATATTTCTTCTGTGTAATCCTTTTTCTAATATACTTCATTCGCCTTCGCATTGCCATAGCCTGATCTGTCCGTTCATGCACACTGTCAACAGCTGCTCCCCGTTGTCAACAGGCTCCACTTCCATCACAGGACTGCCGCTACCGGTATCCAGTTGGCAAACGATCCCTTTGCTCTGGATGTCCCACATCAGCACCTTGCCCTTCTCGTCGCCCGAGCACACTAGCGGGCTCGCAAAACAGGTGAGAAAGCAGGTCCCCAGACTGTATTTTTCCGCCACAGCGCCGCCGTCAACGTTCTGAAAAGTCTTGACCACCTTGTTGTTCATGTAGTCCCACAACCGCACAAACCCGTCCAGCGAGCTTGACAATATGTATTTCGAGTTTGGAGAGAACGTCACGCAACTCACAGGGTACGACGAGCCGCTTTTATCGTATATGAGTGTTTTGAGACACTGCCCGGTTTCGAGATCAAACAGTCTGATGAGCCCGTCGTACGAGCCGCTCACGATGACGGTTCCGTCAAAGGAAAAGTCCAGGCTCGAAATTGGGTCAGAATGCGCGCTCAAAACTTTCATGCATTTCGCTCTCCTGAGGTCCCAGACACGGATATTTTCGTCAGCAGAGCCACTCACCAAAATAGAGCCTCTATAATGAAACTTCAGAACGGTGACATGAAACGTGTGGCCTCTTAATATCTGGACAAGCTCGCCCCTTTTCACGTCCCATATTCGGATCGTGAGATCGTCTGATGCAGACGCGATGAACTTGGAGTTTGGCGCAAACTCAATGCTGGAAATGCCTTTTGTATGGCCCACGAGCGTCTTCCAGTACGTCACCCCCGTCTCTGACCGTTTCCACAGCTTGATGGTCCTGTCAATGGACGCGGTGGCAAGAATACTGCCGTTTGGACTGATCTTGGCCGATGCGACCAGCGCGTCGTGGGCCTTGTCCAGAGTCCATTTTGGTTTGTACATACAGTCGCAGATTAAAAAATTATAGCTATGGAAAAAGTTCTAAATGCAAATTACCTAAGCAGGCGATTAGCGGAACTGTTTGGCGGTCTCGTTCATGACGTTGTCGTAGCTTGGCGGCGCCTCCTCGGGGGTATAATCGGCCGTGGACCCATACAGCACGTTCTGTGCCAGCTGGGACGGCTGGTTCGTCTCTGACGGGCGCTCATTTGCTTCTCTATTCAGAGGGAGCGGGCTCGAGCGCGGGCTGAGTTGATTCTGTTCCACCAAGGTTGGATTGTGGGAATGGGGCGTCTGGAACGGTTCAGGGTGGCGGAACTGGATTTTCGTTCGATCCGGCTGACGGGACACCACCATACCTGGCGGGGAGGACGGTATGTTTATTATGATCTGCTGGCGCTCCAGGTCGTCGTAATTTAGCATGTCCGGGTTTTTGAGGATGATATACCATGAGTGGATAAGGCCCGGGACGTATCCCAATAGACAGAGCGCGATATTGATAAGCATGTCCGCCGAACATAGGCCTCTTTTGATGCACACTGGAAGCGGCGGGAAGATGACGGCGACGAATACTAGCATGCAGTCGCAACAGCAACAGTCGCAGTAGCAGAAGCACATTTTCACTCTAGTTTGAAAAAAGATAAGCCAGGCTTTATATAATGGTCAGCTTTTGCATGATATTTTATTTCAACGGTGCGCCGGTGGTGCAGGGATGTTCCGGGAGTAAAAGAAAACTGGATTTGAGTCTGGGAAATTGTGGGCGGGTCCGACAACGAGGTAAAAAAACGCAGGTACCAAGATTTCACCTGAAAAGCAGCCTGAGCTACTAAAAAAAGCCACAGACGAGCTTTTTTTTGCCAATAACCATTTTGGGAACTGCCGAGGCGCTATTGATGTAAGAGAAGCGCCAGAGCAATCGAAGTACTGGAGACGACCAGTCAACAGCACGAGCAGAGTCAAACAAAAAGACCCTGCCAACTGGGCACCCATATAGTTGTTGCCAAGCACTGGCTAGAGCCAATTGTGTTTCGGCCTGGCTTACATATTGACCAATTAGGAAGTGCAGGCGAGAAGGCGAAAATTCAAAAAGGCACGAAATTTGCACTGCCATCCCGTGCCTGCATAAATCATGCGTAATCCCTTTTATGCTCTGGTAGGAATATGAGACCTATTGTTGGCACGGCAGTTCCTTCATGCTATACTCTGAGCCTCGCTGAAAAACAAGGATCTTGAAATTAAACTGGTCAAAATTGAATTCATCATTTTTCCTGAAAAATGAGCGTTGTGGATACTCGAGGACCTTTCTATCTCTACAAGTTTGGAGACAAGGCCGAAAAACAGATGGACGAGTTCAAAGTGTTTCCCACCCCAGAGCCCTACCTAACAAGACCCTCAGACCCTTACTATACCCCATACTACTCATACACCGCGAACGCCAACTCAGCACTGCTCTCTCCGTCATCCTCGTCGAACGAGTCCGAAATCGAATCCACCGCCTCCGCAGACTCACGCGAGACCTCGACCTCGCGCGCCTCTCACCACTCGCATGATTCCGACTTAGACTGTCACAAGTTCAAGTGCACGTACCCAGGCTGTAAATACAAGGGCACATTTCTGTCCAAAGATTACCTACGCAGACACATTAGAGAACAACACAGGAAAACAAAACTACATGCCTGTGAGGGGAGAAACAAAGACGACACCGTTTGGGGCTGCTCCAAGAAATTCAGCAGACCGTACCAGTTGATCAACCACTGGCGAGGCCAACGGTCGCTGAAGAAGTGCGGTGTGCCAGCAGAAGAGCTCATGCGCTATGGGATCATCTAACTGTGTAAGATCATGATTTATGTTCGATGCTTAGTTTTGTAGCGACACACCGTCTCTCCGCAATAGTCTACACCTCGCCGAAAACGGTTCTCATTAACAATATCAAAACGTGCACCCTAGCACCCGCATAACAATGCGTATTCTTCTTGGCCGCCTGCATGCCACTGAATCTAGGATCTGCTTCGTGCCCGTTTACGGAACTACATGCGGTGCACGGGTGTACCGAAATCACTAGCTCACGTCCCGTCCTCAACGATCCGAATCTGACGGGTCACAAAAACCGTCCGACCAGCCATCCATCTTCCGCATCCTCCTCGCCATATATAACACCCGTAGACGCTCCCATATCTCCAACCATGAGTACCTATTTAAGCCCCCCAAGCTCCCCACCCTTGCGCTTCCCCAAACTCGGCCGCGCTTCTCCCGACCAGGCTCAGTACAGCTTCCTCACCAACCGTTCAGAGTTTCTTGCTCTGCGCCGTCAGGTGTCTACAGACGCACTTTCGTCTGCCAGGTCCGCGAGCTACTACGATTTTTTGCAGTCGGTCACGCCGGCTAGCAACACCTGCCAGCTCGACTGGATCAACGCTCGTGCGGCAGAGCTCAAGGCGCTGAAAACTCGACGCTCCTTTGCCCGCTGGCTTGACAAGCAGTACCAAACGCTGCACGGAGAGGATTTGCTTGCCTTCTCGGACGTGCTGAGCGAGGAGGATACTCCAGAACCGCCTCCGTGCACCGCTCCGCGCGCGGCCCCCAGCGCACCACCGCCAAAACCGGGCACGGGAGCCGCCTACGTAATTACTGACATAATCACATTGATGGCGGCGCAGGCGGCTGTGGTGGTCCTTGTTGTGGGGCTGTGGTGGTGTGTGTTTGCGGACAGCACGGACGTCGCGTACGTGCGGTCGATTTTGGCCGTTTTGAAGGCCATGTTGACAGACAAGAGAGAGACTAAATAGGTACACCCGAAAAAATATATATTTTTCACTGGTTATTTTTGCCACATGTCCCTCAAGTCCTTCATCAAGTCCGTGCGCAATAGCAAGACGATTGCTGCCGAGCGCGCGGCCATCCGCAAGGAGAGCGCCAAGATCCGGACCGCTTTCAGGGACGTTCATCTTGACAACGCGTCGCGGAGGACGAACATATCAAAGCTTCTCTATTTGTATATATTGGGTGAGCCTACGTATTTTGGTCAAGTCGAGTGTCTGAAGCTGCTGGCGTCACCCAAATTCGTTGACAAGAGGCTTGGATATCTTGCGACGATGCTACTTTTGGACGAGAACCAGGAGGTTTTGACGCTGTTGACCAATTCGCTCGACAATGACATGAAGAGCTCGAACCAGTACATTGCCGGGCTTGCGCTTGTGACTCTGGGCAATGTTGCATCTCCTGAGCTTGCGCGCGATCTGTATGCGAATGTGGACGCGTTGCTGGGCTCGCCGCATGGGTATCTACGGAAGAAAGCTGCGATTGTCGCTGCCAAGCTCGTGAACAAGGACCCGGATCTCAGCGAGATTTTTCTGCCGAGAGTGGCTCCCTTGCTGAACGAGAAGAGCCATGGCGTGGTTTTGGGTGCTCTGGCGCTGATGCGAGCCATCTACAACAACGACGAGAGTTCGAGAGAGACACTCAAGATTCAAATTCCGCGACTGCTGGCTCATCTGCGTATCTTGATTGCCACGGGCCACTCGCCCGAGTACGATGTGAGAGGCGTGCCGGATCCTTTTCTGTTTGTGTCGCTGTTGAGCACTTTGCGCTTGTTGTTAGCCAACGACGAGAACAACACCAATCTCGAGCCTCTGAACGATTTGCTGACTCAAGTGTGTTCTAGGGTTGAGAGTGCAAAAGGCTCTGGCTATTCTGTGCTTTACGAGACCGTGCAGACGATATTCACGATCAACTCGGACTCGTCGCTCAAGGTTCTGGGCATCAACATCCTGAGCAAGTTCCTGACCCAGAAGGACAACAACACGCGCTACGTTGCGCTCAACACGCTGCTGAACGTGATCAACTACGAGCCGCTCGCCGTGCAGCGCCACCGTACGACGATCGTGGGGTGTCTGCAGGACGGCGATGTTTCGATCCGCCGCCGCGCGCTCGAGCTCACGTTTGCCATCATGAACCAGCAGAACGTGCGGGTGCTCACGAAGGAGCTGCTGGCCTTTTTGCAGAACTCCGACGACGAGCTTAAGGAGTATATCACGACACAACTTTGCATCGCCTGTAACAAGTACAGGCCGGACGTCAGGTGGCATTTTGAGACGCTCATCAGTCTGCTCAAGCTCGCGGGCAATCACTTCTCTAGAGATATCGTGTCCAACGTGCTGGCCCTGATCATGCAGAACACAGATCTCGAGCTGACCAAGTTCCTCGTCGAGGAGCTCATTTCCTCGAGTCAGGCTCACTTCAACGAGTTTGCACTGGCACTGGTGACCACGTGGTGCATCGGCGAGTACGCAGACCTTGTCATTGGCGAGAAAGTCACGCCCGATTCGCTTGTCAATCTGATAGAAACATTCCTCAACATATCAACGTTTGAGCAGGCAGATGCCATCCAGATGAAGACCTACGCATTGACGGCGATTCTGAAGCTCTCTGCCAGAGTGAGCTCGCCGCAGTGCATCGAGCGACTCAGAAAATTGCTGCTGTCGTTCCAGTCCGACTACAACCTGGAAATTCAAACAAGGGCTATAGAATACGCCGAGATATTCGGCCAGCCAGCCTCCATCAGGAAAGCGCTACTGGAGAGAATGCCTGCGCCGCCAGTCAAGCTGCACGAGGGCATTCCGCTTGTGAATAGATCCACCACGAAATCTGCCAAGTCCTCCTCATCGCAGCCTGCCACCACGGGAGACCTGCTGCTAGACCTTCTGGGCGACGACGAGACTCCAAAGGAGCGCGAGGCCGCGCCGGCGCCGGCCAAGCCCCAGGAATCGACGCTGGACCTGCTGTCGGACATCTTTGGCAGCTCCGCCTCACAGAAACCGCCACAGCAGCCACCCCAGGAGACGGTCATTCCCGCGTTCGCAGACGAGCATCTTTCGTTTGAGATTGTCGTGAAGGAGATCGGCAACGGCAGCGCGAGCCTCGAAGGGCGCGTGCACAATCTCGGCAACTCCGTGGTCTCGGAGATCTCTGTGCTGTGCGCGGTGACCAAGCAGCAGAAGTTGCAACTTTCGCCTATAGGCAGCAACACCCTTGCACCAGGAGCTACCTCGTCGCTGGGGATCCGTGTGACAGGGCAGCCGGGCGCGAAGGTGAAGGTGCGGGTGAAGCTGGAGTACAATGCTGGCTCGAAGGTGAGCCGGCAATTCGACTCTGCTCTGCCAATGACTATGTAGAAATAATGAAGAATTAGGAAGGTGAAGCAAACGAGGAAGGAAAATAAATTCTCGGGTTTCTTAACATTTTCTTTGAACACAGATTTATCATGGATTTCAGCAAGGTGCAAGCCCAAGTGCAAAACGCGTTTTCCACAATCGATTCTGTAAGTAGACGAGACCGTTTCAGCTAACAGCCAGCAAACCCAGAACTCCCAGCTGTTGACCCGTTTCGAACAGCAATTCAAGCTTCCTCGCTCCTACATCGTCCTGGGTGGCGCTGGCTTCTACTTGCTGCTGGTGTTCCTCAACTTCGGCGGGATCGGGCAATTGCTTTCCAACTTGGCCGGATTCGCGTATCCTGGCTACTTGTCCCTCAAGGCACTCAAGACCTCCAGCTCCAAGGACGACACCAGACTGCTGACGTACTGGGTTGTGTTTGCTGCCCTGAACGTTGTGGAGTTCTGGTCCAAGGCCATTCTGTACTGGGTGCCATCTTACTTCCTGATCAAGACTTTCTTCCTGCTGTACCTGTCGCTTCCGCAGTACAACGGTGCAGAGGTTATTTACCGCAAGGTTCTCGCTCCTTTGACCGACCGCTATGTTGACGGGGGCGCTCCTGCGAACGACCTGCTTAACAAGGTCCAGGAGAAGACCCAGTAAGGCTGCACAGGATTCAAGAGCAAAGACGATCTTCTCGAGTTGCCTTCGGGACGCCTGCCCGATGGGGCTGTGCCGGCCCGGTTTTCTGAGAGAATTCTTTATTTAGTGTTAATTGTCTTATTCTCCGTTCACCCCGCTTACGGTAGCTAGCCCATATCTGCTGATCCGTCAAGGTTGCATGTACTTGTTTGCTTTCCCGTATTTCTCGCGTGAGAAGGCCCAAAAGCGGCGTACGACAGGATTCCCCGGACTGTCGTAAAAATTCGGGTTACCCCAGACTCCGCTATCCCGGGCTTTTTTTAATGTCTCAGCGCAGGACAAACGGAGCCACTCCGGGCACGCTTGTATATAAGCTGGACTGTCTCCACAGAGGAACAGTAACAATGGCACCTACAGCAGTTGACCTCCACAGAGAGTACCAGACCTCCCTTGCCCAAGAAAACGGCACCCCCTTCAATAAAAAAATCAGAAAGGCCTCCGTCGTGAGCTCCCTAGGACTCAACCCGGACGCAGCCATTCACTACAATTCGTCCGTTCCGATTTTGTATGAAGACGCGCTGCAAGAAAAAGGCACCACCATCTCCTCGACGGGAGCTCTGATCGCCTACTCGGGCTCCAAAACGGGCCGCTCACCAAAGGACAAGCGAATTGTCGACGAGGACTCCTCCACCGACCACATCTGGTGGGGTCCCGTCAACAAGAAGGTTGACGAGCAGACCTGGAAGATCTCCAAGAGCAGAGCCATCGACTACCTCAGAACCAGAGACAAGGTGTACATCATCGACGCGTTTGCTGGTTGGGACCCTCGCTACCGAATCAAGGTGAGAGTCGTCTGTGCGCGGGCGTACCACGCACTGTTCATGAAGAACATGTTGATCAGACCGACCGACGAGGAGCTGCGCAATTTTGGCGAGCCCGACTTCACGATCTGGAACGCCGGCCAGTTCCCGGCGAACGTGTTCACCAAGGGCATGACGTCTGCCACCAGCGTCGAGATCAACTTCAAGGAGATGGAGATGGTCATTTTGGGCACCGAGTACGCCGGTGAGATGAAGAAGGGCATTTTCACCGTGATGTTCTACCTCATGCCCGTGAAGCACCAGGTGCTGACGCTGCACTCGTCGGCCAACCAGGGCGTGCAGAACGGTGACGTGACGCTCTTCTTTGGTCTGTCGGGAACAGGAAAAACCACGCTCAGCGCAGACCCTAACCGGAAGCTGATCGGCGACGACGAGCACTGCTGGTCCGACCACGGTGTTTTCAACATCGAGGGTGGCTGCTACGCCAAGTGTCTGGACCTGTCTGCCGAGAAAGAGCCAGAAATCTTCAACGCGATCAGGTTCGGCTCGGTGCTCGAAAACGTGGTGTACGACCCAGTCACCAGGGAGGTGGACTACTCGGACTCCATGATCACAGAGAACACCAGATGCGCATACCCGATCGACTTCATTCCGTCCGCCAAAATCCCATGTCTGGCCGACAGCCATCCGAAGAACATTGTGCTGCTCACGTGCGACGCCAGAGGCGTGCTTCCGCCAGTCTCGAAGCTCACGAACGCCCAGGTCATGTACCACTTTATTTCCGGCTACACGTCCAAGATGGCCGGCACAGAGATGGGCGTGACAGAGCCAGAGGCCACATTCTCTGCCTGCTTCGGCCAGCCGTTCCTCGTGCTCCATCCTATGAAGTACGCCCAGCAGCTGTCCGACAAGATGAGCGAGCACAACTCGACCGCCTGGCTTCTGAACACGGGCTGGACCGGCAAGTCGGCCTCCAAGGGCGGCAAGCGGTGTCCGCTCAAGTACACCCGGGCCATCCTGGACGCCATCCACTCGGGCGAGCTCTCAAAGGTCGAGTACGAGACATACCCAACCTTCGGCCTGCAGGTGCCGAAGAGCTGTCCCGGCGTGCCATCGTCGCTGCTCAACCCGGCCAGGAACTGGGCCGACGGCCTGCAGGACTTCAACACAGAGGTTACAAACCTGGCACAGCTCTTTATGGAGAACTTCGAGAAATACAGCTCCCAGTGCACTAACGAGGTGAGAGCTGCAGGACCTGCTTTGTAAGTCACATACTATTCATATTCATTATTTGTTGCATTTCATGCTCGTTTTTTCTAGCTATAGTAGCGTCTCGTTGACGACCCTCTTCTTCAGGGGCAGATACCGCGCGTCCACGGATGGTTTGCCGAGCTGCGCCGCATGGAACTCATTGAGGAACCTACTCAACGGCCGCGCGTACCACCGCTCGTTGTTCCACCGGAACCAGCCCAAATGCCCGCCCAGCGTCGTGCACACAGTCACCAGGTACGGCTGCAGCGTCGTCTCCTTGAGCGGCAGCGAGTGTTCGTCGCCGCCGACGAGCGGGTCGTCCAGCGCGTTCAGCACAAGTGTCGGTGTACGGATGTTGAACACCTTGGTGATGGAGGCTCCGCTGCGATAGTACTCGGACGCGCAGTTGAAGCCGAACAGCCGCGACGTGAACGCGTTGTCAAAAGACTTGATGCTGTTCACGTGGCGGAAATGCTGTTTGTACAGCGGCTCGAAGTCCGGGTTCTCACTCAGTTTCTTGTAGTGGCTCTTGATCATCTGCTTGAGAGGTAGCGTCATGATGGGCGAGTAGATCTTGTCGCCAATGAAGTCATTTTCAAACACGAAGCACGCATGGTTGAGGTCCCACGGGTTGGCGATCACGACGGCGAGGTCGAGCCCGGAGTGTTCGCCCGACTGGCCGACGTAGTTGGCCAGGATGCTGCCGCCGAGCGAGAAGCCCGCCGCGTAGATCTGCCGTTCAGGGAACGCCTTGCGCAGCCGCTGCACCGTGTGCTTGAGGTCGTAAGTCCAGAAACCGTTGAATAGCACCGGCGTGGTGAGCGGTGTCTTGCCGCAGCCTCGGCTGTTCAGCACCATGCACTCGAAATCGGGCATTCTGGCGAAAAGACAGCGGATGTACGACTCCGACGACGAGCCCGACAAGCCGTGCAGCACGAGGAAAATTGGCTTGGTCGAGTTAGAGAAGTCTTCCAGCTCGGCAGCAGTGAGTCGTCTGGTGAATTCGGGCAATTGGCCGTCTGCGGCCGGTTCTTTGGCGAACTGGGCTTTCGGAATGACCCGGTCGAGTGACACCTGCGCGCCGTCGGGCAGGTACAGCGTTTCTCGGCCGAAGTAGACTCGGTCGGCGAACCTGAAGCTGCGGAGGCCAGCAAACATGGTCTGCAGATGGCCGTGGCACAGCAGCGGGTTCATGACTGCCCAGGCGCCGGTGCGAAACTCTGGCACGCGGCGAACAAGCTCGGCAAACGTGACGGCGCCGCGTGCACTCGGGAACGAAATCGATTGCTGCGGCTCTATCGTACGAACCACGTTGATAAACGAGAACTTGGACACGAAGCGCAGCATTGAAAACAGCAGGTAGCCGTAGATGAGCACGCACGCCCATCCGGGCAGCCGTAGAAGGGCCACGAGCACGGAGTGGTGGAAATCTCTCAGGCTCTCATTAACGAGCTCGTGCATTTGATTTGCAAACTATTCTGCCCGGGTAACTCTTTCGGGAGGAGAGATTTCGTGGATGTGGACCGAGGGGTGGTCGAGGCCGTCGACCTGGGAGATTTGCAGTGGCGTGATGAAAATAGTCTGTGTCTTGGGGTTTTCGGCGACTTTCTGCAGAATCAGCTTGAGCGCGAGTCTGCGGTTAACCTGGTCCATGAAGACGTCAAACTCGTCCAGTCCACGCACTTTGCTCTGCATCGGCTTCCAGATCGCCAGCAGAAACGCGATCTGCGCAAACGACTTCTCGCCGCCCGAAAACGACTCGACATTCCGCAGCTTCTCGGACGGTTTCGTCGACACCTTGAGCACGAGCCGTGCCCGGGCAAAGTCAAAGTCAATTTTTCCCGTGAAGCCGCGCAGCCGCAGAGCAGACTCAAAAACGTTGTTCACCTCCTGGATCAGCAGGCTCGCCGTCGCGGTGAGGTTGTCGAGCCGCGCCTGCAGCGACGACGCCAGGTGGTTGTGCAGCTTCACCGAGTCCTGGTACTTGTTTTTCACGTCATTGTACACGTCGTGCGCGCGGATCACATTCAGCTTCGCCTGGTCTCTGCTCACACCAACGTCGCGCTCGATCTTCGACAGCGTGTTGGCGATCGCCTCGATCTGCGAGTCCACCTTCTCGATCGTGTCCTCCAGTGTCAATGCGGCCTCATCGCGCGAGCAGTGCGATTCAGCGCGGCGTGCCAGCGTCTCAATCACAGGTGGTAGCTGCTCATGCACAAAGCCGTCCAGCTTGTCAACGTCTGCGCGGAACTTGCCAATCTTCATCTGGTGACTACGCACCGCGTCACGCGCTTCACCGATCTTGTCTCTGAGCTCCTCGACCTGCGCGTTAAGCTCGGCCTTCTCGCGCTGGATGCGTTTGATCTCGCTGCCGCAGGCCGTGAACTTGTCGCGCCCGCGCCGGTACTCCTGCACCAGCGTCTCGATCTCCGCCTTGCGCGTCTTGAGCCGCTCCACGTTCAGCTGGATCTGCGCGCTCAGGTTTTTGTGGTCCTCCTGGTGCGACTCCAGCTTGCCTGTGCCCCGCTGCAGATCCTCCAGCTTATTCTCGATTTTTGCTAGCGACTTGGTTAGCACCATCGCGCGCTGCTTGAGCTCCTGGATCTCGCTTTTCGCCGCACCCACCTCGCCGTCCAGCTTCTTCTCGCTGTCGCGCCACCGTGCCTCTGCCTCGCGCAGCCGCTCGCTCGTCTCCTTTAGCTGCCGGTCCAGCTGTGATGTAGGGTTCTCGGCGTCCCCAGTCCGGTGCAAACTCAGCCACCCGCGGTTTTTGAATGCACTGATCGGGTCCGTCTGCAACCGGTTGTTCCTCTTGGAGATCCGCAGAGCACCGCCCTGGATCATGCAGATCACCGCAGAAATGCGGTTCTCGTGGTCTGCCAGCAGCACCTGCTCTGCCACCTCCCGGTCCTCAATCAGCAACGTGCTGTGGATCTTGCTCGTGTCGACCAGGCCGCACTCCACGGCGCGGTCGTCAAAAACAAGCACATCCACCATTTTCAAGTAGTTGCCCCGAGGAACGCTGGCCGAATAGTCAAACACCTCTGCCCGACGCACAGTAATGTCGCTCTGCACCTGATAAAACTTCATCCGCTCGCGCAAAAGACTGGAGTCCGAGAAATTCTCAACGACAAACGTCCCCAGCTGTCTCTGTAGCAAAATCTCAATCACCCACCCCCACTTGTCAAATTCAGAACGCAGCGAGAACTTCATCCCCAGCGGCCCCGTGATCCGGCCCTTGTACCGCTGTGCGCTCGACTGGAGTTCCTTGAGTAGCCGCACCACGCCGGTGCCAAATCCATCCAGCCGACTGCCCTGCCGGTTGTGGAACTGCGCGCGACTCTGCTCCAGTCGGCTCAGCTCCAGCTTTAGCTCGCCGGCCTCCTTGCGGAACGCCTCGTTCAGATCAGCTTTCTGCGCTTTCATCTCCTCCACCAGCGTCACCAGCTCGCCCGACCGCGCGCGACACTCGCCCAACTCGTTCTCCTGCTTGGTCTTGAGCGTCTGCAGATTAGTCAGCACAGAGCTCGTGTCCGAGTCCAGCCGGCTCTTCTCAATCTCGATCTTCTCCTCGACGGCACGCAGGTTGCTCTCGTCGGCGCTGATCTCGTTCTGGATCGCCGTCTGTTTGGCCTGCACGTCCTTGAGTCGTTCCTGCGTCGCCTTCAACATCTCCTTCAAACTATCCTTTTCCTGCTCCTGCTTCTGCAACTGCTCGTCTAAATCCAACACTGCCTGCGCCTTGTCGTCCTTCTCCGCCTGGAACTCGCGTATTTTGTCCTCCGACTCCGCCACAAACTTGTCCGAATTCTCCATCTCGCGTCGCCGCTCCTCCAGCAGGTTTCTCGCCAACCGCAGTTGCTCCTCCTTGTTCACGACCTCTAGCCACAGCCGCTTCCCAGAAAGCAGGTCCTGCTGCCTCTTGAACTCGTCGGAGTTCTTGAAGTTGTTCCACAGCTCCAGCGCTCGGTCCAGCTTTGCCTTGGACTCATGCAAAATCTCCTCGTCCTGCGCCAGCTTCAGCTTGATCTGGCTCACATCTTTCTGCAGCTCCTGCACGTTGTTGAACGTCTCCTGGAGTCTCGTGCCCTCCATGAAGTAGCGGAATTTACCTTCGTCGGTGGAGTGTGCGAGGAACGTCTTTGCCTCCGTCTGCGTTAGAATTGTCATCGGATTGCCGATAGTGATGCCGTAGTAGTCGAGAATATCATCAATCGTCTGCTTCTTGGTCGATCGCACCTTGCCCGTCTCGTCTTTGATCTGGCACGACGGGCTCGAGTCCACCTTCAGCACACGCTCGATCGTAATGATTTTGCCGTACTCATGCGGCCTGTACGCCTCGGGGCCCTCGTTTTTGAACGTCACAATCGCTCGCGCTACGTTCTTGCCGTGCATGATCAGACCTTTTAGCGAGTTGCCCCTGTCTGTATCGCTGGCCTTAGCACCCAGGGCTACCGAGATGCCCGTCAGGATCGCAGACTTGCCCGACCCGTTGCGGCCGATGATAAAGTTGGTCTGCTCGCCAAAGTCCAGCTTGAACGCCGCGTGACACATGAAGTTGTACAGCTCCAGCCTGAGGATTATTCCCGCTCGCGCAGGGCTGTCGTCAACTGCGGGAAGGTCCGAGCTGTGCGCCTGGGTCATGAGCCCCACACGGCGCCGCTTGAGATGTCGCGTCACGTTCTGCGTGAACTGCTCGTTCACGTCGATCTGCGAGTCTTGTACGGCGATCTGGTCGCTTGCGTCCGCGGAACTTAGCGACTCAAGCGTCTCGATCGAGCTCGGCAGCGTGGCTGTGATCGTGCTTTCTGCGTCGGCGCATACCGACGACAGATCCCCAGCAGATCGCTTCATACAATAAATAAAACAAAATAAATGTTAGATAAAAAAATATATAAACTATGTCTCGACGAATTTTCGACCTCACCAAGCTGGACGCCAAATGGACGGCCAGGTGGAAGCGGCAGGGCTGTTCGCTGAACCCACGCAGGAAGGTGGCCCCCACAAAGGGCAAGATCTACTCCACCGCGATGTTCCCGTACCCCTCGGGCATTCTCCATATGGGCCATCTTCGAGTGTACACTATAGCCGACGTGCTGGCCAGATTTTACCGCATGCAGGGATACAACGTGATCAATCCCATGGGCTGGGACGCCTTTGGACTGCCCGCGGAAAACGCTGCCGTCGACCGCAACGTGAGCCCGGAGAAGTGGACAAAGCTGAACATCTCGAAAATGAAGGTCCAGATGGAAGCCATGCTGGCCGATTTCGACTGGGACCGTGAGGTTACCACGTGTGACCCCGACTATTACAAGTGGACGCAGAAGCTGTTCTTGCTGATGTATGAGCACGGCTACGCGTACCGCAAGAAGGCAGAGATCAATTGGGATCCTGTGGACCAGACGGTGCTCGCCAACGAGCAGGTTGACTCAGAGGGCCGTTCGTGGCGCTCGGGCGCGGTGGTCGAGAAACGGCTGCTTGAGCAGTGGTTTCTGGGCATCACGAAGTTTGCCAAAGAGCTGAATGCCGACCTCGACACCTTAGACGAGTGGCCGGCTAAGGTCAAGGCCATGCAGCGCAACTGGATCGGAGAGAGCAAAGGAGCCGAGATTCGGTTCCAGGTCGGCAACGAGACCACCTCTGTGTACACGACGCGTGCCGAGACGATCTTCAGCCTGCAGTATCTGGCTCTGGCAGCAGACCATCCAATTGCTACCAAAGTGAAGCAGACGGCGCCTGAGCTTGCTGAAGAGTACGTTACGGGCGTGAAGTTGCCACTGGAGGCCACCAATCCGGTCACAAACGAGAAGGTGCCTGTGTTTGTGGCGCCGTACGTCATTTCTGGCTACGGCCACGGCGCAGTCATGGGATGTCCTGCGCACGACGCCAGAGACTACGAGTTCTGGAAGAGCATGGGCGAAACATCGATCCGGCCCACTGTTGAGCCTGAAGACAGCTCTTTGAAGGCCGGTGAGCCGTATTTCGGCGACCGCGGCGTGATGAACGCAGGTGCCCAGTTTCTGGCTGGCCTGCCTGCTGCCACGGCCCGGGAAAAAATTGTCGCGCATCTGGAGAGGTGCCAGCTCGGCCAAAGACGCACAACCTACAGACTGCGCGACTGGCTGGTCAGCAGACAGCGTTTCTGGGGTGCTCCAATTCCGATGATTCACTGCAAGCGGTGCGGCACGGTTCCGGTTCCGGACGAGCAGTTGCCTGTGTTGCTGCCAAAAGTCGACAAGCTTCTGGGCCGCGGCGGGTCCCCGTTGGCACAAATCCCGGAGTTTGTCAATGCGGAGTGTCCGTCGTGCGGAGCCTCTGCCCGTCGCGACACGGACACCATGGACACGTTCATGGACTCGTCGTGGTACCTGTTCCGGTACCTGGATCCGCACAACGAGCGGCAGCTGGTAGACCCCAAGGTGGTGAGTCCGCTTTTAAGCGTGGACCAGTACTTGGGCGGCGTTGAGCATGCCATATTGCACCTTCTGTATGTGCGGTTTGTCAGTAAGTTCCTGAACAAGATTGGCTACTGGGACGGCAGCGCCGTGAACGGAGAGCCGATCACAAAACTTGTGAGCCAGGGAATGGTCCACGGCCGGACCTTCACAGATCCAGAGACGGGCCGTTTCCTGAAGCCGGACGAGTACGAGATTCTGTCCGACGGCAGGGCTGTGATGAAGGAGAACGGCAGGACAGCGGTCACGTCGTTTGAGAAAATGTCTAAGTCGAAACACAACGGCGCCGACCCGTCGGAGTGCATAGTCCGGCACGGAGCAGACGCCACCAGAGCACACGTGCTGTTCCAGGCTCCAATCGAGGACGTTCTGAACTGGGACGAGGACAAGATTGTTGGTGTTGAGAGATGGCTGAACAAGGTGTTATCTATTGCTGATAGGCTGCGTGACCGTTTGGAAGCGTCTGTGCAACCAAAACCAACAGATCAGTACAGCGAGTCCGAGATCTCTGTCCACAACGAGTGTCAGCAGCTTCTGCGGTCCATCACGGACTCTTTGGGCAAGTCACTGTCGCTGAATACAATGATATCAGACTACATGAAATACACCAACAGGATCTACAGCGAGCTGAACAATACGGACGTGTCCACGGCTGTGCTCTACGTTTCCTATATGGATCTTCTTAAGGCTCTGTGTCCTGTGGCGCCTAGCGTGAGTGAGGAAGCAAACGAGGTACTGCATCCGTGGCCAGTTGAGTCTGTTTTGGCAGCCGATTGGCCGGAAACGAGGCCGCTTGTTGCTGCTACCGTTCCGTACACTGTCATGGTGAACGGCAGAATGAGGTTTGTGTACCACGGACCAAAGAATTTGATAGACGACAGGGCAGGGTGCATCTCCCAGATTTTGGCCACTCCGGAAGGACAAAAATGGATTGGAAACCAAAAGATCAAAAAGGTCATTCTCAAACCCAAAACGCTGGTTTTCATCTTGGAAAAATAAATTCACATGATAAAATATCCTGTATATAGATATAATAAGCATTGCAAAAAGTTGTTTTTTTAATCTTCAGGAAAAATGTCCACAAGAGTCCGGAAAACTCAGTATTTGCTGCGACTGCTTGCCAATCCGAAGCTCTACAGTCTGCTAGGAAGTCCGTTCGAAGACCCGCTGAAGCTCGACTCGCTGCTGTCGACCGTCTGCTATGGATCGTTGTTTATCTCTGAGCTTATCAAAAGACGGCCAGAACTCGTGCAGATTTTGAGTAGGCTCGCTAGAAAACTAAAGATCCAAGGGCTACTCTCGCTCATAAAGGCCTACATACTCAAGATACAACGCGCGCTCGATCCCAAACAATGTCTCTCTATACATATTCCTCTAGACTCGTTGTCCACCAAGTTAAGACTCATTTCGGACTATATTGCCGACGTCCGCATCTTCAATCGCATGTGGGGCCTGCCCGGATTGCTAGCGTTCGGCATCGAAGACCTGCATCGGATACTCACAGCAGATTCAAGCTTCATCACAAAACTGCTGGAAGCCACAGGCACCATATCCATCGTGGCGTACCAGCCGCTCGAAAATGTCGCTTTTGCAGCCGATCACAACTGGACACACCACGAGCAGTCGGCCTCGCTGCGGTACTACGTGGCATCGTCGCGGTTGTGGGCCGTGTTTGTCGTGCTGGAGGTTGTCAAGCTCGTGAAGACCGTGGTTCAAACTAAACTCTCTGGCAAGCCGCTCGACCTCCTCCACAACCGCTCTCTGAACCGCTCGCTGGTCGCCAACATCGCCAATCTGCCGCTCACTGTGCATTGGTCTTCGTATGATGGGTGTCTTAGTGACCTCACCGTGGGATTCTTGGGCACCATGTCCACTTTGCTCGACACAATAGATTCCTGGAGAGAAGTTTTTGCCCAGGTGCGCCAACTTTGATAACTCTATTCATAGACATAGAACTCCTCCTCTGTCGATGTGTGCCTTCGTAAATACTCGAGATGAGGCAAGAATAAGCTCTCGCACTCGGCATTGCCTTTGGAATTTTTAATATACTGCAGGTCAAGTCCCGTCAACTTGTCCTGGATCTCCACAGAGGCGGCATCTATTGCTTCGTTGGGCGTCCATTGTGGACAAATCAGCTGCGTTATAAGCTCCCACATCCGCAAATCAAAACCATAAGCCGAATTTGGTAGTCGGCCAGGATACAGCTTGCGGTGTCTCAGCTCTCCGTTTTGCTCCCACGAAATCTCGTCCCTCAGCTTATCAGGGTACAATTTTGGATACGACAAGTGCATGAACATCAGCCTGGAATCGTTTTCGTTCTGGAAATCGTAGAAATTAGACAGGTACGGCGGTGTTTTCTCCTCTGCGACTGTGGTTGGATCCCATTGTCCTAAAGCCTTTGCATGGAAGCCATAGGTGTCGTGATACCCTAAGAACTTCATGTTCTGCTTGACCTGATAAACCGGCTTTCGCAGCGCGTATGCTGCGGCGATGAAAGTGTCTTTGTCCCCCTGTCCTGCTCCTCCTTGGGTCAGAAGTGGGTAGTAGTGCGAGGGCCCAAACATGTTGTAGTATAGTGACAGGAATAGAGTGTCGACTTGCTTCTCCTTGTTCACCAGCAACATGCCAGACTCGCTGGCCGGGTTGGGCAAGGTCCCAGGCAAGTCGTGATAATTCCACTCGTCTGGAGACTCTCTATCCATAAACTGGCCGCGCACAGGATGATCACCGACCTCTATGTCAGCTATTCTGTAAAAATAGGGATGTGTGGTTCTGGACCAGCAGTCGGGCCATAAAACCAGACCGTATTCCTCAAACACAGACCAGTCGAACAAAATATCCGGATTGTGTATTACAACGTTGTCTGCATCCAGCAGAAGAACTCTTTTGAAGCCGGAAGCAAAAATTGCCAAACTTTTGTACTGATACCCGTCAATTCGTAGCTTTTCCCTGTACCTCTGCAGGGGGAGCTCTTCAAAACCAAGTACGCATTTCGCATTGAGAGCAGGCAGCAGCCTGTCGCAGAAGTCTCGCTCATACTCCTGCTCCGACGCGATGAACACCTCCACCGGCAATTGGCAGCCTGCGGATCTAAGTTGGTTGATGTTCAACAACGCCAACCAGGAAAAGCGCCCTCCTCCGACCATCACAATTCCATCTCCAGAGATCTGCTTCTGCGGGTCGCCGAAAATGCTCATTGGTAGATCGCGTATTTTATCGACAAAGTGCTGATGTTGCGTTTCCAAATCTAGCAATGTTGTTTCCTTGATTTCCAAGAGCCCCATCAAATACTTCTCGCTAAAATGGAAGTCGGGGTCGCTCGAAAACTTCTGTTGCGCTTTCTCGCCGTGGATATACTTTGCTAGAGGAGGGGACTTGGGCTTCGTTTCGACCAGCAAATTGAACAAACTGTCCACGGGCGAGTTATTGTTTTCTTGCGTGAATTTAAAGCCACCACCGGTTCGCACGATGTCGCCAGAGTCGGCCTCAGGTATCGGTGATTGTGACTTGTCGCTCGTCGCTTCTATCGGCACCATTGACAAAGCTCCTGGCTCTCCCGTTTGCGATAATTGTTCCTCTGTGTTTCTGGGTGAAAAGACAAAGAGTTGCACTGTGAGCAACAGTATGACGGCGGCTCCAATCTTTACGAGCCGTTTCTTATTGACGAACAAAGACATGACTATATGTCGACATAGAATAAATTGCGGATCTAGCGTGATATAAAAATTATAGCTAATTTATCTTAGAAAGTTTAGCGCATTTAGGGTTCTCGCTTCAGGGTCGATCTTTACCCTTTTTGTAATTTAAGTTTATATTTTAATGCCTTGCTTGTGATAAGATGATAGAGCCGATTTTTTCTAGTAAGATACATAACATCAGATCAGTAATGAACCGTTCCTTGAGGCGGTGTTTGAGTATTATTTTCCTTGTCCCATTCAGAGCCGGAATCGGTCTGGTAATCTGAATCGGCTTTAGATCTGAGACCAAGGTCGACGGAAAACAAGAACATGATCACACCAAACCAGAAACACACAGCCCACTCAAACACTGCAGAAACTCCCCACAACCGAGAAGCGTCGCCACGGTTGTGTGCAATGCGCATGCAAGCAACATAGCCAACGGCGAGCGCAATTCCAACAATCAGCCACGCCACTTTCAGCCAGGCACTCCATTTGAACCATTTGAAATGAGTATAGTGCTTAGCGTAGATAAAGTATAAGCTGATGTTGCAAACTGCCCAAAAGAAATCAAGCACAATGAAGATACCCACGAAAGTCAGGTGGACGGTGTCATATTTGGTGTCTTTGAAGCAGGAGACGAAAAAAATGGAAAGCGAGGACAAAAAGGTCAGTATTATACAAGCAACATGTAGAGCTGTGGCTGTGCGACGAAAGCGTGGTAGCAAATAACGTTTCCTGCGAGATCTAAGGTATGTTTCCTCTATAACGGACCACACGAAAAAAACCCCCATGGTTGCTGTGCCGGCAATGAAAAGGCCTTGCAAATTGGTCGCTCCAATATTGGACAAATAGACAATGAGATGAGCCATGTAGATGTGCTTTTCTTCGTAGTTCGGTCGGCCCTGCGCCACCCAACACACGATCATGGCAATTAGCATTCCCCACCATGCTGCCACGGAGAGCAACGGCAAGACGAAGGCCCATCTGGGCCTCACATTTGGTGAATTGAAAGAACCAATCTTAATCATGGGAGAGGATATTCACGCAATTTGCTGAAAATATGTCGAGTTGGACTTGAGCAAACTAGCAAACCTCTATATAATTCAAAACGCAATTCTTCATTGTTTTTTTCAGCCCGCGATTACCAGCCCCGGGAATTGCACTAAAAAAATAGAGAACTTCTTGTTTTGACATATAGCCTGCATGTCACGTGAGTATATACCGAAATTTTTTCTGTATCTTGTCACCCGACCAAAAAATATGCACTACAATATATTATTTTTCGCAATCTATGAACTCTATTGAGAGGCTGGCTATGGTGCAGCGCCATTTCCAGATGAAGTACCCACTTCCAGAGTTTCCGTACTTATCGCAAACGGAAAGAGACGAGTATTTCCGTCAATGCCAGCAGCAGAACCTCAATCAGCCTCAAATGGCTGCTATTATGGCATCAGCGTGGAAAAATCAGTACAACGGACCGAACATCAACATGCATCCTTTGAAGTGATCCAGGACACTCTTGCAGATGTTCTGAATGCATGCTTGCTCAGCAAGATAGGGGTTGATCTCTGCTAGTTTGTCAACTTGTCTTTTCGACCCGCCGTTTTGCACTTGATCTAGCAGCGCGGTCTCCGAAAGTGGAATCGTTTTGAAGCAATTCAGAAACACAAGGTCTGCAAAAGTCAGCAGTGCTATAGTTTTAGAGTCGATAGATTGCTTTTGCTGAGCATTTAGATTCACAGACCTTTCTGTAGCTGACTCCATGCCGTCTTCAGGGAGATCCTGCTCTTCTGGCCGTTCTTTCTGGTCTATGTTGTTATCATGCTTTTGTTCTTCAGTTTCAAGACAGTCGATCAGGTCGTCCACGAGCGCCACTTTGGCTTCTGCAAAAGTGTCACTGAAATAAACATCGCTGAAATCCTCGCTTGGATTTTCAGCAACATTAGTGAGACTACAGCTCAATCTGTAAAGGAGGTTTTCCAATTCAAAGGAAGGCGCGTTCGGGACTGGAATGCCAGAATCATTGGATGTCCAGAGAGCAACCTCGGCATACTCCTCAGCAGGTCTGTTCTGTATCATCTGTTTCATCTCGTATTTGAACGGCGAGGCAATGTTCTCCACCAGGGGTTTGAATATTTTTCGTAGCAGCTCATCGACCATTCGGGACAAATCCAAAGTCTGGAAGTTCTGTGCAGAAACAGAGATGCGCTTGAACTGTTCGTAAATCGTGTTGATGTCGATGTTTTCCCTCAGCTGATATAAAACTCGAATGGTGTAGAAATGCTTAAGTGGTCTAGACTCTCCCGAATCAACTAGTTTTCCGAATTCCTTCAAGAAGTCGGTGATAAGTTTGTTGAGCTGATCTATCACAAAGCAGATACCTTCATCGACTAAGCCGTCGATATAGGTGGCCGTCTTTTTCCAATACTCATCATCCTCGCAATCGTCGATGGACAACACTTGTTTTGTCAAAAAAGATGACAATTTGGACAAACCTTGAAGCGAGTCCAGCACCATTACAAGAGTCAGCTTGAACTGTCCAAGCTGCGTCACAACGGCATCAATCGCGTACAAAGATGGATTTGAGATTTGGGAGAGATAGAGATCAATGTCGGTGAGATCGGTGTACTGGAACAGGTTCAATCCAGACGAAGTGCGAGTCGATTGCAAAACCTCAGTGCTATTATAAGTTTGCAAGATCAAACTCGAAATGCTCTGGAACTTCCCAACACTGTTCTCCAAATATTTAAAGAAGATCGACTTCCACGCAGAGAGTAGGTTATCCACGAGTCTCGAATCTTCGTACTTGATGGCCACCAATGAAGTAAATCGCTTGAATGAATGAAGCACTTTGCTGAGCGAGGAAGAAAGTACTTCGAGATCCTCCGACTGAAGAAAGTCAGTGCTAATTTGTCGGTTGAGATAAGCACCCACGTCGATTTTCCATTTTTCACCGATCCTGTCCACTTCCTTTTCCGAAACATTTTTCAGCTCATGCAACGAAAGAGGGAAGTCCACCTTGTAATTTGCGGGTATATCAAGCCAGCGCGAATATTTCCTGAATCCTGTGTTGGCGACCCAATTTGAGTTTGCTGAGCTGTGTACTTGGCGCATCAGGGATGTAGGAAGCTTCGAGCAGAACACCGTGAGGTAACTGAGCGTGTTGTAAATATAGTTCAGACAATTGTGTAACTCATGCTTCAGTTCAAATTGTTTCACTTTGTCATAGCGCACATTGAGATACCATTCAAGAGCCTCGAGGATCTGGCTTTGTGCGACGAAAATGTACGACACCAGCAACTGCAGAGCAAATTCGTAGTCACTATCACCGGTGCAGTTTGCCGTCTCTGTTCGCAATTCCTGCAAAAAGTCCTCCTTCATTTTGCCAAACTTCTGCACCACGAACGATGCCGCCTTCATCTCGTCCCCAAAAAACCTCTCAGTCAGATAAAACTGCTTGGCTAGTTGGACGAACTGCAGCGAAAGAGACTCGCGCGAATTTTCACCATCGTCATGCTCGTAAATACGCGTTTCTGCTTGCATCTCCTCGACCTCTTCTCGTAGAACTTGGAGACCAAAATCCAGGTGGTCGACAATATTCCGCAACAGTACTTGTCGATTTCGGAACTTGGTTTTTTCCAGATCATTGGCCCGGAGGGCAGAAGAGAACTTGTTAAAGTTTCGCAAACTCTTATCATCGTACTTCGCCCTTCTGTATGTCAAGTCAGATAAACGCGAGGTTTGCTGGTCTGCAAGATCGTTCATCCGGATAATGTCGTCTGCCACTTTCAAAAGATCTCTGTAATTGTCCCCCACCAGAGTTCGAAGTTCCAACTTCTTACTATGGACATCAGCGGCAAGTTGGCCTTTCAGCTGCTGGAGCTGCTGGATCGAAAACTCCTCGAACAGCTCTGTGGCTGACTTGTCCGCCAGCTTAGCAACAAGACTCATGCTATTTTTTTCAGATTTCGTGTTATTATTTGTACATATTATTATATTCACAAAGCACCCCGGACACCATCGATAGTCTAGCGTCGTCTTTCGGACATGGTGCGACGCTGGGAGGCAAACAGATCGCGCTCTAGGCGGGAGTCGGCCCGTCTCTCGTGTATGAAGTTGCACATTCCGCCTCTGTCGCACTCGTTAGTGTAGTAGAGCCGGCACGTGGCGTCGTCAAGATTGGTCACCGGTGAGAGCTCTGCAAAAACAGGCTTGCCGTTGTACCAGCGGTCGTTGCATTCCTTGTAGCACTTCATCGCGTCGGCTTCGTCCCTGAAGCGCACATAGACGTTTCCACTGAGATGCGGGTTCACGTTCTCGCAGATGACGACTTTATCCACGGGCCCGTACTTCAGCGCCAGTTCAACGAAAACGTCTTTGTATAGCGAGTCGATGCGTTGCTGGATCTGTGTTTCGTCGAGCGAGGACACGATTTCGGGCGCGACGGGTTCGGGATCGCCCTTTTTCAGCCCCTCCACGTGTTTGGGATTGTCGTACAGTTTGGGGAACAGAATCGTTTTCGAGTGTTTGGGATACACGTGTGTCCTCACACACTTGTCTCCATGTCGGCATGCACCGACTTTTTGGAAGAAAGTGCACAACTGCTTGTTGTGGACGGAACCAGACATAAACTGATCTAATTCAAATAAATTTAATATGTTAAAAAATTAAATCGATAACGTAGCGAATGTCTACACAATTTTTTCTCTGTCGTCGTCAGAGGAGTTTGTTCTGATATGGTGTTTCGAGACGTCGACCTCACCGTGGAGCTCCTCTGAGAGCTGTTCAAGTGTCTTTCTCTTGGTTTCAGGAATAAGAAGGGTGGTAAAAACACCAAGCAACATGAACAGAGCAAAAATCTCCATAACGTGGGGCAGCCAGCAATTCTTTTTCTTTCCATCTCTGGCACAGTTGTGGTCTTGCAGGGTACCGATACAGGTCTGCGCAATGATGGCGCCAACCTTACCTGAGGCAGCACTAATACCGTGTGCTGTAGATCTGTATCTGGTTGGGAAACATTCACCGGGAACAATAAAGGTTGTGGTGTTTGGACCGAAGTTTTGGAAGAATTGAGCGAGGATATAGAACGCCAGAAGTCCCTTGTCTCCAAGCTTGTGGTAGGCGAATCCGATAATACAGAAGATGGCGGTCAGGATGACGAAAGAACCAAATTGCAAGCTTTTTCTTCCAATGGTGTCGATGGTGGCAACGGAGAACCAGTAGCCTGGAATGGCACCAGCACAAATGAGAATCAGGTTACCGGCAGCTTGGTTGTAAAGCGAATGGTAGACGTTTTTGGACGATGCATAGCCAATGGTCTGCAAAATGGAGCCAGTGTTGAGACCTAGGCCGTAGTAAGCGATATCCAGCATGAACCACGAACCAGCAGTACCAATGAGGATTTTCATATGTTTCCATTTGGAGAAGTGGGTGAAGAAGTCTCTGGCAGTTGCCTTTGGTGGTCCCAATTCCTCTTTTTCGCCCAAGGACTGCTCGGTGTCTCTAAGAACCTCGATATCTCCCTTGTCTGCGTCTCCGTGCTTACCAGACGTGAACTTGGCAATGTCGGCAGTGGCCTTTTCGAGTTCTTTGGACACGTCGAACGTGAATCTTGGGGACTCTGGAATCGTCAATCTGAAATACAGCGCAAGCATGCCGGGCACACAGCCGAACCCAATGAGAATTCTCCACATTTGGTCGCAGGCCTTGATACAGTTTCCAGTGCACATGGAAGCCTTCTCGGCCACAATTAGGTCGTCCTTGTAGCCAGCAACACAGATGAGAGCCACGAGACCGGCAAGCAGCTGGCCCCAACCCTGGTTGGCGAAGACGGCACCCATGATGGCTCCTCTCCATTTAGTTGTCGAGAACTCGGAAGTGATGATGGAACTGAGCGGATAGTCGCCACCGATGCCGATACCTTGGACGATTCTGTAGAAGGTGAAAATAGCTGGGAAAGAAATGGCTTTGGACTCGCCAAGGGTACACTGCAAAACGGTGGCAAAGATCATGATGATCAGCTCTGTACCGTAAATCTTCTTTCTCCCCACCAGGTCTGCAAGCATTCCGAAACCGAACTGTCCAATAACGGTACCCACAGAGGTGGAAACCTTCAGAAGAGTGGTGGTGGAAGAAGGCATGGAGCCACCCCAATAAACATATGTCAGCATGGAGATTCCCAGATTAATGGCGAAAATATCGTACGCATCGGTGAGGAAACCAACACCAGCAACCATGATCGCTCTGACGTGGTACCATCCGAAGCTGGCATTATCGATCTTCTCCAGAGCCAGTCTTCTTCTTTCAAGAGGATCGGTGATATGGGTGAAGTCGTTGATGTAGTTGTGGAACGCAGCGTTACCACCAGCAGTTCTGTATTCGGCCATAAGAAAGATGCAGATGGACTTGAGGAGGACAGAGTGCTAATATTTATACCACAGAGTTGCAGCTATAATTTATGCGGCTTGGTGACAGATTGGTCGAACGAAAATTCTAATTAACCACGATGCCCAGAATATTGGCAATATTTTGCCGGCTCGAGTACGGAAAAAGATGCGAAAAAACGGCGATTGCAACGTTACGCCGTTTTGATTGGTCTGCAAACCAAGAAAATGCCCAGAAGTAGGAGGATAGTAGTTTCGCTCTCTAACGCCGAACACACGTGCTACCAATAAGTTGTACTAAATTAGCAGGTCCTCGTGTGCGTGCAAAAAAAATTAAAAAAAAACGAGGCACGTGGGGCCCCTACCGTTCCAAAGAAGAGAAACGTGGGGCGGGACGTGCTACTTTTTTTTTTGTTTCGTCGACACCTCTCGACGGCCGACAGAACTCTAATGTCAACAAACATCTCTGCACAGGTTAGTTTATGTTTCCACCTTTGCACCTATATAATTATGTCCTTTCAAAACGTCCGCAAAGCGTCACAAGAGAAGGCCCAAGGGTTGCTTCTGCCTTCGCTGCAGTCCCCGCAGCCTTCCGTAAGCGTGTCAAGCTCGGTTTCGATTGCCGGCTCTGCCCACACCGCGGACAAGACCACCCTGATAGATTTTCTAGGGCAATTTGACAAAGATAGGTCCGAACACCACGATAAGGCCTCCAGCGCCAGCGAGCACGAGGGGGTTGAGGAGAGTGAGCCAGAGGAGCAGAACGAAAAAGAAGAGGCCAAAATTGAAGAGCCTGCAATTGCTGCCCAGCAAATTGAGCCCGAGCCCGAACAGTCAAAACAGGAGGCAGGAGCGGCCGCTGAGAAAGCTTCTGATAGCGATACCAGGCCCAAAGATCAGGAACCAATGGATGACGAGACATCAGCGTCGTTAGAGCACATTGCATCTACCAGCTATGGCGAGGGACAGGAATTAAACGACACCTCAGATTCGGAGGAGGAGGAGTTAAAGGCATCTCAGCAAAAGGAAATACCAAAGTCGAAGAAACTAGACGACAAGAAGCTTCCTACGGATTACCCGAACCCTCCCACGTCGAACAGGAAAAGCGTTGTGTTTGATTTTCAGAAGTTTCTGACAATGTTCAAAAACAAGCAATGTGAGCCTATTCACAAGTATCTTCGCTCTTTTTTGACCCAATTTTCTCAGAGGACATGGACAGTGGACGAGCAGATCAAGCTGATTAAGGACTTTGAAGCGTTCTTATACGACAAGCTACTGCAATACTACCCTTTCAACACCATCCAAGACGAGCTGGAGCTGGAAAATTGCAAAGAGGGACTTGAAAAACTGGTGCTGACGCGATTGTATTCGCAGGTGTTTGCACCGGCGACACCGAAACCGAAACAATCTCCTCAGCAGCGCGAGGACCTTATGAAAGACCGCAAGTACCACACTTCCTTGAAGCTCTATGACTGGATCAGTCCCAGACATCTCGACATCCCAGTTTCGTTGGGTCTGGAGTCCAACTTTGTCAAGCTTGCGTCTGGCGAAATCAATAAAATCAACAATTACAAGTCGCCGAGAGACAAAATCATCTGTATTTTGAACTGCTGCAAGATCATTTTCGGGCTGATCAGACAGCAGCAGAAAATGCACCAGATCGAGGAGAACGCCGACTCTTTTGTGCCGTTGCTGATCTATGTGCTTTTGCAGGCCAAACCGAAATATCTGTATTCCAACTTGCAGTACATCGAACGGTTTAGATTGGAGGAGTTTCTGGTTGGCGAGACGTCATACTACGTGAGCACGCTGGAAATCGCGTGCAACTTCATCATTGATCTTGACCGGGATAAATTGACAATTGAGGACGAGGAGTTCGATGAGCAGTTATTACTAGCCAAGCAGAGGCTCGAAAAACAGAAGGAAGAAAAAAAGCAGAAAAACGAGCAGAAGGGTGCCAACGACATTCTTTCGCCGATACCGAAGAAACTGACCGAGCTGATAGGGTCCAACTCGAACGAGTCGCCGTCGCAGGTGTTCACGAAGTCGGCCGAGATCATGAAGCAGTCGATCTCGTCGTCGTTCAACAATCTCTTCCAGACCTCGCCGTCTCCTTCGGAAACACCCGGCAAACAGGAACTCATCGACATTAAAAAGCTTTCCTTGGAAGAGCACGAGTATCAGGAGACAATGCGCAAGCAGCGAGAGGAGACGACCGATGCATTGGTCTCGATGTTTCCAAATTTGGACCGCGAACTAATTACCGATGTCGTTGCTTCCAAGGCCCGCACAGAAGGTGGAGGTAACATAGGCGACTGCGTGGACGCTTTGTTGGAACTGAGCCATTAACAATGGCGCGTGAACATTTCACGATCGCGCGTTCGTGTTGCAGGAGCTATTTTTTTCAGTTTCTCCTGTGAAAAAAACGCGAAGTGCGGCTCGGCGTGCGGCTCAGATCAGAGAAGAATGACATGAAAACTAGCGAGTCTGAGTCAACATAGTATCCATCTTATCCTTTAGGCGTGGCAATGAACTCTCCAACGGACGCTGGCCAGGTGCTGGGTGAGATCAAATTGACGGAGTCGCACTACGTCAGCGAACTGGGGTCGCTGATGATACTCGTGAACGCGTTCGATGTTCGGTTCAACAACTACTTTGACGACATGGTAGACGACGCCATCGAGGAGCAGATAAGCTATCGTCAGAAAATGAACGCGAGACTGGCCAAGGTGGTCCGGAAACTCATCGTGATGCATCGCGAACTAGCACAAATACTCCAGACAGACGAGCTGGCCGTGCTGGCTGCACAGTTTGCAACCTGGTGCACGGACGCTATCAAGTTGTACAAGCAGTACATCAGTCTGTACCGTTTGCAGGAAAACCAAACAGTTTCTGAGGTTGAACTGCGTCGCCAGCCGCTTCTTAGACTGGCGTATTTGCACCAGACGATTAGGGCCGTCAAGAGCATTCTGAGTCTGCAGATGGACCGTTTGCAAGGCGGAGCGGTTTTTTCCGACCTGGAAGTCGCTACACACAGACTAGAGCAAACAATGGAGGAGGCGCACAGGATGGAGTATCTCCAGCGGAAAAAGCTGGACAAGCACGTCAATTTTTCCAGTGTGCGCTCGATGACCGACTTCTCAATGATATGTTCTAGTTTCAGTATGAATAGTGTGGTGGAGACGTACCGAACTGAGATGTACTACACGAACGAAAAGCTGGACACTTCGCTCATTTTCAAGACTCTCGAGCTCATGTTTCTCAGGAACCAGACTATTGCCCTGGTCTCTCTCGAGAAAGGAGAACGGACGCTTGTTTTTCCACCACTGCGTGCCAATGAGCTACAGTACGATAGGCAAGTGGAGGACGAGATTTATGTATTTAAACACACGCTGGACACTGGTATTTGTGTGTATCTGAAGCTGGACAGCCCCATGCACTCAAGACTGGCCAGGTTCTGGAATAGGCCCGCCAAGCTGGGCAAGACACGGTCGGTGGGTATGGGAATTCAATTGCAGGACAGCATGTCATCGGAAGTGTCGGAAGGTCAGGAAAATCACCGTGTTTCTGAGGTTAAGGCTTATAGAATCCAACAGCCACAGGTGGCAAAGATCCAGCCAGCCAGAGAGGCCACGAGACTGCCATTGCAGCCCGTGTCGTCGTCGAAACTCAACTCGTTCGATCCACAACGGTTTGCGCAGAATTATCAGCACGGTATTGATGGCAGCTATTTGAAGAAGAAACGGCAGACTGTGTTTGGTATGCTTTCCACCATCATCAGGAAAAAAGTGACTGTTGCCGAGTCTACGGATTCCATTGCCGACGAAATCTACCGCAAGAGTAAACACATGTTCCTGCAACGCGTGGAATGGTGCAGATGGGCAGATAACCAATGGTCGCAGTCGCTAAACGTCGATCTCTTGCTGCTCCAGTCTGACTCGGAAAACTACTTGATGGGAACGAACATCGAGTCCGAACTACGCACTGAGTTCCTCATCAAGCTCAATGACAGCACTATTGTGAGACGGGCCTCGGAAATGGACATCCACATCACCAGCTGCGATTTGCAGAGCGCCGTAACGCTGTTCTGGATTAAAACGGCAGGGGTCAACGAGGCCAACGAGTTGTTCCAGAGCGTTCTGACTAGGTCCACATCTCTGTCGAACTCCAACTCTTACAGCTCGAACCTGAGTACCACAACATACAATTCGTCCATCAAAACGTTCGTTACCTCGACGTCTATCGCATCAACTACTAAAAAGTGAAACATCTAATATATATATACAGTCTGTTAATGCTCGTAGACGATCAATGAGGCACTGGTGAGGTTTCTCTGGACGTCGACCTTGTCCACGTCGTGGGTATCCTCGACCTCTCCCCAGCGTTCTGTCTGGTAAATTGTCTCCAAGGTGGCAGCACGGGCGATATCGTCGACGGTCAGACCGATTGTGTCCTCTTTATTGTTGAGTCTCAGGATGGCCACGCCGCTAAGGAAGGACTTGGCGGTCAGAGTGGCCCTCTCAAGCGACACCAGCGACCAGAAGTCCAGCGTGTCCAGCCACTTGCGGACTGCTTTCACAGTGGTCTCTGGCTGTCTGTTGCCAACGAGTCCGTGGACGTCCGAGTCCATGTAGGTTAGCTTGATCTGCACGCCATTTTCCGCGTACGGCTGGAAAAATTCCTCCATCGACTTGATGATTGGCCGGTACGTCTCTTCCTGAGCCTCTCTGAGCTTTCCGTCGCAGTCTTTGGCTGGAGAAAACACAAGGAGAGTGTCGGTGTCAAGATACTTGAGCAGAAGCGTTTTCAGGTTCTCCTTATCGCCAACCTTGGTCAACAGCTCCGCGTCTTGTTTGACGTGCGATTGTTCCAGATCAATACATCTCGAGACGAGAGACGTAAGTGGCACCAAATACGGTTTGATCTGCAAACTAGGCAGATGTTTCCACTCGTGGGCCAGCAAGTAGGCCAGAGTGTGCTTAGTTTTGGGAACCGTCAACTGAAAACCGAGCGGCGTCTTGATCGACTTGCCGTCGAGCAGGATATGGTACCCGTCGTCTTTCTCTGCCAAGTCCACCTTTTCCCAGAACTTCGTCAGCGCCTGCTCCAATTTTCTGGTTTCCGATGCAGTACTGGAAGATTGCGCACCCACCGTCGCATAGGCCCTGAAAAGAGGGGCTTTTATATTCCTAAGGACAAAAGCCATCAAGTAAATTTTTTGGAATAATTATCTCGTTTAATTTTCTTGTTAAACCACATAAAGGTCAATCGACCCAAAAAATGAGCTCTGGGTTCCCCGTTGACGTACCTGTCACAGATCTAGACGTGGACGATGAGACGTTCAGGATTGACGACTACGACGATGACAATGTTTCGCTCGATTTGCGCAACCTGAGACCTAGCTCTGAGTCGTTCCTTGGGAAGGTCAAGACAAACTTCTTCAAGGTGTTCAGACAGCGCCAGAAGGGCTTTGAGTATCTCGACACGATCGAGATGTTTGACCGCAACAGGTCGGATTCGAGTTTTGCCGAGCTGGGCGAGTTTGAGCCCGTGAAAAGACACAGCTACAAGAAACTGTACTTCCATCTTCTTCTAGGCGGGTTTTTGGTGTTATTGCTGACCATATCGCTTGTCGTCACGCGCAACCGCTCGGGAGGGTCTGTCAGAACTACAGCAAAGCCTATTTTGTCCAACGGAACACACGAGTTCTACCCAACGACTATTCTTATCTCTCTGGACGGGTTCCACCCGCACTACGTCTCGCCTGCTCTGACGCCGTTCTTGCATAGCTTGATGATCGGAAAGGGGTATGCGCCGCCATACATGATCCCGTCGAATCCGACAGTCACATTTGCGAACCACTACACGCTGGTGACAGGCCTCAAACCTATTTATCACGGAATCGTCTCGAACCGCTTCTACGACGCCGCATCGCATGAAACTTTCATCAACACCAACGACTCGGTTGCGCTGCAGCCGCAATGGTGGGGCGGCGAGCCCGTGTGGTCCACGGCAGCCCGCCAGGGTGTCAGCAGCGCAGTCCATATGTGGCCCGGATCGGAGGTCGATTATGGCGCAGACTTGAACCCCATGGAAGTTGACCAGTTCAACAAGTCCGAAGTCCTGTCGAGAAAAACTGAGCGCATACTTGAATGGCTCGATAGGCCGCTGGTCTCGCGTCCCGAGCTGTTATTGTCGTACGTTCCAACCATCGATACGCTAGGCCACGAGTACGGAGTTTCTGGTCCCGAGCTCGCCCAAGGACTTACGTACGTGGACAGGTTTTTGGAATCTGTCTACGTGGGGCTAGAGAAACGTAACCTGACGCATCTGGTCAACATGATCATTGTTTCTGACCACGGCATGGCGCCTACTTCGGACGAGCGTCTTATTTATCTGGACGATTTGGTGGAGCTTGATAAAATTGAGCATCTCGACGGCTGGCCGCTGTATGGGCTTCGGCCATTTGCCAAGTTCAATGTGGATGAAGTGTTTAGCGAGATCATGGAGAAATACCGCGCCGATCCGCAGAACAGCCACTATACCGTCCACAAAAAGGAGGATATCGAAACCCAGTTGGTCGGAGGAACAAGTCAGTACGACTCGCGGATTGCGCCGATCTGGATCTTCCCAAAGATTGGCTACGCAATAACCACGCACAAATTCATGGAGAAGAACAAGCACTACGCTCCAAAAGGCGTTCACGGCTACAACAACACCGAAGTGCTGATGAGGTCATTGTTTGTTGCAACGGGCCCCTATTTTGAGCACAAAATGGGCTCGTCGTACAAGCTGTTGCCGTTCGAGAACACCGAGGTGTACAACATTGTGTGCGAATCGCTGAACTTGTCGCCTGCTCCAAACAACGGCAGTCTGCCCTCAGTGCTGTCCACGGGCCGCGCTCTGCCCGACATGTGGAGAGACAGCAGGAAATATCCGGACACGGACTTTGACGTGGAGTGGGTCTACGAAACAGCGACCGTGGACCTTCTCTGGGGCGAGAGCCGCGCTGAGCCCGATCTGAAGGAGGAAGAGGGGGAGGAGGAGCAGGAGGAAGAGAAGGAGAAGGAGAAGGAGAAGGAGAAGGAGAAGGAGAAGGAGAAGGAGAAGGAGAAGGAGAAGGAGAAGGAGAA